GAGGTGCAGTGAAAAGACAAAAACTGGCAACTGCCTTCTGTTTGGTGCTATGCGACCAGATACTACTAGCCTCAGCCATACAGCGACATGTTTGCTGCTTTCTGTTTCAATACCATTCTCACCGCAAACCTTATCTATAAAATCGTCTCTTCTGCCGCTACATTCTGTCTATTAGGCTCTTTCCGATGATGCGTTCTTATTTGATAGCCTCTTACGCTGACGGAGTTCTGGCCCAGCCTAGCCATCCTTGTCAACAACATGCCACTTTTAGAACCAAAAATGCAGCCACAGCCACATACGATAAGGATGGAGACATACGGATGACGGATGATGCCGATGTGGAAATGGACTTTTTTGCCCTTGCCGACGATGGGAACACGCGGATGTTAGACGATTTTGACGTGGGAGTAGGCACTTCTGCCTTAAAGGAAAATGGGGAAACATGGACGGACGATGCTTTGGATACGGAAGCGGGAAGGTTGGGCACGAGGGAGGAGGATTTTACATGCGAAAAGAACAACCGAAACTCTTGGCATTCAGGCAAAGAGCATATCCATCCCCAGGCGACAAAGTTTAGAAGAGGAAGTGCCGGCCACCGCGAAGCCGTTAGAGAGCATGATTGCAAGCTCTGCGGAAAGGTCTTTCAACAGAGAGGTGGACCTAATCGTCATTTGCACGAAGTCCATCCCGGGCCCGACAGCATGTTTTATAAGTCTCAAGATAATCATTATAAGACCACAAGAAAGTCGTATTACGAGAGGCATTTACACAAATGTGTGGTAAAACTCAAATTTTCGGGAAATTTCCATTGCCGCTGTGGAAGAATTGATGCGAACAAAGGGTCGCACGTCGCTCATGTACACAAATGCAAACTCAAGCGGCCAGGGCAGATATACAGCTCACTGTAAAAAGTGACCTGGCGCACCACACACTCTCCATAGAACTCGCTGTGTGGCTCACTGGAGAATGCCCCGTCAGCCTCACTGGCTTGCCTCACCGGAGTGTGCCGCATGAACTGTGCATCACTGTGACTCGCTAGACAGTAAGTGCCCTTATTAGACCATGCCTTCCTGGCCTGTGGCTCCCAGGCCTGTGGCTCCACGGACTGTCGCTCCCTGGACTATGCCTCACTAAGTGGTGCATTAAGCATGTACTAATGCCCCTCTGAACTGTACCTCACTATGAGCGCTAGGACTCTGGGTGGATCTTTGGCGGATGGGTTTTTTATTTCATGGAGGTTTTATAGAGGATTATGGAATCAAGGAGGAATAACTAGGTGTATTTCATGGGGATTTTATAGAGGATGGATGGAATCAAGACGCATAATTAGGGGATGCAGACCAGAGAATGGCCATATAAGAAATTAATGGATGTGTATTTTAGAGATGAGCGTTTCATGGATGAGCATTTGGAGGATGTCTATCCATTGGATGACATTTAGCCGATGGGCATTAAAAAGTTTGGCCTTCTCTGTGCCTTACTGGCGAGTGCCTTATGAGCGGTTTCCCACTATGCCTGGACTGTGCCTTCACAAGTACCTTGCCGAATGGTGCCTCCTTGGACTGTGAGCCACTACTCCATACTAGACTATAACTCATCAGGGGATACCTCACTATGCCTCACTGGATTGTGCATTCGCTAAAATTGGCGCATCACTCCTTCGGATCTGCTCCTCGATTAGGTACGCCACTGTCGTCCGAGACAAGTTATCTACTATAGGGATGAGCCCCTCGAATGCGATTCGAGCTAGACACATCCTTTCCTCTTTTCTTTTTCTTTGCTTTTTCTGTGTAAACTTGAGAAGTAATATGCTCAGCAGTGTAATTCTTATTCAAGTTCTACTTCTATTTATCTTGTCTATGTGCTTGCCAGTGACTATTATTTTGTGTGACATAGGAGTTACACTCTGTTCAGAAGGAAACTAACCACTGATTCCTGGGTTGAGACCCGAATGGCTGAACACAACCGGGTGGAACTTGAGTTCCCGCCGTACGGGCACACCTTCCAAGGCACTACAGCAAAAAGTAAACATATCAGTTGTGTTTACTTTTCGATTCGTTCATTCGTAGCAGTTTGACGCGCGGGCGTCTGAAGCCGTTCGACATTCCATGGGAGCGCGCGGCATGAGCCATGAATGCCTCCGGACTATTACACGCAGTTGAGCACGCTGGGCATTTTACCCAGTGGCCTTTGGCACGATCAAGATGCGCTTCCAGATGATTCCACAATGTGCTTGTGCGTGTATACTTTTTCCCACAGAATATGCATGGTGGCGGTGCTTCACGTTGCCTTCCACCCACTGGCTGATTCGGATCCTGAGATGAGCAGGACGACGGTGTAGTAGCTGGCAATTTTGCCGATGGTACGGCACAGACAGGTTTCGGCAAAATTCGTGGACCCTGTGGCAATAGCTCTACAGGAGGGGCCTCTTGTACCAATTCTGCCTGCGATTTTTGCCTCTTCTGCTGCTGGTCCTGGGTCGGCGATGTTGGCGGGTGCTTGCGCTTACGCTGTTGGCGAGGCTCGCATACAAAAGCGTACGCAACTAAAGCTTTGATTGCTTCAATTTTTCGTCGCACGATTTCGTCTTCTGATAAATTTTCCTCCACATCACCAAGAATCGTGGCCACGCGATTTCGCTCTGGCGATTCATGGACTATTCGCTTGATCTCTGGCGGTCTGTGGATGCCGCGTAGCTGATTTTGGAGCTCTTCATTGTTCTTTTGCTGGAAATGATCCTTCTTGATCATTATTTCCACCTTCCTCCTATCCTTTTGGCGCGCAGCTCTCAAAGAGGTCTTTGTTTTCTCATATTGCTTTCTCTCGTCCGTTGGTGCTCTGGAAGGGCGGCCGTATTTCTCGCTGAATGACAGTTGCATCTGCTTCAGCTCTTGCTCCAGTCTGTCAACCGCGCGACTCGGCCCTATCGCGTCCATCACATCGTCTGGAACGAACTGAGGGGCATTTTCATCGCAGAATAAGCCCATTTGGTTGAGTATTGGTAGTAATGGCGAATGTGTTCCTCGTCCGAGGAAGGCGTCTTGAAAGACGGCGTTCATCATGGCGCCGTGGTAGTGCACTTGATAGGTTGAGCTACCCGGTTTGTGTCTAGATACCTGATCGCGCACCGACGTGCGGTAATTCACTAGAGTAGTGTTTAGTATTTCGTAAAATGATATGTAGGCCAACTCACCATCCACTGCTTGTAAATTGCCACGCCGATAGCAGTACTGGCTGAGTTGATCTTTGAGCCCCATCTCTTTTCCAAGGCGGTTGGAGTGATTGTTAAAAACGTGCACGGTTTGCGCAGAATCTGACTTCTCTCCCAGAGCGTTGACTGTGCGCCGAAAAACCGGTCTATGCATCCATTCCCGCTTCCACTGGATCGACGCAGCTTTGACGCCAAGCCTTGTATTGAAGAAAGGCTCCGGTCCTGTCTGGTAGCCTTCAGTGGCAATGACTCCTTCGGCGATGGCTTTGGCAAGAATGTATGTCACAGGACAAAAAGCCGGTATGTCTTCCTCAATTAGCGGGTACCAGGTTGGCACTACTCTTTTGTTGTGCCCTTTATGCCATTGGAGGAGAACAATCATCACCAGACGGTCCCGTCCACCTTTTCCAGATGGATCGCGGATGACCATGAAGTTGATATCTTCCCAACAAAGAACCTGCAGTTCAGGATTATGTTCTCTCTCGTCAGGCTCCTCACAAACAAAGCACGGTCTGACTGGGCGCGGCCCAAAGGTGAGAGGATCAGGCTCGGTATCGGTATATGCGTCAGATTCATCGTCATATTCTTTGATAAGTTGCTTGCAGTCCTGCGGCTTGTTGTATAATAGTTCGTGCTCGCGGCAGCCAGTCCACATACAAATATGACGAATGAGCGAATTGTCGATCCTATCCAGTCCGATGAAGAAGCTGTGTTGGCTTCGCACCCAAAGAAAATATATGTGATACATGAAAAAATCGGGTCCCATGTTCGGCTTCGCTTTGGGTTTCCTTCTCAATCCGTAGTATGGCGTAAGTTCAGATAGGGCGAACTTCAGAAAATGGTCGCTGAGCATGGTTTCCATCGCCCGACCTGTGTACTTCTTGAACAAGGCGCTGAGATTTCTCTGATATATTCGGATAGTACCCTCAGCCTCGATGCCTCGCCCTTTTTCGTCATGCATCAGATGACGAAAAAAAGCTTCACCGAGCCCTTTCTCCTCATATGATATGCCCTTCAGGGCGGCTTTCCAATCCTCGATCTCCATTTTGTCGCAAAATGCCTTCCATCGTCGTTCTAGGCGGACTTTGTTAATTTTAAACCCTAAGGAATGATTTGGCGGGAGCGGCCGACGGTTGTTTCCTCGCTTCCACACTAGTCGCAAGGTGTCTGCAGATAGGGCATAGTCTTTCGGGCGCTCAGTGTCGCGCAGCCGCTGCTGGTAGCTCTCTATCTGTGCTGGCGTAAATGTCGACATTTTTTGTTAATGGATCTCTCTTGGCGGCCTCTGAAAACATGAAGATGTGCTCTTTTCAAGTATAGAGAACTTTCGACTAGGTTTTCCATATCACGCTACCTATGCTGACCTTATATATATATTTTTTTTTACGGTATTGTATGCTTTCTGAATGCTGCGTTTTGCAGGCGCTTAGAGATGTGCTCGCCAGGTACAAGTGACAAGTGAAGGTACCTTCGGACAAACCCCGGAGTACCAGCAAGGGGGTGCTCGGCGCATCCACGAACAGGTGTGCCCGCCGCCCGAAAATGGAACTCAGGACAGCGACACACAGACTTTCTCTGCATTCTCGCGACGCGAATTGGGATCTCGAGATTCAACTTTGCTTGCGCCGAGGTTCTTGAGCGACCCCCGAGCCCCATTTCACAGCCTGGGGATATCTATCGATAGTATCTCAACTCCGACAGTCAAGGAGAAGACTCCATCCAGCGGCAGTCCGTCATTTGCGCTCTGAGTTAGCCACTCCGACATATCTGGTTCACGGTCGCCGCCGACATGCCCATTGAAGATGTGGCCGATTCGACCGATTGGCTATCGACGCCGCTGTCCCGCCTTTCCGCGGTCGAGTCGTCATTGCGATGCGAAGTGTGCAAGGACTTTTACAAGACGCCCATGATCACGTCTTGCGCGCACACCTTCTGCTCCATATGCATCCGGCGGGCGCTCTCCAGCGACAGCAAGTGTCCGCTGTGCCGCGCAACCGACCAGGAGCTGAAGCTGCGGAGCAACTGGTCTATGGAGCAGACCGTCGCCGCGTTTTCGGAAGCTAGGGAGGAGGCGCTTAAGTTCGCGCGCAGCGCCAGCGTTGAGAAGAAGAAGTCGTCACCGAAACGCAAAGCAGACGGTGGCGCGGAGATTTCACAGCCAGAGGCGCGCTCCAAACGACTACGATCTTCGGTCAGGCTGAGTAGCCGCGCCGAGGTTACACCACCGGCGCCGAGTATAGACGTGGTGGAAGATTTGGAGGATGAGGATTTCGAACCAGAAAACGGTAGGTTGCGTATCGTTTTCCTCGACGGGGCGTGTGAACATTGCCACTAACAGAGAGGGACCGCAAGACGACGGCCTGGTACCCTGCCCCATGTGCCAACGGAGAATGAAGGAATGGCAAGTGTTCTCGCACCTCGAGTCGTGCCCGGGACCCGGCGCCGCCGAAGCGAGCCCGCAAAGACCCAAAAGCAGCAGTAGCCCGACGACGGCGCAGCAGACCTTGCCGGCCGGCCAGATGGCGCGCCGGCAGCAGAGCACGCTCGAGCGGCTACCCTCCCTCAGCTACTCCATCTTCAAGGAGCAGGCGCTGCGCAGGAAGCTCGCCGAGATCGGCATCTCCAACCAGGGGCCGCGCCCGCTGCTGGAGCGGCGCCACCGCGAGTGGCTCACCATCTGGAACGCCAACTGCGACGCCGCGCGGCCGCGGCGGCGCGCCGAGCTGCTGCGCGACCTGGACGTCTGGGAGCGCACGCAGGGCGGCAAGTCGGGGGCGGCTTCCGCGCAGATGGGTCGCGTGGCGGTCCGCGACAAGGAGTTTGACGGCGCGGCGTGGGCCGCCCGCCACGGCGACTCGTTCAAGGACCTGATTGCGGACGCGCGTCGGACCAGGCTCGCGGCGCAGAAGAAGGCGGATGACGCGGCGGCGGCGGAGGATGAGGAGGAGGCGGCGGAGAAGCAGGGTGGCGCGAGAGCGGCGCATGCGTCGAATCTAGACGAGATTCCAGCGTCACCAGTCCAAGGCGCGGGAGATGCAGCGACTGCGACCATAAATGGAGAGGCGGAAGAATGGGCAGCGCCAATATCAAGCCAAGCTAACGGTGTCATGCAAGAACCGTATTTATAAAAGAATTTGAATCCTCGGCTTGAAGGTATATTATGCATGTACTTCTATTACGGGTTGGCATTTAGGTGTTTGTGTTGCGTACAAAACGAACTGGAGTTTTGCTTTGCGGCGCTGAAGCGGGACATGAGTCGAAAAGCTGCGAATGGAAGCAGCAGCATACAGATAATGACTTGCATGATACATCATTAATATTATCACCCCAGACCGTCCCTTCTACTCTGCCAGCGACAGTTTCCCAATACCCGTCTCCGATGTGGGCGACTTCTCCCTCGCCGGCACCTTCTGCGGCGACGTCGCCGGCACCTGGGGGAGTGTCTCCAGAATGCCCTGCGCCGTCTCCGCCTGCTTCTCGTCCTCCTTCTCCGCCGCCTCGCGCTCCATCTCGGCAAGCTCGTCGTCGACCTCGCCCTCGTCGACCGGCACCGCGTCCGTGGACTCGGCCAGGATCGCGGCAAGCTCGTCCGCGTCGGCCGCGCGCTCGCGCAGCTCGTCCATGACCGCCCCGACCTTGTCCGGCGAGCCAGCCCGCGCATTGAGGCTACGCAGTACGCCGCTCGACGCCTCGAGCGCGTGCACGATGGCGACGTTGTCGGCGGCCTGCTCGATCTTGTCGGCCGTCTCCTCGAGCTGGCCCAGCGTCGCGTAGCGCGTGGACAGCGTCTGCTCGGCCACCTTTTTCTGCCGCAGTGCGGCCAGCGCCGAGACCTTGTTCTTCCGCGCGAGCGCCTTCTTGGCCTCCAGCTCCAGCTCGTCGATCCGGGCGCTGAGCAGATCCGCCTGGTGCTTGACCTTGAGCGTGACCTCCTTCAGCGAGGCGATGGCCTTGTCGTCCTCTGTTATGCCGGTCTGATCCCCGACACCCTTGACTCGTACAATGCTGCCGTCGTATTCGATAATTCCCTTGTCTCGGGACAGATAACACAGCAACACATTTATGTCCGCCTCGGAAAGTCGCTGGCCCTGTATGAGATCCGAAGCAAATGTATTGTAGAACTGTGACTTGGTAAAGACGCGGTCAAACTTGGACGTATGTTCGGCCATGATGTCGTAGAACTGCTTCGCCGCGGCCTCAACGTTCTCCAGCAGCACGTACTGGCCCTTAGGTAGCGTGTCGTCGCCTCTGGACGGGTCCACGAGGCCGATTTGCCGCAGCGTCCAGCCCACGATGGCCCATGGCACACCCGACCAACTCCTCTGCAGCACGCTCTGCTGGGCCTGCAGAAACGTCTGCGCTGGAAACATTGCGTGCGCAGCGATGGACTCGCGGACCACGGTGCCGAGAGCCAGCGGCTGCCCAAACTGCCGGCTTTCCAGTTCTCGAAGTAGCGAGTCGTCCAGGCTTAGTATTAATTTATTCGAGTTTGCCCCTTGCGACAGGAGGCCGCGCCTCGCCAGCAGCGACAGCGCGTGACGCCACGCCGTTACGTTCGCGCTGTAGCCATCAGGGTTTAACGTTCGCTGCGGTCGAAAGTCGGCGTATAAAGCAGGGAGTCTGGCCCTACAGTGAGAAAAAGATATTAGTATTGAACAGAACGGGCGCGCGCGAGTGGCAAAGGGAACGTACTTTCGAAAGGCCGTATCATTATGGGTGAGAAACTCGGCAAGCTCGCCCATGGTGGCGGGCAGGCCTTCGCGGGAATGAGGCGCTAGAGAACAAAGAAAACAAGCGATCGACGACTTAATCAGGGCATAAATAATCCGTATGCTTAAAATAATTGGACAAGCGGGTATGTCAACGGTCACTGGGTTGTTAGTAGTGACATGTTTGTTCTGTGAATGCTTGCAAGTCGCGTCGCTGCGCTGAGCAGGTGGATGCCTGGACTAGCAACTAAAATAGATAAGGTACCGACCCTAGCGTTTGTCTGACAAGTAACATGACAGCTCTATAAAGCAAAGAGTACGTTATCTGCGAGTATAATGAAACAGTCCATTGAGTTTAAATATATTCCTATCGTTTACATTTCGGACTCGTAGAGCTCAAGCTTAAAACTTCAGTTGCACCCGTCGGCTAGATTGACCGCCCATCAGCTTCGGACGTCCAACAGGGAACCATGTTAAACGCAGAGTATAGCATACAACGGGTGCTCCAAGTATTATCGGACCTTGGAGAAAAGTACATTAATAAAGCCTAAGGTTGAATTATTATGCAAATCTTGAGAGTGTAATCCGTAGGAGATGATTATCCGTATCTATGTGAATGCGCCCACGCTCCGGCACCAAACGGGTCTTGCACGCAGGATGCCACCTAATCAAAGCCTTCTTGACTGACAGCATCAGGAGCCGACACATCTGGCTGCTCCGTGCGAAGCGGCGCCGTTTCTAGTCCCCCGAGGGCAATCGTGCTCGGCCTCCGCGCGCGCATATCGGTAAGAGCCTCGCTCTCCTCGTCTATATCACTCTGCGACGCCTCAAAAGCCGATTCATCTGCCGCCTCATCGGCATGGCCAAGCCTATCTGCGAGCTCGCGCTGAAGCCCGTCCACGTAGGCCATTGCAGTGGCGAATTGCGTGGTTGCTTCGTCCTCCGCCTCCCGTGGGCGGTACGTCTTCTGCGCTTCGGTGAGGCAGCGTTGCGCGGGGATGAACTTGGACTGCTCCGCCCACGCCTCCGCAGCCAGGACGCTCCAGGCGGCCGACTTCCGGCGGCGGCTGCCCCAGTTCCAGCTGCCGATGCCAGTCTTGGAGGCATAGCATATCGCTAGACGCTCTTTGGTGAGAGCGTCGCCCACCCTGCCGGGGATGCGGGACTCGAGCAGGCGCAGCCCCCATCTTCCAGCATCGTCGACGTTTGAGCCTCCCCTCAGACGTAAGAGCTCAAGGCCGAGTGTGAGGCTTCGCAAGGCACCATATGGGCTGCTACATCTAGTCTGATATGAGTAGAATGCTGACTCGAGCATCTGATCGATGGTTTCTGATCGGGTTTTCGAGGTCAGCTGCTGGGGCATCATGAGCATACTAATTGCAGCCATTTCATTCGCCGCAGCGTAGTATTTCCAAGCCTTTGCTTCGCTGAAATCCGGTCGCAAAAGATCGTATGTTGAGTAAGCAAGCTTCCAGTCTCGCAGCATAAAGGCAAAGTCGGCCAGTTTTCGCATGATGGCTTCCGCAGCGGTCGCGTGATAGAATCCGGCAGGGTCGTACATGTCCTTGCTACTGGCACCACCGCCGACAGAGGTTCGACCTCCGCCACCAAATCCAGTCCATTTGCGTGACAGGTTCATGAACTTGCCGGTAATTCCTCTACGCCGTGATGCAACTTGATCATTCCACACAGACATGTGTCTTTCCATTGTGGGTACAATGGATTGTGTAACCATTTCTTTGACGAATGTGCGAATTGCAGTTGCATCAGACTCGAATATGTACTGGGATGGATCGTCAAAGTCTTCGTCATCTTCGCTGCGTTTAATGTCGTAAAGTTCTTCTGCCGCAGTCATCCAATCACTGCGTGGCAGTGGGATGCTGTCGTCGTCTGTCTCAGCGCTTTGGCTGGATCGAAGTCGTAAGAGATGGCAATGAAGGCCAAGGTGTCGTTTCATCTGTTCAAACAAAGCCATAGACTTTGTAATGTCTCCGTTCTCTTCATCATGAACAAGGACATAGTATCGTAAATATTCCCCATCAACCCAAGCAGGCAATCTATTGTCGCCTAGGTTCGTCTCAGCATATAGTCTGCGCAGTTCCTCAATTGGGGTTTCGTTGCGTGAGCTGATCGCAACCACGCAGGCGACTGGGTGAGCAAAAGTTTCATGTGGTGTTATTGGCAAGCCAGATAATAGTCGACGAAGGTATAGGGCGTAGTAAGGGGAAGCAGTTTCCACATCAAGCCCCTGTCTTCTCAGGCCCTCGTGGTTTGGCGATGTCTGGAAGGCCTGCTCTGCGAAAGCCAGGTGTCTGTCAACTACCGCCTCAACATCCGATAATATCGCCTTATCTCTGGAGGAAGCAGATTGTAGGCCATTTTTTTCACCCGTCGAGGATGGCCGTTGGCCCGAGATGGCGGGATCTGGATGTTCTATGTTGGCCCCAAACTTTGTAAAGCGAATGGAGAAGTCCTCGGCTATGCGGCTGACGCCATTGCTATCTCGCACATTCACCTTGCCGTTTATTCTCTCGCCGAAGGGCCGAAGCAGTTCACACAGGCCATTCTTGAACCCCTTTTCGCGAACGAGAGCTTCGGTATCCGCTGACGGGTACACAGCCACATGCGGGACAAAGGCTCTCAAGACCAGGTTCAGAGGCTCTCCAGGGCTGTCGCTGGCGTTTTCGGGGAGACCGCGTCCTTGGCTTACGTCAAAGACAGTGTTGGCGAGGTATTGCGAAGGCGAGCCGCGGCCGGACGGTGACATCGATCGGGAGCCGGGCGGCGAGAGCGTTGAGGCGTAGAGGGAGGCAGCCGAGGGGTTGCTCCGACGAAAGGGCAGCGAAACGTCGCCTTGTGACATGGAAAGGGGGTCGCCCGCCGGTATGACTTGTCCCCTCTTCGGTACCTGAATCACAGAGGCCGCGGTCGGGAATGCCTTAAGGGGTTGCACAGGCGGCACATCGCGTCGTGGTTGCGCCATGAGAGGCGATTTTGGCGGCGCTACGTCCGGGCCGAGCTTCGCGGTGTAGTTGAGCAATTCATGTGGCGGGATGAGGAGAGGCAAGGTCGCACGCTATCCCTTGCTGCAGTCGAATAGGCATGTTATTTTCACAGGAGCAAATTATGAAAAAGACTTCGTGAAGTGGCGCACGATCGGGTTGTCTCTTGTTCCAGGCGACCTTTGGGAACACGTTCCTGCATGAGCTATCGCCCGACCCGACGCCATCCCACATCACTCTAGCGGGGCAGAGCCGCGGTTGCTATTTCTTGATAGCTGCATAAATCTAAAGTGCTGCACAGCGATACGTGACAGCTCCAGCTTTTTATTGTGTACCAAGATTCCGCATCAAAAGACAGGCATTTTCTCCACCAAAGCCTAGTTCTCTTGTTTACAATAATGCCTTCTGATCTGTCCAATTACCTTGCGAATAAATATCTCGTTGCCGATGCGAAACCAAAGAAGAAGAAGCGCAAGCAGGCCACAGCATCCAGCGGCCTACTTATAACCGACGACGACGACGGAAGTTGGGGCCAGACAACACAGGGCGATGACGACGCCGAAGATGGACCTGTTACAGTGATTGGCGCATCGGCCGAATTCCGACGAGCCAAGAAAAACAACTGGAAAAGCTTAGGCGCCGACAACGCGACCAAGGACAAGGACGAGGCCGCCGCCGCAGACGCAATCCTGGCCTCTGCCGCTGCCGAGTCTGCCGCCGCGCGAGCAGAGGATGAAGAGATGCCCTTGGTGGAGGGAAGCCCCAGCGTCGTCAAGATGAGCGACGGCACGCACGCCGGGCTGCAGTCCGCGGCCACCGTCTCCGCGCAGCTCCGACGGCGACAGCAAGAGGAGCGCAAGGAGTTTGAGCGGCACCGCAAGAACGCCACGGAGGAGGAGACGGTGTACCGAGACGCAACCGGCCGACGGATCGATATTTCGATGAAGCGCGCCGAGGCGCGCCGCGCGGGCGCCGAGGCCGCGGAGAGGGAGCGTCTCGCCAAGGAGGCGCTCAAGGGCGAGGTTCAGCAGGCCGAGGCGCGCGCGCGACGCGAGCAGCTCGAGGACGCCAAGCTGATGCCGCTCGCCCGCGGCGCGGACGACGAGGACATGAACAGGGAGCTCAAGGCGCAGGAGCGGTGGAACGACCCGATGGCGCAGTTCATAAGCGGCAGCGGCGGCGGCGGCAAGGAGTCGACGGGCAAGGGAAGGTCGAAGCGACGGCCGGCATACGCGGGCGCGGCGCCGCCGAATCGCTACGGCATAAAGCCTGGCTACCGCTGGGATGGCGTGGATCGGGGCACGGGGTTCGAGGCGGAGCGCTTCAAGGCCCTAAATAGGATAAAGAGAAATGAGGGACTTGACTACGCGTGGCAGATGGATGAGTAGCGCGGATGATGAAGAATAGATACCCAGTACTAGTGAAATGAGAGCGCCATGGACGCCACAATGCTTCCTTAATAAAATGCCAGAATAATGGTGTATTAAGTTTTACGATAAGCTTGCGCGCCCAGGGCAACTATACAACTAAACGACTCCTCAAGGCAAGGATATCTGGAAACCAGCTCGTCCAAAGCCACCCACCACGGCAATGAAATAGGTTCTGCAGATCCGCAGTTTCGGCTCAAGCCCTCTTCTACTTGCGCTTGCGCAGCAGTTTGTCCGGGCCGTACTCGCAGAGCCGGGTAACAAGTTTGATCCACTCGCTCTTGGGTATCTGGCCAGGCTTGGTGCCGACGCGAGACTGGAAGGGCTTGATAAGGTCCACGATGCTGATGCCGCTGTCGGGGATCTTCTCCAGAATCTCCCATTGCTCTATACCTGAGGATGAAGGTGGCGGTGATGGACCTGTTGTGCGAGTTAGCATTAAGGGGGACAGAGTATTTCTTTGAAAAAAAAAAGTACGGCATACCACGAGCAGCCGGACTTCCGGCCCGCGACGCGGACGGAGTTCCCTTGGCGCTTCCGACAAGCTTAATCTTCTTCCTGGGACCAGTAGCACCGTCTGACATTTCGCCGGCCGTGGCTTCGCCATCACTCGTAGATCCTGCGCCGAGCTTTTTCTTGCGCGCAGCGCCAGGGATAGGTGTTCCGGCGCGGCTCCCGGGTGCGGTGACGACAGATTTCTTCATCTTCTTCCGCGATGACTCGTTTCCACTAGATTCGGATAGCGCAGGAGATCCTGCACGCTTGAGAGACTTGCTTTTTTTGTCTCCGTGTTTTTGTTTTTCTTGCGGTGTGGTAGAGCCCTGCGCACCCGATGCCTTGCCCTTACCCTTGTCATCCTTGTCATCTTTGTTTTCACTCTCTTTCTTGTCGTCTTCCTTCTTCTCTTCGTTTTCTTCATCTGAAGAGTCTTCGTCAGACTAAAACGGGTTAGTATTTTCATAGCTCAACAACAGCGAAGGAGAATGCTTACAGAGCTGCTCCAAGGATTGTCCTCAGAATTGTCGCTTTCGTAGATATCTTCGCGATCTCTCTTTATCAGCGCCTTTCGAGTAGCCTTGCCAAACTTTTGACGCTCCAGCTCTTCTTTTAGCTGTTGCCGGAGCTCTTGGTCGACTCTGCCTTCATCACCATCGCCAAACAGGTTGGCACCAAGCTGTTCGCGACGGATTCTCTCCTTGGAATCTTTGGTATCCTCGTCGTCATTCCGTTCAAACATCGGCGCTTCATCGTCATCCTGAAACTCGTCTCCAGACATGTCGATCTCATCGTGTTCCATCTTTTCGGCACGGGATGCTGCTTTGAAAGTGTCACTCTCAGTTTTGATCATCCCTGAGCCATACAGCATTCGTCGTGTAGCTTCCAGGTCTTGCTGGCCATTCTTCTTTTCCTCGTCCTTCATGACCCATCGGCCAACATCAATCTTTCTGTTCATGTACTCTTCAGCCTGGTCAATAGTAAACGCTTGAAAATGCGGCTTTGCTGTGAAGCGATACCACTTCTCCAGAGGTACCATGCGGAAGACGGATTGATCTATGACAAACGCCACGCTGGACTCTGAGAGAGCAGCAACGTAAGACCCAACCCATACATTTTTACCGTCCACATCCTCAAGGTGCCATGGTAATGCCTCTTCGTAACGCAGATCGGATTCTTTCTTTGCTGCAGCGGTACGGGGGCCTCTGTTGAACACTGTTCGCTCTTCCTTTTGCTTCTTTGGTTTCTTAGGCACAACCTCTTTGGCGACAGGTGCGATTTTGGCTTGGTTGATGGCGCGTTGTGCCTCCTTTTCAGCTTTGATCTGCGCTAGTCTCTCTTTTTCTTGCTCATCGACAGGAGGACGCTGGAGTGCTTCTTCCTTGACTACTCTCCCCGGAGGCGGCAAGCGAGCGTCTCGCCGGTGGAGGGTAACGGGCCTGGCAAACTCCTCCTGGTCTGTCGGGTCGATGGGTCGCCCATCAGCTTTGGTGGAGGAGAGTCTCATAAGATGGTAACGAATCCCTTCAAGCAGAGCCTTCTTGGTTGTCATGATTGGGATGTCGGTGTATGGATATGATGGCGGGGGCTCGGACCAGCCGCCATACATTTTGCGCAGCTCCTCGAGACTCTGCTTGCTGCCATTCGTTATGGTTGGCCCCGACGAACCAGCGGCTGCTGGCCCTGGCGATGGCTTCTGCCCTGGCCGTTTGACGGCATCGGAGGGGATGGGGCGAGGCTTCGGGCGCGGGCGCATTGGGCGCAGAGGATTTGGCTTTCGTTTAGGGGGTCCATTCGTATTTTTGGGCGGAGGAGCACTCATTTTGACTGCGATGATACGGAAAAGACGTAGAGTGATAGAATGGGCAGCAAGATGGGTCGACGTACGATCGCGCAGCGCAGCAAACGGGATCGAATGCGCACGTGTGAACGGCGCGAGCTCGCGTCGCACCGCCTAGGCGACGGGGCGGGTGTATGTCGGCAATTGAGCTGCGCAAGATATGACACGTTTATATCTGCGTAGTATGCAAAGGTCTAGCAGGATAGTTGGTCGGCGGTGGATGAAAGAACAAAGAGTTTGCTGCCTGAAGAAAGCTACTAACCCTGCTGTTGCGAACAATGATGCAGCATGATGAATTACTTGGGCGGGCGAGTAGCTGGGTGACAATTTAGGACTAGCGCTTTCGGAAAAACCCCGGTGACCTCTAGTTGTAGCGAATCATACAGTAGCAAAAAACGGTACTTAATTTTATTAGCCAACACCACGATGACAAAAGTCAAGGAATGTATGAGGTACAGTAGCTACGTCACACGTATCGTAGCCCTACACAGTCTGTGGTAGCAGCCGATTGCTCTGTATCACCAGAACAACGAATGCATTGGCTCTCATTACCATTCATTCTATGAAAAATAAAATCATTTGTATATAAAACGCACCAAAACGGATTCTATTATAAGCTATCTCTGTAGTGCGTACCTCAACATACTTAACAAAAAGGTGGGGCATGACTTGATGCTGCTTTTACGGTGCCCAGAGCAGCTCGGAGAGATACATCCGTTTGCGCTGTTTGCCGACGAAGGATCAGGTACCTCACCTGTCATACAACCAAGTTTGCCGCCGCCGGCCGCGCTCCGCCCAACTTCACAGTAGACTGAGCACCGCAAAACATCATGCGCCCAACCGGTACACCTGATTCACTTCCATCTGCTACTCATCATTCCTTCATTATACTCGCGAGACATTGCTAGTTACTACAAACCCTTCCACAACAACACTTCCGGACACACGGGCGCCTTCGCAGCAGTAACCAGGCAAACATTCTCGTCAGAACCGAACTCTCGCAAGCCCTTCAACTGCCGCCTTATTTTATCGTCGTACCCGCCTGCTACGCGATACTCTCATCTTCAGCGTCACACAGTGGGCGTGATAATCAAACTCCGGCTCAGTTTGGCTTTCCTCGCGTGGCATCACCGTTCCTGCGCCTCTGCAGTCCGATCCCACTCTAATTCATCGCCTCAACCGTGCAATTCAGCAACTTTCGTATACCTCTTCGCCCTCTTACTACCGTCTCATATCCTGGATAGTTTTATCACGCACTTCGGGGATTATCCGCCCTTCATCGCCTGTCATCGGCCTGGACGCTCTCTCGCTACGTCTTTGGATCGATTGCACCGGACGCCCTTTTAGTGCTGAAACCTGATTATAAGGTGGCCGCAGCCGTCCCAAAACAAGCTCGCAACTTACCGTTGGAATTTGCAAATACCCTTTCTTTTCAACGTTCCATGTACTCGCACTATTCCAGCTTACGCCGCCGCAATGTCATCCAATGAGTGTAGCAATCATACTCCGAGGGGGCCCTCTACGGTTGCTCGATTGGATGAAGATGTTGCCAGACTTACGCTGGATACCTCTGTTGGTATATCGACTAATCTGTCAGAGAAATCTTCCGCACCACAACCTCCTGCTGTCAATACGGGTGACGGTGCGAGGGCGAATAGCGCTGCTTCACGTCCTATGCACACAGCGCCAGCGCAAGATGAAAGCAGAGATGGCCAGCAGCAGAGGGCTCCTGTTAAAAAGCGTCCCAATCAGGCTCAGAGAAGACAGATGAGCTCCCAACTCTCTATCCCTGTCGACACTCGCCCCGTACACTCGCCATCGAATTGGCAAGGGTCTCGCCATGGTCCCAACCATAGCGGCCATTACATGCCCCCTCCACGTCATCAACATACATTATCATACCCTCAGCCCAAAGCAGGTCACTTCATACCTCAGCAGCAGAGCTACGGCCCTTGGAATGCCGGTGGAAATGACGTTTCACACAACGGCTACGGATATATTGATCATCAGCCACAGTCTCATCGAAGCAGTCATCCTCAAAGCCATCCACAGCGCCATTCCAACACCCATGGGTATCAGCATGGCGAATCGCCTGATATACTAATGCGCCAGTCCATGCTCCTCGACAATCTGTGCCTTCAGACAATAACCAGCTCCGAAATAAGTAGGCCAGAGCTTGCGGAAAAGGATGCTTTCCGACTGCGTATCGAGTCAATCTGTCGCCAAGTCATTGCCGAGCACGAGTGTAATTCCACACCCAGTTTCCCGACGGAGTCTGTGAGACTCGCGTGCTTTGGTAGCTTAGCATCTGGATTCGCTACCAAGGCTGCTGATATGGATCTCGGCCTATTATCCCCCTACTCGGTCGTTCAACCAGATGCTTCTGGATCTCCGATCCCCAGACTCCTTGAGAAGGCATTCCTGAACGATGGCATAGGGGCTCGTCTCCTAAGTCGTACCAGAGTTCCTATAATCAAGTTATGTGAATCTCCTTCGGAGACTCTGCTGAAGGAACTTCTTTTGCAGAGAGCTAAATGGGAAGCTGGCCTTGGTCAAGACCACACTGAAACTCACAGTGAGCACGAGCAAGCTGGCGACGAAAACATCGATGCCAAGGACGAAGAATGTATGCCACAGGCAGAAGCGGAGCAAAGTACTCCGGATTTCACCACATTCCAGGTTCCCGACAAGCAAGGGAAGCTGCGTAAGTTTCATCTTCGACAAAAACCTGGGCAGGATCTCTGTGGCTACTGCACTTTAGCAAAAACCCTGCTGCGCAAGGCAGGTGGGCGTGATCTTAATGCCTTCAATGCGCGCGACTTTTCACCTCACGATTGGAGGCTCCAGTCTCTAATTTGCCGAGCCTTTGTGCACGGCATTGCAGACTTGTCGCTGCGTGAAAGTTTGATAAAGCTGCCATCTCTTTCATTCGACCTGGATCTCGGAGTTTCGCGTAGCCACTCACTCACGGCTATATCTATTCAAGTGGAAGGCGAGCAGCTCATTCAAATGTGGCAAAATTGGTCACTGTCTAGTATCCTGGCCGCCTCGGATCCCGCTTGCCAGCAATCGATTCACTTTTGGCGCGGGCTACAACTGAGGCGAACCTCCGGCGACGGTCTTGTTTGGTACGCGAAAGAGCTTCTACACAGTCTACAAAACCTCAAGAAGACACCGTCGTTTCAGCTGTTGCTATTCAAACAGAATCAAAGAGAGCGAGTCAGCCTTTATCACCAACGAATGGTGGGGGTTTACAGAGCACTCAATGTAACTCTGCAAAACGATGAAGCTTTTCAGCGCGAAATTATCCACAAGTATATTTCCGGCATTTATTCCAAGGACGTCCGCAGCGACATGAAGTCGTGGCAGTCAACAGCAAGTATTTGGGATCTCGGCATCATTAGCGGCAAGCACAGGTGCTTACAACTTGCTTCGGATCTCGAAAGGGCTCTGTCCGAGAGTCTCTATGAAGCCTCCGTTGCTCTCGATGTTTCCCGCTACATCCAAGTTCTCCGCGGGCCGCTACGGGAAGCACATAGTCTGCCACTCCAACATCTCACTCTCATTGTCCCGCTCGATGATCGTGAGGCGAACGACTTGCTCCCTAGGATTCTATCTATACCCGACCCTCATGGAGTGCCATCAGGTCAGCTCCATGACAGGTATCGCGATCCCCTCGAGTTTCCCAAATGCGACGTTGGCGTTCAGTGTGATATCAACTTCTCTGCGCATCTCGCGCTGGAAAATACGGCTCTTCTCCGTTGTTACTCCTGTACCGACCAGCGCGTTCGACCGATGGTCTTATTTGTCAAACACTGGGCCAAGGTTCGTGGCATCAACTCGCCATATCGGGGAACACTATCCAGTTACGGCTATGTCTTGATGGTGCTACATTACCTTGTCAACGTGGCATCTCCATTCGTTTGCCCTAATTTACAACGAGTAGCCGCCGAAAACAGGCCCGCGGAAGAGCATTTGTGCAAGGGCTATAGTGTAAACTTTTGGCGTGATGAAGCGACCATTGCGGACTTGGCCGGTCAGAATCGATTAAGCCAAAACACGCAAACTATAGGATATCTTCTGCGCGGATTCTTCGAGTACTTCGCACAGAGAGGCCTATTGACCAACCTACCAAGAGGCGGGTTTGATTGGGGCCGAGAAGTTTTGAGCTTGCGGTCTCCTGGTGGCCTCTTAACAAAGCAAGAAAAGGGCTGGACTGGCGCAAAAAGTGTTTATCAAGCGCAAGATCCAAACGAAGCGTCCGCAAAAACCCCGACAGGTGTAACAGACGACACATCGGGCGGTGTAGCTTCTGGTCAAGCAGGGACAGCTACCAAGAGCACATCTGTCAAAGAGGTACGACTGCGGTACCTCTTTGCAATCGAGGATCCCTTTGAGATTGATCACAATGTTGCGCGTACTGTTACGCACGATGGTATAGTGTCAATTCGAGACGAGTTCCGCAGAGCTTGGTCCATCATACAGCTTGCTGGGCGCAGGCAACCTCATGACGACCTCCTCGACGACCCTAACCGCCGCCAAGACGAGTCGTTCGTACAGACTCTCTACGAGATACATAACCTTCCACTGACGGAGACTGACGTAAGATAGCAATTCAAGCGTCGCCGCAGAAATTTTGAACATTAGCAATGTACTATGCGAGGTTGTGCGTGGGTATGGACCGTAAGTGTCAGGGCATCTCTTATCTATAACGTTTGGTAGTGCGACATAAATTCAAGCGAGTGAACTCCGTCATTCAATCGGCAATAAGCCAAACATATTACTAGATGCCGTGTGTTTCGATTTCTTCGCGGTTGCCGTGTCAGTTCTCTGCTTCCTAGGCCGCTTAGTAGGCTCCATGTCCTCTGTCTCTGGTTTCGGTAAATGCACAAACTGCGCCATGATGCGCCATACATCGCCTGGCGTAGCAGCTCCGAGCATCTGACTCACACTTCTCGCGTCTGGCGAGCCGACCAACGGCGGCAACTCGTCCAGCCAACGGGTCAGCTTTCCAAACGAGGGGCCAGCAACTCTTTTGGCGTCAGGCACGCTTGCGCATATCAGCTGCCTGAGCATACGCAGCGAGTAGTACGCAGCCTGTATTTGGGCCACGAAATGGACAAATCTCCACGGAATTGTGTGTGTTTTCTCGCCTGGCCATTGTGCTTCCTGCAGCATGTCCGCGGCGAACGGTGACCTGCCGTCTGTCACCGATCCGCGAATGTCGAGGACAAGATACGCGAGCAGCCAATAAAAGCCGTCTCGCTTTCCTTGAAGGAGTCCGGAAAGCTGCTCAAGAGTGCTTGCCAATTCAGCAACTTCAGAGTGGATGGACGTTTGAGAGAGCATAGCGACTTGGCGACCACCCTGATCTTGTGTTTGAACCCTGCGGTACTCGTGTATCGCGCCGCTGCTCCCGGGTAGCATATTACGTGCAAGAGAGTAGGCCAACTGTCTGATACATCTGCTATTTTCCCATGCGGTACCCTTTTCGGGACTGTCGATAAGTACCGGAAGAAACATTCGAAATGTGTTGTCTGCCTCGTCTGGTTTACTGTCCGATATTTGTAGGAGCAGCTCCGACCAACGTGGGTCAAGACCGTTCAGCGCAAGCGTATTTCCCAAGCTGAATCTAGGAAGCAAAGCCCGTTCTTCTTCGCTGTATTGAACACAGAACTCTTTATAGCCCTCCTCATCCTTGACAGGTTCCGAGCATGCCCGTACCAGCATAGCAGTGGTGGCATGTGCAGAGCGTAAGCGCTCGTAGGCAAAGCGACGAATGTTCAAGCTACCCGAGAGGCCGAGGGCGCGGAATATTTCACGCGGACGAAACAAGGCAGCTCGCACAGCGCCATCGTCGTCACAGTAGACGTCCCGTAGCAGTGCAACGCCGCCAGCGCCGAGATCGTGTACTAGGAGGTCCGAATCGGACGTAATCACGACGCCTCCGATTTCCGCAGTAGCTTTCGCGCAATAACCATCCGCCTCACCGGGTACCACCTTGACCATGCGGCGGTATCTGCGAGAGCGCTGCAGCGCCTCGATCACGGCAGGTACGAGGAAGCTTGGCGCGTCGAGTGCCTTTGTCTCGGGTCTGCCATTCTTGAACGCATTGACTGAGACGGTCTCGCAAGCTTCAATAAGATTGGATCTGGGACAGCCGCGACCGTTGCGGCTACAGAAAGAAGCTAGCTGGGATGTGCTCTTTACGGCTCTCTGCATGCGAACTGATAGTTTGCTTTTTGGTAAATATCCGTCAAAGTAGATGATTGTTCTACATGCGGCGTGTTAGTACAGGCAAGACAAAACAGTGCGGCTTCTATTGAGGCGAGGCCAGTGTGATGCCTTACATGACTGCATTCTGAGAAGCTAATTTATCGAGCCACTGTATAGCAGTTGTGCCCAGCAACTGGTAGGAGGGATAATCAACGCCATTGACGCGGCACACATGCAAGATGTGATGCGCAAGACCAGGGCCATCCACCACGACATCTACGCCTCGGAGCACAGCATGCTGGGCGTATGGCTCGAGCGTCGATATGAGATGCGGAATACCCATGGTCCGCTAACAAGGATATGCGCCTCCTCAGAGTGAGGCGAGCCAAGAGCGTTGTCGGTCGCCAATGGGGGAGGTAGAGCCGAGACAAGCAGTACTGGCTGGCATCTATCAGTACAGAGACCGCATGACAACTGTCGCGTACGAATATGCTTTGTGTCGAAGTGGAGGCAGCACGAGAAACAAGGATTTCAGAACTCTCACTGCAGGCGTCCTATCAGGAAATAGTAGAATGGTTTTTTGTCTGGAGTCTAGACAGGGGTCCAAAGCCACCGTCCCACCGATGGCGGGGGCAAATTCGCACTGTATTTTGAGTGCTGTAGGGGAAAGTATAGCGGACTAACGCGACAACGAGTCGCGAAACAGGGCTAGCCAGGCCAAAGTGCTGGCCACAATCTTCGCACCGTGCCCCATAGCAACTGCTGGAAAAGCTTTTGGTGGCAGAAAAAAAACTCCAGTCCATTGTTTCTCGTCCTGCCTCCATCTCAGCTTCATTGTGTCGGTCCATGCTTATGGCGTGAGCTCGTCAACAAAGACAATGCGCAACACGCTCATCTTTGCGGGCAATTCGTGCCCAGTTCTCACAAAGCAGATTTGTGTGAACTTGGGCATGCAACCGGCCGACGCAGAGCTGACTCAATTCTCCAATGTGAGCTTCCCAGCTCGGCTTTCCACCGCCGACAGGTCGTGCGGGTGAGGCTAACCTCTTGGTCCAAAGGGCGAGACGAGCGTGCGAATTCTCACTAGTGTTCGAGAAAAGGATGTCTTCGTCGTCCAGTCGGGTAGCCCCAAGATCAACGACTCCATCATGGAGTTGCTCATCATGATCAATGCTTGCAAGGGTGGCTCGGCCAACAAGATCACAGGTATGGATTGAATCAATCGAACTGCCAACTTGTCAAAGTGTTTTGTGTTGCTGACAACTGCTGCTCCTTTCTAGCGGTTTTGCCGTACTTCCCATACAGCCGCCAGTCCAAGAAGAAGTCGCATAGAGGCGCTATCACTGCTCGCATGCTGGCCAACCTGCTTAACGTGGCAGGCGTTAAGCACGTCATCACGGTCGACCTGCACGCCTCGCAGATGCAGGGCTTTTTTCGATGCCCGGTTGATAATCTCCATGCTGAGCCTATCATTGCCAACTGGATCCGCCGCAACGTGCCACAGTGGAAGGAGGCCGTTGTCGTATCGAAAAATGCTGGTGGCACGAAGCGTGTGACGTCTCTTGCCGATGCTCTCAAGCTGAACTTTGGTATGGTAACTACTGACCGAAAACGGACTACCAACATGTCTCAGAGCATGATCATGAACCGCTTCGATACCGAAGACCGTGCCCCTGCGTTGGAGACATCGACCTCAGCCAGTATCCGTCTCAATCGTGATGCGGAGGAGGTCTTTGCCTCTCAGCAAGCGCAGGCCAAGCAAGCAGTCATCTCGGCTGACTCCCAAGGATCACCTCAGCGGTCACACGCAGCTGCCGCGAGACTGGCAAGTGGGAACGTGACCCCAACTCGAAATGGCAGCATCACGCCGTCTTCCAACTCGACCGGCCAACCTGCTCAGGACGAAGATGGCTATGACGATCATAGGCCTCAAGAGGTTACTCGCGGAAGACTTGTTCACGGTCATGTTGTTGAGGATGATTTCCCTTCCCCCGAACAGCAGCAAAGCGACGCCGAGGAGGACCCCATGGCCATGTCGCGTGCCTCTTCCTTTTTCGTTCCCGAAAAGCAGGCGCTTGGTGGAAGCAGTGATCCCACTGCCAGTTCCGATGAAGAGGACAATGTCTACCAGGATACCAAGACCGAGCACATGATTACCCTTGTGGGTGATGTTAAGAACAAGACGGTCTTCATTGTGGACGACATGATTGACAAGCCCGGATCGTGGATTGCCGCCGCTGAGACAGTCGTCAAGCGCGGCAGAGCCAAGAAGGTGTACTGCATTGCCACCCATGGTCTGTTTGGTGCGGACTGTCTGGAGCGGCTTCAGGCGTGCGAGTGCATCGACTCGATTGTTGTGACAAACAGTTTCCCCATTAGCCAGGACCGAGTTAAGGGCATCACCAAACTGGTTATTCTCGACCTGTCGCATCTTCTTTCGGAAGCCATCAGACGCAACCACTACGGAGAGTCCATCTCGCCTCTGTACCAGCACACGGACTAGGTCACTCTGCTTATAAGCAGAGCGTGGTGACGTGTTTATACACTGGTGGCTCACATTGATTTGACAAGATGAAATGACGTCTTTATTGCTTTTTTATCACTAGCGCGGCGTCTTTGGAAGGTATTTTGCAGTTGCTCGCCGTTTTATGATTCGCTTATTTCTTTTTGGTGAGCTGCAGGTAGAATGGCAAACATTAGCTGTTTTCCAGTTCCCTCCATTGCAGCTCCCGTGAATTTTTTCCTTACGTGAAGAGAGTCTTCTGCAAGCTTTGCAGTCTTTCGCGTAGATTTTCGAAAGAAAGTCTGACAGGAGCGCAGAACTCTTAAATTAGACACATGCACATACCCCCCGGTGGTGCTGCCACTTTCGGCAGCAAGGGCCTGATTCATCTCAGAATGGGCTCTTAACGGAACATCGGTAGATTGAACTCTCGTTCTTAGAAGGCCCCTTACTCCGGTCATCTTGGTGGCTTTGCCTTCGGGCGCGTGGGTGAGGGGCAAGAGAAATTTTCGAACATTTATACGTGCACGTCTGTAAGTTGTAGTTTCTCCTTTATTTTCATGTTGGCACATGCTGTTATTCAATAACAATTGTACATTTCTATATTTGAGTTGTAATGTGCTTTTCCTCCCATTTAACTTGTCTAATAAGATACCTCTGCTGCCTGTCTGTGGCAAGTCAACTCATGCAGTCTTGCGGTACATATTGGCAGGGCCAGTGCCAGCCTACGCATTCCATGTTAGACGGCTGGTGTAGTCATTTTGGGGGTTGCTACTGTTGCTTACTTGGACCGTGGGGAAGATGAGAGAGTCGGCAATAACAACGTTCTGGCGGCGCGTGACATTGAAGACGATGACCTCAGCAATATCTTGAGCGGTGAGAGGCTCCATGCCGCTGAAGCGCGTGGTTAGCATTCGAAGTTCCAGACGAAAAGCTACTAAAACTAAGTATCGAAGCGCCAGACTTACGCATAAGTAGCATCGGCCTTGGCCTTGTCGCCGCGGAAGCGGACAACGGAGAATTCCTGATTTCGACAGGGGTTAGCCAGAGATTTGGTCGTCTCCTACGTGCGCGGCCTCACACGTCAGAGAGGGGGGTGGCTGCACATACGGTCTCGGTCGCGCCGGGGTCAATCTCCATGACGCGGATCTTGGTGTGGATGGTCTCGCGACGCAGGCTGTCGGTGAAGCTGCGGACGGCGGCCTTGGTGGCGCAGTAGATGGAGCCGCCGGCGTAGGGCTCGCGGCCGGCGATGGAGCCGATGTTGACAATGTCGCCGGCGCCGCCGTCCGGGCGTGCAAAGAAGATGGGCAGGACGGCCTGGGTGACGTTGATGAGGCCGGTGACGTTTGTGTCGAACATGACGTTGATGTCGTCCTCGGCAATGTTGCCAGCGGTCTCTACGCCGCGGACGCCGCCACTATTTATTACCTCTGTTAGCTGTCTCTTCCTTGTTTTTCTTCGTAATTTTGATTTCGGTCCATCAAGGGGCGCGCTCACGCATTGTTGACGAGAATGTCAATGTTCTTGAACTCGTCCGGCAGCTTGCCCACAAAGGTGCGCACCTCGTCGGGCTTGCTGACGTCGAGCTGCAGCGGCAGGATCTTGACGCCGTCGCCGACCTGCTTGGTGATGGCGGCGGCGATCTCGTGGATGGTGTCGACGCGGCGCGCGGCGAGGATCAGGCGCAGGTCGTGCGGCTGGGCGAGGGCGAACTCGAGCGCGCAGGCCTGGCCGATGCCGGCCGAGGCGCCGGTGATGAGGATGGTCTTGCCGGCGAGGCGCTGGCCGGCCGAGGCGGGGACGACTTGGGAAGAGGTGGACATGGTTCGCGTGCTGCTTGGGTGTCGGGAGGACCGGTGCGAGATTCGGAGGCAATTGATCGCGAGGAGCGGTGCGGCGGCGGGCCGTGGTGGGAAGGCGGGCAGGAGGGCGGGTGCTCGCGGGGTTTTCGGTATTGCGGGGTGCGCGGAGGGGTTGGAGGATGTCGACACTAAACGGTGCAATGACGAGACAGCACTGAGGAAGAGACTGGGGGTGCTGCAGGATCGAGGAAGGGAAACGAGGAGATGAGCTGAGCGTGATGAGAGGCTCATGGAGGGTGAGTTGGTGGCCCGGGTTTGGAGGTCGGTCAATGGCAATGGTCGATGTGGTTAGTTAAGGTTCGACCTCTTCCAACTGGGACGACTTCAGGCAGTGGGGATCGCGTTGGATACAGTACTTCGCGCCAATTCAGCTGTAAAAGCATCGACTTTGGCGAGGTTCGGTGGATGCCGAAATATTGTCTTGTGATTTGGTTTTGAGTCAAATATATGCAAGCAATATTTCAAGTCGGCGCCGAGCTTTCAAACGCTTCAACTCCGTTGCTATGATGTAATTGTAGAGTTGAATGAAGCTCCTCTCTGGTCAAGGCCACGCGTAGGCTGGTACGTAGCTCTCATCTAAGTCTTTAGTCGCGGAAGATGATATAAGACACTTTAAAGCTGCTAGATTCTCCCAGAGTATTTGCTTTCCCTTCTTCTTCATTTTTGGTCTTTTTTTTTTCGTCGTCATCCTTCCCCTATTCACCGTTGTCGAATGCAGGCTAGCATCTTTTGCATACCATGTCAGAGGCCGGATAACTGTGGCGCCGACGGTTGGCAAAACACCAAAGTCTTTCAACTACACATCGTGCCCTACCTAATATCTGCCGAAGCACCTGCTGACCCCTTCCTCCATCGCCTTCTCTTTGCTCTCATATTCAAAAACTACCAAAATAGATTCTTTACCTCCAACATCAGCAACATCCACCGTCAGGCGCACATTGCTCTGCCAAAACGCCTAGCCACGTTTCAGCCGCCTCGTTCGCAACCTTGCCTGTGGCGGTGCGTCAATCAGGCCTCACCTCCCCTCTTAGCCCGTCCTAGCCCTGCTCAACTGGCAGTCGCCGCTTATTTATTGCAAGCATCTTACCCAAAAATCTCCTCTCCATCATGAATATCATCCCAACAGCGGCATCGCTTGCCGCGCCCGGCTCGCCATGTCGTCTTTCGCCTTCTCTACGTTTCAGTACGACCCGCTGCCGACACCAACAAGTATTCGCCTCTTGACGGTCCGCAACCCGCTGGCAAAAGCTTCTCCCAAAATCTGCGGCATGACTCTGCTGTCTTGCAAATTGTCCACAGTCGACCTCAAAGACAAGCCCAATTTCAACTGCCTGTCCTACACCTGGGGCAACCCGAACCCCCTAGACCAGACCGTGGATAACACCGAAGACCCATACGCTCCGCACAATAAGTGGCCCATTTCTGTCAACGGGCGCTTGTTCTTCATCACAAAGAACCTCTATGATAGTCTGTGCCAGCTTAGGGTGGATGAGTGGTCCGATGATGCTGAAGTCGACTCGCGATATGAGCCTTACCACAAGACCAGGATCATCCAGGCTGCCGAGGAGGGCAGATACGACGATGTTGAGGATTGCATCCGCCACGGCGCCAACATACACAACGTGGACTGCTTTGGCGAGACTGCCCTGCATTACGCCGCAGAGAATGGGCATTTAGATATTGTCGAGCTTCTCCTCGCCCACGGCGCCGATCGCACCGCCATTGACAGTACCGACCGCACGCCACTGGACTGCTGCTTGCAGCGCAAGCGAAGGCGCTATCTTGACATTGCTCAGATCCTGAAAAACGCTTCAGAAGCTTCTGCAACAGTCTCCGGTCCAGGAGTGCGACACCATCGATCCAAACCGATCTGGATCGACGCAGTCTGCGTAAATCAGCACGATGTGCGAGAGAGAAACACTCAGGTCTCCATGATGACACAAATATATGGCCAAGCTCAGTCTGTCATTATTTGGCTGGGTGGGTTTGACTCGGAGGCTGCCGGTGAGTTATTTCACTCGCTGCCCACAATTCTCTCTTCTTCAGCGGAGTGCTTCAAACGCTCCTGGGAAGCGTGGCACCGTCGTCGCAAAAACAATGAAAGGGATGAAGACGACGAAGAGGTACAGAATGGAACCATTCTCTCGTCTGAGAGTATCAACACTGTGCTGGACTTTGTTCGCAGATCGTATTTTCATCGAATATGGGTTCTACAGGAAGTTGCGTTGGCGCGAGATGTGCGAATCATGTTTGGTGGTGACGATCTTCCCTGGGCTGCGCTGTTCCAAGTCTTCCAATCCGCCATCGACTTCGAATACGTAGGTATGGACTACAACACTGCATTGCCAAAGTATCGCTACGGTGACATGGGCACTCTGGCTTGGTCGATGGCTGATGTTCGGCTTCACACACGCCGCACAAAACTCGAGGATAACATTGTCACCGCCCAACTCCAGTCTCTGCGCGATAACAACCACGATTTTGTGGCTATGGAAAGCAAGTGGTGGCACTCCAAACTGCCACTCGCTACGCTGATAGCGTTGACTTGGAATTTCGCGGCAACCGATCCTCGCGACAAGATTTTTGCGCTATTGGGTATTGCGCAGCCCGTCCCCGGCGACAAGCCCATTGTTGCAGACTATCACAAGACTATCACGGAAGTGTTTACGGAAGTCGGCAAGGCATACATCCAAGCAAAAGGGGACAATCGATATCAAGACTGGAGAAGCGGGGAGATTGAAGACTTTGAGCCACTTGAGGCGTTGTCCTTCATCCAGGATATCAGCGAATGCCACGAGGGTTGGTGCTGGGTGCGCCCGTTTGCCGACACCCATGACTTGCAGCCCCGGCCGGATGATCTGCCATCCTGGGTCCCATCTTTCCACTGGCCGCTCTCAACTCGGCGCCTCTTCAGCACAAAATTCCGCGCCGCTGGAACCAGCGTGCCGCACATCTACCCGTTCGATTCCGACATCCTATGGCTCGACGCCCTCATGGTGGATACCATCATCGACGTCGAAGTACAGCGCCACGATCCAGCGCGCTGCTTCTGCGGCACAGCCAACATCCTTGGGTGGCTCAGAACCATGGCCACCATCGACCCGATCTACCCGACGGGCTGTGACCGCGTCGAGGCCTTGTGGCAGGTTCTCAGTGCTAATTGCTACCTGAAGCGCTCCTTTCCCCTCACCGTCTACAGCTACGCCGAAGATCCTGTTGGGGAGGACTTTGCCGACTACATCAAGGACACTCTGCCCTTTGAGCTTGTCGAGCGCGGCCTCTGCGACGACGATGGCGTCCCGGACCCCACAATTGCCAGCTGGCTGCGCGACGTGTTTACCCAAGACGCTTCCGGCTCGTTTCCCGACGTTGAGGACGTCCTGGCGGCAGTCAAGCAGGCGAAGAAGGGGCGAGACAACGGCGACGAAGACAGCGACGAAGACAGCGACGAAGACAGCGACGAAGACAGCGACAACAAGTCGGAGGAAGAGAGCGAAGATGCGGATAATCAGAGGGACGGCCATGAGCAAGTGGCTGGACAGAGTGAGGGACTGAAAGGCGGTAAGAGAGCAGAGTCAGAAGCAGTCAGCGACGCGAACACCCTTGAGGCAATTCGATGCGACGACACCGATGGCCAAACCGAGAACAGCGATAGCTCGATCGAAGAGTTGACGCCTAAGGACGGAAGTGACGAGGAAATGGGGGCAACAGAAGAAAAGGAAGAAGAAGAAAAGAGTGATGGAGGGGGAACTCAAGAGGAGGAAGAGGAAGATGAAGGAGGTAACAGCGCCAATTCGTTTGCATACTTTATGTGGTGCGTCTGGCCACTTCGCCGCGTCATGTCCACGACCAAAGGCTACCTGGGCCTCGGACCACGACAGGTGCAACAAGGCGACCAAGTATGGCTATTCGCCGGCGGACGTACACCCTATATACTTCGCCCTACGAACTGTCCTGGTCAATATACATTCATCGGCGAGGCCTACATACACGGCATCATGGACGGCGAGGCTGCCGAGGGTAGATACAACAGCTTTAGACCAGTTCAACTCGTTTGAACCAGCATATCAGTCTTCAATGAAATTAAAAAACGACATTCCATAGAAATGATTTACTCTAGTAAGTCATAACAACAGAACCCAACCTATTCTACCTATGCGGCTCCATACCTATCATAATCATATCCAACCCTCCTACCTATGCAACCCATAACTATTACACCCAGCTCTCGTGCACGCCCCGGCCAATACTCGCATTTATAGACCACTTCCTTTCCCACGCATGGCTAGCTCCACTCAAGTTTGACTGGCTTCCTCTTTCATGCGGCGCTGTTCCTCTCTCCGCTCAGTGCATTGCCATTTAGTCTAGCGCTCTCTTCTTTCATAGTGGTTCGTGTCTTTCGGAGGCCCAGAACGGATACCAGTACGGCGAACAAGGATACTATGGTGGCCGTCGCCATAGCGGCCCGGAATGCTACCGCGTATGCTAATATAATAGCAAGTCGTTTAACTTCGTCGAATCCGCCCAGTCCTTTAGCTAACTCTTCAATATCTTCTGTTGAGACCTGCCCCCCCAGCTGCACTGTGATATACTTGCGAAGAAGAACAGAAGCGGCAGCAATGCCGAAGCTTCCCCCAAGTAACCTCCCTTGCGAGAGGAACCCATGCCCTACGGCTAGAAAGACGGAGTTAGAGGAGTCGATAGTGGTACAAAAAATGATTCTTCTTACCTCTCTCAGAGGCTGAAGCTTCCTGGTTGACCATCATGGTGGCTGAAGCGGTAGATAGCCCGAATCCCAGTCCAGCAAATACCAAGAAACCTTGTGCTTTAGCATCATCTTCACCGTCTTGCACTTTAGAGAGCAGCACGCACCCGAGCAAAGTGAGGCAGCAGCCAACCAAGTTAGTTTCAGAAAGGAAATTTTTACTTCTGCTCACTATTGCGCTGATAGCGCTCCCGAGTGCTGAAGCTCCAAGCATGGGAAGAAGTTGGAGCCCGCTCACCAAAGCACTTTTGCCGCTCACAACCTGAGCACGAGTCGGAAACATAAAGACGAGCTGAAGATAGGGATAACCTGTAAGCAAGGTTGAGAGGAATCCAGAGAGATAAAAGCGGTTTTGGAGTAATTTGACGGGCAGTGCTGGCAGAAGGTGTTTTCCAAAATGACCATTTTGCACAAGGTTGGCCCAAGCAATCGCACCATACCAACACACAAGCCCGGTTGTAACAGGAGCGATAAAAGTGGCGCGGTTAAAAGTGTAGTCAAAAGACACTCCGGAGTTTTGAAAGGCAAATACAAGAAGGACTGCCGCAGCAATAATGAGAAACGTGCCGAAGAAATCGAAGTTTTTCCACTGCAGACGCTTCGGTTGGTTATGCTGTTCTTTGGTCGGCCAGAGAGCTATGAGAAGAAAAAGAGATAATCCACTAATAGGACCGCTAGTCAAATTAGAGAGGAAAGATCAATTACATACGGTACTACTCACTTGATATAGAAGATCCAGTACCATTTGGTATATTCAGTGATCACGGCACCCAATACTGGGCCGAGGACGCCAGCGGAGGCAATGACCATGCCGATCAGTGAACCGATAAACTTGAAATATTTTGGAGGACATATTTCCGGCAGAGCAATCATGGTCATGGAGTATAAGCCTGAGACATGTTAGGAAATGAGAACAGCAGGTGCGGGATGTGAGGAACGGACCGGAGCCTCCGATGCCCTGAAGCGCTCGGAAAGCAATCAGCTGAGGAAGGGTTTTCGCACTGCCACTCGCGTATGAAAAAAGCACAAAAAACACATGTGCTACAAAAAAAGCACTGCGTCTGCCAATGACGTCCGAAATACGGGCGAAGGCCACAGCAAATCCGAGACAAGATAATGTGTAGGAGAGAGGGACCCAGTTGATAGCGGTGAGGTCCTCAAGGTCGTTTCCGATGGTATAGAGAGCTGTGGCCACAATAGAAGAATCCATAATAGACAAAAATAGACAAAGACAGATGCTAAAGAGACTTGTGTTAGGGTGATATTCTTCCGTCTTGGAGGCACAGTGCTTACCCAAGGCTGAGAAGCCAGAAGTGCATAGGAGATATCTCTGGCGGAGGCCTTGCTTCCCCTAAAGATGAGCTCTGCATGGGGATCTCTTCAACTGGAGGCGCTATTTCTGGTCTGGTACGAACAGAATTATCCATGTTGGATGAGCTTTTCTGTGGTCGAAGGAGTTGCGCAGGGAGGCGAGACCGCGAGATTTTCTGGTTATCAGTTTTGACATATGAATCAAGACAGAAGGAGAGCAGAATGGCTGTAAAACAAGCCCGTATGTATAAAAGCAAAGTCGGAAGAAGAGCAAGCAATGCTTGGGTCGGGCCTTGAAGGTGATTGAAGGCTGAGCGAGCAGAGCCGATTTCCCAGGTTGAGAGCGAACGGCCAAGATGTATAAGTGCGGTAAGGAGCGAAGGCGAGGAACAGAAGGAATAAATTTGTAGTACACAGGCAAGTACATACATAGGTACCAGGTAGATATTCGCAGCTCCGTTTGCTAAACGCAACCGGCGGACTCTGCTTGTGTTTAGCAGCTGGCAACCTGCCAGGTGGTAAGCGAGTGGCAGTCCCGCGCCTGCTCCTGGGAAGTAGAAAAAACCCTTACACTGGGCCAAGACAGAATAAAAGTCGACAATGGTCAGAAGATGAGTTTTAAGACAGACACTGGTATTTATTATATCTACCTAGGAGCTGCAGGCCAGGCACGAGGAGTACCAGCATGGCGTGGAGCTGAACAGCTAGAAGGTCCGCCGCGCACACTGAGAAATCGTGGACGGGTGGGACAATGAGATGATTTTGTTTAAATAGTTGGGTGCAAATCGAAATACCTCGAGTAGGTGCCTCTTTAGATGGGTGCCCGTCAACCGGTTTGACTGGAGGGGTCCCATGTCCTTGAGTTACACTCTACCTGCCGTGATTCACGCCGTGGCAGGGAGGGCGCAGGCAAGACCTTCAAAGAAAGTACTTAGCTACGGGCTACGCGATAGTTAGATGACATTATAGCATTACGGCTGCGCAACCCCTCCAAAATATAAACTTGCTGTAGTTGTGGAATGGCAGCCGCCTGTCATGCCCGGAGCTGAGCGTGTTGAAGATGCACAAGCGGCACAAGTGACTGTTTTGTCCAACACACCTCAAGGGGCCCTCCATAGTAGTTTACGTCAAGAACTCATTAAGCTGGACATCCTGACTACCTAGTAGTGCCTGGTGAAAGGCCATGGGTTGTACATAACTTGCTAACAATAAACGGAGAGGTATGGGTGGCTTGTCATCCGTAAAAGTCCTTTGCGTTGAGCACGGAAATGGTTATTCCTGCGGTCTCGTAAATGGCTCGATTAAAATTGCCACAGAATTCCCGTGAAATGATCCACCAAGTTTATCTTTGTATCAATCGTATCAACTTCAACTATGTCATCTTGCAGTCCTACGCCCTCATTATTTTAACGAGCACAGTGGGTGGCAGGCATTTGTCCCCTGCCGCCTAGGCATATCTCACCTCTCCTTGGTGTCTCAGGTGTTCTAGATATCCTAGGTATCTTAGGTATCTTTGGTTTCTTACCTCTCTGTCGCTTAGGCATCTTACCCCTATTATAGATGTCCCCTTCTTCAGACATCTCACCTCTTTTGAATACATCGCCTCTCTTAGGTATTGTAGGGGAGACGCCTAAGGGACAAATACGTGTTGCCACCGACTGTACATCAGCGACCACACAATGCTAGCAGCCAAGCATCATTCTCTTCTGTGCAGACGGCAAACTGAAAGTGCCATAAACGTCTCCTAAAGTAAGTGCTTCTGTGACAGATTCATTCGTACCAGGCGCGGTAGGAACAATGAGTAGAGTAACTGAGTTTTAGCTGTGTGCGAATAACCTAGGCACTGTGCAGACATGTTGCCATGTGCCACCGACAGGCAAGATTGACACTGTGCGGATTAACTGCCATAGGTACCAAGGCTGGCGGGCGGCTAGCTCACCACAGGCATGCATTACGCCCCGCCGGCTTGAGCTTCGTACAGAGCATCTAAATATCCTAGCAGACTTTGGTTCGACATGTCGCAGGCGGTGCCTCCACAGGGAGGCCCGACGGAGAAGGAGAGAAAGTACGATAGACAGCTTCGCCTCTGGGCTGCCTCAGGTCAAGCCGCCCTCGAGTCGTCCAACATCCTTCTCGTCAACTCTGGCCCTGGCACTGTTGGCGTCGAAACGCTCAAGAACCTTGTTCTTCCAGGTACATTCAAATTCCCCGAGGTTTTGTGAACCGCGGTAGCTAACCGCGCCTCCTCGCAGGAATTGGTCAATTCACCATCGCAGACGACGCTGTTGTAGAAGCCGCCGATCTTGGCGTTAACTTCTTCTTGGACGAGTCAAGTCGCGGCAAGCCCCGCGCCCAATGTACCACCGAATATCTTATGGAACTCAACCCTGAGGTCTCCGGGGAATGGTACCCCAAGTCACCAGTAAGCGGCCAGCCGTCTCATGTTCTTCGTCATAGCTAACAATTGGGCCAGGGCAAGTTGGACATTCAAGCTGTGCTATCCAACGCGAGTCCATATACGATTATACTATACACGCTACCCTTACCGGCCGAGACAATACAAGTAATCGAGGATTATGGGCGCCATCACAACATACCTTTGGTGGCCATCCGCTCCGTCGGCTTCTACGGCTACTTTCGTGTTACTCTTCCTGGTGTCTTCCCAGTTGTAGACACCCATCCCGACGAGACGGCAACGGCCGACCTGCGGCTTCTCACTCCATGGCCAGAATTGTCGCAGTTTGCACAGGAACTAACAAAGGCCATGGATGACTTGGATGATCATCTCCACGGACATTTGCCTCTCGTGGCTATCCTGCTGCACTACCTCGATATTTGGAAGCAAAATTACGATGGTTCGCTTCCTACAGCCTACGCTGACAAGATTGCATTCCGGAATCTTGTTTCTGAAGGGATGCGAAAGGACAATGCAGAAGGAGGCGAGGAGAATTTCGAAGAGGCTGTTGGTGCTGTTATGAAGCACGTCACTGCGCAGTCTCTCCCTGGCTCTTTGCGTGAAGTTTTTGAATACGACAACGCAAAAAAGGTGACTCGCCCGAACACATTTTCTCAATATCTACTAACAATGTTCTAGACAAGGTCCTCCTTTTGGATAGTTGCAGAAGCAGTGTCGCAGTTCTATCAGAAGCACGGTCAACTGCCTGTTACTGGCGGACTCCCTGACATGAAGGCACAGTCAAGTGTCTATATCCAACTCCAAAACATTTATAAGAAGAAGGCTCGTCAAGATGCTGACGAAGTTTTGACTATTGTTCAGAGCCTTGCGGGTGACCTTGCAGTCGACCGCACCGAGGTTGAGCAATTTTGCAAAAACGCAAGATTTATAAAGCTGATAAATTCTGCGCAAGTTGCGCCAAAGATGGAAGACATTGTCGGTATGTGCAAAATGGGTTGTGCCAAGCAGAATTCAGCTAATGCAATCGCCTAGCAAATGAGCTCAGCCAGGACGAAATCGCCGCCATTGCCGGGCCCGAAATGCAGTCGTCTCTAATATCCCTGTATCTTGCTCTGAGCCTCACGCCGAACTCATTTGCGCCCTCCGCAGAAGAAATGCAGAAGGCTATATTCACGCACGCTCCAGCGCTACAGGGTCACGACAGAACGAAGCAAATCACAGAAGAAGTAGCACGTGCGGCAGGAGGCGAAATACACAACATTTCAGCTGTCCTCGGAGGTATGGTAGCTCAAGAGGTGATTAAGGTGGTGACCAAACAATATATACCGGTAGATAATACCTGCGTTTTCGACGGCATTGAAAGCCGCTGCCAGGTACTGCGTACATAGGAGAGAATAGATCTTGCGAAACTCAAGCTCAAGAAAACAGGTAGTGACAAATTAGGGTTCGTCTTGAAGTGCTGTCTGTCACCGATATTCATTCAGGGCTTAGTCAAGTTTGGCTGCATGTTGGCAAGTTGCGTGCGCCTGACAGAGGTAGGAGGTGCGATGGCGGTCGTGATGGTCCCCTCGCACTGCCTCTGAGCAGGCACATCAAACACAATCCGCATACGAGCACCCGTCAATTCACAAACACCAACCGAACAGCCAAGGACATGGACTTGCCTCTGACTTGCAACAACTTAAAATGCAGAGCTGAGCTCAGCGATCGTGCGCTAGTAACGACGTGCAGGTATGCCATACGCACTCGCTTCTGTTGCCTTTGTTGCCATCTGAAACTAATCAATGCCAATGCAGCCACATCTTCTGTCTAGAGTGCACGAATCGCTTCTGTCTCCCCGGGCAGGATCGGCAGAACCGAGTGCCCTGCCCGGCCTGCGACACGCAGCTGGCCAGCCCAGACGACGCCGTGATATCGAACCTGAAGCCGTCCGAGGCGTACAAGACGAGCATACTCAGCGGGCTGTCGCCCAGCATCATCATGGAGTGCGCCGGCCGCGCGCTCAGCTTCTGGGCGTACCAGACGACGCAGAACATCTACTACCAGCAGTACCTCTACAAGACGCTGACGGAGAAGTACGCGACGCTCAGCGGCCGGCTGGAGCAGACGGTCGGCGAGGCCAACGCGCAGATCGAGACGCTGCAGCGCAAGATTGGCGCGCTGACGACGGACAACGACAGCGCGCGCAAGAAGAACGAGGAGCTGTCGAGGGCGTACAAGGAGAAGAACAGACAGCTGCTGCAAACGCAGGAGCTGCACGACAAGCTCCGGCACACGGTGGAGATGGGCCACATCCAGCGCGCGGCCACGGATGCAATCGATTCTCGATTTCAGCAGCAGCAGCCGCAGCAACCGTCGAGACATTTTGTGGCACACAATACCGCGTCGTTCAACAATAATGCGAAACCACGACCCGGGAGTGTGGGAGGGTTCCGCGGGTACGGGACGGCTGGCGATCCGGAGCGCATCTCGGAAGGTGGAATCCGCGGCGGACTGATTGACACTGGCGGCGGCGGCGGTCCCTGGAGACGAGATGGTTCTGCGACAGGTACAATGACAAATCCCCTTTTACTACAGCTGGTAAGGAGGCTAACGCATCTGTTCAGGCCACGTCTCCAACGCTCCCGCTACGTTTTCGCGTTTTGGAGCCAGAGGGCTCCTGGACGGAGAGCGCGGTTTGGGGATGGGACACGCACCGAACAGCGCGGAGCGAAGAAGACATGTAGAGATGGGTGGTCCGGGAAAGCATATGGGAGGGCTCAGTTCGGGAATCAAGGTCAGTCAGCCTATGAGCAACAGCGGACTGCAGGAAACGACGGGAGGTGGTTTCATGGGTTTGCGGAATATTTAGATGTCAACGTTTTGTCATGTCCACTTGTGTCATCTTTTGTATGTGTACCTACCTGTATTATCTTCTTTCGACTGGAGTATTGAAGAGTGAGAATTGCAATGGGAACGGGTTATCGTTTCGATGACATCATTGTGGAAGCGGAGGAACGCTTTTAACAAATCGGCGTCGTCAATTTACCGTGACCGGCCCAGTTAGGGCATTAAGAATAACAAATTTATACCATGAAGAGGCAGCTACGTTTCTAGTTTTACTTGAAAGTTTTTCAAGTAAATTGGCCGTGACGCACTGTAAAGTCCAGCTGTCGTTGAAGCTCTCTTACAGCGCCGATCGAGCTCCGTTTTAGTTGACCTAGCGCCAGATCATATTTCACGCAGCCAAACTTGATCTCAACCACCAAACATCAACAACCCTTCCAACTACAACCACCAAGGCAGGAAAAAAAGGACTACAGCTCAAAAAGGGGAAGAATCATGGCCACAGACGCAGCGGCCCTCATCGAGTCCGCCAAGAAGGCCGCGGCCTACCGGGCCGTCGACGACCACCTGCTGCCCTCGCACCGCTTTGTCGGCATCGGCTCCGGCAGCACCGTCGTCTACGTCGTCGACGCCATCAAGGCCAAGGGCGCCGCCTTCCACGGCCACATGACCTTTGTGCCCACCGGCAGCCAGTCGCGGGGCCTCATCGCACGTGCGGGCCTGCGCGCCTGCGGCCTGGAGGACCGCGGCGGCGGCAGCGCGGACGGCCGGCCCGCGGCGCTGGACGTCGCGTTCGACGGCGCGGACGAGGTTGACGAGGAGCTCAACCTGATCAAGGGCGGCGGCGCGTGCCTGTTCCAGGAGAAGCTCGTCGCCGCGGCGGCCAAGAAGTTTATCGCCGTAGCAGGTACGTCGGCCCGTGGTTGAAGCAGTAAGGAATGATGAAAAAAAAAAAAACAGCTGACCTGGAGCAGACTCACGCAAGCAGTCGCCGCGGCTCTGCACAAAGTGGAAGGCGATCCCCATCGAGGTGCTCCCCATGGCAGCGCCGGACGTCCTCGGGCGGCTCGTGGACATGGGCTCGACCGGGCCCGCGGTGCGCTCCGGCCTGCCCAGCAAGGCCGGCGAGTGCGTGACGGACAACGGCATGTGGATCGTCGACGCGCCGTTCCCGTCGCTGCTGCTGCCGAAGGACCTCAAGGATGGGCAGGACGGCGCGGGCAAGGACGGCGTCTGGGAGGTCGGCAGGCTGGCGGACGCGCTGATCCGGCTGCCGGGCGTCGTGGAGATTGGTCTCTTTTACGGGTGCAACGGCGACGAGGCGTCCAAGACAAAACAGCTGCTGCCGGCGCAGAAGCCGGTGGCGGCGTACTTTGGCCTGCCGACGGGCGAGGTACAGGTGCAGAACGCGGCGTAGGGGGGCATGTTTTCGACAGCTGGTATGATGGGATGTTTTTTTCCCCTTGCATGGGTTAACTTGGATTTACTTTATAGTATCATAGGAATCATTCTGGGAGATGCACAGATGGCTCCTTCGTAGATGCTATGCAGGGCTAGGACGACTCCCGTTGCTGCCTAGTAAATGGAAGAAGCACTTAAATACCTGGAGGCAGGGGTGTTTATTCTGGTGTGACGTGTTTTCATTCTTTTCTTTGTGGTCTCTATTCGTCTCAAACCAAGCCAAGAGCATTTAGACGTGATTAAAACATGCCGAAAGTCTCAACTTGAAGCTGTCTCAAACCGAACTATGCCATCGGAAAGATGGCCCTTGAGCTTTTCATCCATCCGTGCATCCAGGTGCCGCCTCACCGACTACATCCTCCGCCCCCCAATATACCGTTACGAATCCGAATACAGGGACCGCTACAGTCAATAGAGAAGCTACTGCCAAGCGCAAACTTTCAAAAGATAGTGCCCTTTCCGCAGCCCGGAGCTATTGAACTTGCGAAGCTTGCCCACGAGGCGCTCTATGGCAAAGAGGTGCACGCCAGGACCGGTCGTCACCTGGTCGTGCGAGATGAGTATTTGGCCTGGGCAATGTCTGGAAGGAGGCCGCTGGAGTAAGAATAAGATGAGTTCATCTTCGAGTACCAGAGCTGATTCGATATCACCAGCTATATTGACTACTACGGGGTCACATTTGACCACCTCGTTGGCGCAGACGATGCCGACCCAGAAGTCTTGATGATGAATATTATTGAACTTGGCTCTGGCGGAGGCGTCTATGCCGATGGGGGTTTGTACGCAAATGAGGTGCTCCAATTCTCGGTCAATCCATCCGACTATGTAGGGACGAAGGTGCTGGTTGTGCCGAGGTGTTGTCAACATAAAAAAGGGACCCAGGATCGTCCGCTTACGAATAACCTGGTAGCAGAGAGGGATGCAAAATTGCTGTTCATCGCAGAGATAAAACAGAATTAGTGAAGGCTTGAAAGGATGAAAGACAATGTAGTCGGGTGTTCGAAAAAAGATCTATAGGTGATAAACAGCTCGCCAGGCAACATTCAGGCTGCACTACCCGGGAGACCTAACATCAACTCTGGCAAGTTTTGGATGGTGTGGTGGGAGTTTTCTTTCCTGAAAGTTTTCTATGATAAATATTTTCTGCAATAAAGATGTTCTATGAGATTCTGAGATGACATTGCGAAAGGCAATGTGCTACCGTCCGTCTCAGCCACGTATTAAGAAGAATATTCGGTATTCACGTTTCCGTCCTGTAAAGGCAGCCTCCCTCGAGCAACTATTGTTTTGACAAAGTCTTTTCCAGAACAACGAAATACAAATCGTCATGCAGCGCCTTTCCATTCACCAACAAGTCATACGGAAACGGCTTCGTCCGCTCCGTCTTGACGTACCCCCTGCGCCCATAAAACCCAATGACATCCTCCCTCGACGCAATCACGCACATCTCCGCGCTCCGCGCCCCGTACTCGCGCCGCGCAACCTCCTCGAGATGCGCAATGAGCGCCTTGCCAATCCCCCGGTTCTGGATCTCGGGCACCACGGCCACCATGCCGATCTGCACGGCGGCATCGGCGGCGACGATCTCGGCGCAGCCCAGCAGCGCGCCGCCGTCGCCCTCGTCGAGCGCCATGATGACCTGGGTCCCCGGGTGCTGGATCTTGGCGACGAGGCCGGCCTTGGAGATGCGCTCGTCGGTGAAGAGGTGCGCCTCGGTGGTCCAGCCGGCGAGGCTGGAGGCGCCGCGGAAGGCGGACACGACGAGGGCCCGGACCTGGGCGACGTCGGCGAGGGAGGCCCTGCGGAACGAGAGCCGGTCGGTGATTTGGGTGGGTGATTGAACGGTCATGGTGATGATGCCCTTTTTTGTTCTTTTCTTTCTGTTGTTCGTCTTTTGCCCGCACGGTTTGCAGTTGAGTCTGATGTTGTAGGCTGTTATAGACCCGAGGTGGCGTGACCGACCGTCTTTTACATGCCTTGCAGGTCGCAATCGCCTCATCTAGGGGTCGCATTGCTTAACCAATCAACTCGTCTGTGCATGGACTCATATTGGCAGGGAAATCCCGTCGCCACACCATGAAACAAATGGTCTGGTGGTGACCGAGTCAAGCAAGCACCCGAAAAGGGCAAAAGTGCCGAGGCGGCCCCTGGTGTAAGTTATTTGAGTTGAGCCGCCTAAAGAATCCCCATCGCGGACGTCCGAGTAACTATAATGTGTAACAGCGCTTGATCGGGTCATCAACGCGATAAACGACCCGGCAGAGGCATAACGAGTTCCTCCGGCGTTTACTTCCCGCACGGGCGCTCCACGCCGGCGATCCCTGCAGACGGGCTTGAGCGTTTCATCGCACCTCAACCCACTCAGAGCTCAGACTAACGACAAATACACTTTGACGTTCTACAATGGATAGGAATATCGATGGCCAGGAAGCATCGCCAGGACGTTACGCGGAACTGCCGTAAAGCTTGTATAAAGAGCGCGGTGACCATCCACCGCGCTCTGGACGGACCACACCCGCTCAGCAGATCTCCTCCTCTTCCTCCTCCTCCTCCTCGCTGACAATTCACTCCCTTTTTTGCGTCTCCTGTCCACATCGCCATGTCCTCCGTCAAGACCCTGACCCTGACCAAAACCGCCTTGCGCGCGGACCCTCCCGCGCCGCCCGGCGCCGAGTCTCGCATCGCGCAAAAGTTCGGCGGCCACTACGCCGGCGACTGGATGCGGCGGCTGCCCGCCTCCTGGACACCCTACATCCAGCTCGCGCGGCTGCACCGTCCCCACGGGCTCGTCGTCGTCAGCCTCTCCCATCTCTTCGGCCTGCTGCACGCCGCCTTCCTGCTGCGCGCGCCGGCCGCGGAGACGCTGCGCGTCGCGGCCGTCGTGCTCGCCGGCGCGCTCTTCTGCAACAGCGGCGCGCACGCGTGGAACGACCTCCGATCCTGTACTACCCGTTCGCGAAGCGCCAGATGTTCGCGCCGCAGCTGGTGCTGGGCGCCTGCATGGGGCTGGCCGTGCTGGTCGGCGCGGCGGCGATGGGGCTGGAGAGACCGTGGCAGGAGGCGTCGACGCGCTGCCTGGCGGGCGCGACGACGCTCTGGGTGGTCGCGTTCGACACCATCTACGCGCACATGGACCTGCAGGACGATGTGAAGCTGGGCGTCAACAGCCTGGCCGTCTTCGTGCGCGGCTATGCGCGGCCGGTGCTGGCGATGCTGGTGGTCGGCATGGCGGCGCTGCTGCACCGCGCGGGCGTCGTCGCCGGCATGGGCGCGGCGTATAACGGCATCGCGGTGGCCGGGTGCTCGCTCTGCGCCGGGGCCATCGTTGCGCTGCTGGACCTGGGCGACCGGGCGAGCTGCGGCAAGTGGTGCATTTTCGGATTCCGCTTCACCGGCATTTCCATGGTTACTGGCCTACTTGTCACCTATCTGGCCTCGTTGTAGAGTAGCAACGGCTACCCTCTCATTCTCATGCCGTGTGAATGGCCAACTCCGGTCAACCTCAGTTAGCACAGCATCCTCTGTGGTAGAACACATAACGTTACAAAGTCTTAATACTGTCCCCATAATAAAATCCATATCATCCCAGCCCAGCCAAAACATGAAACTTGACTCCTTTACACACCGGATGCTAATGTTGCACGCTGGGTCGGAGAACTAGAAAGATGAAAGATGCCGAGCTGAATTAAACTTCTGGCTCCACCGAGATCGACGTTTCATGCGCAATGCCGTAGGGCAGAGGATACCGGCCATTTATTTGTTGAACCGTTATGCCCACTAGGTTGTCGACATGGACATGGACATCGACAGACTAGGCTGGCGGCATCGACATCGACTGACTAGGCTGGCGACATCGACATCGACTGACTAGCTCAACGCCACGCAGATTCCATGTTGCACAGCGTATTAATTGTAAGGGGGGATCAGCGGTGGACTGTGCGATAGCCGGAACCAGAGGCTATAAATCGGCATCGAGGTTGGCCGCTTCTTATCGATGTTTCTCTTTTGGCGAGTCGCGCATCCCTTACCCCTGTGGAATAGTTTACCGAGTCGGTCTCATTTAGGCAAGAGAGAGTTTTAAAGAAGTCTCCGATTCATCTGAGCGTGTACCTTTAATAGCAAGGTAGCAGCTCGACAAGGATGGCGGTCGAGCCCAGCAAGCGCTCGGCCACGTGCGAGTGCTCGGCCCCTGTGCTGCCAGCCTTGCGCTTGACGATTAAAAAAAAGGGATGCTTTACGGAATTGTTGACTGATCACTCCTCGCTAGACCCATTTTGCACCATCACAAGGAGCACCGAGAGCCGGAAAGTGTTTATTCGTACATGGGCTGGCTGAGGGACCAGACGCTCAGTGTTCCCGGATCGCCTTCCGCCAGCATGAACCATAAGATGATCCCATGCGGTGTAACAAGCTTTCATACCCTGGTCTTGGCTGGAAATCGGCACGACATCGTGCCATTGTCTGGTCTGAATTGGCGCCGAGCCCATGCCATTCCAGGGCCCGTGTCTGGCGCATTGAGTCGAACCCGTCGACCGCTCTGGGCCGCGTCGGGTAATTTCTTTGGGATCGTTGTGAAACGATACGCTACGGTGGGGTCCTGGGCAGTCCGAGAGAATCATTTAACTGAAGTTTCAGGGAACCACAACGACCGACCAATACCCACCAGGCCGTAAGTTGCTCAGACGCTCGATGCCATTGTCGCCCGTCAGTTCGAGCCTCGGGCTTTGAAGTATGCTTAGACAGCCCGGCTCGGCTCAATGTTGCACGGCGTGTTGGCGTTACGTGAAGAGAATCGGGTAACGGAATGGTCACCAATCAGAAAACAAAGCGTTTAATGATAATATTAAAGTGCTCGTTTCTGCTCGGTGGCGTCTGTACGTGGCATGCAACTTGATACTTGCGCTGACGAAAGCCTCCAATGCTGAAACCCAACATGATAGACTCACGAGAAGGATTTCTAGAGCCCGTCGTGAGATTCAAGCAACTCCGGACACGCGTGTTGAACCCAACAGCAAGGAAATGCCTGCTGGATGTGGCACAAACCATCGACGATCTCGGCCGCGCAGCCCAGCTCAGCCAGCACCGCAACCTGATTGAAGCCCTCGACAACACCCTCAGCCACCAAACTCTCGCGGCCATTGCATCTGCGTCAATCCAGGACAGGGAGCTATGTTCCGCGTTCAGCGTCTACTTCACCACCCTCGAACAGGCTTATGCGTGGCCGCGCGAGAGCACTGTTTCGACGCCAAAGAATCTGCACGATCATAAGCTTGTGATGCAGATGCTATACCATGAGGAGTTGAACACTATATTGCCCCAAGCCACTGTCAAAGGTAGCCTCGGCCCTGACGACTGCCGTGGAGTGGCATACTCGGCGCTTACGGAAGCAAACCTGCTATTGAAGGCCGCCTCGGATGCCAAACACGCCAACACGCCTCTCCCGGCTGAGCAGCAGGACAGGGTGAATCTCCTATATCGGACGTGCACCCAGGATTGGTTCCTGCAAGGCGATTACCGTGACTCCGAATCCCACCGACAATTCGGAAGACTTCATGAGATTATCCACACAACGGGCACCCAGAGATCTGTCCAAGAGCTTTTTCAGAGATCCGCGACGAAAATGATGCAGCGACTCCCCGCCATGCTACACAACATGGAGACCGTGGAGGCAGAAGTTGCTTGCATGTTTGAGCATCTTCAAATTGATGTCAGCCTTGCACGCGGAGAGCTCTTCGAAATGGTCATTGACGAAGTCATATGGGGCCAGACGTTTGCCAAGTACTCGAAACCCGTCGGCTGGTCGACCATCGGTGCTGGTGGCGCCGACTGTCCCATGTTCCGCATGCTTGACGCCGTCTGCGGCAAGGCGGAGGATCCTCAAGGCGACACGCTGCTCGCTGAGCTGGACATGCGGACGCGCCACTTCCCGCCGACTATCCGCCGCCTCATCCACAGAGTGGCCGAGGCACCGCCCGTGCGGGCGTACATTGCGTCCGGCCGTGCCGGCCACAGACTGTCACAGGCGTTCCGCGTATTTCAGCAACTCTTGTACGACATGTACGAGATGCATCGGAAGAAGGCCTTGAGGATCGTTCTGGCGCTGCGGGCGGGCCAGCTGTACACCTCGTCGGGCACGCAGAATGCCGCGTCTCCAGAATGGCACATATCCAACACGCTTCGCAACGCAATGACGGTGCGGTTCGGTCGCGATCCAGCCGCGAGGCGAATTACCGCGAGAGCAGTCCCCGTCTATCGCAGGTGCTCGATTGGCGAGAATGTTGAGTCTGCCATCATTCGATTGGACTTTGAAGCGCCCGTGGCCCTGGCCGCAGGAGACGGGATGTCGGTCACAGTCGACAGCAAAGGTCTCGGCCTCCAAACGCGGACATACTCCATCACGAAAACATATCCTGATACAAGCTTTGACGTGGAGAGCGACGAGGACTTGCACCTCACAAAGTCTGTAGAAATTTGCTGCCGAAGAGCCGGTCTTGTTTCGTCATTCATATGCCAGCAGGACAGGCCGTTTGACGTCTCCGTTGCGCTCTCCCCTAGTCCGCACTTTCGGATCAAAACAAACAAGACCGAGCAGGATAATACTTGCTTTGTCGCTCAGAACGGCGCAGCTGGCATTTTCCTGGGCTGGCTATCTCGACGTGAAAGGCTGGTCGGCACGTACACGCTGGTGATTGGCGCGCCAAACCTGCCCTCCTTCATCTATACGGAAGACTTGTTGGCCACTATGAATAAGTTTGGTGCTAGGCTGAGAGTTGTATTGTGCCTGTCAAAGCCTGTCGATGAAGATCTGAAATTGAGGATGGGTGGAAATTGCCAAGTCTTTCCGGGTAGAGCACCGGGCGTGCTTCAAAACCTCGGCCAGCGCCGCGGCGTGCCTACCTATGTTTGCGGATCGTCAGACTTCGCGCTGAGTGTGGCTCAAGTGCTGAACCGCCTCTCAGAGGCTGGAAAGTCTCGCGGATATGGGCGGACGGGTGCGATCAATACCTCGCGCATGCCTGATTTACATGTTCATGTCGCAGCTGCAAAGCCGGGCTTCGCTCAAGCCCAGCCTCAGGACACCCGCATCATCTCTCGTTCCGAGCTGGCCACTCACAACACGCCGGGAGACATTTGGATTTCTCTAGGTGACACCGTGTATGACATATCGATCCTGTCCACGTTTCACCCGGGGGGCGAGAAAACACTTCTGTGCAGGGCAGGCCTAGATGCGGACAGCATGTTTGACTCGGTCCATAAAGGAAGCTATGAAGTCATGTCTCTCCTCGCGCCCATGGCGATTGGCCGGTTGGCAGACAAGGACAAGGACAATGCCGAGAGCGACGAAATTCTCAACATTCTCGTGCAGGCGCAGAACGACTTGACAAACTCGAGCCGCTTCGAACAGCGTCCGACTGGGTCAGCAGAACAACTGGAACAAGCGCCGCCGTCCGAGGTGGTGCGCTGCTCTCTCTCTCAATTTTGCAAAGTATGGAAGGCTCTGTTGGAAAAGTGCAACGCGTCTTGCCATTTGTCCGAGGCCATCGCATTAGAAATGGATGGGTTCGAAAAGCGGCTAGCAGAGAAGCAGGAGTCGCTATACAGGTCTGTCTTTCAAGACCAGGAGCAATGCGCGCGGGGACTTGGCGAGATCTTCGACGCGCATGAAAGCGCGGCTATCGATATTCATGCCGTTATTGATGAAATGAAACTGGAAGCGGCGAGGGTCCTATTATCAGAGGAGGACTGGAGGTTACTGTTGGAGAGGGGGACGCTAAAAGTCGCAGCGGTGCTGGGGAGCATGATTCGAGAGCGCAATCACAGCGGTTTGTATTTTGTTTATGCATTGTTGTTAATAGCCGGCGTGTCGAGTGTGATGTTCTTATGGATGGCCGACGTGTCAAGATCAAGACATCATAGTACAAATTAGTTAGAGCAAGCACAGCATGGTTGATCAGTGACAAGCCACAATTTGGAGCCCCTCACATGAAGCGAGCGATCTCGTATTTGGCAACCGCTGTGGCTGATGACTTGGGCCAAGATCCGGTTTCAGAGCAAAGGCCTTTTGTTTACGAGAATTTAGACGGGATGGATGTCACCAATATTAGCACAAGAGCACTAACGAAATAAACCAAGCCATGATTAGCCTTTTCATGCTGTTCTCAGCCACTGAATCATCCACGCGGCCCCACCGATAATGGCGAAGGATCTGCACTGTTGTGTGGCATTCTTGTATGTATTCGGTCTAGGAGCCGCGAGGGAATACGTAGTCTCTCGAGTTGTGGCTTGTTCCATGCCAGCGGCTGGCTGGCAAAAATATGCGAGCCTGCATTACTCGAATTCCCTCCACTTCAAGACTTAACTCGTCCATTCGCCTTCATTGTTCGTTCGCCAGGTTGCGACTCACCCTTACGCCCACTGAGGTAACACTCGTTTTACTTTTTTGAAAAGGCATACAACCATCCTCGCCTTGCTCTCGCTACCATTGCAGCCGTGGAACCAGCTGTCTTCCGCTGTCTTGTCGCGCCATTAATCATCGGCCTCGACACCCCTGATACCCGACTTAATAACAGTCTGCGCTCGACATCGCCGAAACGCCGCCCATCAGTATTATAATATCGCTCCGAACCGAGTTTAATCAATAATCCCATCACCGTATTACCCTCGCACCCCCTCTTCCCGAGCCAACGACAACTCGAATCCCTCATCCCCCCAATGCCACTATAATCCAGTCTGCGCCATGGGCAGTGGTAAAAATTGTACGTGCTCTTTGCGCCCCTATTGCTCTTACTTTCCTACTTCATTCGTTCCCCAAACATCGTACTGACAGTTGAATTGCCGCAAATACAGCCCAGTACGGCGTCGTTCTTGATGCTGGTTCCTCGGGGACGCGCGTCTACATCTACAAATGGAGGAACCCCTCAGCGCCGCCCAAACACGACTACGACGACGATGACGATGAAGTGCGATCGCTACCCAAGATACACCTCAAGAAGAACCACAAAATTCATCCTGGCATTTCCACCTTCGCCGACGCGGTAGACTCGGTTGGCCATGACCATCTACAGGAGCTTGTCGACGTGGCCGTCAGCAAAGTCCCGTCGCACAAAATACCCGAAACGCCCATCTTCCTCATGGCCACGGCCGGCGTGCGATTCCTGCCCGAACACAAGCAAAAAGCTCTACTTGGAGCCGTCTGCTCCTATTTCCGAGCCAACACGAAATTCCAACTGCCAGATTGCGACGCTCATGTCCAGGTCATCCCGGGCGAGACCGAAGGCCTGTACGGCTGGATTGCCGCCAACTACCTTCTCGGAGGCTTCGAACGGCCAGATCAACACCAGCACAGCAAGGGGCACCATACATATGGCTTCCTCGACATGGGGGGCGCGTCGGCCCAAATCGCCTTTGCGCCCAACGCGACCGAGGCGAAGAAGCATGCCGACGATTTAAAATTAGTTCGCATGCGCACACTTGATGGCTCTTCTGTCGAATACAAGGTGTTTACGTCTACCTGGCTCGGCTATGGCGCAAACAAAGCCCGCGAGCGCTTTGTCGAAAAGCTAGCCGACCAATACGAGACAAATGTCCACGAGATTCCCGATCCATGCCTCCCCAAAGGCCTTCGAACGACGCTGGAAGGAGCTACAATTGACTCGGTAGGAGGTAATCAACAGCAGGTGCTTCTCGGGACCGGAGAATTTAGCGAATGTATTCGCAAAACGTATCCCCTGCTAGGCAAGGACAAGCCTTGTGAAGACTCACCCTGCCTGCTTAATGGCCAACATGCCCCTGCTATTGATTTCGATATCAACCATTTTGTCGGCGTGTCTGAGTACTGGCACACGACCCATGGTGTCTTCGGAAAGGAGGATGTGGCCTATGACCTGGCAACTTACCAGAAACGGGTGCTGGAGTATTGCGGAAGAGACTGGTCGTCAATCAAAAATGGCATTTTCACCCGCAAAAAGACTGCTGAACAGAAGCTAGCCGATGCTCAGCAGGCCTGTTTCAAGGCATCTTGGCTTATTAACATGCTTCACGATGGTATCGGTATCCCGAGAATTGGTATCGAGGGCTCCGGCAACGGCACTCGCGCTGGCGCTGACGAAAATGGTTTCCGAGATCCTTTTCAGCCTGTTGACACAATCCACGACATGGAAGTGAGCTGGACGTTGGGAAAGATGGTCTTGTATGCCACGGGCCAAATTCCCGCCAGGGACTCAAAACTGCCCGTCGGCTTTGGCAGCAACGTAGCCTCTGGTGTTCCGTCCGATTTTGAACATGCTGGATCTGTGCCAATTCCCGTTGGCCCTAAGCTAGGGGGCGGTCATGACGATGACGACGACGACGACGTGCATCGCTCTTCGGGCTCAATCTTCCCGTTTCTGACGTTTCTGCTCCTCCTTATGGTCCTGGCGTACTGGCTCCGAAAGCCTGAGAGACGCCACAAAGTCCTTTCCTTTGGCCGCCGCTCACGCAAAAATGGGAAGGGTTCCCGAAGCTTCATCAATCAGCTACTGGGGCGCCCTAACGTCGCCTACGAGCGTGTCCTGGAGGAAGGTGAAGCGCCAGAGTTTGAGCTTGGCGGCGTGGACTCGGATGAAAACGACCACTCTGACAGCACGGAGGGCTCCAAGGGCGGGAGGAGCTCCGGGCTGGTCACGCCGAAGCTGAACCTTGAGCGGTTCGACGACTTCCGCATGCCGTCCACCATGGATCGCACGGGGCTGGTAGTGCGCACGGAGAGTCGCGAGCGCCTCGGGCCGAGCCTGCAAATGCTGAATGCCGGACGGCGCAGTCGTAACGTTAGTCCCACGCGAATGAAGAGTCCTCTAGCTGTTTGATTCAACGAAGGTTTTGGCGAACTTGTCTTTAATTTCTACATATCAAGAGCGTTGGCGTTTTTTTATTTCATATTTAATGCAGCAAATGTCATGCTCTCTCTTCTTTATTCTTAATGCGGCTCAATATTCAAGGAGCGACGAGGCACGTTGGTTGCAACTGCGGTATCTTTCTTCGTGGTAGGATTATTGCTGGGTTATACTCATATAGGTTGGATTTCTCCATTTGTATATCCGGGTTGCGCGAATGGGAACGCACGGGGGGGATTTCATAGTCTCAAGTACATAGATTGCCGTATTATACAATGCAAGAGCGCGCAGACCAAGGCCAAAACGGCAAGGATGCAGTAATCTGAAATAATGACGCCGCCGACAATTCAAAGAGATAATAATGTAGACGAGGAAAACAAATGCGCCGCGGGAACAGAAAGATGATGGAGGCAAAAAGAAAAGAATAAATGGCCACAAGTGCTAGTCGGATTGCCTTTCCAGGAAGCTGGGGTCGTTGCGCACGCGATTCTCAAACTTGCGCCACCACTCCTCAAAAGCCTTGAGCGGGACGACCTCGACGCCGCCCGGGCCGGCCGTGCCGCTGAATCCAGTGAGGAAGTTGAACGCGTTCTGTATGATGCGCTGCGCCAGCACCGCCGTCGGCGGCTGCTGCTGCTGCTGCTGCGTCGACCCGGCCGTCGCGCTCTTCTCCGCGCCGAGCTCCTGCATCTTGCGCGCCACGTCGGCCTCGGGCTCGACGGACACGCCGACGACTAAGCCGTCGCCGCCGCCGCCGCCGCCGACCTTGAAGACGGCGCTCTCCTTGCCGGGCCCGATCGCGCCGAGGAACTTGAAGGACTGCGGGGCGGACGCGGAGGCGAGGTAGATGGCGGCGGCGGTGCCGGGCGGGAGGGAGACGCCGGGGAGGAGGAACAACGTGATGTGGGAGAAGCTGCGGGAAGAGGGGAGGGCGTAGAGGAGGGAGGTGGGCGACGGCGCGGAGGTCGGGTCGGTGATGAGGGGCAGGCCGGCCGGGATGAGGCCGAAGAGGGGGCCGCCGCCGGACATGGTTTTTTTTTTTTTTTTCCGACTTGGTTCGGAGGGTTCGAGGAGAGGTCGAGGCTTCGAGCTGGATGGAGGATATATCGGGCGGCGGTGAAGATTAGAAGCTTGTTGTCGTGGAGGAGAGGAGCGTGGGGAAAGAAGAAGATGCGAACAGATAACGACGGTTGGAGCTGGTTTTTCCTTGCTGGCGGGGCAAGTACGGGAAGCATCCATCTAGCACCATCTAGAATGGCCAGGGTGGTGGTGTAACAGCGGTGGTGGTTGAAAAGTGAACGAACAAAGGAAGAAAAGGGAAATAGTTTGGAGGGCTGGTATTATGAAGGATCACTTGTATTAGAGATATTTATCAGATTTTACATCTGCAGAGGGGAGAAGAATCTTGAGCGTGAGCAAGTGCTAGTTGGTTGCGACTGAAAGGCCTCCAAGACATATCTTCTGCGAATAGAGTTCTCCAAGCCGGACCAAGTCATTTTGCATGATTTTGGGATTTATATCAGTTTGAAAGGTATGACAACGGGAAGTCGCTGCCCTCTTTCAATGCATGTCCAATGCAAAAGGAGCCCAACAGACTCTACTGTTAGTCCCTTGGTAGCTCAAGGGTAGTATGTAGGTATGACGATGGAGGGGTTGAATTTTGGTAGTGGCGGGGAAGGTCCGCGCCGCAAAAAGCATCTAGATCGACTAGGGTAGCTGGCAGCTATGACAGAAGGCACAGTGCCAGCCACGTACAGATGAAAAAGGAAAAGAAAAAAAGTCTGGGTTTCACAAGGCCATTGACCAAGTTTCTCGCGAAAATACGGCCATCAGTCCCCCCATCATGCAGTGGCTGCCGATCGTGGGTCAGCTCTCGCACTTCCCTCCGAGTCTCTCCCGCACCCAAGGCCGAACCCGGAACAGGTTGGTGGGGAACTCTGCCCCTCGCACTACGTAGAGAGCCCAAAGGTGAATGAATGAAGCTGCCCCTCCAACTTTTTTTTTTTTGTCTTGTTCACTTTTCTTCTTCTTCCTTTGCATCAATTCATCCATTTCCATCTCAAAGACACCTCAATCCCATCATGTCTCAGTCCGTCCTCATCCTCGGCTCCGGCTTCGTCGCCACTCCCGCCGTTGAGGTCCTCTCCAAGGCCGGCATCCACGTCACTGTCGCCTGCCGCACGTTGGCCACGGCCCAGGCCCTCGCCGGCAGCTACGCCCACACAAAGGCCGTGAGCCTCGACGTCAACGACACCGCCGCCCTCGAGGCCGCCGTCGCCGCCCACGACCTGACCGTCTCCCTCATCCCCTACACCTTCCACGCCGTCGTCATCAAGGCCGCCATCAAGGCCAAGAAGCACGTCGTCACCACCTCGTACGTCTCGCCTGCCATGATGGAGCTCGACGCCGAGGCCAAGGCCGCCGGCATCACCGTCATGAACGAGATCGGCCTCGACCCGGGTATCGACCATCTCTACGCCGTCGACCTCATCGAGCGCGTCCACAAGGCTGGCGGCAAGATTCTCTCCTTCAAGAGCTTCTGCGGCGGCTTGACCGCCCCCGAGAACTCGGACAACCCGCTCGGCTACAAGTTTAGCTGGAGCTCCCGTGGTGTCCTGCTCGCCCTCAAGAATAACGCCAAGTATGTCGAGGACGGCAAGATTGTCGAGGTCTCGGGCCTCGACCTCATGGACACTGCCAAGACCTACCATACCGGCTTCACCGGCTTCAACTTTGTCGCCTACGGTAACCGTGATAGCTCCGGCTACCTTGAGCGGTACGTATATGCAAACATGCCCAAGCAACCCCTCAACTAGCAGCCATTACTAACACGCCCTCTAGCTACCACATCCCCGAGGCCCAGACCTGCGTCCGGGGTACTCTTCGCTACGCCGGCTTCCCCCCGTTCATCAAGACCCTCGTCGACATTGGCTTCCTCGACGATCAACCCAAGGACTTCCTCAAAGAGGCCATCCCCTGGAACGAGGCTCTCGCCAAGGTGTCTGGTGCCAAGTCCGCCAGCGAGGATGACCTGGTCGCCGCCATTTCCGCCAAGGCTACTACCTTCAAGACCGCCGAGGTCAAGAGCCAACTCATCAAGGACCTCAAGTGGCGTGCGTACTTGTCACACCGTATTCCCGAGCTCTACTGACATTCCTCTAGTCGGAATCTTCTCCACCACAAAGATCACTCCCCGCGGCAACCCTCTTGACACCCTTTGCGCTACTCTCGAGGACAAGATGACCTTCCAGGAGGGTGAGCGTGACATGGTTGTAAGTGCATGATGATACCCGTAAAGCAAGCCATGTACTTACTTTTTAGTTCCTGCAACACATGTTCGAGGTCGAGAACAAGGATGGCAGCAAGAACACCATCTCTTCCACCCTTTGCGAGTACGGCGCTCCCATCGGCTCCGGTGGACCCTCCGCCATGGCCAAGCTCGTCGGTATTCCGGGAGCTGTCGGTATGTAGCACCACCATCCTCACTTCAAAGCAAATAACTAACGAGGAAATAGCTGTCCAGCAGGTTCTGAACGGCACCATCTCCGAGCGCGGCATCCTTGCTCCTATGAACACTAAGCTGAACACTCCCATCATGAAGGAGCTCGACGAGAAATACGGGTAAGTTGAGGGGCGTTTTCGATGCAGATAATTAAACTGACTCCCCGACAGCATCAAATGCACTGAGAAGATTCTCAACTAAGGCCAAAAGAGCTAGTTATACCCAGCCCGCAACTACGTTCCGACAGGCATGGAACAATGAACACATGAACCAAGTTTATAAAATAGTGCCAATTCGGGCAATGCGAGTAGGCAAGCCAGACTTGACTACAGAAAAGTCCAAACTTCTTTTTGATCTATAGACTGAACACAAAAGTAATGACATGATTTACTACATTTAGTGAGAAATAGACCGAGATGTATGTGAACATTCCTCGGCCAGAAATCACGTTTCGTTTTGTATAATTCTGCCATACCAGAGTCATGTACCATGTAAGGACTTGAATAAGCCCTCAAATTTATCTCTCGGATATATCCAAATAATGTGCCCTCACTGTCTTCCCAAGTGCCCGACATGCTTACCTGTTGACGGACCACCAACCTGGCAACTCGCAGCTCCACTCCGTGCCACCACTCAGCGGGACTTTGTGCCTCTTCTTCTGTCCCTGGACATCTCATCGCTGCCTTTGCCAGGTGTTTATAATTTTTGCATCGCACTACTTAAGAGCTGGTTCTATATTGATAAATTGCCTCTCACCCGAGGCAGCCGAGAGTTGTTACCGTACAGCTACATACAAAGTCTTGAGCGCAACCGCGGCCATGAAGTCGAACCTGGATCTTGTGAATGATACTGATGGGTAAGACCTATATCCGATGCTTGCAATCGTTCATCATGGCATTTCCAGTTGTCAAATCATACCTGTACCACAATACAATCACTTGCGCTGACTCTCGCAGCTTCCCCTATGGCGATGGCCCCATCACCGTCGACGGGCAGGGCCTCTTCACGCTGCTCTGGCGCGACGCCGGCGGCGACTACCCGATTGGCTACGTGCTGGACCGCGTGGTCGACGAGTTCGCCAAGCTGCCCGCCTCGCTGACCGGAAACATGCAGGTGGACCGGTCGGTGCGGACGCTGCGGATGTTCCACGACCTCGCGGACGAGCCGTCGCGCACCGCCGCCGTCGCAGCGCTGACGGCGCACCTGCGCGCGGCCGACACCTTCCCGCTGCTCCGGGGCTGGCGGGACGAGGCCTGGCCGGTGCACGGGCGGCGCGGGGGCGAGCTACTGTTCAGCATGGAGCGGGCGGCCGTCGGGCTGTTCGGGGCGGTGCGCTATGGGGTGCACCTGACCGCGTATGTGGCGGCCGGCGACGACGCGGGCCTGCGGGTGTGGGTGCCGCGGCGCGCGGCGACCAAGTCGACGTTTCCGGGGATGCTGGACAACACGGTCGCGGGCGGGCTGACGACGGGCGAGGACCCGTTCGAGTGCGCGGTGCGCGAGGCGGACGAGGAGGCGAGCCTGCCGGAGGCGGTGGTGCGCGGAGGCGCGAGGCTGGTCGGCGTCCTCACGTACGTGTACGTCACCGACGGGCCCAACAACGGCGAGGCCGGCTTCGTCTACCCCGAGGTCGAGTGGGCGTACGACTTGCAGCTACCCCCGGACGTGGTCCCGCGGCCCAAGGACGGCGAGGTGGACGAGTTTTACCTGTGTGACGTGCCGACGATCAAGCGCGACCTGGCGGCGGGCAAGTACAAGACGAATTGCGCGGTGGTGATGCTCGACTTCTTCATCCGCCACGGTTTGTTGACGGCGGAGGAGGAGCCGCAGCTGGCGGAGATTCAGCGGAGGATGCGCAGGGAGCTGCCGTTCCCGGGGCCGCACTGGAGCAACTGGAGCTGTGCATGAGCTCAAGGGTCACGCGATAGGTGATGCTGGAATTTTAGATTTTTTTAATTTAGAAAAATGACAGTGTCGTCTGACAAGAATGGAAAGACGGGACACCAGTATGCTGCAATTAGACCCAGGTAATGCCAAACTATAACGCCAATATCCTCCCCTCTTTTTGTGAACCTTTTCCTTCGTCGCATGTCGAAGACTCGCTTTTATTTCTTGATCAAAAGATACACATTATCGACGCGCAGAGGGGTGAGTTTCTTGACGGGACCCTGCAGCGACATGAGCAGACCGCCAAACGAGACGTACGCGTTACTGCGAAGCACATGAGGTTAGCAAAGTAAAAAAAACCGTCCACCTTCCCCCCCCCATCGTAGGGGGACCAGGGTTGAAGCTTTCAGGCTTACATGGTTGCGCCGTCAAATGTCTCCTCAAACTTATAAATCTTGCCGTAGCAGACGTAGTCGTAGAGGTCGGCGAGGGTGGCCGGGGCGTCGCCGCCCTTGCCGACGTCGCGCCAGCCCTTGTCGTCGTCGCGGGCGCCGTCAGGCGAGAGTGTGGTGCTGAGGACGACGTGCAGCGAGTCGGAGACGGCGCAAGGGAAGAGCTCCATGTTGATGTCGAGCACCATGACGGTCTGCGAGTCGCTCGACGTGCACGAGATGCGCGCCACCCGGTCGTACTTGGACTGGTCGTACTCGGTGATGGTGAAGCTCTCCTCGAAGAGGGTGGCGTCGCCGCCGGCGCCAGCGCCAGACATGGTTGTGGTCGTTGTTGCGGGGATTCGGTGCGGCTTAGGAGAGAAGGAGGGGGGCGGAAAGCGAGAGGCTAGGCGCGGCGGCAATTAGATCGTTGGGTATCGTTGTTTGGTCAAAAGTCCTGAGATGTCGTTGGTGTAGAGCGCCTGGAGGCGGCAGAAAATTAATCAGAGGGGCGGTCGCGGGGCGGTGCGCGATACTTGCATATCCGAGACTGTCAAGTAGAAATGAATGGCTGTTGTCTTCGATTTACTTATACTTTAAGCAAATTGAAGAGCAGAACAAAAAAAGAACAAATAATCTACTCAAACCAATATTTTAAACTTTCTAATCCTTTTTGGAAATTATTCGAGTCTCCCACCAATTCCCCCCTCCGAGCTTGAGTGGGCACACAACATCAACTCTGCCACCAGCTTCCAACGTCCAGACTTTTTGGAAGCATCAACAAACTACAATAACCTATAAGCCGCACTCCCTCGTCGATTTATTTCACATATTCCCGGCCCTTTACAATATCCGGCATACACACCCCGTCTTCACTCTCTTGGCGACAAGTTCGAGCTGCTCACTTAGAGCCCCGCCGCAGCATTCAAGCTCAAATTTTGCGCTGCCTGCCATGTCCTTTCGCAAGCGAGGAGTCGTCCTCGGCAACCCCCGAACGCCAGCGGTTGCCAAGGTAGAGAAGTCCCTTCCCGCAGGCACCCGTCCATCACCGCACGACGGGCGCCTCACCACATCGTCCGGCACGCAGTCGCTGGACCAGCTGCTTGCGGGCCATGCCGGCCTTCCCATGGGCACCTCGCTCCTGATAGAGGAAACCGGCACAACCGACTTTGGCGGTATGCTGTTACGATATTACGCCGCCGAGGGCTTGGCCCAAGGTCATCATGTTCACGTTCTCGGCTTTGACGATTCTTGGCGTCGAGAGCTTCCGGGCTTGGGCAGCGAGGCCAAAGAAAAGGCCGCCAAGCCTGAGTCGTCGTCTGACAGCAAAATGAAGATTGCTTGGCGGTATGAGACCTTAGGAAACCGAGTCTCGCCATCTAGAGGTGACTTTACTCCTGCCTATGTCTTGTTTTCTTCCCTAGTCACACCTCTAACTTGCTGTAGAGCCTACACAACCTGTCTCCTCTCAGCAGAGTGCGTCAAGCGCATTTTGCCACACATTTAACCTGACAAAGAAACTGGAGAGTAGAGACATCAAAGGCCAACTTTTTGGGTTTCCAATTATAAATGTCAATGCTGCTTCACAATCCACGGGGTTCTTTCGCGAGTTTCTTAACTCTGTCGCCGCAAAACTGGCCAGCACGCCGTCCTCTACGATCCACAGGGTGGTTGTCCCCAGTCTCTTGTCGCCGACGCTGTACCCGTCCTACGGATGCAACCCGCAGCAAGTCTTGCAATTCCTCCACGGCCTCCGCGGTCTCCTGCGCCAACACCACACCAGGCTGACCGCCATCGCCACGCTGCCAATCTCGCTCCATCCCAGAGCCAACGGCCTGACAAGGTGGGCGGAGATTCTCTGTGACGGCGTGCTCGAGCTGGTGCCACTTGGGCATCAAATACAAGTCAGCCGCGACCCGACCAGCGAGGATAAGGCCCAAGGTTTATTACGAGTCCACAGTCTACCCATCTTCCATGAGCGTGGCGGCGGCCTTGACGAGGGCTGGCGCCGCGAAGACTTGTCGTTCAAGCTCAGCGCCTCGACTGGTCTCATCATCACGCCATACAGCCTGCCTCCTGTGGGAGAGGAAGAGGAACAGGCCAAAGAAGCTGCCGAAGCTGAGAAGAAGAAAAAGTCTCTTGAATTTTAGAAACATTTCCTGTCAGTCGTTCGAAGTTCTGCCAACTGGATACATGCTATCGCCCCGCTATGTGCATATGGACCCTAGATGGATAGACCGCCTTCATATCCACTTCTGGAACCAAATAAAAATTTGGACCTGCACCTGCAGCTTCTTCGACTCTCACTTCTTCAACTAATCCCACGATAAACACTCGCGCAGGACGTGGGTGAGCACAGGGTAAGTCTTTCCATGCACTTCTTATTCTTGCACTTCTTGCACAATGCCTCTCCGACTTGCATCCCTGGGATCTACATGATTATTACCTTGAATATCTGTCAATCCACTGAACTTCTGTGACGACACATTCAAACATTACGAAGACGACTTATGACTCTTCCCACTCCAATTACCTTGTCACCCCTTCCACCAGATCTTTGTGAAAGATGCACACAGCTAACATGACATTGGTTTTTCTGGATCAGAGACGAATGACTGCCTTGGAGGAGGCGCCGTTGTCTGTGCGGATCGCCCGCATCGCCGGTCGATACCTAGTCTTCGAACACGAGGCGGCAGCCGCGCTGCGTCGACACGTTAACACCAACGGTGTGCTTGTCGGCACGGCGCCGCAGCAGCCGACGCAGAACATCTTTCTGGGCCTGCCCGTCGAGCTGCGGCCCGAGGAGGCCGTGGCCCTCGTGCGCAAGGGCGCCGCGTATGTCGTAGATGGCGCCACCGCCCACCGGGATACCCTCCAGTCGTACCGGGACCCGGCCAGGCGACAAGCGTATATAGAGTCTCTCCAAAGACAAAAAGAAGCGGCGCAAGCAGCTCTCGCTGAGCGCAGCGCGCTACGAGCCGCCGAGGTGGCCGATAAACTGAAACGCGGCAAGAACAAGAAGGGCGCGGCTGCAGCGGCAGCAGCAGCGGCAGCAGCCACCGCCGCTTCCAAAGACTCCCCAGAACCAGCAGACGGCAGCGTCGCACCGTCATCGTCACAAGTAAAATCAATTGGCATCACGCCCACCTCCAGCACCGACCTCGTACCGGCCGACGCGTTCGCCCAGCAGCGCCGCGAGCCCTCGCGGGATGAGGCCGCGCCGCTGTGCGCGCACCTGCTCGACCGCGGCTACCACATGACGCCCGGCCTGCGCTTCGGCGCCCAGTACAGCGTGTACCCCGGCGACCCGCTGCGCTTCCACGCGCACTTCATGGCCAGCCAGTACGCCTGGGACGAGCCAATCCCCATCCTGGACATCGTCGCCGGCGGTCGGCTCGCCACGGCCGTCAAGAAGGCGTTCCTACTTGGCGGCGAGCAGCCCGCCGAGGACAAGGACAGCGCGAAGCCCCCGGTCGTCAGAACATTTTGCTTGGAATGGGCGGCCATGTAAACAAGATCAACTAGTATCGACGAAACAAATTAACATCAAGTTCGATGTACGAGCGACGGGCTATAGAATTGGGAGAGAGGAATAGAAGAGCAAAATACCCCCACCACAGTTGAATTGAATTTTATACAACTAAAACGCTTCTGCAGCCATACCAATTACGAAAACTAACGACGACTATTGACAGCAGCCATCTCTGACGATGACTGAAAAACGAATGATGACCGTTATAACCCTCCCCATCCAAGTCGCAAAGAAAGCAGAACACCCCATGACCTGCCAGCACATGGAAACGATAAATACAGTGTAGTGTGCCGGTTGCTCCCCTTTTCATTCATCTACGGGACGTAGATCCTGCTGAAGCTCAGGACATCACGACGACAGCAGACGCACTTGTCAAAGTTATTCATAGCCAGAGACACGCGGCAGTCGTCGCAGAGACTCAGGCAGCGGCAGGGCCACACGATGATGGTGCGTGCGGCGCTTTGGCAGACGACACACAGGGGGCCTTGCTCGTCGGTGTTGTCGCTGCTAGCAGCCACGACCGCCGAGGCAGCAGCGCCGGTGCTCTTGGTCGGCGTCTGCGGCAGTGGCCGGGCTGCCTCCTCGCGACGCGACAGCAGAAGCTGTTCAAGCAACGTCTCCTCCTCGTCGGGGTCTAGCTTGGTCCGGATGTCGCGGCTAAGCGCGTTTGACGCAGACGCCGCGGGGACCACTGCGGGCGTTGCAATGTCCGAGGCGGTGGGTGTACCGCCAGGTCGGCGCGGGCTGGTCAGGATGCTAGTTCTGCGGAGCTGCTCCAGGCGTCGGAAGCGGCCGCGTGTCATGACCCCGTCACTGACGAGGTGTGCCGCGAGCGCGGTGGCCTCCTCACGCTCCTCCCTGTTGGCGGGGCGTAAGAGGCGAGCAAGATCCGACATGCCCATGGGACTGTCAGCCATCGGTGTATTCTCTCGCGCCATTCTCGGTGACCGCTGCGTTGGTGTCCTTTGGCCCCCATCGCCTTCTTTTTCTTCGTCGTCAATAGGCTCCCACGGGTTTCTCTCGTTTTCACCATCGCTCTCGTTCGCCGACGTCGACTGGGAAATCACGCTTGTCGCATCCCAATCCTCATCACCGGCATGGCTGGGGGCGTAATCGCCACTGGAGTCGCCGGAACCCCACCACCCTCCTTCCACAAAGTAGTTGTATAAGTCCTTGTCAAGGTTCTCTTCACTGCCATTGTGCCCGATGCGTCTGAACTCAGCTTCAACGTCGATCCCCTCGCTCCTAGAAACGCGACCATCTCGACTGATTAAAACGGTGTGGCTTGCACGTTGGTTTGTCAAGGTCGACTTTGGCTCTTCGTTGGCAGGCTTGGGTCTTGCTGCCAGCCATAGCAGCCAGCCAGGTTGGTATCTGATACGGATAAGCTTGAGGAGCCACAGCATCAAGAGGGCAGAGACGCGACCGATGAGTCTGACAACGTTCGCCAAAAATTCAATCGCCATCACCCATCTCGAGCTTCTATCACCAACACCAGCTCGAAAGCTGCGCTCTGCGCGGCCCTTGGGGACTTTTTGTGCTGCTCTTTCCCGAGCATAACCATTGGGGGCCATGACTGGGCCATCCTTGACAGGGATTAGGCCAATGGCACCGATACGGTCGTATTGTGAGCTGGTATGGCCAAGCCCAACCCACTGCCTTTGCATTTCTTCGGCTTCTCTGTACCGAGCCTCCTCGAGCCAGGTATGGCGCTTCAAGTTCACACCATTGTCCTCATTCAAGTACACAGCTTCACTAGCCATTGTAATGACGGCAAACCCAGTACGCAGAAGGGCTGTGTAGAAGTCCATATCCCTCGTAATCCTGACGTCTGCAAAGGAAACATTTGCTTGCATATTTTCGTGGGCATAAAGCAGCCGCTGTCTGTACGACATGGAAGAGCGCTCCTGATTTGATGGTGGAGAGAGTGCAGATAGCAGCAGAGCGAGACCGTATATGATGAAGCAAAGCAGTATGCCACCAAACACCACAACGTGGGGTACGAAACCGATGATGCAAACGGTAGGGAATCGTAAGAGACCATGAGAGGCGGGGTCGTCAAAATCAAAAGAAAAGGCACTCCAAACAATGCTTCCCATGAAGCAAATACCCCAGAAGCCGGTGTTGGCGAGCCGATACTTGGCTTGTAGATCAAAAAGCCCGAGAATATGGCTTGTGAGGTGTGTCATGGCAGATAGAAAGGCAACGAGAAGTACCTCAGGCGGCGTGTTGACTCTCTTAATCAACATTGACTTTGTTAGCAACTTGACCGCTGCACCAGTGCCCGGCAAAGAATCCGTCGATTCACTCTGTGACTTCGAGTCCCAGTTCAACTGGGCAAGCTGGTTGCTTATAGTGGCATCGGCCTCAGCAAATGCTAGCGATTGCTCAAACAACGTCATGCCTGTCTCTGCTGAGAGACTCCTGCCTTGAACCGCACAAGACACGGTCTCGATAAAGTGGCTCAAGCAAAATGTACCAAACAGTGGCCACATTGCCGAGAGCGAACCGACCAAGACGGAGTTCTTGGTTTCGTCTGGTAGCGGAATCATGTGAACGGCTCCACAGGATTGTTTGTCTGTTGCTCCAAGAAGCAGAATGGAGCTTAATGTATTCAAGAAATGGTTCGTATGCGCATGCAAGAAGCGTGAGTATTTGGTCGGATCCCCCCACCGAAGCTCAGCAAAGTTGGCCGAGGTCTGACACTGCATTGACATGAGCAGGCGGCGCACCTGAATGACGAGGAAGACGATGGGAAGAAAGCGAAGCAGCAGTCTTAGCTTCCACTGAAGACGTAGCCTGCGACGCGTGGCGGCGAAAATGTGTGTTCGGTTCAATATTAGGGCCATGGCTATGCAGGACATTGCCCATCGACTGGTGGCGTAGGAGAAGACGCTTCCCCAGTTGCGCACGCTCTCCAGGGATACGAACGATGCTGATTCCCGTGCAGCGGACGCCGCTGCAGGTGACGTGTTGCTCTCCATGATGTTGTATGCGGCCGCGGCGTTTGTCCCGGGGACGCCGGCGGCGTTATTAGGCGCAAGATCAGGCTGGTCAGCCAAAGCGAGGTAATAGCCAAGCTTCTCGAGAATCCTAGGCCCTGCCCAGACCAGATCGTCAAACGACGGTGCAAAGCGAGTCATATTGGTAGCCCAGGCCGAGATGTTGGACCATCCTCCCAGATTGACGACGCCGGTGACCGGGACCAGCGGCGTCTCAGCCAGTCTCTCCATTTCCGTTGGGCAAACGCGAATGTTCCGTGCCCGGCGGCGTGGCCTGGCCTGGCCGCTGTCAAGTGTTCGGAAGCGATAAATCGGCCGGCGATGAACGAAAATGGATACGAAGTCGGTCGGATAATAGTGCAAAATGGCGAGCCGAGAAGCACAGCGACGGTGCGCTGATGGGAGTGGTGAGATGAACCAGGAGCGGCGACCCTCTTGTGCAGTTGTAGGCGTGATTCTGGGCCGATTCAGTGGTTTGGCACTGTGACGTATTCGTACCGCGGTCAAGCCACGGAACACTAAGGCAGTCGGCAGGTGGGGAGCGACAGAGACAATAGTTAGTTATTAGCCACCATGCTTGAATAATGTTGCAATTGTTTGAACTCGCCTACAGGTGTAATCTATTTCCAGTATGTGTAAATGTGCAGGGCTTACTTTTTCAGCTCCGTTTTCTCGGACAGTAATACAGGAGCGGCAGATTCCTGGGGCAAGTACAGAGTACAAAGCAAGACTTGTTCGCCAAGCCTGTCTGTAACGATCAGTCGGTGGATGCTTCGGACTCTCAGTCCATGCAGCAGAAGTAAAGAATACAGACAAGGTGCATGGTGCAGATAATTGACCAGGCCACAGCTGTGAACCATGTGCTGTTCTCTTCCCATCTATGTAGACACCTGCACTGTTGACAAAACAGCCACCCGACAATGAACAGCGTTGTTGCACAGCATCAGTGAATTAAGTGCTCCCTTTATCCTTTGCATTGCACACAAACTTCCACGGTGTTTCTCAGTCTATTGGGTATATTTACAAATCTCGGGGTCAAAATGGTTACGCGCCTATTTCCCTTTTTCATCAAGCCTTCATAGCCTCACTCAGCGACGTGGCGATAGCCTGGCACGTGCCCTTGCTTGCGTGAACCGCCCTTGATACCAGTTGCCGCTGTGACTCTGTGTTTGACGATTGTAGGCGACCCTTAAACCAGAGATTCGTGATCTCGTCTCGTGAAGGCAGATATGCCACGCAACAGGCTGCCAATACTTGGCCATGCTCGGACGGCACGGGATCAAGTACAATGGAAGCGTCGCCATCTTTGTCCTTCAGTACCATGGCCGCAACGCCACCAGCCACCGTGTCGACGCAGTCGATGCCAGCATCAGCAATGGCCGCCGAGGCCACAGTAATGCAGCCGCTCAAGACGTTCATCATTTCCCAACTCTCAATCCCTTGATCCTGTGCAGCTTGGCGGGTAAGCTCACCCTCAATAATAGTAACAATAACGTCAACACCACTCTTGGGCCAGCGATCGGCGATCAGAGCACCACGGAGGGCGGTCTCGAGATGTGTGCTGAGATCCCGTTCACTGGAGTCGCGCAAGTAGCCTCGCCGTTGCTTCGTCGCAAACGGCGCATACTTGACATGTGTTGATAGAACCATGTGAGGCGAGAACGGGGCTGATCGTGGCAGTGATCTTGGGCCATGCACTGTGCAGGTAAGCTTCATGCCAGAGCCTGAAGAGCCCTCCCTAGGTTCAAACTCCAGGTATGCAGAGCCAGATGCAGAAGGCGTAACGCCGGTCTTCAAGTCTTTGGCTAGTTAGTTTACTACTCACAGTGTCATTGCTGTAGAGAAACTCACAGATAGCTCTGATGCCATTCTCGGGCCGCGTTCTTTGGGTAGAGAGCACATCTTCATCGTCGTAAACGGGGGCCAATGTTGCGCCCGAAGGACCATTCACTCGTCTCCGATCAGCCATTGTATAGAAGATATTCCCACGGAGCTGTTACGTTTCAACAGGAACCCTTGAAATGATATCAGTTTAGACCGGCAACGCAAGAAACTGAAGCTCCAACCCAGCAACCAGTGCATCTAGTTAGCGGGGCAGCTGTTCGCCAAAATTTCTGCCCATGCACATAACGAGTTGCCCCACATTGGTGATTGCTTAGTCCAGGGAACGACTCAAATTGTTTTTTTTTCTTCTTCACTTCTCTCAAGCTTTCTTCTCAATGCTGAACATTGCACGCTCCTCGCGTGGGCATTGCAATAGGTATCAGCCATGGAGAACCGAGATTGGATATTGCCAGATACCTAGCTGGTGACTGCAATGGCCTCTGTCGCTGATGCGCAGAACATTCCAAATATGCTGACTGTGAATGGTAAGCTTTTCCTTCCCCCACAGCCCCCAGCGCTACGCCTCGAGACAAGATGATGATACTATCACCACTGTTCCCGCGAATTCCTGAGCGTTTGAACAACATGCACTACCATCTGACCGCACTCCTCGATGCAAGCGCTGGACGGCCTTGTGTCGGTCTGCCCCCAAGCGAAGCTAACCCTCTGAGCAGTACCAATAAGTAGTTGCAGATACTTGACCACCACTGTTCAGGTTCCCTTTCTGTGGTAAGTCAACTATTTTTTTTTCTCCTGCTTGCCTCGTTTTTCGACAATACTTTCCATGATGAGAAACCTTTTCATCCAGTTCTGCTACTGAACCCCCTGATGACTACCAAATTACCAAACCAAGATCTCTGATGATATCTTTCTACTATACCTTTGACTTTTACCAATTGGGTTTGACTTAAGCTAACCATGTTGAAGATGTAGAATCTACGAAAAAAAAAAATGTTCGGAGCCCTAATCGTTGCCCTATCAGGTAGGCACTCCCTGCTATACCTTTGTACTAACGCAACCACCGCACGACCTGATGACAACAAGTTCTATCCATTCTACTAATTCATCCTGGCCGAGTTAGCCCTCCCGCACTGGAGCAGATCCTTGGGTTTGTGAAGAAAGTTGTGGAGTTGCTTAATTGGCGTAATTCTACTTCCGTGTCTGGTTCGGCTTTGGCCCCGTTTTGGGGCCATTGCTGCATTGGGCCGGCTGGGATGGTTGAGTAAATCGGCTTGTCTGATCAAAGTGCTTGCACATGAGTTTTGCTTCTTCTTGTTGTCATGGTTTGCTAACTCTGATTTAGACTTGTAGACAAACAGGAGAAAGCACCCGTAAATGCTGTATTGACCAAAAACCGAACAGAAGAACACTTTTCATGTAAAGAGAATATAGCGCACTAATACGAGTTGCTTGACCCCCTCTCGCCTCATAATCTGCTTGTTCTATGTGAATGCACATTGATCTGACTTTGAGACGGCCGCCAGGCAATCTAGAGTTACTGGAATGTTTGTGCAGCTCTCAGATGCCTTTTTTTTTTTTTTTTATTTGAATCACAAGTGACTCTGATAAACAGTGACAATCCACAATCATGAGCAAACTGTGTTACCGAGTACAGCTTCACAATGCCGTTCTTAACCAGGAATGTTAGTAGCATGGTAGTGTAGTGGCTCTCAGTGGACCAGCGCCAGTTTCCAGTTGCTTCAGGGGCTCGAGGATCTCAACGTGACGTGTGCCTGCCTTTTAGTTGGAATTCGATACCTGAGGGGCACTGATGTGGCACATCTGAGTATTGTATTTTCACTGCTTCAGGAAGCCTATCTAAGGTACCTTGAGCGACTATCTGGGTACCCGCCTGCCTCTCCCTTGAGCTGTTTAGCCTTTTGTGTGCAGGGGCAGCACTAAATTAGCAGCGCGACACCTGGCAATAACGCCAACCATCTGCCACGATTGATTTTCGACTCGAAGGCTCTTTTCACCTTCAATCGACTCGACGCACAGCGCCCGCGCATATAGCATCACGTATCTGGGTGTGCATTATCCAATCAACTCGGCTCCAGTATCCCGTGTGAATTCCTTCTTCGGTCGCTGCACACCTGGACCTCGTCGCAGCCCGCACACGCCGCGCCGCGACTTGCGCATCAGCAAGGGGTAACAGTTTGTAGGCGAGGCTCTCGACGCTTCTCCTAGACCAGCCGTCACGATGATGCCCAGACATCACTCCGGAGGGTTTGCCAATGGCTACCCAAGAGGCGATACATTTGATATTTCACCGCATAGGTACGTGGGCCCTTTTGATAAGGCGAGCATCTCGGCGGCTCCCAATGTCTTCGCTACCCTCTCCCCGTAGTCCTCCTGCTAACATCAGCTATTTGCGTCGACACAGATTCCAGCCTCGCGCATCCGGCCCCGCATCTCGTCGCCGCAGAAAGCTTCTTGTTCGCGTCGGCATTGCAGCTGTCGTTGTCACAGCACTCTGTCTATTCTTTGGACCTTCCGTATCGATCGCGTCCGTCCTCTCGCTCGGCTTCCTGGGCGGCGACCCTGACTTCGACCTCGAAACCGTACGATACTATGACTTGAACAATGTCGGTGGCACCGCTCGGGGATGGGAGCGTGAAGAGCGCATCCTCCTCTGCGTTCCTCTTCGTGATGCCTCGGCACATCTGCCCATGTTCTTCTCGCATCTGCGTAACTTTACTTACCCGCACAACCTAATTGACCTGGCTTTCCTGGTCTCCGACTCCAAGGACAATACTCTCCAGCTTCTGGTTGACAACATGAATACAATTCAGAATGACGAAGACCCCAGACAGCCATACGGAGAGATTTCCATCATTGAGAAGGACTTTGGCCAAAAGGTCAACCAGGATGTCGAAAGTCGTCACGGTTTCGCCGCCCAGGCTAGCCGTCGAAAGCTCATGGCCCAGGCCAGAAACTGGCTTCTGAGTGCCGCCCTGCGCCCCTACCACTCGTGGGTCTACTGGCGTGATGTCGATGTCGAGACCGCCCCGTTCACCATTCTGGAGGACCTAATGCGCCACAACAAGGATGTTATTGTGCCCAGTAAGTGTCCAATACATGACTGCTCCAAAAGAAGGCATTGTCGCTAACGATGCCTTAGACGTCTGGCGACCTCTACCCGACTGGCTTGGCGGCGAACAGCCCTACGATTTAAACTCTTGGCAAGAGTCAGAGACAGCCCTTGCTCTAGCTGATACTTTGGACGAGGACGCCGTCATTGTCGAGGGATATGCCGAATATGCTACATGGCGGCCCCACCTTGCCTACCTCCGTGATCCCTATGGTGACCCCGACATGGAGATGGAAATTGACGGTGTTGGTGGTGTCAGCATCTTGGCCAAGGCCAAGGTCTTCCGTAGCGGTGTTCATTTCCCAGCCTTCAGCTTTGAGAAGCACGCAGAGACTGAAGGATTCGGCAAGGTAAGACTCTTGAAGATCTTTCCGGGATCTAGAGATGCTAACGAAGCATGCAGATGGCTAGAAAAATGAAATTTTCGGTGGTTGGACTTCCTCATTACACCATTTGGCATCTTTACGAGCCTAGTGTGGACGATATTAAGCACATGGAGGTATGTATATCCGCGAACTACCCAATGCTGCGGCCTGGAGTGTGTCTAATGACTACCGGCAGGAAATGGAGGCCGAGCGAAAACTCAAAGAAAAAGAGGAGGAAGAGAAAAGACTCAAGGAGCAGACGCTCAAGGAGACGTTTGGCGACAGCCAGAGCGAGTGGGAACAAGACAAGGCCCAAATGCAAAGCCTCGAGTCTCAGCGCAAGGCTGGCCAGGCAGCGGAAGAGCCCAAGGGCGCCGCTGCCAAGGCTGCAGACGCCGCTGGCGGCAAATAAATGTGGTGTTATTGGTTTGACGCAGCGATATGGTGGTTCATTCTTGGCGGACGGGACGAAACTGGAATCTTTAAGGGTCACAGCCACGTGCCAGAGGCACTTTGACCCCCTTTCTCTTTTTTTTTTCTCTTTTTTTTCTCTTTTTCTTTATTTTGTATAGTAGTATATTTTCGCATTGGAGCGTTGAGGCTTGCCTCGATCCCGGCCTTGAATGGCAAGCGGACGCAGATGGCGGGAGGCTCTATCTACAGCTCACTATTTCTAGCGGCGTTTTTGGAACAAAAAGATAGGATGATGGCGAGACGGGCTTGGAAATTAAGAGTCCAGGCTGGCTACACAATAGAAGATTTTGGTTGTCATGAATTGAGTTTGATATCGAGGTGACGGTTGAGCGGGTGGACGGTGCGCGATGGCACAGTATTTTGCTACAACTAGACTATCGGCGAGTCCGTTTAGTTTTCCGCTGAAAACAACACTATTTCTATCTTTTTTCTTTTCTCTTTGGTATGACCATCATAGAATGTGGTTGATCTTGCAATGCGAAGTCCTCGTTGTCACCGTTTTCGTTAGTAAGCTGTCCAAAAATATTAACACGTATTGTCGATGAGGCCCCCCCCCGATCCAGCGGAGCCCTGGGGCGGGCCAATTGCTGCCAGTGGCTTTACACCTTGTGATCCGGTACCTTGTCTAGTATTGCTGCGACAGCAACACATATCCACCACCACCAAGTCTGGAAAGCTTCCCTGAGGCATCGCCAGTCAGCAACCCGCCATTGGTGCCCAACAGGATTCGCGGCGCGTCTCTTATGCTTCAAGAGTGACAGCATCTCTTCTGTCCCCTTCATTAGCTGGTTAGTTGACCTCTTCTGTCGTGTCCCCGCCCCTGATGCGAGCTCCGTTCGCTGTCGCTGTCCCCTCTACCTGTTGTGGCTGCCACCTTGAAACTTTACTTGACACCCTCCTGCAGTCTCGCTGACACGTGTGTGTCTCTTTTACCTAGACAAGATCATGAGCCGCGATGCCAGGCTTCCCTCCGCAGCCATGGAGCCCAACCTCCCCGCCGAACCGCCTCTAGAGGCCGAGATCCTGCACATTGACACACCCCGGATGCAGTATCGCAATCGCCCCGTCTCGGTCGCTGTCGATCCCGTTTCCCTCGTCATCTCCGAATGTATATCCATCACCTCGGCCATCCAGAAGCATGCTCGCTCACCACACTCCTCTGTCTCCGCCATTCTCGGTGGCAATCCCAATCCCATCAACCTGGGCGCGCCGAGCTCCAGCTCCAAACCCAGGCGCAAATCGCAAGCGGGAGGGGCTGGCTCTGACACTCAGGACCTCACAATAAACACGAGATGGGGCCTTCGCGGGCAAAAGGGCAAGAGCATGCAGGACGACCCCATGATTTCTGGGTTTGGCGCTTTGCGTCATGATATTGCAGGCGTCAAAGGTATGAGGCAGACCTCATAGCTATCATGGCCGAGTCAAGGTATACTGACCAGCATTCACAGACATTCGCTCATTTGATGCGCCCGCACTTCTAGCCCCATTTCTTCTTGTCATCCAGGCAAAGGGTACTGCGGCGCCCATCACGATCCTCGCCCTCGGAGCGCTCCGAAAATTCCTGGCCTACGGCTTCGTCTGCTCCAGTTCGCCGCGGTTTGCGCTTGCTATGCAGTCGCTCTCTTCTGCTGTAACGCACTGCCAGTTTGACGTCAGCGATTCGGCGCAAGGAGAAGTTGTTCTTCTCATGATTCTCAACCTCATGGAGGACATGATGTCCGGCCCCGGCGGCGACATCCTGAGTGACGAGAGCGTCTGCGACATGATGGGCCGTGGCTTAGCCATTTGCTCCCAACCGCGCTTTTCCCCTGTTCTACGCAGGACTGCTGAGGCTGCTATGGTTCGCATGTGTCAGATCATCTTTGAGGATGTAAAACACCTCGATGTTGCACTTAGCGAAGATGCAGACATCCTGGATCAAAAAGACGACAATTTGCATATGGAGACACATGCGTCCGTCGCTACTCCTGAACAGCGCGACTCAACATCAACATCAACACCGATTCCCGAGGAAACCGAGAAGCAGCCTGACGCGACCGAATCTGAAGAGAATCATGATACTCCTGCCGTCGAACCTAAAGACGACGACGAGAGCGAGGCTAGCGATGACTCGGAATCAGTTGATCTGAAACCATACTCGTTGCCTTCTGTCCGCGAGCTGTTCCGCGTTCTGGTTAACTTCCTAGACCCCAATGACAGGCATCACACCGATACCATGAGAGTTATGGCGCTCAGGATTATTCATGTCGCGTTCGAGGTAGCTGGGCCGTTCATTGCCCGACACCCTGCTCTGGCGACGATTGCCGAGGACAAGCTCTGCTCGTATCTATTCCAGCTGGTTCGATCGGATAACATGGCCATCCTCCAGGAGTCTCTCATCGTCGCTGGCACGATGCTTGCTACATGCCGCGGCGTTTTGAAACTGCAGCAGGAGCTATTCCTTTCCTACCTAGTGGCTTGCCTACACCCTACTGTTCCTATTCCCCGTGATACGGGCATCGAGGCTTCTCTTTTCGCTGGCATTCCCGAAACGCCAAAGCTTGTCAAGCCCCCGTCCTCGCAAGCTGGCAGCGGCCGCGCCACACCGGTTCCTATTAAAGACAGACAAAAGCTTGGTATGGAGGGCGGCTCGCGGAAGCCCGATGCTAGACAGGCGATGGTGGAGAGCATCGGCGTGCTTTCGCGGATGCCAACCTTTGTGGCCGAGCTCTTTGTCAACTATGACTGCGATGTTGACAGAGCAGATTTGTGTGAGGACATGATTGGCCTCCTCTCCCGTAACGCCTTGCCGGATTCTGCCACTTGGAGCACTACCAGTGTCCCGCCCCTCTGCCTCGATGCTCTTCTGAGATATATCCAGTTCGTAGCCGAGAGACTTGACAAGGATCCCGTGACAGAAGGCTATACGGATCCCGCTGTTCTGCGCGAGCAGCGCCGGAGAAAGAGAATTATCATCAAAGGCACGAGCATGTTCAATGAGAAGCCTAAAAATGGCTTGGGATACCTTGAGGCACAAGGCATACTCAAGAGCGCGCAAGACCCCGCGGAAGTGGCCGCATTCTTGAAAGAGACATCCCGAATATCCAAGTCGGTGCTCGGTGAATATCTTTCAAAAACAGGAAATGAAAAGGTCCTCAAAGAATTCTTGGATCTCTTTGACTTTTCCGGAAAGCGCCTTGACGAAGGCCTCCGGCTACTCCTGGAATCTTTCCGTCTCCCCGGCGAAGCGCAGCTCATTGCCAATATTGTCGAGAGCTTCTCTGAAAAATATTGCACCTGCGATACGCCTGAGCAGGTTGCTAACAAGGATGCCGCCTACGTCTTGAGTTACGCGATCATCTTGCTGAATACTGATCAGCATAACCCAACGCTCAAGGCCAACAAGCGCATGACTGTTGAGGACTTTTCACGAAATTTGCGTGGCGTTAACGATGGCAAGAACTTTTCGCCGGAATACCTTTCCGACATTTATGAATCAATCAAGTCAAACGAAATCATCTTGCCAGACGAGCATGATAACCAGCATGCATTCGACTACGCTTGGAGAGAATTGTTGTTGAAGACAGAGTCAGCTGGCAATCTTGTTGTTTGCGATACTAATATCTACGATGCCGACATGTTTGCGGCAACATGGAGGCCAATTGTCGCTACGCTTTCATACGTCTTCATGTCTGCTAGTGACGATGCTGTCTTTGCCAGAATAGTGACTGGCTTCGACGAATGTGCTCGCATCGCAGCCAAGTACAACAACGTCGAGGCACTCGACCAAATTGTCTACTGCCTCAGCTACATGACGACACTGGCAACAGACACAGCTTTCAACACAGCACTGAACACAGAAGTCCAGGTAGGCGAGACAAGTGTCATGGTTAGTGAACTGGCCGTCAAGCTTGGCCGTGATTTCCGTGCGCAGCTGGCTACGCTCGTTCTCTTCCGTGTTGTGACTGGCAATGAACACATCATCAAAAACAGCTGGAAACACGTAAGTCATTGAATACTGCTGAACAATACACCGACTGACACACTTCATAGGTTGTTCGTATATGGGTCAACCTCTTCTCAAACTCCCTGGCATCCCAATTTGGGTCGCCGGATCTCCCCACTCTAGGACTACCTAGCATTCCTCTCCAATCGCCATCGCAGGTTATTGACCGTGGCGCACGCTCATCCGATACTGGCTTCTTTTCTGCCTTCACCTCATACATCTCTAGTTACGCTGCTGACGATCCTCCTGAGCCTTCTGATGAAGAGCTGGAGAGCACCTTGTGCACAGTGGACTGCATCAACTCTTGCAAGCTTGAAAATGTCTTCACAAACGTCGCAAAGCTTCCTATCGCTACCACAAGATTGATTGTCGCTGGCCTCCTGGAGCAGCTCCCCGACGATGATAGCGCCACCATCATGAGTGTGAAGCAAGACAACATGCCGAACCCGCCCCCGATTGTACACCCGGCTGCTTCAGGGCCCTCCAAGTACGATCCTTCGGTCGCCTATATTCTCGAATTTTCCACGCTTCTGGCCACCAGAGACCCCGAGTCAGTTGAGGAGATGGCAGAACAGGTGTTCCGTACTTTGCAAGGGATTCTGCGTCGTGCCTCGCAATGGCATGCTATTACCGTTTCCCGGGCTGTCTTTTATGCCCTACGCATACTGAAAGATGGATTTGATCACGAGATTGTCAACGTTCCAAGATTGCTGCACACCATTTCGGGTCTGCCTCGCGATGTCCTAGCCGGGACTTCGAGTACTATTCTCAATGGTTTGGCTGCCTGCACCGAAGAACCGGGGCCGCTGCGAAGTGAAATGATGACATCGCCCGACTTTTGGGCAACGCTGCGCGTCCTCGCCACGAGCCGTGAATCTGCTGCGCAAGTGTTTGTGATTCTCGAGAAGGGGACGTCTGGCTCACCCCCAGCCATCATGGCAGACAATTACATGGCGGCTGTTGCTCTGCTCGACCAGTTTGCCTCAAGCGCAAACCCCCTAGCCTCGTTGGACAAGCAAACAGAGCAAGAAAGGCGTCGACACGACCAACCTCGTCAGAAACCCAAGGCTGACAGCGCGGCAGTTGAGCGTGGCTGTAAAGCCATCGATAGCCTCTACAGCATGACGGCACTCGTGCCGCAGCTTATCCAGCAGTCGCAGCTGGAAAGTGGCGAAGCATGGTCTGCATACTGGCTTCCCATATTTCAGTCTCTGATGCATCAGTGTGGAAACCCGTGTCGGGAGGTTCGACAGCTGGCATTTTCTTCGCTGCACCGGTCACTCCTCTCAGCGGAGCTTACCACCAACGATCCGCAAGAGTGGACGGCCATATTCAGCAAAGTCCTGTTTCCGCTCATTCTTCGCCTGTTAAAGCCCGAGGTCTTCTCGGCCGATCGTGAGGGTATGAGCAAGCTGCGAATACAGGCCACATCACTGCTGTGCAAGGTTTTCCTGCACTATTTAACATTGCTCGCGGAATGGGACGGGCTGCTTCCACTGTGGACCAAGATCATTGAAATAATGGATCGTCTCATGAATAGCGGCCAAGGTGACACTTTGGTAAGTCATGTATTACGTAAACTGCAAGTGATTTCTATGCTCACTATCCTTTAGGAGGAGGCAGTACGGGAGAACCTCAAGAACGTAATCCTATTTATGGAGAGCAACGGAGTCCTGGTACCCCCCACTGAAGACACTACGAGAAAGGAGATCTGGGAAGAGACGTGGAAGCGCGTGGACCGATTCCTGCCGGATCTACGAGCCGAGATTGCACCCGTACTCGATGAACCGGAAGAAAAGCCGACAGTCGGCGCCGACGCAGAACCGGCGTCAACGAGAGCATCTGTTGAAGATTCGCAACAGCTGAAGCCAGAAACAGAGGCGGCAGCTGGTCAAGAAGCAACGGAGGCACGCGCAGAAGAGAAAGAGGAAGAGGAAGAAGAAGAAGAGCAGGCAAGTGAAAAAAGGCTAGTCGAAGAGGCGGGTAAAGAGGAGTAAGACGGGGATTTAAATGAGGCGATTTAATGTTTGCGAGGGCTATGAAAGCATGCATAATGCAATGGGCAGCTCCAATTTTTCACTCTTTTGTTCGATTGGGACCCATCTGGCCCTAGATTTATGTATATATTAGGTTGGCTGCAGCGACGGTGCAGCGGCCGTCTTTGTAAGCTGAGATGTTACCAGAGCATGGAGATGAATAGAGGAAAAGTGCATAGCGATAAAGATACGTAAAGCCCCTGAAGCTTCAAAGCAGACTTTCACCTAGGAAGAGTGACAACAGCAAGATCCATATCGTTCAATCCATATACTTTTGCGTCTCGTGTTGACGGCTTTGGCTGCCGAAGCCATCGTTGATGCACAAAGGAGGGGCCCGTCAGCCTTTAGACATTCAACGAGTCTGTGGGTGCTTTTTATCTGTGTGTGCTTTATTATATATTTTTTTCTTTTTTCTGATGTATTCCAAAACTATTCTCTCCTCTTTGTTGATTCTCTTCCTTTAGTCTGTATAACATCACTCGAGTCTTGCTGCTTCTTATATCGTCCTCGGCGGCCAACTCACCGAACCACCATGTCCTTTGCCGAATCTGGAAGCCAGGGCTTGTTCCGGATGAACACGACGCAGTTCGACTTTAACCTGCGCTTTGAGCAAGTCTTCTTGTCCATAATCCCCTCGGCCGTCTTCATTGTCGCCGCGCTATGGCGGGCGCTGTCAGCGATGAGGCAGCCACTCGTGGTCTTCGCGCCGCCCGCCTTCGTGGCCGTCAAACTTGTGCGTCCAGTGCCCCCTGTGCCATCTAAACAAACCAAGTCAAGCGAAAAAAAGGGTAGCAGTGCTTCCATGAGCGAGAGAAAGGCTAACATGAAGGGGGGTTGTTTCGCAGGCTGCCACGGCGGTGCATGCCGTTCTTGAGTTGGGGCTGCTTGTCCTCGTCGCCGCGGGAGGCTTCCAAGCGACGCGCACGCAGCTCGTCTCAGCGGCCCTCCGGCTCGCAGCCGCGCTGTGCGCCATCCTGCTCAGCTTCGCGGACCACGGCCGGAGCCCGCGGCCGTCCATCATACTCAGCACGTACCTCCTCCTCGTGCTGATCCTCGACGCCGCGCAGGCGCGCACCCTCTTCCTGCTGTCCGCCGACGACCCCCGCGAGCGCACCTACAGCGCCGTCTTCGTCGCCGGCGTCGCGGTCAGGCTGGCCGTGCTGCTGCTCGAGTCGCGCGGCAAGGCGCGCTGGGTGCGCTGGGCGGACGGCCAGGCGCGGCACAGCCCGGAGGAGACGAGCGGCGTCTTCTCCCTCGGCGTCTTCTCCTGGCTCAACGCCATGCTCCTGACGGGATACTGCAAGGCCATGGCCGAGGAGGACCTGTTCCCGCTGGACGGAGCGCTGGAGGGGTCGCGCCTGCACGCTGCGTTTGCGGGCAACTTGCGGGCGGCCAGGCTCGGCGGCGGCGGCGGGTTCGCGCTGCTCAGGGTGCTGGCGTGGACGATGAGGGGAACCATCTGCCTGGCGGTTGTGCCGCGGCTGTGTCTGCTTGGCTTCACGCTCAGCCAGCCCTTCTTCATCGAGCGGCTGCTGGAGGCGCTCTCGCGGCCCGGCGGCGGCGCGCCGGCGGCTGACATCAGCTACGGGCTCGTCGGGGCCGCGCTCCTCATCTACGCGGGCATGGCCGTGTCGACGGCCTTTTACGGGTACTACCATCACCGGACGCTCACCATGTCGCGCGCCATGCTCGTGACGGAAGTCTACCGACAGTCCACGCGACTCCGGACCTCCGACGACGCGGCGCTGACGCTGATGAGCACCGACTGGGAGCACATCCGCGACGGCTTCAAGGCGGTGCACGACGTCTGGGCAAGCCTCGTGCAAGTCGGCCTCGCCGCGTGGCTGCTCCACCGGCATCTCGGCGGCGGTCCCGTCTTCCTGGTGCCGCTCGGCGTCGTGCTGGTCGCGTTCGCCGGCGTCGCCGTCGTCGGCCGGCTCGCGGACGGCGCGCAGCGGGCGTGGATGGCGGCCGACGCTGCTGTCGCCGCCGCTGACGCTGGCGTTCGTCGCGCAGGGCACGATGGGCGCGACGAGGGCGTTTACGAGCCTGTCGTGGCTGGTGCTGCTGACGCTCCCGCTGGGCATCGTCTTTCAGCAGGTTCCGCTGCTTGTCGGCGCCAACGCCTGCCTGGGCCGTATCCAAGAGTTCTTGGCGCGCGAGAGGCACAGTGACTTTCGGCGGGTTGTCGGGCACGATGATGATGGTGAGACTGACTCGGAAAAGGATCGGGATCGGGATCGGGATCTGCGTGATGGTCCTGCGATTGTGATTGTCCGCGGCAAGTTTGGCTGGGAGAGGGAGAGGTCGGTCCTGCAAGACGTCAACGTCACAATCGCTCAATCCTCACTAAACATGATTGTCGGACCTGTCGGGTCAGGCAAGTCGACGTTCTGCAAGGCCGTACTCGGCGAGGCCGCCTTCAACGAGGGCACCGTTACTCTTGCCGCTCGTCATCCACATGTCGGGTACTGTGATCAGAGGCCGTTCCTGTTCAACGGCTCCATTCGCGACAACATCATCGGGCAGTCCAGTTTCAACGTGCAGCGGTACAACGAAGTCATCGAGGCGACCGCGCTGCGCTTCGATCTCGGTAACCTCCCGCAAGGCGACGAGACCAGCGTCGGCTCCGACGGCATCACGCTCTCCGGCGGCCAGAAGCAGCGCGTCGCCCTCGCCCGCGTGCTCTACCTGGAGACCACGCTCCTCGTCCTCGACGACGTGTTCAGCGGCCTCGATGCCGACACGGAAGAGCTCGTGTTCCGACAGGTCCTCGGGCCCGGCGGCCTGCTCCGCAAGCGGCAGGCCACCGTCCTCCTGTGCACGCACAGCGTCAGACACCTCCCCGCCGCCGACCACGTCATCGCGCTCGGGGCCGGAAGGGTGGTTGAGCAGGGCACGTTTGCGGAGCTGATGGCCGCGGCGGACGGCTATGTGGGCCGCCTCGGCGTCAAGGCTTGCTCCGGTAGCAACAGCGATGCCGAGTCCGAAGAGACTGTCGCTGCGCCAGAAAAGGCCGAAGACGCGCCACCGCCGCCATTCGATCCTATTGCTGCTATCAAGGATTCAGAGGCTGCTCCGGCCGATGCAGTCCTCGCGCGCCAGCAGGGCGACGCGACAGTCTACAAGCACTATGCCGTGAGCATGGGCGTCCTCACAGCGATGACCGGGGCTGCCTTCACTGCGGCGTACGGCTTCTTCGAGAACTATCCGACCATCTGGCTCAAGTACTGGTCCGCCGACGCCGACGCCGGCTTCCGACATCACCCGTTCGGGTACTATGCTGGCGTGTACGCCGCGCTTATGGTCTCTGCCATGGCGTGTCTCGTCATGTCCATCATGTTATTCTTGGTGGTCGGCGTGAGGCGCGCCGGCGCAAACCTTCACCAGAACGCCCTCACGACCATGATGGGCGCCTCGCTGTCCTTTTTCGCGGCGACAGATGCAGGCGTCATCACCAACTTGTTCTCCCAGGACCTGAATCTTGTCGACACCGAATTGCCCATGGCACTGATCAACTGCCTCCTCGCGGTATGTCTGAACTCCTTCATGCAACCTTTGTCTTGCTCTTCAGCTAACTGATTGACGCGAGGGCATAAGCTCTTCGAAGCACTCGGCCAGGCGTGCGTGATGATTACCGCATCACCTTACATCGCCATCACCTACCCGTTCCTGATCGCCCTCCTCCTTCTCCTCGCCAAGTTCTACCTGCGCACGTCTAGACAGCTGCGACTACTCGACCTCGAGGCCAAGAGCCCGCTGTACGCGCACTTTCTCGACACCGTCAAGGGCATCGTCAGCATGCGCGCCTTTGGCTTCGTCCCCGAGGAGATCGCCAAGACCGCGGACCTTCTCAACGCGAGCCAGCGGCCGGCGTATCTGCTCGTCATGATCCAGCAGTGGCTGACGCTCGTTCTTGGCATCGTCGTCGCAGCTCTGGCGACGGGATTGACGGCGCTCGCTACTCGCCTGCACGCCAGCTCCGGGTTCGCTGGCGCGTCCATGGTGACGCTGATGAGCTTCGGCGAGAGCCTCACGATGATTGTCCAGTTCTACACGCGCCTCGAAACGTCCATGGGAGCCGTTGCGCGACTCAAGGCCTTTGGCGAGACTGTGCAGCCGGAAGACAAAGGCTATGAAAACGTCATTCCCGCCGAGACGTGGCCTCAGTCGGGAGAGATCAAGATCAAAAACGTGTCTGCCAGTTATGAGTAGGTATTGCTCTGGAGACGACTTCGGAGTGGCGCTGATATCATGGAAATAGGCAGGCAGGACCAAAGACGGAGGGAACTCCCCGGCTAGCCTTGAAGAACATCAACTTGAGCATCGTCGCAGGAGAAAAAATTGCAATTTGCGGCCGCACTGGCAGCGGAAAGTCTAGCTTCGTCGCCCTGCTGCTGAAGCTCCTCGACCCGACCATCGATTCGGACGGCGGCGGTGTGGTCATTGACGAGATCGCTCTGAGCAGCATCCAACGCTCTGCTCTACGTCAGCGAATCCTAGCTGTTCCTCAAGAAGCCGTCTTTCTGCCAGACGGGTCTTCGTTCCAGGCCAACCTGGATCCGTCCGAGCAGGCCACGGCGCTCGACTGCGAGGCGGTCCTCAAGGTAGTCGATCTTTGGGACTTTGTCCAGGAGCGAGGCGGTTTGGGATCTATTATGGCCTCCATCACTTTCAGCGCTGGCCAGAGACAGCTCATGTCGCTCGGCCGAGCCGTGTTGAGGAGGCGCATTCGGCAAAAAGGTCAAGGAGGCGTCGGTGAGGGCCCCGTCGAACCGGAGGGCGGTGTTTTGCTTCTGGACGAGGTCAGCTCGAGCGTAGATGTTGAGACTGAGCGCATCATTCAAGATGTCATCAAGCGTGAGTTTTCAAAGTACACCGTTATTGCAGTCTGTCATCGCCTAGATATGATGATGGACTTTGACAGGGTCGTCGTAATGGACATGGGCGAAATTGTCGAAGTTGGAAGCCCTGTGGCGCTGGCACAGGAAAAGGGGTCTCGCTTCGGTGACTTGCTCAAAGCTTTTATTCAATAGCATAAAGAGTTGCTGTATTTTCTTGTATGGTGTCTACGCTCTCATTCGACTGCATGGGTAAGTGTCCCTGTCCCGGGGCTTCTTCCACCCTTTCGACCACGCATAAATTTTTTTTTCCTTGATTGATTTTTGACAAAATTTTAATTAATCTTTGGAATCAAAAAGAAAAGCCCCATCATCCCTCTATGCAGTACTGTATAGAGTAAAGCCAGCCAACTCAATTACATCGAGCTGTACAAGGTGGGGCAGGACGTTGACGGGCTCGCCTCAAATGGTCACAAGCACAAGCTCCAAACTTGCAGGTGACATACATAAGCACGACGAGCACCACTCCAGTCACAGCACACTCCTCTACATTCCAAGTTTCCAACTGGCGAGCTAGAGGGCCGGCATTTCTCACAGGCCATGATCTAGAAACTTTGCTGTGCCGAAGATGGCAGAGCTCCCAGCTGGCTCGCCCAGCACCGCGGCGCCTGCTTCTCACACCGAGCCGCAAACACCATCCCTTCAAGCTTCGGCCGAGCCGTCATCGCCCAAGTTTCCGCAGCTTCAGAACACGGAAGACGACGCAAATGATGACTCCAAGCACGCCAATGACACTGCCAAGGGTGGCGGCGGCGCATCTGGTACAGGAGGCGGCGGTGGAGGCGGGACTGCGTCCGTCGACGATCTTGACGGCGAACGCGCCGTCGCCGAGCCCTTTATACGCACCGCGAGTCCCGAACCGAGCGTACGAACGATAGAACCCTCTGGCGTCCCGACGACGCAGGATAGCGGCGGGGATCTGCGCTCCGAGGATGGCCGCTACGAAGAAAGGGACGCCGGCGAAGGCCCGACCGCGAACCGCGACGACCGCAACCACGACGACGACGACGAGCCCACGTCCGATAGACTCCTCTACAAGATGCACAAGTTCAGTCTGTACGAGACAGCCAGCCGCTACTACGTCGTCGGTGTCGATGTCAGCGAGAAGCGCTACCGCGTCCTCAAGATCGACCGCACAACCGACGGCAGCGACTCGCCAAGCATGACCGACGACAAGATCGTCTACACGCTCAAGGAGATGAACCAGCTCCTCGACACCATCGACGACGGCAACAAAGGCACCGGCGGCGTCCGCCTGCGCTGCACCACCTGGGGTCTGCTCGGCTTCATCCGCTTCACCGGCTGCCACTACATGCTGCTCATCACCAAGAAGAGCACCGTCGCCATGCTCGGCGGCCACTACGTCTACCAGGTCGAGGGCACCGAGCTGATTCCGCTGGCCATGGGCAAGTCGTCCAAGCCCGAGGCCGCCGCGCGCAACAACAGCGCCGAGGAGACGCGCTTCCTCTCCATCTTCAACGGCCTGGACCTGACGCGGTCGTTTTACTACAGCTACTCGTATGACGTGACGCACACGCTGCAGCGCAACATCATGCGCGAGAGGGCCTGCATGGCGCAGGGCATCATCCCGCAGACGGACGGCGAGCTCAACTCCATGTTTGTGTGGAACAACTACCTGCTGAAGCCCATCTCGGCCGCCATCAAGAACCCGTTCGACTGGTGCCGCCCCATCATCCACGGCTACGTCGACCAGGCGGCCCTGTCCATCTACGGCCGCACGGCGTACATCACCGTCATCGCCCGGCGGTCGCGCCACTTTGCCGGCGCGCGCTTCCTCAAGCGCGGAGCCAACGACCTCGGCTACGTCGCCAACGACGTCGAGACGGAGCAGATCGTCGCCGAGTGCCAGACGACCTCGTTCCATGCGCCCGGGCCCCGGCCCTACCGCAGCCCGCACTACACCTCCTACGTGCAGCACCGCGGCAGCATCCCGCTACACTGGACCCAGGACAGCACCGGCGTCACGCCCAAGCCGCCCATCGAGCTCAGCCTCGTGGACCCCTTCTACAGCGCCGCCGCCCTGCACTTTGACGACCTGTTCCGCCGCTACGGCGCGCCCATCTACGTGCTCAACCTCGTCAAGGCCAAGGAGCGCCAGCCGCGCGAGTCCAAGCTGCTCGACGAGTACACCCGCTGCATCGACTACCTCAACCAGTTCCTGCCCGCCGGCAAGAAGATCATCCACAAGGCCTGGGACATGAGCCGCGCCTCCAAGGTGCGCGGCGGCGACGTCATCGGCAACCTCGAGACCATTGCCGACGACGTCCTCGCCGCAACGGGCTTCTTCCGCAACGGCGACGATGACGACGACGACAGCGACGACAGCAACGGCAGCGACGAAGGCGTCACGGTTGCCGCGACACCGGTCAAGACCTCGCTGCAGCGCGGCGTCGCCCGCACCAACTGCATCGACTGCCTCGACCGCACCAATGCCGCGCAGTTCGTCATCGGCAAGCGCGCGCTCGGCCACCAGCTGCACGCGCTCGGCATCCTGGCCGACACGGCCGTCGCCTACGACACCGACGGCGTCAACCTCTTCACCCACATGTGGCACGACCACGGCGACACCATCGCCGTCCAGTACGGCGGCTCCCAGCTCGTCAACACCATGGAGACGTACCGCAAGATCAACCAGTGGACCAGCCACTCCCGCGACATGATCGAGAGCCTCAAGCGCTACTACAACAACTCCTTCCTCGACAGCCAGCGCCAGGAGGCCTACAACCTCTTCCTCGGCAACTACGTCTACCGCGGGCCCGGACAGCCCATGCTCTGGGACCTCGCCACCGATTACTACCTGCACCACTCGAACCCGCGCGACTGGACGCCCAACAAGATTAGGAGCTACGTACACTGGTTCGACCCGGCGAACCTGCAGAATGACAAAATCAAAATCAACAGCAGCAGCAGGGACGCGGCAGACGGTGCTGTGGTGCCGGCGCGGAGCAAGTCCAAGTCCAAGCCCGTCGAGTTCTTTGACGACTACTGGCTCGAGTACTACCGCCCGTCGACGCTCTCGTCATTTCCCAAAATGTTTGCCTTCAAGATGAATTCGACCATTAAATACATTCCCTTAAAGTCCACCCAGGACGGCAAGTACGACCTCAGTCCCTTCCGCGTGCGCATCGAGCAGCACGACGTCGACTCCGACAAGAAGAAGGCGGCAGCGGCCAAGAAGAGCGCCGTGACCGCTCCTCCGCACAAAACCGCCGGTTCTCCCCTCTCGCAAGTCGCCGCCGCGTCCGACGACGGGGTGTCCTCGCACAAGGTGGCGCCGCCGCCGGCCCGGGGCATGTCACTCGGTCGCTGGCTGCACCCCACGCAGGAGAGGACGCTCGGGCTGGTACACGCCATGGGCACGGTCGACGAGATGGGCGCCACGGCCCCCAAGACGAAGCCGACGGCGCTGGAGAAGTCGACGGCCGAGCAGTGGACGTTCACCAAGGCGGTCAAGGACTCGCTGAACCCGTCGGTGGACCAGCACGAGGCCGACGACTACGCGCGGTACATCCACCACCCGCAGAACCTGCCGCTTGTGGTGTCGAGCGACACGCCCGTCGACGTGGACTCGTCCGAGTACCAGGACTACGTCCACGGCGGGTGGCAGGACCGCGGGCTCATGTTCAGCGGCAGCGAGGACGAGGTCGACCTCTACGCGGAGCTGCTCAAGGTCGGGGAGAACCCGCTGACGGTGACGGAGGAGGACGCGCCGAAGAAGAGATACAAGGCCTACAGGAAGTGGCTGAGGGGCAAGTCCTTCTTCAAGCAGCAGCCCCTGGACTGAGACTGCATCTGTGTGCGTGCGTCATGCAGTGGACTTTTCCAACCGGAACGGGGCAAACAAGGGTTTGAGGCTGGGCGCCTTTTGCACGATTCGCGCCAGCTTCTCCACCGGTATCACCTCGTCGCTCTCCTTCCACAACGTCGCCACCAGCATCATTGTCTTGCTAAGCTCGTCGGCTAGACTCTCTAGTTCGGGGCCCCAGTCGCCGCTGTCCTGGTCATGAACGTTGATCCAGCATCGTGATGCGATGCTGATAATATGTTCGGCGTGTGGTGTGCCGATTATGCGCGGCCAGCAGTTGAGGATTGTAGTGTTGAGGGCCTGTGCAGCTGCCAGGACAGCAGGAGGATACGCCAACGCAAAGGCGTCCGTTAGCACCGGGGTAAAGAGATCTAGCAAACTCTGTCACAAATCATTAGCGATTGTTTTTCGTTTTAATTGTTAATGGAGGTCCAAATAGATGTAACACTCAATAAATGACCACTTTTAATGTACACGTACCTGCAAGTGCTTCACGGCATAGACCTCCAGCGCCTGGACAATCTCGGCTGCCGCCCGCATCAGCACCTCGACGACGCGTACGTGCTGCGAGGCGTGAAAATAGCCCGCGAACACGCCCTCGCGCAGCGTCCTGTCCAGCAGCGCGCGGCGCCTCGCCGCCGCGGGGTCGTCCGCGCCAGCAGCAAGGGCCAGGGCGTGCAGCACGTGGTAGGCGGCGCGCAGCAGCGGGACGGACTCGGCCTCGGGCGTGAGCGACGGCAGGAAGAGCAGCGAGGGCAGCACGGACGCCTCGAACACGGCGTCGACGCCGGACGCGCGGAGCACCTCGGCGGGGCACGCGGCGAGGAAGCGGCCGAGCACGTCGAGGCCGCACTGGCGGACGGCAACGTCGCCGTCCTCGGCGAGGGTGACGAGCACGGGCACGTAGAGCGGCCAGTGCTGCTTAATCGTAGAGGGCTGCCGTGTGTGTGTTTTTTTTTTCCCTTGTCAGCAAATGGTGGTGACAGAGGAAAGGGGGGGTGGGTTGGGAAGGAGTACCTCGGAGGCTTCGACGGCCCATGCAAAGACGGTGACGACGTGCGGGCCGGCGTCCTTCCAGGCGGCCTTTTGCTCGTGGAAGCCGCCGTTGGGCGGTGGCGGCTCGCGGAACAACGCCGGGCGACCTTCTGCGGTGACCGAGGACGTGCTTTTAGAGAAGAGTGGCCGGAGGTAGCGCTGGAGGACGACGCGGGTGACGAAGTCTTGCTTCTTCTCGCCGGACAGCTGTCCATCAACCAAGCTCTTGGCGGTCGAGGCCGCGGCATCGGTGTTCCAGGGCCGGCCGACTTCGGTGTAGGGAATGAGCGGCAGCAAGAAGTCTTCTTCGAGTAACCGGTCCGCTCCCGCCTCAACGAGTGGGTGCAGCGCGGCCAGGGTCGCCTCGGCGCAGGTAGCCCAGGCATGGACGTCGATGCCCTCCCGGGCTCTTGGCTGCTTCAGTGTTTCTGCGAGGGCTTCGATGAATGCAGAACCCTCCGTATTAGGCGCTTTTTTACAAGCGTGGTGAAAGAGAATCAGGGCGGCATCTCGCCGGCATGACTATCCCAAGAGTCAGGAGTGTCCGGCAAAGGTAGTAGACAAGCGGTAACCTACAGGCTCATCGGATGCAAGATCCTTCAGAATGCTTTCCTCGGAGAATGAACCTGCTCGAGCTAGTTTTAGCTTCCTGTCGGTGCACAAGGGTTTTGCAAGCTTTTAAGGTCAAACACTTCAGGCCAGCACACCTTTCGCAAGCTCCTTCAAACGATTCCGGTTATCGCTGCCGAGCAGCTCGTTTGCACTCATGGTCTGTCCTTTATTGTGTGTTATATTTCGGATCCCGCAACCCTACCCACAGGCTTTGGATTTTTATGTCCTCCTTTTTGTAACAACGCAACGTTTGCAAGAAGTCTCAGCTAAGCGCAGTGATGTAGTCATGGTGAGCTTCAAGCTTGTGAAGCTTTCAGGATTGGGTCAAGTGGGTTGGAAACTTGTCGCATAGTGCGAGGTGGGACGTTGCCTATATTCGCACAGTACGGATTCCCTGGCTGCTGGCAACCTGTTTGGCACATGTCTTGCATGAAATAGCAACTCTTCATTGTTCAATTATATTTATTCGTGATTCGTAGATATGTGGTCTACTATGGTATAAGATTCAACTTTTTCGTGACCCGTTTTCCATGGCTGAGTAGAGAGCTCCGCACACACACCAAAGACCTCCCGTTCACCCCCACGAATCATCGAGCATCCGGGATGCCCAGCTCTTTTCTTCGCTGCTTCACCTCCTCAATAGCCGGCGCGGGGTCCGTCTCGTCCGGGTTCCGCAGCTGCCACGCGACGCACACGTCGAGCGCCTGGCCCGTCCACTTCCCCGGCTTGACGCCCAGCGCCTTGGCGAGCTCGCGGCCGTCGACCAGACGCTTCAGCTGCGGCGCGTCCATGACGTCCATCTCAACCAGGTGGTCCAGGAACTTTTGCCACTCGGCGACGAACGCGTCACGCGCTGACGCGTGCTCACCTCCGTTACCGCTGGGCCAGACGCTCAGCCGCTCAAGGACCTCGGCGAACACCGCCGCGAGCACCTGCAGCCGCCAGGAGCCGCCCTGCGCGTCCCATCGGCGGATGGCCATGCCGAGGCGGTCGCGCTCGTGGACGTGCGGCGCGCCGGTGAGCACGGCGGCCTTGAGGTCGAGGATCTCGGCGAGGTGGCGGTGGGAGGCGGCCATGATATCGGTGAGCTTGTTGGCGGCTTTGTAGCCCTCGCGCGCCACGACACCGACGGGCGGCAGCGCGTTGGCCTTCTTCTTGGTGCCGGGCGGGTCAGCGATGCGCAGCCAGGGGCTGACAGCGGCGAGGTTCCACGCGATCCAGCGCTGCTCGTCGGTGTGCGTGAGGGTGGCGGCGATGGACCCGGGTGTCTGCGTTTGCAGCATGTCGTCGAGGCCGTTGTAGGCGACGGGCCATCTGGTGATGTCAGGCTGCTCCAGACCCGGGCGGGCGGGGTCCGTGAATATGGCATGGTACAGGCCAATGTCATCGATGAGCTGCAGGGCCAAACGAGGATGCTTGTCTAGAGTGATTGTTAGTAGGGGTTTGCGAATATTAGCATATGTAGCGGGCACTACCTTGAAGCATCTTTTCAAGCTCTTGACCGACACGTTCGCGACTAATCTTGACTTTTAAAGCCTCCAACACAGTCTCATCGGCCATGACTTTTCTTGTGTTCTCATCAATGGCAAAGTCGAGCCTACTCGAAAAGCGCACCAGACGTAGCACACGCAGGGGATCGTCTTTAAAGGTCTGCAGCGGTTCTAGCGGTGTCCGAATTATTCTCCGTTCCATGTCAGCCAAGCCACCGGTAAAGTCCTCCACCTCCTCGGTGTTGAGGTTGTAGAACAGGGCGTTGATGGTGGCGTCGCGGCGCATGGCGTCCTCCTCGGCGGTGCCAAACTCCATCTGCGGGTTGCGGCTGTCGTCTGCGTACGTCTCCTTGCGGAGGTTGACAAAGTCGAGGTCGAGGCCGAAGAGGCGCAGGATGGCCGTCTCGAGGTGCTTGGACTTGTCGGGCTGGCGGGCGACGGTGTGCGGGCTGCCGACGTCTCCGGGGGCGAGGTTGTGGACGGCGACGACCTCGGGCCGCTGGCAGTGCTCGCGCAGGTGGGCGGTGAACTGGCCGCCGGTCATGGTGTCGATGGCGACGTCAATGTCGTGGCTCGCGGAGCCGAGCAGCTTATCGCGAACCCAGCCGCCGGCCCAGCGCAGGACGACGGGCCGCGGGCCGTCGACGGACCCCGCGACGTCGACGAGGAGGTCGCGCAGGCGCCGCTCGCGCGGGTCCAGCTGGATTTTGGTGGATATGGGCATCTTGGCGTGGGAAGAACCGTGAAGGAAGGCGTCCAGCTTCCTTTTCATGACACGGAGGGGGAGGCGGCAGCACAGGAGCATGGACCACGGAACGCAGCACGTGGACGAGTTGGCGTTTGCTGCAAGTCCCAAGGGACTGCGTGGCTCAGACTATGAGAAACAGTGGTGGAAATGCGTGCGGCTTGTCGATGGATTTTTACTTGGTGAGCGGGTGAGACGCGGGTCGGGCGTGACTCGTTGCCGGTTTGTTGATGAGTCCGTCTTCTTGGTGGTGGTGAGTAACCTTGTGAGTAATATTGGTGCGGTTGTGAAGTGAAAATATACGCTTATCATTGAGCTTGGTGGAGCACCACAGGAGAATGGACAGTGAGGTGATGCATCTGTTGGAAGAGGTCGTGATAATAATAAAAATAAAAATGGAGAAATATAATTGAATTAAGCCTTGATTTTCTGAATTTTTTTTTTTTGTTCTTCCTTTCCAATCTATTTCAGCCCGCAGTGAAGTCAAATGTGAGCAGCAGCCAATACTCACACCCGCACCACCAAGGGTCGATTAGTTCAAGGCAGACATTTAAGAACAAAGGAAACGATTTATTTCGGAACAAGATGAATGGCAGAGTATGGCAAAGATACAATTCAAAAATATTGCAGGCAAAAAGCTTAAGTTCTTCCCCTCGCTTAGATAGGCGAGGTTGAACAATGCGACAACCATCATTGATTGGTCTGCTCGTCGCCTTGTTCGTGGCATTGTCATGGTGCAACGCCATGCATCACACCCATCTCTCCGCCAAATAAGCCTCCCGAATCATTGGTGCAGTATTCAATACAAGGCTGGTGTGCATCCTTCCGCTTTCAAGATAGGCGACAACTGGAACCACGTTCCACCTCGGCTCGGCGTATACATGATTTAGGGCCTAGACATAGACTCACAATACTGACCATCCATCATTGTCCTATTCGGCACCTAATATCTAAATCATCTCGCTAGCGTCTTGGTTGGGAGACCTTTCAATCCTGCCCAACGGCTTGACCCTTGGCGATGGCCATCTGCCGTGCCTATATAGAGGGCGGAAGCTTAATAAATGCAGGTCTTGGGAGCTACCGAGACAGCAGGCGCGGGGGAGGCCATGCACGCAGCACATGGTGACTTGAGATAGCCCTGGCACTTCACTCTCAGTACCATCACAGCCTGACAATCTGCCGAGAAGGGCGGCCGAGACGGCGCACACCACGATGTGGCCACTGGCCCGTCCAAGGCCCGATCTCAAGGACGGTGGCTTGCATCGGAGGCCGCGAGCCCTGTGGGCAACACAGGAAAGAAACCACATGTCAAGCGATGAGAGGGTGGAATCTGGGCATCGCATGCAAGGCAAGGCAGGCTGTTGCTGGCGTTTACACGATGCGGGACAAGACCTGTCATTGTGGCGAAGCTGCCGAGTGGCTGCTGCGCCAAGACTGGCTGGTCGGTACGTCTAGCGAGATATACCGACAAGGCGTAGAGCCCGCAATACGGGACTGTAAAACAAAGACGGGTGGGGGGGAAAGGCCATGTCGCTGTATGAGTGATTGATAACTGACGGCTACGAACAAGGTTGCGTTGTCAACAACGTGTCTAGGGCAATATAAGCGTCGCAAGCTCGGCTGTCCGCCTCTTTGTTCTCAGTCACTTGCCGTTGTCCATTCTAGGCAAAGGCGATCATGAGTGGCCGTTCCGAACGACGCCACCGGATAGATGTTTGACTGGCCAGTCCGTCTGAATTCAGAGAGGAAAGTGAGATGTGAGTGTTGTCCCGCCAGGTCGTCAGGCGGCGGTCAGAGTGGGCGCAGGTTTCGGTGACGAGCGACGCGGTTCTTTCATAAAGGCCGTAGCTATGCAACTCCATGTGTATCGGATGTTTTTATGTGATGCCGCAATATCTTCTGTTCTTCGTCTTACCAGGACACGGGTACGAGCCCAATTGTTAAGAGCTGTCCCACGCTACAGCCTGTCAACTTTTTTGGCCCTTTCTTCACTAGCACAGTTTGTCTCTAGCATACCGGGTGCTCGGTGCCGCTGCCATTGGGTTTTTGACTTTCGTCAGAAGGCGGCCCAAGAGCGAGCGCGTGCCTGGTCTTATATCGTCACGAGACCATGGGCCTCGTTGGGGAGGATCGCCGTCTTTGGATGTCCCGCCTGCGCCACCCACCACCGTCACAGGCGCAGCGAAAGCCGAACGAAAGGCTGCGTGAATTGATTGATTGTAAATTTAAAAAAAAAGAAAAAGAAAAAGAAGAAGAAACCCTGTAATTCAGGAGATGGCAAGAAAATGGCTCAGGGGTACATTGAGGGTTATTGACGAAACCGGCCTGGCGCAGATGACGTTGGCGGTAAAGAGGCACCGGAGCAGCAACCGGGGCAGCCTGGGCCGGAGGGGTCCTCCGCGGCCGCAAGGCTATCCGAAAAAGGTAAAAGTGAGGCAAACCTGCGTCACACGGTGCAAAGACACTAAGGCTGGAAAGGCCATGGTTTCTTTTTCCTCCGTTCTGTTGCAGAAGCTAGTTATCGTTTGTAAAGAGAGAGGTCCAGGAATTTCGCGCATACAATGACCCAGAGGCCGCCTGTGAGCTTGCGGGAACGGGACCCGTGAAGCCCGGCTCGCCGTTCTTCTCGGCGAAACAGTTTGCCTTCTCGATGCAGCTAGGTAGATATGTTAACGTCAAGTTGTCTCGGAGGGGGGACCACTCGTGTAAGTTGTGGCTGGGTCTCGGTAGCATGGCAGAGCCAAAAGGTCAAGACGGCGGAGCCTAACTTATAAGTTTAGTTGCCATGAAGTCTATTCCAGTTAAGAATGAGACACGGAGGGGGGGCGTGAAGTAAAGGTCTCTTCATCTATTTGCTCTATTATGATTTTCTCATGATAATAAAGTAGAGGTGTGAAAGAAGAACGCCCGGTAGCATACCATGCCCGTGACGTCAAAAGTCCAGGGCGAGGAGGGGAGGCAGAAGGGGGGTGCACTGATCGGCTTGTTGAGCGAACGGGGAGGGGGGGGATGGGATCGCGTTCTCCCCGGCTTCATCACCATGCAGGGAGGTCGGCAGGGTTGTCTGTTGTCTAACTAACTAGCGTCGAAAACCGGGTTTTTGCGCATGGCTGATGTATGCTTTTTGGGCTGTGTCGATGCTGCTGAGGCAGTGAAAGGTGACTGGCCGCAGCAAGCACAGCAGAGCTCCCCACACAGCCCTGACGACGGAGGCGCGAAACGAGGCGATGCCGCATTTGTCCGGCGAGGGTTGCGTCCTTGGTTTGCTGGGGGCGATGCGAGAGGGCAGCGAGGACAATTGTCCCCGTGCGATGTGAATGGGAGAGAAACTAGTGGCGTATGTGTTGCGTCTTTGGTATTAGGTCACAGGTATGTAACTATGTATGTAGTAGGTATGTAGGTAGTAGAACGGTGTGTGGTGAGCGGGCGGGGGAGACGAGGGCATGAAAAGGCGTCCAATATAAAAGGTGCCCGCCCGTCCTCTTCAGCGTCGTCTTCATCTTGCGCCCATCTTTTTTTATCTTTTTATACCCTACGCCATCTTTTCCATCTCTTTCAACCCAACCCAGGACCCGATAGGTACGGCTGTCTGCAGCATCTCGATAGTCCCGTGAGTTGGCATTGACTAACACGGTTCATTGTAACAGACTCGAGTCCTTGTCTCCGAGACCGAGAGCCATACAAGCAAAGAAAGCCAACTCAGCCACACACACCTACCATCATCTACATATACCTTCACTCGCAAACATGGCCAGCGAAGACGCCACCACCACCACCACTACTAATACCACCGGCCAACCCCCTGTCGTGGTTCTCACAGAGTCTCCGGCAGCATCTGTGCCCAAGGAGGACCGCCGAATGAGCGATGAATGGGGTGAGTGCCATATTATCTCCCTATTTCTTGCCCCTCTCAAACACTCTCCCATCCCAATCGCCATAATCATACCATAACTACACCATATTCCCACATCCGTCCTGGCAGTCATGCAACAGCTTCCCCGCCCCGCTGGCCCGAACGTACCGAAAGCCGCCCCAAATTCCCAGCGGGGGTGCCCTAAAAAAAGGGCACTAAAAAGCTTTCCCTCAGGCCAACGACCGCTAAACCTCCCCGACATACCCACTAATCGCACTATTTCGATACCCTGAATCCGAATTCCGCCCCATCTCGCCTCCCGGTGTAACTCGCCTCAATGAAAACTGGTTCCCCATGGTCACATTTAAAAAAGAAAATAAAAAAAAGGAGGGAAAAAAAAATCTCAGCAACTAACAATATATTTCTGCAGACGCCGCCAAGGTTCCCCCTAGCCGGTTCCAAAAACGAAAAGGCTCCATCTACGCGACCGCCAGCTCCCGCGATGGCCACGTCGACCGCAACTACCAAGAAAAGTACCACGCCAAGATCGCCGAAATGCCAAAGAGCAAGTATTTGCCTTACTGAGGAGGAACCTACCGTCGTCTTCATCTAGCGTTCCAGGCGTCCTTTTGTTTTATCGCGGGTGGGCAGGGCAACACCTTGAAATAAAGAAGAAAAAAAGGATCAAAAAATTGAGGTTACAGCGTGATTGTGTTCTGCACTCTTTCCCTACGGCCCAACAACTTCTCCTCTTCTACCTTGTAGTTCAACATGTCATTTTGTTGTTTCTAGCTCTTAGTTTCGTCATTCCAACTCAGACTACAAAAACAGAAAAAAAAAATTGAAATGAACATTTTCATATTTTTTGTGGTGATTCTATATTTTCTATTTCTGTATGCTCCCAGATCGCCTCTCGCATTTGCTTCCCCCCGTGATCCCGATTTGCCAGTACCAAAAATGCCCAGAAAGATGGATGCTCCATATTCGGGCCAGGAGAAAATAAACACAACTAACGAAGACAAAGAAAAGGATGGGCAGTGTATAAAGACGACCAAGAAAAAAGTGTCAAGGAAAACGGAAGCCATAACGAGCTTCCGCCCAAAGAATGACCAGTTCCTCACCAAGCAAAAAATGTTAAAAGAATACAACAAACTCCCCATTTCTTGACCAAACCAAGCAAGAAAAAGAACCCAAGAAGAAGCTAGGAGAAATTACAAGTGGTAATCGGCCTCGTAAGGCCTGGAAAATTTCTCAGATCAAAGGAAATGGCACGGCGTTACTCGTCATCGCCACTGTCGATGTCAATCGCATCTGGATTGGCCGCCACAGCTGGCTTGCTGTCTTGCACACCGCCGCCCACCGGTCCCGTGCTGGCGGCCACGAAACCTTGCGGTGCGCGTGCTTGCCTCTCGAGCGCTGCCATGGCGTCCTGCGTGTCCGTGTCCATTTCCCGGCCCGCCGCCGCTGCCGCGGCCTGGCTCTTTGCCAGGGCCTGCGAGGCGATAAAGTTGACATCCGTGTTGTACTGTGCCTGGACGCTACGCTTGATGCGTAGCATCTCCTTGAATGTGTCCTCGTTGCCGTGCTGCACCTCAAACGCTTCCCACTTGCTCCAGAAATCCGCGTTCGTGCGTGGGTCGCAAAACTGCGAGGCATGGCCAAAGATGGCTCGCGCGCGATCGATTTCGCCGAGGCGCTTCTCCATGTCCGCAAACTTGAGGCACATGTCCTTGGCTTCCTCGTCTGGCAGCGCCGTAATGGCACGCTCGTAAATTGGTCGTGTAGAGGGAAGCCCGAAATTGGACGCCGATTTGGTGATGTAAAAGTTGAACATGTCGGCCCGGTCTTCGTCCGACACGGCCCTGGTAGCACGCTCGTAGATGCGCATAGCATGGCGTGCCAGCCCTCGCTCTTCCTCCAGGTTGCCGTACATCAAGTAGATGGTCTTGGCAAACTTGGGCGGGCAGTCTTCCACTGCCTGCTCGAACAAGTCACGCAGTCGCTCGATGCCAATCTTGCGGTCCACAGCCTTGGTCAAATACATGTTCCACAACTCAAAAGCCACGGGGTAGCTGAACAGATCCAGGCCTCTTTCGTAAATCTTGAATGACTCCTCAAAGTACTCATTCTCCTCCAGCAGGTTGGCATAGTTGACCACAGTCTGGGGAGTGGCAATGCGGAGCTCGAAAATGCGCTCGTAAACCTTCTTCACATCTTCCAACGTCGAGACACTCTCAACGAGATCAACGTAGAAGCTCCACAACTTCCAGCTCTTATGAACTCGCTGCTGTGGTGAGAGCGTTTCGTCAAAGTAGTCGACATTCGATCGCTTCGGGGCCTGAACAGCCTTGGCCATAATTCTGACAGCCTCGTCGAATTCTTCGTTCCGGAGCTCCATCTCAGCCCATTCAATCCACATGTCTGCTAGCTCCGCCACTGACTTGAATGGCACTTTGACAGCCTTGTCCATGATAGTTCGAGCATTGCGGATATCGCCTCCTGCCTCGTAAAATTTTGCATAGTTCGTCCAAAGCTGGTGAAAAGGGCCGATTGCATGCTTCGGTTGAATTTTAGCAATAGCGTCTGTGTAGGTCTGAACCACCTCGACCTTGTTGTCGCCCCAGAGAGCCACTCGCTTCTCCCATTCCAGCACTTGGTTAGGATTCTGTCGGAGTAGCACGTCATTGAGGAGGAACGGGCGTCGGTCCATGAGGTGCTCGAATCGCATCATGCGAATATCGAGCTCAAAGTCTGCTTCTTTGTCGTCAATACCTTTCTGGCCGCGGGCAGTCGCCATTTCCATCAGGGCGCCAATTACAGACTCTTCAAACTCCACATAGGAATCGAAGATCAACGTAAAGTCGCGGACGGTCATGACGCTGGTGATGCCTTCTTCAAAGGTATCGCGAGCACGTTCGAAACTACCGCATCGAATCCAGTAGGTTGCCAGACCAGCCCAAAGCTTGCCTCGCTGGTCTGAAAATCGGGAAATTCCACTCCGAATAATGGCCTCGACATCAATACCAGTCTCGTGGCCAGACTGGACTTTGTTGGCGTGGCTCACAAGCAATTCCACCAGCTCGTTCCACAGCTCGAAGTGACCCTTTCCTTGTTTGCTTACGAACCGCGTATTATTGAGAATCTTGATGTAAGTCGTCGCAGCCTCCGTGTACAACTCATTATTAACGAGAAGTTCGATGAAATCCTCAGCATGCTCAGGATGTACCTGCATGTAGCGGCGCCAGATTTTGACCGCAGTCTCGCCCGACGCGGCATTGGCAAATGGGATGTACAGGGCCCAGATGCGGTTGTGTTGTGTAATCGGAAGCGCGCGGAGGGCTCGGTCAAAAACTCGGCGGACTGTTGTCACCATCGGTTGCTTCATCAGGAAAGAGAGGTACATTTCCCAAATTCGAGGCATCTTGTTGAGCAGAATGAGGGCCTGTTCGAAGAGCGCGTTGACCTTGTTGTATTCGTTATTGAACATGGCGGAGTTCAACTTCGAAACATGCTTGACACGAAACTGCAAAAACTGCGGTATGTTAGGCATATGAAGAATATTTCGGTTGGAAATCAGCGCTGGCTACCAAACTCACCATCTTCCAAAGCTTATACGACCGTGGCAGCTGGGCGCAGGCGCGTGCCATCACGAAAGATTTCTCATGCGGAGTTCCATAGCGGGACTTGAACTCAATATACACAAGCCACGGCTTGACACTTGACGGGTCGCGAATTATGTCCTGTTCGTAGACAGAGTCCTCGTTCGTCTGCATACGTGGTAAGCTTCTGATCACATGTCCACAAAACGCGAGCCCAAACTTACCACAAGGTGAAGGTTCTGGCGCTGGTGCGCCTGTCCGTTTGCTACCATGGCTGTCATTTTGAGAAGATAATCCGTTCGGTGCCTCGGGAGGGTAGAGATAGGCGAATAGTCGCAGTTGTGGTTCAGCGAACGAACGGTCCAGGGAAGTTTAGGCGACGTTGCAGCACATGTTTGGTGAGGGCTGGTGAGGAATCAGGGTGGAACACGGCACTCGTGATGCTCAGGACCGTGGCGCACAACACGGTTCTGGCATTGGTCGCTGGATTGTCGGCAGAGGAAGCTTTTGGCAGCACAATTCGCGTCGTCGGAAAAAAAGGTTGGCGTAGGCTGCAAACATGGGACTTCTTCAACCTGACGCTGTACCTTTATTGTTAGTTGCATTTAATGTGGAGACTCAATCTGGACCGTGAAAGTATTCCAATGGCGGATAGTTACCTGCCTGGTGCTAACTAATCCGGCCACCACTTTTTGGCTAACTACCTACCTAGGTAGTTGGCATCACGTGAGAGTACTAGCTAATGTTTCAGAGATACTTTTAAATTAGTGGAAATCACACATAAACAGAGGTATCTTTGAAAGACACAATGTATTTAGCCTACCACTCTCACTACCACCGTCACCGTCACTGCCGCCGCCGCCCCTGAGCTTCTTGAAGCCTCTCAAAACTCACTAATTCGCTCAAAAATCGCCTTTTCGCTGCGGTCAAGAGATGTGTACACAACAAGCAGGATAAGGGTTCTTCTGTGGCTACATGCGTTCAATGAGTGGAGTAATGAGGCATGCTCTGGCCTCACCAGACAAGCTGTGACGTTGGTAGGAGTGGGGCAAGTCTACAACCGCCTCCACGGCCTCTGCTACTGGCTTGCTACTGGCTTGCTACTTGACCATTGTGGTTGCTGTCGCTTTGCTTCTCGTCAACCCATCCTAAGGCGCCTCGGCATTCATTATCCAACATGTCTGGCGCATCTGTGAGTGGTGGGCGAGCGCCTCTTCGGGCACGGCCAGGTTCGCTAACTATGTATGCAGGATCGCGAGCCAGTCTTCCCGACCCGGCAGTCGCTGGGTATCATGAAGGCGAAGCTCAAGGGAGCTGAGACTGGTCACAGTCTGCTGAAGAGGAAGAGTGAAGCTCTCACAAAGTAAGTTTTTTGCGATGGGCCATTGGCAGGGAGATGGTTTCGGCACGATGCTAACTAGCGACAACCTAGACGTTTCCGAGGTTCGTCGTCCGACCGAAGCCACCCGCGGCCCGGTTCCCACTACTAACGCTACGATGCGCGACAGAGATCACGAGAAGAATAGACGAAGCCAAGCGCAAGATGGGTCGGGTCATGCAGATCGCCGCCTTTTCCCTGGCCGAAGTTACATACGCTGTCGGCGGCGACATTGGCTACCAGGTGCAGGAGTCCGCTAAGTCGGCCCGGTTCCGGCTTCGAACTCGCCAGGACAATGTGTCTGGTGTATTGCTGCCTGCGTTCGAAAGCTACCTGACGGAAGGGAATAACGATTTTGGTCTGACCGGTCTCGGCAAGGGAGGTCAGCAAGTCCAGCGCTGCCGCGAGACATATGCTCGAGCAGTGGAAGCTCTCGTTGAGCTTGCCAGCTTGCAAACGGCCTTTGTCATTCTCGACGAGGTCATCAAGGTGGTCAACAGACGAGGTCAGATAACAATGACGCCTGTCACCACCGTATTACAGCCTGCTAACTCTCCCCAAGTCAACGCCATCGAGCATGTTATTATACCCCGCACAGAGAACACCATCAAATACATTAACTCAGAGCTGGACGAGGTTGATCGTGAGGAATTCTACAGACTGAAGAAGGCAAGTGAATCTCGTACTACACTCTTGCTGCTGCAATGGCTAACCCATTATAGGTCGCCGGCAAGAAACAACGAGACAATGCTGTTGCTGATGCGGAGATGAAGGCGAAGCGCCTAGCGCAAGCCAAGGCCGAAGGGGACGAGGCGGCGGTCGAAGCAGCCGAGGATGAGCCTGCCGATATGCTGGCGGCCGAGGAGGACGACGATGTCATCTTTTAAAAGCAAGGCGCCCTCCACATTGACCAAAACATCCACTACCTGAAACCAAGCCCAGGTCGTTGTTATAGTAGATCTTGATGATAGTTGAATTCGCATTATCTTTATTACACACAACTCTTCACATGGATTGCGGGCTTTCGTTTGGGAATCATTGGTAGATTCTAGAAAGTATTTTACTTGCATCATTTTACATAGAATCACAGCCATTGTATTACTAGGATTCGTAGTAGGTTGCCCAGTCATTTTTACACTAAAATTACACGCATACGTTGCCCTTATTGCCTCTGGTACGTGACCTTCAAGTTTCTGTCGCCCAGCGTTATGCCCGCCGTGCTCTCCTTGGCCGCGACAGCACCCTGCTCGGCCTCGTACTCGACGAACGCGATGCCGCGGCGCCCGGGCACCAGGCGCACCTCGCGGAAGCCGTCGAAGCGGCCAAAGATGCCCGCGAGCCCCTCGACGTCGTAGTCGTCCGGCACGTTCTGCAGGAACAGGATCTTGTTGGGCGGCAGGTACTCGTCCGGGATGACGGCCGCCTGCGCAACTGACGTCGACTTGAGCCCCGAAGGCTTGGCGATCTTGGACGGCCGCCCGTCCGCGGGCGTGCCGCCGCCCGGGCGCTTGCCGTGCCTGGCGCCTTCGGCGGCCTCGATGGCCTTTTTCTTCTCTGCATCCCCATGACCTCTTCGTCAGCTTCTTGTCTCGCTTGGTTTTGTAGAGAGAGGGGGGTGGGTGCGCCTCGAGCTCGGCCGGGGAGCCGCTCATCTCGACCGTCTTGTCGCTGCGCGACCGGGCCATGGCCAGGCGCATGGGCTTGTCGAAGAGCGGGAAGCCGTTGATCTCCTCGGCGGCCTCGCGCGCGCTCGCCGCCTCGGCGAACACTACAAACGCCTGGCCCTTGGCCTTGAGGTTCGTCTTGGCGACGACGTCGACGACCTGGCCAAACTCGGAGAAGATGGTGCGCAGCGCATCGGTCAGCGGCTCCGACTTGGCGCGCTCCTCGAGGTTCTGCACATAGACACTGCCCATCGCGGTGGTTAGCCTTATGTTTTCTTTTCCTCGTTCCTTCGCCGCTGTCCTTTCACTTGCGCGCGTCGGGGTGCAATGACACGCACGTAGAGATGGGAGCTTGTTCCGCCATAGTTGCGGGGTTTTATTTGTGCCCCTGGTAATTTCTCAATGGCCAATTATCCAGCCCGCACTCGATTTCGTTGCTTTCTTGCTCTTGGAAGATGCAAAGGTTGGTGGTTTGCGCAGGTGGAAGGTTTGCTGCTGGCAGCTTTGCGCGACACTAGCCGCTTGCGCTGCTGTAGAGCACATGCACTTAACGGGGCTGCGCGGCTGCCTGGCCCCGCGGACGAGCTACCCTGTACGCTGTTGAAACTATATTCAACGCTTTCTACTTGTTTACGCGAGATAATTCTGCATGCGCCAACTACTACCAGATTTTTTAACTATTTATGCTGGTTTTTCGAGTTTGCATTAAAACCTGTGCTGGTAGGGAGTTTGTGTGGAAGTGACGTAGTCAGACCAAGAATGATAAGGTATTGGGACAGTCTGCCGCTTTAGCCGAAGCTCATATACATAATGCCTATGTAATTCTTAATTAGGCGGGGACCATACTAAGATCAATGAAGAAACTATTTTAAAGTATATCAGCATTCGTTTCCCAATACACTATCTCCATACTTCTATTTCTTCTATTAGCTAGATTGGGCCAAATGTCAAAACTCCGTGGCTCAGGCATTAACAAACAACCAGTGCTCCGAGTCCAAGGGTATATATATGCATGCATGATTAAAAGACTCCAAGACCCAAACAAATACGTCCGTTCAAAATAAGGCGAACCACAGAGAAGTCATGCCTCCTCTGTGCCATTTGTCGCGGTATCACTTTGCAGTGGTTTGCTCGGTGGTGGTGTCGAGGAAGGCGAAATGTGCGGCATTGGAGTGGTAGTCCCCTCGACCTTGCCGGCTTGCCACTCGAGACGCTCGCGGACCATGTCGGCCTTGCACCAGAAGACGGATATGACGCCCCAGATGACCATCCAGATGAAGGGGACGGCCCAGCAGATGCCGTAGGCCACCGTGGCGGGAACGGAGTGGATGACGGCAATGACGGTCAGGGGAATGGCGAGGATGATGGCAGGGATGCTCCAGAATATGGACTGTATGTACAGCATACGACGGAAACGGGGGCTGGCCTTGTATCGAGCGGCGAGGGCCTCACGAAAGGGGCGGCCGCCGCCGGCATTGACGGCGACCACGTCTTCGATGAAATAATACGCGGGCGGTAGCACCTGGAAAGCGGTTAGCACAAATCATTTAGAGAGGAATGTGATTCCCGACGAATGGACAAACCTTGCCGCCCTTAGGGGTAGAACTGAGCCGGAACGGGGCCTTCCATCCCATCTGGTGGTAGAGCAAAATCAATATCATGACGCCACCGATACAGTACAGAATCGCCGGGGCGGGCATGCACAGAACGCGGAGCCACACGATGTGAGGCACGCTGCCGACAACGAAGAGCGCGGTGACGGCGGTGATCGTGACGACGGAGGCGTAGGTGACGAGGTCGAAGCACCAGCGGCTGTCGGTGCCGAGCGGGCGGTAGAAGCGCTCGCGCTTGATGAGGCGGAGGGTGCGGACGGCGAACTCGAGGTAGGTCGGCCCCCCCCAGATGGTGGTGACGACGGCGAAGATGATGTAGCCCTCGACGTTGCCGGCGTACCACATGCCGTAGTAGAGGGCGATGGGGATGGCGCAGGCGTCGACGAAGACGAGGAAGGCGAAGATGAAGAGGCGCCAGCGGCGCCAGCCGTGGTGCCACGTGAAGGGCAGCTGCGGCAGCAGGCCCGGGTTGTCGTCGTAGTACTCCTCGAGCGTCTTGCCGCGCCGCCGCCACTCGGCCCGCGTGGCGGCCCGCGAGTCGTAGTAGGCGGCGGCGGACTCGCGCTGCGCGTAGGAGAGGCTACGTCGGGGAGGCTGCGCGTCGGCGGCGGGAGGGGACCGTGTCTTGGCGACCTGCCCGGCGAGGAGGGAGGAGGAGGCGGCGGCGGCGCGGTGGACGTCGGTGGAGTGGCGCAACGGCTTCTTGACGGCGGAGAGGGTGATGGAACGGCGCGGAGGTCTGTCGCTGGTGCGGTCTATGGAGGAGGTGGCGCGCAGATCGGTGGCAGCAGCGTCGTGCGTTTTTGTCGTCGTCTCGTCGTTGCTCTGGGACTGGGCGATGGGGTGTGAGGGCGGCGTCGGAACTGGCGGTAGGTGGGAGGACGGGGCATCGACGGGAGACGTCGGGGTCGAGCTCGCGTGGACGGAGCTGCCACGACGAATCTCTGGCATGACGAAGAGAAGTGTGCTAGAGGATCGAATTGACTGATGTTGAGACCTGACAGGTTCGAGTTGGGAAAGGGGAGAGAGAGAGAAGTAAGTGGTGGAAAGCAGGGCGGCTTGTTGGATGCCTGGATCGCCGTCGGGAAGAATGGACCGGGGATTCCAAAACAAGCCAGAGACGTGGTGGCCCAATGCGCAAGGAGAGGCCTGGGAAAAGAAGCGCAAGACTGATGATTGCGCTTCTAGAATGATGGTGATGGACAACGCATAGTTTTCCTCCGTCTCTGCTGTAGCGCAGGGTTAGGAGGCATTACCTAGTTTATGGTTTTTGCCTCCCAACAGTCGTCGGCGTCAGCGAGGGCAAAAGTTATTTTAAGCCCCTGCTAGTTAGTGCCCTGCAACCCACTACGAACTGCAAGTTGGGCCGATGATGATGCTACATACTCCTACTACCATTTGGTTATTGGCCAATTTTCTCAGGTGGTTAATCCATAACTAAAACATAAACCTGAATGAAGACGCCACAGTGCCAATCGAGCCATGTCGGTGCTCGTCAAAACGCCGGCCCCGATGCCAAGTCCATTGGACGCTGTCAGTTTGCGGGGCTTTGCATTGATAAATTAAATCACCATTGTCTCTCCCTTTTATGTCCGGACCGTGCTCTATCCGGACAACCCTGCAATACAACGGATGCATCGGAACCACCTCCATTGTCAACGACAACTGCTAACTAAATACTTTCCTCGGACCTGGTAAGCTTCTTCTGCCTAATAAACACTTAATGAAATGCTCTGTCATTCCGAAAAGGAAGAAAAAAAATTACTCCAGAACTTCCATCCGTTTCCTGCCTTGATCGTGAACTGCATGGGCCAAGCCATGTGTCTTGGCATGCCGGTCTATGACGTGCCTCCTGCAGGCTGAGAGATAACCATGATGTTACTGCACGACAGATCATCGCCCGCTCAGGCTGTGACATGAAGAAAAAAAAAGTTCAATTCAAGAAATATCAAAATAAACCAAAATCAGCCCGCGCTCCTTGTTAAAATATTTTTCCCCCTTCAGTAGCGCGGGCAACGCGTCTCGGTGCCCTGCAATTCGCCCTCGCACCGGCCCGCCCATCGCCTTGTCCAACTTACTTGGCCTTCTCCGCCAGCACAGCCCCGATGCCCTCCGGGAGACTTCCCCCGCAAACGGCCCCGTCCGGCCCGCCATACTCATCGCCACCGCCTCCGATATCCCGGCCAAGTCCTTGCTTCATCCGCTCGCGAGCGGCCCGGCATCCTCGCCGCCAGCACCTGTCACCCGCAAGAACGCCTCAACTTGGTCCACCCACCCACTGCAAGCGGATGAAGATCCAAGGAAGAGAATCGCAGAATTCTGCTCACCCCCTGCTCGGTACATTGCTACTAGAGCATAGGCTCTGGGCTCTGCACTGCTCTCGATGGGATGAAAAGTTGGTGGGCTTTTGGCCAGTCAAGGTTTGCCATGATACTGGCCGGGCTAAATCGCCGCTCATGCACAACATCAAAGTCATCTAGTCAGGCGGGCAGCTACTGCCTCGCCACAGGACATTCCGACAACGAGTTGAACGAGTTGAATCAATTAATACTAAACTTCATGGGGTATCGTCACTCCGTGTCCTCCAGGTCATGCCCAAAGCATCCGCATCAAAAAGCACGGCTGAGGAAAGGTAGGAGGTACGCGGGGACAGGGGATGATAAAACTACAGGCAAGGACCGCATTTACGCGGGCCTGACAAAGGGAAACAGCCAATTCACCGCACCCAAATCCCGGATGCAGTCAAGCAACTCCACAAAGGAAAGCCTTCTCTAATTAATCACCCAACCACAAAACGCCGAGTTTATGAAGTTTGAGACTGGGGGTTGGTGATGGATTGCAGAAGCCTAGCTTCTCCGTTAGCATGTAGGAGTTGACGAAGACGCGCCTTGGACACCAACTAACTGTAGGTTGCGATCCCTCATCTCGCGGTCAAGGGCATCAATTTGCTTAGCCGTCAACCGGGCCTTGGACAGCTGTGCACTCCGCATTAGCATGCATTCAAAACTGTAAATGCGCCTCAAGAGAGCGTTGCATCAAGTAGGGTTTCTTCGTACCGATGCCAGTGCTAATGAGGAGTGATCATCGTCCGCCTCACCTTGAGAGGTCCCGTCTTCCGTTGCCACGTTTTCCTTGTCATCGTCGCCACCGCTGGCAAACCTGCTGCCCGCCAGGCCTTTCGGCTTGCTCGGTTTTTCCTTCGCCTGATATTCCTCCTCGTTAGCCCTTCATGTTTGGAATGAGTCCATGAGAAGATAACAATACCTTTGCTTCGGCCAACTCAGCATCCTTGACATTCACCTGGGCCTGTAGCTCCTCAAGCCTCTTCTCCGACGACTGAAGCTTGGCAGCTGTCTCCTCCAGCTCCGACTCGAGCTTCTTGGCCTTATTCGAAACCTCTTCGACGAGAGCCGTCATGCTATCGTTAAGATCGCGGTAGTCAGACTTGGCAGTCTGCTCTTTGGTGGCAGCTTCTGCCCGTAGGACCTCGAGCTCCTGCTGAATCTGCCGACCACTCTCATCAGACTTGCCGAGTTTTGCAACGGCGTCATCAAGCTCGCCTTGCTTGCTCTTGATCTCTTCAGTGGCGGAAGCAAGGTGTTGCTCGAATTCCTGCTTTGACGTCTCCATTTCCCGCTTCAACGAGTCCAAAGCAGAAGTATCGGGCTTGGCACTTTTGACAGCGTCCAATTCCGCGAGAGCAGTCATAAGCTCCACTTTGCCATGGGCAAGCTGTTGGCTAATATCCTCGATTTCATCCTGGGCTTTACTCAATGCTTCCTTGGCTGATCCTAGGGCCTCCTGCAGCTCTGTGTTGGATGCAGTGTGGGCGGCAACCTTGTCTTCTAGGCTGGCGGTAGTCTGGCGGTGCTCCGCCATGACATCCTCTATCGTCTTTGAGTGCAGGGCCGTCAGTTCCTCCATGTCCTTGCGCGTATTGTCACCGTGTGTCTTCATGGCATCCATGGCATCTTGGTGCATGTTGATGAGCTTCTCAACTTCGTTCGCGTGGCTTTCCTCAAGCTCAAGGCGGGCAGACTCAAGAGCGCGATCTCCGTTGTCCTCAAGTTCCTTCAGTGCGGCTTGAGAAGCTTCAAGCTCTGCCTTGAGAGCAGCCAGTTCCTCCGCGTGCTTCTTTCCAGCTTCGTCCTTGTAGGAAGCAGAGTCAGACTCGAGCGACAGCAATCTCTCGCTGGTTTCTGCCTTTTCCCTCTGGAGAATATCCAAAGCTTCGGCATGAGTAGCCATTAGTTGCTCTATCTTGGCAGTGTGTGCAGCGTCAGTGTCACCTTTAGCGACATTTAGTTGCTCTAGGTGCTGTGCCTTTAGCTTTTCCAGCTCTTGTTCATGCTCAGTGGACGCCTGATCAAACTTGCTCTGGTGCTCGGCCTTGGCGGCCTCGAGGGCGGTTTGAAGTTTTGTGTTGGCCTCGTCAAGCGCTTTGGTGTGGCCATCCTTGACCTCGGTAAGCTCCTTGGCATGATCGGCCTTCAGCGCTTCCAGGCTCTCGAGATGCATGCCATTGGCTGAGGTAGCCTCGGACTTGGCAGCAGCCAATTCCAGAGCATGGCTGTCACGTAAGTCGGACACTGTCTTTTCGTGCTGGGTCTTGAGTGCTTCGATGTCAAGCTGAGTCTCACTTGCGGAGGAAGCTTCGGCCTTGACAGCCTCAATTTCCTTGGCATGGCTATCACGCAACTCATTGAGAGCCTCCTCGTGCTTGGCCACGATAGCCTGAGTGCCCGCCTGATGCTTCTCATACGCCGCAGCCTCGGCATCGCGTTGAGCCGCTGATAGCGCATCAGCCTGTGCCTGACCAAGATCATCAATCATCTTCTGATGCTCCGTCTTGAGGACGTCTAGGCTCTCCTGGTGGGCTCCATTGGCAGTGGAAACATCAGTCTCGGCGGCCTTGAGTTTCTGAGCATGAGTCTCGCGAAGCTCATCAATGGCTTGCTGGTGCTCGGACTTGAGAGCTTCAATAGCCCCCAGATGAGCTTCACTGGCTGAGGCAGTCTCGGTTTTAGCAGCGTCGAGCTCACTGGCGTGGCTGCTGCGCAGTTCGGTCAAGGCGGTTTCGTGTTCAGCTTTAAGAGCATCAATACTGGTTGTGTGCGATGCGTCAGCAGATGAAGCATCAGTCTTGGCCGCCTCAAGTTCCTTGGCGTGATTGTTGCGCAATTCGATCAGGGTATTTTCATGTTCGGCCTTGAGAGCATCGGTGGCTTGAACGTGCGATTCGTTGGCTGATGAGACATCTGTCTTGGTGGCCTGAAGTTCCTCGGCATGACTGTTGCGCAACTCGGTCAACACTTTTTCGTGCTCAGCCTTGAGAGCATCAAGGCTGAGAGCATGAGACTCGTGGGCCGTAGAAGCGTCGGCTTTGGTGGCCTCGAGCTCCTTGGCGTGAGTTTCGCGCAACTGGGCCAATGCAGCTTGATGCTCAGTCTTCAGAGATTCCAGGGTCTCAAGGTGAGATTCGCTCGCAGAGGAGACATCAGCTTTGGCGCCGGCGAGCTCTTTGGCGTGGTTCTCGTGAAGGTCATCTAGAGCTTTTTGGTGCTCGGCGCTCTTAGTTTCAAAAGCGGCGACGTCGTCGCCATGCAGAGCCTTGGCATCAGCAAGTTCCTTAGCGTGTGCCTCGGCGGCTTCGGCAGACGAGGTTTTGAGGGAAGCATGTTTCTCTTCGAGCTCAGTGGAAGACGCCTGGAGAGTTTCATGCTGCTTCTCGAGCTCCTCGTACTTGCGCTTGAAGAATGCATCGCCACGTAGGCTCTCAATTTCATTTTCATAGTCCTGAGAAAGTTGCTTCATGCGCACATCATGCATAGTTTTGAGCTTCGCAATGTCGTCATCTTTATCAGCGAGTGTGGTCTGAATATCGCTGTTCTTCTGCTGCAGCTGCTCCAGGGTATCGTTTATCGAGGCCAGCTCTGCAGTCTTGGCCTCAAGCTCCTTCTGCAGCTCCGTGGTCACACTAGCCGATGCTTGATCGGCGCTCTGGTTGGCGTCGCTCAGCTCCGCCTTGACGCTGTCAAGCTCGGCTTGGAGAGCAGCCAGCTGCTCGTCAGACTTGGTCTTATCCCCGCTGGCAGCGGTTAGAGTAGCATTGACAGCGGTCAGCTCCTCAATCTTCTTTTCTAGCTCAGCAACGGAAGCTTCGTGGCCGGCTTTGAGCTCAGCTAAAGCGCTATCATTGTCAGATGCGCCGGATTGAGTCTGAGCAAGGCTGGCCGTGGCCTCGTCAAGAGCCTTCGACTTCTCTTCTAAGTTAGCCTCGAGGGCTTGACGGGCGTCCAGGGCCTCGCCAAGTTGCGCTTCTAGGGCAGAAATACTCGCTTCGTGCTCCGACTTGAGTGCAGCAATGGCACCCTCATCTTGCGCGGGTGCTATGGTTTCGGCGGTTTCGGAAGGCTTGTCGGCCTGGTCACGGAGTTCGGAAATGGTGACTTCAGAAGCCTTAACCTGACCGTTCAGCGAAGCAATCTCCTCCTCCTTAGAAGCAAGCTCCGTCTTGAGCTGTTCGATCTCCCGAGACGCATCGTTGGGGGTGCCGGCTCGCGACGCAGGGCGGGCGGCAAGGCGAGGTCCCGCGGGCGAAGAGATGCCGCCGGCAGTGGAAAGTCTCTTCGCCGTAGGTGTTACGGCCGTGGGTGTAGAGCGAGCAGTGGTCGTGCGAGCCGCGGTTCCGGAGAGAGAAGATCTACTGGCGGTAGAACTGGCCGCAGTAACAGGTTTCCTAGCAGTGCCTGCCGTAGGGACAGCTGGCTTTCTCTCGGTTGTGGACTTGCCCGGGCTGGTCATGACGCCGCTCGCACGCCTAGCGGTAGCAGTCGAGGTAGCGGGCTTCCTCTCATCTTCGCTGGCACTGACACTGGGGTGACTGCGGTGTGTAGCGGTGGTTGAGGAGGAGGTCGGGCGACGTGCAGTGCCGGCCGTCGCTGTCACCGACGTAGGTGGGCGCGTAGGTGGCTTGCTGAGGCCAGCGGTGGTTGTCGTTCGACCGGTCGAGGTTGTCGTAGGCCCTGTAGCTGAGCGTCTCGAGGCAGAAGTAGCCGTAGCCGCGGTTGCTCTCGAGGAGGCGGCAGGAGCGCGTGGCGACGCGGTCTTGGGAGCGGTAGTACTGCTAGACATGGTGGGTGTGTGTGGCTGGATGCTACCCAACGTCGTTTCTTCAGGGCGGGAGGAACGAATGCAGGCAGGGTATCAAAAGAAAAAACAAAACAGCTGCTTGATGATGATGCAAAGAGGGGAGAGAATGAGGATTGGCGGCACAGCACTCCGTCCTAGCGAAGGAAATATATTAGACCCCGTCTGGCCAGGTTGATATGGGCCAGGGGAAGAGAGTGAGCGTTGGGGCTACCTGTAATAAGTCAAGTTAGCAGTAGGAGATGGTGGCGGCCAAGAATGTGGTGGTGCGTGGCAATAGCAGAGGTGGGGAGGGGTTATATTAGGGGTAGCTTGCCAGCCCAAGGTCCTTGAAGTCTGCTGTCTCGCCAGAATGTCTCGTACAAATTTACGGATGCCATTGATGCATTTGTTTGACTCCCCCAGGTACCAGGCAGGCATTTCTTTTACATGGCAGCATAGCAGTGGCCGGCTACGTGGGCATAGTTAGTGGTTCATGACGAACCACTCCAAACACAGCATGTCCCCGTACAACAATCAATTGAGAATACAAACAACGGCAATGCATTGGTAGTCACCGTAAGAATCCCCATTCATCGAAATTGATAAGGGGATAGGAAATTGCTGCTAGCTCAGCCAATGAACCAGGGGGGTGGTGGCCACGACGTTGTAGCTGGTCTGCCAGCTCAGAGTCTCCGACTTTTTATTGACCACATGACGTGAATTGACAATGCGACGTTGACAGCGCAGTGCATCATCGTATTTGAGTTGCTGATTGGGACCCTATGCGTCTGATGTTGGGCGTTGTTTCATGCAAGCCGTCAAACAGATGGCGTTGCGCAACATGCTCGCAACAGCCCACCCAACATTGCCAACGTACTGGTACCCAGTACGGATAGCTACACCAGAAAACACCCATTCTCCCATTTCCCATTCTCAATAAAACTTCAGGCTCAGGCTAGCCTTCCCGTCTGTGCGTGCGGGTTCGGTGGAGATTTGGCATCCTGTGTTATCCGCATCTAAAATAAAATCAAGCTTTCCCCTGAGTTCCTGGTAACTAGGGCAGACCACTCGCCACAGAGCTTGCTGAGATGCGCTACACCGCCTCAAACACGCCCATGTGGCGCTGCTCCACATTCAACTTTGGCTCTGTCCCTCACTTTGTTGTTGGCAAACGGCGTAATTAGTAACTGGCAAAGAGAGTACGATGCAGCTGAACAACTCGTCGATGTATTGCCATGATATGCACCATACCAATCAATGGCCTACGTCTCTCTGCATATGAGCTGATTGGTAATCTAACCATTCCCCCGCCTTCTCCTACCACTCCTCCGCCCGCTGCCCATCCAGCAAACGAGCATATCCGGGGTGCATTGCGCCACGACTTACCGCGTCTTGGCAGCTCATCTACAGAGGGTATACAAAGCGCAGGTTTTGGCGATCTGTTAGGTCGAGATCATCGTCCTTGAGGTGCATAACCTCGCTGCCGACCTCAAGAACGTCATTGTCACTGTCGGTACCTCGCTCTGCAAGAATTGCAGCGCGCTTCTTGTTCTCGTGCTGCAGGTAAAATCGAATAATGATACACATGATGGGCGAAATGAACCAAAACGCCGTCATAAATGCCCAAGGCATGATGTAGCGGGGCTTGTACTTGGACTGCCAAAATCTGGACGCCAATCCATCAGCATCGAACTCTCGCGGCGATACCGCCATCAACACTTACTCTGGAGAAATCATGTTTGCCACTGAGGCGGCTACGATGCAGGTCGACATGACATAGAGTTTCTTTGTGTAGCCAATCGTTGTCGTGCCGGCCCACGAAAGACCCAGCAGGTACGACGGCTTGAAGGTCGAAATCTGCGTGCCGACCACCAGAGCGACCTTGTTAGACCACGGGGCCGTCAGCATGATTAAGCCGCCAACAAAGCAGGGGATGTATGAAATGGCACAGGTGTAGCCCACGCCCAACTCTGTCCAGAACAGCATCCCTGCCGACACAACGATCAGGAACGAGCCCCAGAGCGGCTTGGCGATGTTGAACAGGGCACTCTGCGCCGGTGTGAATCCGAATCCAACGAGGATGAGGGGAAGCTGCTGGGAAGTGTTGTTGGGCAGCTCATTGAAGAACATGTGAAAACTATACGCCGTCAGCCCTGTTGGGGCAATCTCATGCTCAACCTTGACACAACGTACATGAACAGCCAGCTTTTGGGGTCGGTGAAGCACTCGCGGACCTGTGACCATTTGAAGTTCTTGTTGCTAATACCGGCATGCGTGGCACGAATGGCATCGATTGTATGTATCTTTTCATCCACCGTCAGCCATTTAGCTTCGACCGGCGAGTTGGGCAGGAAGATGGCGAGGGGGATGACGACGATAAAGGTGAGGATGACACAAATGATGTGCATCCACTTCCACGAGCTGAGGTTGCCGACAAGCGAATGGTGGTTATCGTCGAGGATGAGCTTGTATGAGACCATGGTGAGGAGGACATTGGCAAAACTGCCCGATGCCCACCACAGCAGCTGAACCCACGGACTCTTTTTGGGCGGGAAGAAGGCCTGATGCAGAACAGTCGTCGATGGGACAATTTGTGACTCGGTCTATCAAGGAATCAGGGTCAGCAGCCAAGACTTGGCACCCGATGCATCGCGGGCCGTGGCTTACCATGCCAAGAAGAAATCGGAGGGCAATCATCTGGGGGTAGTTCTTGGCGAGCGGGTGCAGCCCCAGAAGCAGGGCCCAGAGGGTCAGGGAACCAACGATGAACTGCTTTTGACCGACGCGCTGGGCGATGGCAGCGCCTGGCCAGAGTGCAATCAGGTAACCGGCAAAGAAGATGACAAACAGGTGGTTGAACTGGTTCTTGGTGATGTTGACGTCTTCGAAGATGCCCATGGTGCTGGCCTGGGAAAGCGTCGACTTGTCGAGATGGATCAGGAATGCAACCCACCACGTCTGCGTGAGCAGGAACCAGAAGTTTTTCCGCGTCACCTTGTTGACCTCGTGAGGCTCAAGGGCACGGGCGGAGGGCTTGTGCTGGTTGTACCACACCGTGGTATCGTCAATGTCGCGCTTTGTGACAAAGTGAAGGGTGCGGCCCGGTTTGGCATCCTTCTCTGTCACGACATCGTTCTTCGCCGCGAGCCCTGGAGACCCAGCATCGGAACCGGAATAGGCCTCAACAGGTTCAACAGCCTCGACCGGGCCTTTGGGAATGTTATTTTTGTCCTCGGCCATCTTTGCTGATGTGCAGGCGAAAACACGACGAGTATCAACGGAACAACGAGAGAGAAGGAGAAAGGTCTCTCGCACGGGGCGGGTGTTTTGATGCTGGCAAGGTTGCATCCAAGTGCTGCAAGGCGCTGAGACAGTCGAACCTTTATACGACGCCTCACTTCTTGTGATGGATGTGATGTCGGGAGCTACAGCCTTGTCCGCGTTAGGCGTCAACGTTTTGCTTTGTTCAGCTACGTGCGGGAAGTGCTCATCTACTTTCTACAAGCTCAGTTTGCGGGTCATGAGAAACCAGGGAGAAGCCGCTTACCATCATGAATCGCTCTAGCCAACGTGGTATCCGTGCCCGAGAACGTAAGAAGACATCAAGGTGGTGTTGGATGATTCGGTCTTTCTTCCGTATTGATAATCTCTCCCCTCTCTTCAGCCTCGATGACTAGCATGGGACTCTATGCGCGGTGCAGGGTTTGTGCTTTTCTGGATCTTCTTCGCTCATCAATGTTGCTCAACATGAACGAGGCAAAGCCTCCGCGGCCAATCTCGTTGGCCCAATCCGCGGCCAATGATTACAGGCGGAGAACCAAGCACCACAATTCAGTGAAGCTAAAATTAACCATAAAGGTTCGTGGATAGTCGTGTCCGGCCCGCAAGCTTGCAGCCGAGTCTGGGCGATCCCATCCCCATCTGAGTCTCTGCCGGATGAGAAACATGGCTAGCTGCAGAAGATTGAGCCCCGCTGCTTCTTGGATCGCCGTCTTCCTCTCGAATCAAAAGCCTGGCGAATTCCACCAGCCCTCTCCCTTCTGAACAATAGGAGTTTTACTACATTTACCCTTACTTTTGTCCTTGTTCTTAAACCCAATAAGCTTATACCACACACCCCTCCTTTCCCTAGTCGTTGATTTGTCCGCGGCACCCGCCTCTCCTTGCCAGAATGAGCGAGACCAAGTCTGTCGCCGTTGTCGGTGGTATGCATCACGCGAGCCCCCCTTGCCCATTATTGAACAATTGTTTTTCTATACATCACTTTTGCTAGCGTCGGAGTACTATGACTAACAAATATTGATTTCAGCTGGCATATTCGGCCTGTCGTTGGCTGTTGCGCTTCGCGACAAGGGTAAGCCATCGCGAGCCGTTTGCAAGTCCGGTTCATGTTGCCTTTGCTGACGTCGAACTCCGCTTGAATAGGCTACCTCGTCACAGTCTTTGATCGTCATGCATACGATGAGACCCAGTATGACCCTGCCGCCGACGAAAATGTCCAGGCAGCGTCTGTTGATCACAACAAAATTGCAAGTTTCCAGTAAACCGCTGGATGTGTAAGTGCTAATACAGAATAGTTTCGAGCCTCGTATGGTACCAAGCTCCATTACCAGCGTTTGGCCTTGGAAAGTCGTCAGGAATGGATTGCGATTAACAAATCCTCCGGCATCGACCTGTTCGTCCCAAGTGGCATGCTTCGAGTCCAGCCCTCAGACGAGCTCGGCGCCCTGGAGAAGGAGACTCTTGCCAACATGGAACGTGATGGCATCCGAGAGACTCAGTTTGTAAAGAGTCTGGCGGAAGATAGAAAGCGTGCCAAAGCGCAAGGTTGGGAAGGCAAGCTTCTTGAGTTTCCTATTCCAGACAGCACTGATGCTGGAACCTACGAGGCAGTTCTGGACTCTCTTGGTGGCTTCATGCGCTGCTCTCACGCATGTCTGTATTTTCAGCAGCTTGCAGCTTCCAAAGGGGTCGGTTTTGTCTTTGGGAATCAGCGTGGTGATGTCGAGTCTATCGTGGAGGAAGCGGTGGGCGACAAGAAGAAGGCAGTAGGAGTAAAGACCAAGGATGGCATCATCCACAAGGCCGATGTAGTGGCTGTCGCGGGCAAGTGCATAACAACGGCTTTTCTTGTATCATTTCTAACATTTTCAAGGTGGTTCATTTACCACGCAGCTCGTCCTGGATCTATCGACGCACCTTGAATCGTCCGGCGGCAGTCTTGCCACCTTTAAGATTGACAAGGACAACAAGGCGCTCTGGGACAAATACTCGCCCGAGAACTTCCCAGTAATTACCTGGAAAAGTACGCCTCGCAACAAGACAGGAAAGGACACTGGAAGCGTTTACGTGCTCCCCAGAACCCCGGACGGCCTAGTCAAGATCGGATTTCGAGGGATCAAGGTCAGACCTGAATCGAGCTGTGGCCTATTTTTCTCGCTAATCTTGCGGCAACAGTTTACCAACTTTCAACCGGCCCCCGAAGGCGTTCCATTTGCGCAAGATGGCAAGTGGTCTATCCCAATGTCGCCTAGAGACTCGTGCACCATTCCCGAGGCCGCTGTAGACTCGATCTGGCAATTTGTCAAGATATTCTTGCCCGAGTTTGATCAAGTCCCATTCCACTCAACCAAGCTCTGCTGGTACACCGACTCGCTTGACAATTCTTTCGTGGTGCGTGTTTACGACGACGTTGCGAGTTTTGGGGCTGACAGACGATAGATTGACTATGTCCCGACTTACACGGGCAACTCGCTATTTGTCTGTACTGGTGGCAGTGGCCATGGCGCCAAATTTTTGCCCGTACTCGGAAAGGTAAGTCATTGAGGATGGCGAGTCTTTTCTATTTAGCTCCTGCTGACCGTTCTTAGCACGCTGCGGATATCTTGCAGAATGGCGACAAGGCGACGAGCTTCTTGCGCCCTTTCTGGCGCTGGCGACCTGATGCTCCACGCCGCAACGGCCTTGAAGATGGCCCTGATTGTCCAAGAAACATTGGCCAGACCTAAGTAGAGTGAAGTTGAATTGAGTTAATCTTGATGCTTTATTCGTTTTCTGTGACAGAGATGAGCTGGAGAGACAGATGCTTTGTGTGTTCGACGAGCAGTCAAGTCAGTCCAATTTTTTTGGCTACAAGTATATCTAACCTAGGACCAACAGCTTCGCACCAACCTACCGCCATCCTACAGCCCTTTACGCACCGTGAATCCACTGGCCCATCCACTCCTTGTTGACCTTCTTCGCCTCGTCCACCATGCCGAGCTCCAGCAGCAGCTGCACCGTGCCGCGGACCGCCGAATGCAGCGCCGAGCTGATCCACGCGTGCGTCGGCGCCGTGTGCTCGCCGATGAAGATTGTGTTGAACTCTGTGCGGTGGTACGCCGGAATGTACAGGCGGTGCTGTTCCACGTCCGGACGGCACCACGCCGCCGCCGCGTGCTGGTCCTGCAGCCAGCACAGCTTCTCGTACACGCCCGTGTAGCTCTCGCGCGCCTGCTCGCCGTGCAAACTTACCACCGCGTCCAGGACCATCCCCGCATACTCGTCGTCGCTCAGGCTGACGAAGCGGTCGCTCCAGTCGCCGCCGCGGTACTGCGTGATCAGGCCCGGGCGGCCGGTCTCGTTGAGGCCGTAGACGGGGTAGTACAGGGCGCCGACGGCGTTCGAGGCCGGCTGCGAGTAGCCGCCGAAGATGGGCCGCGGGCCGCGCTCCCAGAAGCGCTCGGAGAAGAGCAGCGCCAGCTTGCAGGCCGACTTGAAGCGCAGGCCGGCCTCGCTGATGGCGCGCCCGAGCACGGACGAGAACGGCGGCAGCTCCATGAAGCGCGTCATGGTGAAGGGCACCGCCACAACGGCGTAGTCGTAGTCCTTGTGCACCGGGGTGCGGTCCTCCACGCTCGGGAACCACGAGACGCGCGTGCCCGTCTGCTGGCGACCGGAGCCGTCGTACACGGGGGCGATCTTGCGGACCTTGCGGTTCAGCGTCAGCCGGTCGTGCACGTGCGGGACGAAGGCCTCGGTGATGCGGTCGAAGCCGCCGTCGACGCACTTCCACTCCGTCTCGCCCAGCGCGCCCGCGGAGCCGTCCTGCGCGAGGTTCGAGTTGTGGTGCAGCTCGTCCCAGAAGACGTCGTAGTCGGAATCCGTCCAGATGGCGTCGGTCACGTTCTCGCCCGCGCGGAACCGCTCCCGCATCCACGCCTGCTCGCTCAGGTCGTCGAGCCCCTGGCCCATGGCCCAGGCGTGGGCGCGCCACACGTCGCGCTGGATGAAGCGCAGCGTCTCCTCGCGGCGCAGGAGCGCGTTCATCTTCCCCTTGACGTCGCGGTACTCCTGTGTGTCCATCGGCGGCGGCTTGGCGAGCGCGGCCGGGTCGGCGGCGACCTCGGCGCGGGTGGGCACGCGGTCGACGCCGCCGGAGGGGGAGCGCAGACGGCCGGTTCCTCGGGCGAGCAGCTCGTTGGGGTGGTGCTGCACCCAGGGGATGAAGTCGATGCGGAGGCGCGGGTCGTCGCCGTTGATGCGGTTGAGCGTGTCGGCGAGCTGAAAGGTCATGCGGTGGTCCGTGTAGGCGTGCGTCGAGTTGTCGCTCTTGTAGGTGATGCTCCAGGGCAGCCGCATCGGGCCCATCTCGGCGTACTCGGCGGTGCCGCCGACGAACTTGGTCCGAAACCGGCCGCCGACGCGCCCGCTCGCCTCGATAATCTCCCAGTTGTGGACGCCGACGCTGTCGAGCAGGAGGCCAGTGGCGAGGCCGGAGACGCCGGCGCCGACGATGGCGATGGTGACGTTGTCCCGACGCGGGACGGAGGTGCAGTTGATGGAGTTGACGCCCTCGAACCACGCGCCGAGCGAGTCAAAGTCCTCGAGCAGCGGGCGCTGTCCGCAGGCCGAGCTCGCGGGCTGCTGCGGCCGGGTGGTGGTGCTGTTTTCGGAAAGAGGCTTTCCATTGCCAATGCTGGCGAGGGCAGCTACTAGAAGCTTGCTCGCCTTGCAAAAGTTGCCCATTGTGCCTGATCAAGGTGGTACGCTTATTAGTGCCAGGCACATACGCCCATGGCAAGGGAGGCTACTATAAGTATACTTTGAGAATCTCGACTTATGGCTCCGGTCCGGCCATCTCAGGCACCCATCCGATTTCTCCCTGATTCCCCTGCAGCGTTGCACGACATCCGCGTACATACATCAACCTCAGCAAAACTGACGCTTTATTCGTCCTAGTGCCGGCAGTTGTCAATACGTACGTATTATTATAATTATTATTATTTGCTCACCCTGATGGCTGCTGGGGCGCGGCGATCCACATCGACGAGTCCATCATGACCATGCTGTTGCTTGCGTGCTACAGAGAGACTGACAAGAAAAAAAAAATCTACCGAGCTTGCTTATAAGCTTATCTAAACTCGGCTGAGTTGCCTATCCTGGAATGGGAACTTGAAGCGGTGGCCCCCCGGCCCTTGCCAAGCAGGGAAGCCCGATCTGCCGCCTTGGCCCATGATTCTGGGCCTGGTGGAACGGGTTCGCCCTCAGGGTTCTCGGTCCCCTTATTGCGCGCGTTAATCTAAACAAATACGGTATCGTGGCCAGGATCACCTTTCAGCTTTGGAATCCTGGAAACATGTACGGGCAAATGACGGGCACCGACCGCCCATCCACCGGCGTGTGGCCTGTCGGTGTGTTCTGAGCGTTGGGGTCGATCTTGCTGAGTCTCTGGCGGGTTGGTCGTTTGCAGCTTTTGCTAATAACTCATACAACTGTTACGCTATACGACGACGGACGATTGCTGTACAGCCTCGTGGGACCGCGTACACGACATGAAGCTTCTACTTGTGACTGTCCTGCTCCGTGTCACGGCTGCCACTGCTGCGCAGGTGACGTCAACAGGCAGAACTGTGTCCGTGGGCGACATTCATTACTTTGTTCCTCCATGGTATGTGGGCAAAGTTGTTACAAGCCCAGCTATAGATGCAGACGATCTTGTTCCAGTCACCGTCGTCAACGTTAACTCGGCCTCGTTTGGTGAAGCTTCTCTCGCTCAAACTCGAAATGACTTTTTGCAGAAAGACGACGTCATCCAGGATGAGTTTTTCAGAGGCATGTTTTATAAAATCATTACTATGAATTATACTGACCAGCTTCCAGTTGTGTATTTGGCTGGGGAGACGGCCAAGTCAGCGACATCGTCGGCACTGAACAACACAAGAATTATACCAACGGATTTCACAAACGCCACCATACCCGACGGGCCATACTTTGCATCCCAATCCGGAAGACTCTACGCCGCATACAGGCTGTACGCAGACCTCGCCGGCGCCTTCAGCGAGACCAGCATCACCGCGCCCGACGGCTCGCACGCCGTCCTGCCCGCCAACCTGCCGGGCCAGTCCCTCGCCGTCGCCGTCCCGTCCCGCCTGTCCTTCCCCAAGACGCCGGCCAAGCCGCTCGCCGGCGTGCGTCTCGGCATCAAGGACATTTACGACGTGGCCGGCCTCCGGACCTCCAACGGCAACCGCGCGTGGTACCGGTTGTACCCGGCGGCCACGCGGACGGCCGGCGCCGTGCGGCGGCTCGTCGACGCCGGCGCCGTCGTCGTCGGCAAGATGAAGACGAGCCAGTTCGCCAACGGCCAGACGGCGACGGCAGACTGGATCGACTACCTGGCCCCGTTCAACCCGCGCGGCGACGGGTACCTCGACCCGTCGTCCTCGTCAGCGGGTCCGGCGGCCGGAGTAGGTACGTTGACGTCTATACCGACCCGACCATTGCGCGACTGACAAAGATTCACGCGCAGCTTCGTATCCGTGGCTAGATGTCGCTCTGGGATCGGACACGGGAGGCAGCATCCGCAGCCCCAGCCAGTTCCAAGGCATCTACGGAAACCGCCCGAGTGAGTAGAAGAAGCCAAACCTCCAGTTCCTAGTTGAGCTGGACAACACGATGCCGCTGTCCCCAACCTTTGACACCGCCGGTCTCCTGGCCCGGGACCCCATCCTCTGGGGCGACGCCGCCACCGTCCTCTACCGGCCTAACATCACCACTTCCGCCTCCTCCTCCTTCCCTAACCGCATCCTCGCCGCCGGCTTCCCCACCGGTACCGCTCCCGCGGACAAGCTCGACGCGATGCTCCTCTCCTTTCTGCGCGACGTGGCCGACCTACTCTCCGCCCCCGTCACCGTCTTCAACCTGACCGAGCGGTGGGCCGCCGCGCACCCGGGCACCGCCCCGCTCCTCGCCGTCGTCAACAGCACGTACGAGGTGCTCTCCGCCAAGGAGCAGGCCGCGCTGGTCCGCGACCCGTTCTACGCCGACTACGCGGCGCACCACGACGGCCGACGGCCGCACGTGAACCCCGCGCCGCTGCGCCGCTGGGCGCTTGGCGACGCCGCCGGCGACGGTGCGCTGCGGGACTCTGTGGCCAACAAGACGCGCTTCATGGACTGGTTCAACGGCGAGGTGCTCAGACGCGACGACGACGACGACGGAGGCTGCTCGAGCGACTTGTTCGTGTACGTGCCGCGGACGCCGGCGCCCAAGTACAGGGACACGTACTGGACGGGGCCGCAGGCGCCCGGCGCGTTCTCGACGAGCAGGATCTCCGTCATGGCCGAGGTTCCCGACGTGGTCATTCCGATTGGCGAGATCGAGTACGAGTCCAGGGTGACGAACCATACCGAGTACCTGCCCGTGACGGTGGACTTGATGGCGGCGAAGGGTTGCGACGGGATGCTATTCTCGCTCGTTGGAAAGATGTACGTGGTGGGGATGATCTCCGAGGTCAAGACTGGGAGGAGTCTGGTCCATGGTGGTGATGTACTGTATTGATAGCAAATCTATAGTGCAATATATCTCTTGGCTTGTGCATGTTTGTTTGTCTTCTGTTCGGCCTCGGCCCAGTCCCGGACAACAGCCAAGCAATCGATAAACTCCTCCACCTCGGCCACCTTTTCCGAACCGCCGTCATAGTTCTTCTCTGTTCCCATCTCGATAATCCTCGCGATCCGCTCCGCGCTGAAGCACAGGCGTCCCAGGACAGAAATAACTAACCGTCTCATTTCGCGGGCCTGGTTGCGCAGCAGCGTGAACGTTTTGCTAAGGGCGAGAACAAGCCGCGGGATGACATATTCTCGCATCTTGAGCACTGTCTCTTCATGAAGATGGAGTTTCTGGTTGGCTTGCTGCTGCTGGTTCGCAAAAAAGTGCTGCCAGATGGTCGTACAGGCTGCTCGGATCTGGCTGACGAGTTGGTTGATGCGGTGGCTCATGGCTGAAGCGAGGCGCGCTTGCTCCAGCTTTCCTCTTTTTGCTCTGATCCGTTCCACGACTTCATTCAGGCGTGTTGTCCTTTCGATCATCTCATCTGAAAAGGGTGTACGGACAGGGCCCCGTGGTACCACACGCCTACTATTGGCTAGCCACTCCTCATCCGCCCAGAACGGTCCTCCCATCAGCTCATGCATATACAAGATTGCATCCGAGACTGAATACTGCGTATCAGATTCCTCCTCATTTTCTGTACTAGTGGACCGACTATTGCAGGCAATTGCGTGTATCGGTCGTTCCCGCGGCTTAGTGGCGGACCCTAGCGGTATAGACTTCGGTTGAGGAGTCTCGAATGGGTCCCCTTCGCTTTCAGGAGTAGGAATTATTTCATATCTGTGCTTATCTTGCGAGGTTGGGCTGAGTGAAGGTAAACCTAGTTCCTCGAGGTCCGAGTCTGCATCTGAGAGTGCCATTTGTAGAGAGTCACGATCCATCTGCCGAACAGATCTCGGGGTGGTTCCCAGCTTAAGGGACAACTGTCGTCTTGTGTTTTGACGTTTCTCCATTGGCCCCGGATTTCGCTTCTTGTTCTGGAACTCTCTTGGAGGCGGCTGAATTTCTGCGTGTGGCGGGCCAAGCGCCTGAAAGTCGTCGAGTTGCCTTTGCTCCATCGGTTGCACCTGCGGCTGCGGGTGTGGAAAACTGCAGGAATCGCCAGTCGTCTCAAAGGGATCATGGTAGGAGCAGTCGTCTGTGGCATCGCTGTCGATTCTGTCGTCGCTCGTAGCAAAATCTCGCCCAAATTCGTACGTATAAGTGGCAGCATTCGGGTGTTGGGCTGGCTGGTGGTGTTCGTTTCCCGAACGCTCGGGTGGTCCTGCGGGTGATTCAGATACTATGGGGGAGAGGAGAGAAATTTTGGACATCTCTCGTCCTTTTCTGCCTCCAGAATACAGCTCTCGGTAGTGGGAGGTCGGTGACGCGAGCGAACGGGGCTGTGGGCAGGTGCTCAGCGCGGGGAGACGCGGCGTTGACGACTGTGTGGAGTGTTTGGGGTCAGACATTTTCAAGATTCTCGAGAATCAGTAAAATGCACATTATTGAAGTATTAACCGTTTTGCAAGGAGAGTGAAAAGGAGACGTTTGTGAGAAGGCAGGCGCAGGTTATTTTTAGCCAGCCGCATTGATTGTGTATGCAAACGGGCACCCTTGCCAGGGTGTATATCTGCGCCACCAGATGTTCCGAGACATGAAAGAAAGGCCTTCACAAAGAGTTCCTTCGTCTTCTTCCCGAGATTACCAACTAAATTAACCATTAATATCCGTAATGGCGTCTAGACAGCATGTCGCGTGCCTCATTCCCACGATGACTAACTCGCAGGAACCCACCACACAATACTATCCACACAGCAGACGACCGCCATCAACGACGACACCTCGCCATCCTCATCGACCACCCATCAACGCCCCGACAAAATCATGGTCGCCGCGCGCCCCCGGCTCGAGGTCCTGGACCGCGGCGCCCTGCCAGCCTTCACCACCCCGAGCAAGCGCATCCACGAGGCCGCCGACGTGCCCGCCTTCCTCACCAGCCTGGCCTACCGCGACATCGGCGTCTTCATCATGCAGCTCAACCACGCCGTGTGCCCGCGCCGCCGCCCCGGAAACGCCGCCGCCCCGCCGCAGACCTTTGCCCTCCCCATCCAAGGGTCCGCCCCCCCCAGCGCGTCCGTCGCGGCGCTGCAGGAGCTGCTCGCCGGCATCGAGCGCCTCGTTGAGGAGGCGCCGCCCGCGCCCGGCCCGCGCCGCTTCGGCAACCTGAGCTTTCGCGCGTGGCACGCACTGCTGGCGCAGAGGGTGGACGGCATGCTCGGCAGGAGCTACCTCCTAGGCGCCTTTGGTAGCGCGCAGCGCCTTGACTACGGCACGGGTCACGAGCTCAGCTTCGTCGCGTTCCTCGGGTGTCTGTGGAAGCTCAGCCACTTCCATCAGACGGAGAGGCCCGTGGCCGAGGTGGAGAGAGAAATCGTCTTTTCCGTCATCGAACCGCAAGTAGTAGCGGCCCAACCGCACGCTCCCCCTCACTACGTGCACCAGACTGACCAAGGGCAGATATTTGAGGCTCGTTCGAAAGCTCATCACCGTATACACGCTGGAACCGGCGGGCTCGCACGGCGTATGGGGCCTCGACGACCACTCCTTTGTGCCGTACATTTTCGGCTCTGCGCAGCTGACGCGGCCCATCGACGACAACGACCCCATGCCGCTCGAGGGTTCCGTCAGGGGTGCGCCCAAGACTGGCGACATCACCAAGGCACTAGTTGTCGAGGATAACCGCCAAACCAACATGTATTTTTCCGCCATTGGCTTCATCAACGACATTAAAAAAGGCCCGTTCTGGGAGCACAGCCCGATGCTGTTTGACATTTCGGGCGTCAAGGACGGCTGGGGCAAGATCAACAAGGGTATGATTAAAATGTACAACGCCGAGGTCTTGTCCAAGTTCCCCGTCGTACAACACTTTTCCTTTGGTTCACTGTTCTCATGGGAAAAGGACCCCAACGCGCAGGTCGCAGCTGGCTCAACTGCATCTGCAACTACGACTACGCCAGCCGGAGGCGTAACAGCACCTTGGGCTCAAACACCAAGAATTCCCCCAGGTACTGGAGGGACGATGGCGCCGACAACTCGAATGCCGCCACCTACACAACGACCTGGACCTCCGACCAGCGATGGACAGCCGGGCGGGATGCCACCGACGAAAGCGCCATGGGCCAAATAGATATGATAACGCTTAGGCAGCAACAAAATAGATTACGCCGTCGAAAAAAAAGTATTAAGGATTGATAAAAAGCAGAAGAATAACTAGTGGGAATATAGCAGTCGAGGCAACTCATTATACCAACGCGCAGGGTATCATTGCGGTGACGCGTGGTGGGTATCCAGTAGCTCGCAAACAAGAACACAGACAGAAAGCGCCGCGGCGGAAATCAGAGGCGTTGGGAAATACTAAGACGATGTTGAAATTCGAACCCCGTCATCATGACCCAGACATTGCCGTCGTGCATGGACGATGGACCCTGACATCGAGATCGAGAGCCGGCTTAGGCCGCAGTGGTAGCGGGGGCGGGGGTCGCGGCGGGTTTCTCGACATCTGCAACGGCCGCGGGAGCCGCAGCAGCCTCGGGAGCCGCAGCAGCCTCGGGAGCCGCAGCAGCGGACTCGGCAGAAACTACAGTCATGGCTGATTAGCATTCGGTTCGAGTCAACGTCGTCTGTAATTCTCGCATACCGGCAGGAGCCGTAGCGTCAGCCTTGGCAGCTTCGGTTGCCTGTGGGGCATCGGCAACTGAAGCGTCCAACACTATTAGCTTAAGCCATCGCCAACGGGGGGATATTGAGTTGCGGGAGCCAGTCAGGCGAAACGTACCAGGAGCCGCAGCGGTGGTGGCAGGAGTGGAATCAGCAGGAGCTGCGCCCTCCGTCTTGGTGGCGTCAGCTGCAGCAGGGGCCGCAGCGTCCGCAGCAGTTGTTGTTTCGGCGGGCTTGTCCTCGGCCTTGTTCTTGTTGAGCTTCTTCTTGATGAGGTCCTGGACCTTGTTCTTGAGGTTCTCAAGAGCGCCAAAAGCTTTGAGGAACAAAGTTGTCAGCAACAACTCCGGGGCACGCTGTGGAAGAACTCACGAATGCCACCCATCTTGACGGTGTTTGTAGAAAGCCTTGAAGTGTGTTTACGTCGGGAGGGCGTCTGAAGCGAGTAAAATGTCAGAAAGTATTCTGGAGTCGCCGATGTTGGTAGAGACAAAAAGCATCAGAAGAGGCGGCTGGCGTGCGAAGGGAGTAAAATCGTCAGGCCTCCGCCTAGGTACTAAGCAGGAGGCGGCGTGTTACCTGCCTCATCTGATTCGGCGCCCAAACGGAAGCCACACTTGGAGGCTGCAGCGTGTAGACCCTCAATAGCTCGCCGTATCACATATCAGACTGCACTCACCTATATTTGCGGGCTGCGAGTTCGGCGAAGGTGGCAGAGGGATGGGAAGAGCAATGTTGGAGGAAAATTTCACCGTCGTACCAGAATTCCAGACGACTGCAGCTCTTTTATTCCAGACACGGTCCCATCGGTCTACATGAACTAGCGGCAGCCACCGTAGCTTCAGACGATCAGGGCCCCGCCGCAACGTCTAATGGCACCCACGAGGTCCTTCTGCGACACCGTACATGGTGTTTGCTTGCATGCTGGTACGCGCTAAGGATGATGAAATGACCAGCTGATTGAACACTTGACATTCGGGTGGAGAGTCGTGAGATGATTGACAATAATATTGCAGTCCTTGATAAGTGCACCAGTCGATCTGCAGTCGGTATTCTGCAGCATCGGGGACCGCCAGGGGTTGCCAGTCCATCCGTTTTCACACACCACCAGTTTCATACCAGCCCTGGCTGCCTCTTCCGCAAGATATCTACCCATGTATGTGCATATCTTTACTGTCATAGGATAGATGGAGATGTAGCTCAAAAAAAAAATTCAATGAATGAAAAGCGAGACCCAGTAAACGTTAAACTATCGTGAGCACTCCGTACCCTTCGCCGTTTGCTCTACCCCGCTAGTTGCCAGCCACAAACGTCTTACCAGACGGTCTGGCAACTGCGCACATTTTATTAACCACAACACCCCACAGCAAGTTGCTCCTTCCCTGTCGCCCATCAACCCAGGCTGAGCACCCGCAAATACACTTATCCTTCAAAACCGACTTACACGCCCTCCAACATGCAAAAAGAATCTCTCGATCCTCCAAAAAGCAGGGTCCAGCCGGGATTCGAACCCGGGGCCTCTCGCAAGAGGAAAAGTGGATCCCAAAGCGAGAATCATACCACTAGACCACTAGACCATGGTGCTATTCAAGTTCTGAGTTGGCAGTCCTAGGGCTATTGTTAGAGTTGAAGGTATAGGATTTGAGATGGCGAAGTGCTGGGTGAGGTAATGGCCTGGTTTGTGCCCCGTTGCCAGGATAGTGCTCTAGTGGCGTGAATGAGTCTGAAAAGCTCGGGACGGGTTTAAAATCCAGAATGTGGATGTGGTGTAGCTGCGATGCGTAATTGGTGTAGGGTGGGTGCAAGAGGATGGATTTGGCGTGAAGTAAAGTTGGAGGACCTGGCGCGACGTTTGTCTGCAATTAGAAGGCTTGCGGGCTTATTTCAGCGTGTTTTATATTTTCTTTAGCTACGTTGCTTGCTTTACATTTCTGCTCAGCTTTTGCCATCGTTCTGGTACTGGGTGCGTGGCCTGCGTCTTGTCTTGATGGAGCACGGCTGCTCTTAGGTCGCCTCTCTCCTGTACACTTCTTATTCTCTTTCGCATTTGTTTTGACATGACACAATTATTTTAATAGTACAAGATTATGCTAGTATACACAATTATTTTCAAAGTACAGAATGGTTTTTGGGCGTCTTCTTCCTCCCTGCTGTGTTTGAGAACATGTCTATGCCACCAGTGTAGACTAGCTACTAAAGTCTCTGTCCCTGAGCCACGTCAACGCAGCTTCTTGACCGGCCGCACTCAGCTCATAGTCCGGCATACCTTCGCCAGTATCCAGCATTTGCACGCGCCTACTCGCCTCATCCGCCAAGCCTTCGACGTTGTCATCCCACTTTCCCCTCTCCTTTAGCTCGACCACGTCGACGCTGCGACGCATCAGCTCCACCAGCTCAGCGGCCTGCGACTGGAAATTATTGCCCCCCGCCTTTGGTTTGCGTTTCCATGGCCGTCCCGATGCCGTCAGCGGCATCGGGTTCGAGTCGTGCATGAGCAGCGCCTCGGGAATCTTGAGAGTTGACTTGCGAGGCGGAAAGACCAGGTGCGACTTGCGCGGCGTCTTGACCAAGGCAGGGTCGGCCGCTTGCCCGACCATGGCGTCAATCGCGACGGCCTCGGCCACCGTCATGGTAAAAGACCGCGGTACGAGGAGGCCTGGCGAGTGGAACAGGAGACTGGGGCTGGCAAACGCGTCAAAGAGATGGGCGGGCTTGCCAAAGAGACCAGGCATCTGCTCCTGCAAAAAGTGTAGATGAGATCCTTGTCGGGGTTGCGGGGGCATGATGCTCTTGCCGGCACGCGTCGTCGGGCGGTTGACGCGGTGGTCGGGGAGAAACATGGTCCAGTTATATATGCCGTTGTAGGCCATGAGGCCCCGGACAGCAAAGCGCGCATGAGGATGCGCCTCGGTCAAGGCGAGCGAGGCCGCGAGACTGGCGCCGAGAAAGGAGCCGTACACGTAGACGCCGCGACGGCCACACTTTTCCGGCGAAAACGTGTCAGAGAGCCACGAGTACGCGAATGAAACATCATGGACCGGTGTCGGCCATTGTGCGGGAGATGGCTTGTGGTCGTCCAGCAGTGCCAGGGGGGGTCTCCCTGAGAGGCCGTCCCATCGATAGCGGATGCTGGCTACGGGCAGGCCGTGGAGAAACTCGGGCAGCTTCAACGGTCCGTCACCACGAGCTGGGAGAGGAGGAAGATGAATCAGAACGGGCTCATCGCGCCGTAGATTTGTGAAATTGTACAAGCTGTCCAGGCATGTTAGCGACGGACACTTGTAACGAGACACGCAACGTACTCGACTGTAACATGACCCGAAGAGCCGCAGCGGACATCTATGCTTTCAGCTGTAGTGCTGGTGCTAAATAGACGGCGAATGAATGCAGATTGAAAGTGGCGACGGTGCAGAGGCCGCCATCTATGCATGGTGCCATGGGCGTTGTAGTTGGGGTGAGTGAAAGGATCAACATCATGCGAGCTTGCCTGACTTGCTTTGTCTGTGTCCTCACTGGCCACCACAGTGGCTTAAAGTTAGCCTCACGAATACCATGGGTAGCGCGCTAGTGGCTGTCCTCAGTGGACTGTGGCGCTGAAGCTAGCAGTGGCTGGCGCTGAGAAGCACCAAACATGACGCTGAATTCGCCTGAAGGCGCTGAAATACAGGGCGCCTTGTTGAATCATGAGGTGCAGCCTTGCTTTCTTGGCGGCCATCTGTGAGTAGTCACCAGGCGTTTCCCTGATCTTCCCAAACATCCATTTGGTTGGTTCCTGAAGTTGAGCCGCATCCGTTGTCGCGATTTGTGACGTCGTTTCGTCGCTCGTGCTTTGAAAGGCGCCTCCAGTAGGTACCAAGGCAGCTTCAACAGGGCTAGAATGCTGCGCGGCACGAGCAAGCTGGCCAGTCTTGTCTCATGGCTGCAGGTTTGCTCTGAACCTTTCCAGCCATAAGGAATTAGGTTGCATACACAATACAGACCAACTTTCCTCTACTCGCAACAGCTTCAATTGGTGTGGCCTAAATCCGCCAGCGCCGCCACATGTGAACCGTGACCCCTCAGTATCCTCTCTCTCTCTCCAAACTCTCCTCCTCCATCTACGCTTCCCGGGCATCCGCGACAATTCCGCAACATCGACATGGGCCAATCATGACAGGATGAGGCGACCAAGATAAATTCTTCTCAATTGTCGCCGCCCGCCATGACTGCCGCGTCCTCCTCTCCACGCGGCACCTCTCCAAACTCTAGCAAACACCAGCCGCTGGAGTCCCAGGACGATGCCAACGGCGCCGCTGCCCCAGAGCCTGAGGATCCCCCCCGGGCGCTGGTTGGCGAGCCAAATGAGGAGGAAAACCTGGATCGCACGTATTTTGAGCTCGACTCCCCTCAATTTCGCACACGGGCTAACGTGCCAACAGACGATGGTGGTTGGTTGCGTCCGCCTTTCCGTTGATTGCTGGCACTTTGGGTCCGGTGGCTTCGGCATTCAGCATTTGTGCTCTGAGCAGGCCATGGCGCCAATACTGGCCGCCTGGATCGAATATTGATTCTGCGACATATATCCCCGATCCGATATGGTAGGTGTAGCGGCCTCTACGCGCCTCTAGCTTCTCTGACTGGCGTCTATAGGCTCACCGTGCTAAACGCCATCCAATTAGTGATGGCGTTTGTGTCTAATATATTCCTTCTTCTCAACATGGCCCGGCGAGTGAAGTTCACCGTTGCCCAGCCTATTACAATTATTGGGTGGTATGTTGCCTAATTAGACTGGAAGTTTTGCAATCTGACCTGTCCAGGTACATATCGTCCTTCTGCCTTATTGCGCTCTGCGCCACCGCATCCGGACCTCTTAAGCAGGGACTAGACAAATCTGTCGAACTCGTCTTGTCGCAGGCGTTTTATTATGGCATCTGGGCTGCCATTCTTTACTTTGTTGTCGCCTCTTTCATGTCGGTCACCTTTTGGGGCGCCTCGACTGGCCACTTTAGCAAAAGCTTTGCCCTGACGTCCAGCCAGCGCACCCTCATGCTCCAGACTATTCTCTTTCTCATGTACCTACTCATCGGCGCCCTCATCTTCAGCAATATCGAGGGCTGGAATTACCTTGACGCTGTGTATTGGGCCAATGTCACCCTATTCACCGTCGGCTTTGGCGATTTTGCCCCCACAACCAATCTCGCAAGCGCTCTTTTGTTGCCATACGCGCTGATCGGAATTATCAGCCTTGGTCTGGTTATTGCCTCCATTCGCAGCATGATTCTGGACCGTGCCCGGCGGCGCGTCGGCGTTCGCATGGAAGAAAAGACGCGAAGGAGACTGGTCCGCAGCTTGACAAAGACGGGCAAGGACACCATCCTGAACCCCTTGTCTGGCGACGATACCGCCCTAAGCCCGCACGTCAGCAACGAGTTCGAGCGTCGTAAGATCGAGTTTGAACTCATGCGTAGCATCCAAGCCCGCGCACTGGCGTGGCGGCAGTGGATGGATCTGGCTGCCTCGTTTGGCACCCTGATTGTTCTGTGGCTTCTCGGCGCGCTCGTGTTTTACTTCACCGAGCGGGACTACCAGCCCCCGTGGTCCTACTTCGACTCTTTCTACCTCTGCTTCGTCTCCCTCACTACCATTGGCTATGGCGACCGCGTTCCCGTCTCCAACGCGGGCAAGTCCTTCTTCGTCTTCTGGTCGCTGCTCGCCTTGCCCACCATGACCGTTCTCATCTCGCACATGGAGAACACCGTCGTCAAGTTCGTCAAGGAAATGACCATCCGGCTCGGCGCCGTGACCATCCTCCCGCGCGACAAGATCATCGCCCAGATGGAGCGGGAGCACCTCAAGCAGTATAGCAGTCTATCCCTCGAGACCGGCGCCAGCCTGAAGCGCTGGCGCAGTAGCAGCCGCTCCAGGCGGCCCACGTCCCCCGATCGGCGCGCCCACGGCGCCGACGACCCCGACGCCGACCTGGGCACGCTCCGCAAACGCGCCCGCCGCCTCCGCGCAGAACGGCGCCCGCCACCACCACGAGCACCGCCCGCTCGACGCGCTGCCCACCGGCCGCGAGTTCCAGCTGCTCCTCGTCGCCGAGATCCAGTCCGTCACGCAGCACCTGCGCGAGTCCAAGCCCCGCCGGTACTCCTTCGAGGAGTGGGCCTGGTTCCTCTGGCTGCTCGGCGAGGACGAGCGCGACGCCGGCACCCACCGCAAGGCCCGCCCGGACGAGAAGCGCATGCGCGACGTCGCCGCTGCCCAGCGCGGCGGTCCGCCCGACGCCGCCTACTACAAGCAGAAGCAGAAGCAGCAGCCGTTCCAGTGGTCCTGGGTCGGCAACCGCAACCCCCTGACCGCGGACCAGGAGGAGAGCGAGTGGGTGCTGGACCGCCTGACGTTTCGCCTGCGCAAGGCCCTCGAGGAGGACGCGGACAAGGAGGAGGCCACGGCGGCGGAGGAAGTCAAGCGATGCTTGGCACCGGACACGGAGCTGCAAGTGAAACGTAGTCAATGACCCTGTACATGTACTTTCTTGATTTGGTCGTATCTCCTGTACATTTCCAATTTGGCGCACTAGTTGGCATGATGATTGACCATGTAGTAAGTATATTGGTTTTGATGTTTTTGTATTCAGACAACTATTCACCACACTGCTGACGGATAAATAGCCAGACACAAATTGGCAGCCGTTGGTGAAATGTAATATCCGGTATCATGCCGGTTTGGGTATCAAAGTTCCTTCCAATCCAATCTCGTCCTATACAACGCGTCTCTAAGCGAAAAGCTGCTAAGCGCAAACGCAAAAACACCTCCCTCCACTTGACATTAGACACCGAATTCTACTCCGTATTAGTCACTTCCAATCAGCAACCGCCTGTTTTTCCGGATCACCGCGTTCAGGCCCTTCTCCAGCTTTTCCGTATCCTTGCGCGTGGCGGCCAGCGCGGCGTCGGCCTCGTCAACGCTCATGAGTGCCATGGCGCCGACGCTGCGGGCGCCGGCACCCTTGACCATGTCAACGTTGCCACCAAGTGTCAGGCCTGGTGGAGCACCAAAGTCGTGAACGGGGCGCGCTCCGCCGCTGTCAACTGCACTGTAGATGCCGACGCCGGCGGCTGCTTCGGGCCCGTAGAAATACGGCGCCAGTGAGTTGAGGCTCGCGGCGGCGGCATCGCGCAGGGGAGCTAGGCTGCCAGACGCCGCCGCGGCTGCTTTGCCACTCGCACCAAGGTTGAGGCGCGGCAGCACGTACTGGTTGATGTAGCTCAGCGCCTCGTCGCGCTGCAGCTTGCCGAAAGGATCTTGTGACTCGGGCCGAAATGCGCTAGGGAAGATGTTGGGCCGCCCATTAGGCACCGCACGACCCTTGACAATGGAAAACGCCCCGGAACTTTTCTGGTGGCGAGGTGATGTGAAGCAGCCAGCGCTCTCAGCCGTCAAAGCCACCGCTCTCTGCAACTCCAGAAAATCGTCTTCTTCTTCTTCCGTCAATCTGCGGATGCAGTCTCCATAGGGGGTGAGAAGCACGCGGCTGCCATCTAAGCGGCACTGCTTCCGGACCGGCTCGTAAGACGCAAGGACTGCGAGGTCCTCGGGCAGAATCTCACCGCACTTGCATCCAATGTCCTTGCAGGAACCAGGCTTGTTGCCAGTGACTTGCTGCTGCTTAGCGAAGCAACTCAGCCCAGCGACTGGCTTGAGAAGATTGAGCCTATCAACGGTTCTAGCCCAGAGGCTCTGACGAATATCTGCAAAAACAGTCGAAGGGCCCTGAGGAGGCGCAGCAGGTTCATCATCTTCCGATGTTGGCTCCTGCACTGTCGGTGCCGGTGGTTGTGATTGTGGTTGTGGTTGTGTGGGAAGGAGCACGGTCTGCTCCAGACCCTTAGGCGTCTTCTCATCGGGCTGTGCTTTCTTCTCTGCAGTTGATTCATCTTCTTGTTCCACATTTTTCGGCACTTCCTTGGAAGTTCCGGCTCTTGACACACCGCTCGTGGAGGAAGATGCGGCCTTTTCCTTGACTTGTCTCTCTTTCTTCTGCTTCTTTTTGTGGCTAGTTATGGGCTCATGAACAGCTTCCTCAGCGACAGCTGCCTCGGCAATGGCTTTGGTATCCTGTTTCAAAGCATCTTTCCGCTGCTTGCGTTGCATGCTCTTGGTTACCGTACGAACAGGCGCGCTGCCAACTCTGCTGGGTGGAGGGGAGCCAGCCCGAGACGCTGACACAGAAGCAGAGACAATGGACGCACTATCGCTAATAGTCTCGCTCACTGGTGTCTCCGGGCGCTGTCCGCCGGAAAGGATGCGCGTTGCCACAGGCGACATGATGGAGGGCGACTCAATCCTGGCCGGGGTCATGACCCGTAGTGTCTTCGGTCCTGTTCTGGGTGTCGCAGCAGGACGGGTAGTTGCCTTCTCCTTCTCATCCGGTTCGTTGTCGTTGTTCAAAGAGCCACGACGACTGTCACCGAAACCCTGGCTAGTTCCTGACCGTTTACTTACAACCTGCTTCGCTTGAAATGAAATATTGGGTATGGCAATTACCGGGGCGGGAGACGCGGTAGATGACCCTTTCGCAACAGTGGGAGAGTTTAGAGCAGGAAACTCTTCATCCTTTAGAGTTTTCTTCTTCTGTGCCGGCTCTGCCTTGACAGGAGGAGCTGACGCGGATGTCGACACCTGCTCTCGGGAGGCGGTTAAAGATCTTGGCTCGAATCCAGGAGGGGGTCGTCTCGCGCTTGCTTCGGGGGAAGGATGGCCGTGACCAGTGACACTTGATCCAGCAGACGCGTAGCTTTGACTGGGTTCAGGATGCCCGTGCGAATGCGTCGTCGTAGCATATCCATCAAATGATGTGGTCAGATCGTCCACTTCATCTCCAACCAGAGCATCGACCGAGCTCGCTGCATCTGCCAAAGAAGGCAATTCGTCATCTAGCAGAGTAAATGTTAGTCCATGGTATTTGCAAGATGTGAGCGGGTAATGCCAGATGCTACGAAATGACAATTTCAAATATAAGAGGAGGGAGTCTCGCTACGGCTTCCATCATCGAGTTCCACAGTATACATGAGTTTAAACAAGATAAGAATAAAGGGGGTATAGATGCTATATTTCGTCCATCAACGCCCCGCGGGACTCAGGCGAGCTGTTAACGTACATGGGGGAACTGTGGAAGACGATGATGGCTTGCCTGACTTGACCCCAAAAACAATACCCCTCCCTGCCCGCTGCCCGTGTTGGGCGTATAATATATATATAAATAACAAACTCCAGTGCGGCAGCGAACAACCAGCCATGCTGTGCTGTGCCACGCACGCAAGGAAATGACGTTATGTCGAAAATCTCTTTGGCTCTCGGCTTGAGTAACCCTGATCTCGCAAACGCCTGCTTGATCGAACGCGTGTCCCATGCCGCTCGGGCAAAAGCAATCGAGCTATCCCCGTGATATGAAAGTATACAAACGCCACCACAGTAGCTCTTGAAAGAAATGCGTAGCAGTGCATAAATCATAGAAAAGATAAGAAAGGAAACAGTCATGGCCGTGGCACATCATCGACTACCAACGGCCATAGTTGTACATCATGTTGGGGTTGTTGTACCCACCTTGGTTCTGGCCGTTGAACAGCCCCTGTCCGGCTCCGGCATTGCTCTGCGTTTGGTGCTGCATCCTGGCTTGTAGGATGCTCGGGTCTGCAAGATCTACTAAGCCACTCCCCCCCGAGGAGGAAGTGTTAGCATGTCTATGCTTCTTCCCCTTCTTCTTCTGCTTCGAGGCGAAGTCTTGGAAAGCTCCAGGATGGTTGCCATAGAGCGATGCAAGGAGACCGGAAGCAGGAGCTGGGGTAGAGGTGGATGGGTACTGGCTTGACAAAGAAGATAGAAGGGACTCACGCTTTCCTGATTCGTGGCTTTGATTGCTTCCACGGTTTCGTCCAAGGAGGCTTTGGAGAAGATCATTTGAGTTGTCTTTGGGAACATTGTACCCTGAAGAGCTGAACCCTTGAGCAAACATGCTCGGTGGTGTTCCGGTAGACTTGAGGCCAGGAGGAGGACCAGGCATCGAGCTGGCGTAGAACTGGTTGCCCTGAGACTGAAAGGAGCTCGGCATCATCGAGGATTGCTGAGCCATTATGCGAGGATTGGCAGCTAACTTGATGTTTGTCGCTGATGCGCCGCTTTCGTTGGCAAAATTGAAGCGAGACGACTGACGGTTGTGGCCCTGGCCTTGGCCCTGTCCCAGGAATGAGTTGCTCGGCCCACCAATGCCTGGAGGGAATTGTTCAGTATACCCTGCCTGGGAACGGAGGCCCATCTGATGAGGTGTCATAGATCTGGGAGTCGCTGAAGTGCCGACGCCGCCAAAGGCCGAGCCGGCAAGTGATGGGCTAAATACGCCATCCGTTGAGCTTCTTTGAATGGGAGTTATGTGTCGTTGGCTATATGGGTGCCCGTCTCCGAGCCGGTCTCTTCCCTCTGGCTCCCCGCCCAGGGCAAGGCTGCCTCCAGTTTCGACATCATCTTCTGAGCCTTCAGGGACTTCGATTTGGTCCTCGTGTGCGGTGCGCGAGTCTTTGTCTTCCCGCATCACCCTCCGCTTCTCACCTCCGCGAAGATCAAACCGAGGAGGGCCACTTTCTTCGCCAGGCTGCGTTGTGCAATTAGGTAACGTACACGTGCTAAGTATAGCAAGTAATTGCTTGATCGCGCTAGGTGGAGAAACAGACTTGGTTGCACGGGGAGAGTTGCTTCGTGAAGCGGGTGCCGCAGATTTAGACTTGGACGACGACGCCTTGGACCCGGAAGGCTCCGGGACGTCTATGGGCTCTTGCTTCTCCGGAACCGCTGCGGAGACCGCGGGGCTAGAAGCAGCACCGCTAGTAGCATATGATCCCCTACGACTGCGTACTGGTAGTCTGGCCCAGTTGGCAGACGAAGGGAGAGCAGACGAATCCCCGGCATCCGATTCTTCTTTGCTCAGCGATCTGGCCATGGCTTGGGCAACTGGAGCGGGGCCGGAGACAGGGACTGGCATTGGCGGTGGTGTCGGGTGAGAAAGCTGTCGCGAAGAAGCTCGAGAAGGGCCGCTGCCGCCGGGTAAAGGGCGCTGAGTGTGAATACTATTCATAGAAGACAGGTCCTGTCTCGTATAGCTGTCTTCTTCGTCGCCTTGCTCATGCAGAAACATGCAGCCAGGGTTGTTGCATTTCTCATTCTTGAGCCAGGCGGAGCAGTATTTAGTCGTACCGTGCTGCGCCTTGAGCACTCGGTCGCCGTTATTAGAGCCATGAACAGCTTGGATGCAGCGCATAGCCTCGTCCGGAGTCTGAAATGTGACATAGATGCCCAGTGAATGATGCTGGCCGTCGGGGCTTTTCCGGTTGCTGATCGAGATCTTTTGGATGTTGCCGTATTGACCAAAAAATTCGTGCTTTCGTAAGGTCTTCAACAGGTCGTCTTCGCGTACGTTGGGCGCCAGACCGGTAATGTAGACTAGGTTCTTTTGTACAACACGTACACCGACCAAGTTTTTGCGGGTTTCCTTTTCGGCCTCGCGCTTCAAAACTTCTTTTTGCCGTTGCTCTTGCACGCGCTTCTTTTGGTTCTTCTGAATGTTGGCGCGAAATTGCGCCACCCTAATAGCGGAGATTGTCAGTAACTCCTGAGGTGGCAAACGCCCAAGAAAACTTACTCTTCTTGTGTAACCACCTTGTACTGTATTGTTTTCTCGTCATAGGGTCGCCGACATGCCGGACACAGGCCATTCATATTATTCTTGATGTTGTTGAAGCAGAACTGGCAGACCTATCGGGGCAGCTGTTAGCTCCTTCCTGGGAGCCTCGCTTGGGGCTTTTGTTAAGTACATACCTGGTAGCCGCAAGGGCACGGTCGAAAATTCTTATCCGATAGGTCGAACTCTTCGATGCACAGAGGGCTGAGGCGAAAGGTTAACACCTCTCGAAGGAAGCTACGAGCTTCCTCGCACCGCGCCTTCATGGCGCGAACGAGCGTAAACTTACCAGACATCTTCCTCTTCGTCTATGAATGAATCTTGGGGCGCCATGGTATAGCTTTTTGAGTTGTGAAAGGAGTATAATACAAGAACGCGTCGAGGCAAACGGCCACTTCTTATGAACAGGAGGTTGTGAATGTTGCACTTTAGGTTCGCACGGTTCTTACCGCGAGAAAGTTACAACCGCCTGACGCCCACATGGGACTAGACTAGTTTCCCAGTCACGTGATATTACGTCGACCCACCCTCAGAAAACCATTAGTGTAGTACATGCGTTTTCGGTGAGTCTCGCCAGTGCTAACAAGTATATTACTAATGCCGGCAGATCTACGGAAACTGCGGTACTGCGCGCTGTTAATGTGTTAATCCAAGACTCTGGGGGCAATGCTGAGAAGAGCAGCCATTGACTTATCGGCAACCATCACCCTCAAGTATCCAGTCGTCAATTGGCCGCATCAAGGCACCCAATTGGCTATGGCTACCAAGATGACGAGAAGCGGCTCCCTAGCTTCAGCTTTGAGGCCAGGAAAGCAGTCCCTTCCGGCTCGCAATCTCCAGGCCACCCGCGGCATCTCGACCTCGACGCCGAAGTTGGTCGCGATGCCCAAGGACGTGCAGAATATGAGAATGGCTCCCCGCGACCACATTGGTGAGCTCAAGGCGCCAATTTTCAACCCTGCCGACAAGTACCAGAGCAAGTCCGACAACATGCACCGCTACGGCGCCTGGGTGATGGGCTGCCTTCCGAAATACGTCCAGCAATTCTCCGTTTGGAAGGATGAGCTTACCATTTATATTTCTCCCGCTGGTGTCATTCCCACCTTTACGTTTCTCAAATGTTCGTCCGCTTGAAATACCTTCGGAGGCAAACAAGGCTAACCGTGGTTCTAGACAACACCGCCGCCGAATTTACGCAAGTCAGCACCGTTACTGCTGCCGATTATCCCACCCGCGACAAGCGCTTCGAAGTTGTGTACAACCTGCTCTCCATCCGCCACAACTCCCGCATCCGAGTCAAGACCTATGCGGATGAGACCTCTGCTGTTCCCAGCATCACCAGTCTCTTTGACGGCGCCAACTGGTACGAGCGTGAGGTCTACGACTTGTACGGCGTCTACTTCACCGGCCACCCGGATCTGCGCCGAATTATGACCGACTACGGTTTTGAAGGTCACCCTCTTCGCAAGGATTTCCCCCTTACCGGCTACACCGAGATTCGATACGACGAGGAGAAGAAGCGCATCGTCACGGAACCGCTGGAGCTGACCCAGGCCTTCCGTAACTTCGAAGGGGGCTCCAGTGTTTGGGAGCAAGTGGGCAAGGGAGAAGACCGCAAGCCCGAATCTTTCAAGCTTCCTACGCCGAAACCCGAAGAAAAGAAAGAGGAGCCTAAGAAGTAGAAAACTTCTATCCTGTAGTGTACATTCCCTTTGCAGTCTTACCATTTGCAACAAATACAAGCTCTTCTGTTCAACTAGTAATGTATCTAAATTGATTGGCTTTCAAAGCTCAATATTTATCCTGTAAGCACGAGGCGATTCACGGCAAAATCCACAATGACATAGCAAACTGCCTTGATATTATCTGCCTATCACATATCGACGCGTTCTTTATATTTCAAAACTTGACTAGTCGCTATGCCTACCCTTTCCGTTAACGCTGTTCCTCCCGACACCGCCAAGAAAGAGATGACGTGGACAATGAAAATCCGGTTGGAGGTTTTAGGAAGAAGAAACAGAGGTTCAAACAGAAAAAAGAAACACACTCAATGTCCATCTCGCCCAATACAGTATGCCCAATCTCAAGATTGACAAATGATATAGGACTTGGCCTCGGAAATTGATGTATTACCCCCACTCGGATGTGCCCAAGAAAGAAGGGGGGAATGAACAGAAGAGTAGAACTCCACGAGATGCAAAAATAAGAAAAAGAAACAAACTCCGGGAAGCGATGCACGACGAGCGTCTTGGCCCCCGTGGTGAAAGAGTGCCCAGCGTTAGATAATCGCCCTCGTGCATAGTCATGTTGACATAGAAAGCCTCTCACCAAGAATATACATGTAGCCAATGTGTCGGCTGAAGGGACGGATGGCTTCAGTTTTCGCGGTACTCATAATAGTCCTTCTCCCCTTTCTCATATGACTTGGATTCACCGTAATCGTAGTCGTGCTCTTGGCTATCTCCATGGTCATCTTCGTAAATCTGGGCGTCATCGACGTAGTCAACCGAGCCATCGTTACCAGACTCGGCGTACTGGATTGTGGACTGTTCATCGTTGGCATTAGTCAGGGCTGGATCGTAACCGTATCTTCGCTTCAGGGTATACATACGCGGTGATAATCGAAATTGTACTGGTCCATATCCTGTTGATCACCGTCCCCCTGTTGCGCAAGATACTCCTGTTCTTGCTGCTTGCGCCTAGCTTCCTCCTCCAAACGTTTCTGTTGGGGGGAAATCGGAATGTTCATTTGTGGATGCATAGCCTGAACAATAGCCAGATAGCTATACATGAAGTTGCTGAGCAGAACCTGGCTTAGTAGAGGTCGGCGAGGATTAGCCAACTTGATATGCGCCATGCGGTAAATGGCACGCTCTTCCAGCAGAGGAAACCTCGTCCAGTTATAGTCAACATCTGGCTGTAGTGGCTTGTAGATCGGCTCGTCCGGTACGTGCAGCAGGGAGTGCTTTTTAGTGCTCTTCTCCTTTTCTTTTTCTTCCTTCTTCTTGCCACTGCCAAATATCGACGAGAAGATATTACCATCTTTTTCTCTCCTCGAATCGCTCTTTCTCAAGCTTTCCTTTTTTCTTTCTTCTTGCAGTTTGCCATCAATTGAATCACGGTCTAGCACAAGACTTTCGCGTCCTTTGGGTGCTGTTTTGTCGATCGAGGTTTGAAGGACATCCAATCGAACGTTATCTTGGGCCTTTTCCGCAAGCGCCTTGGCCTTGGACCTTTTGCTCTCGTCCTTCTTTTTGTCATCAGTCACACCTTTGAGCCATTTCCAAGCACCGCTAGACTTGAAGCTAGATGCTTCATCGTCTTTGTCCTTTTTCGACTTCTTCTCGCTCTTGCGCTCATCCGGGCCAAGTGTAGGGATGAAGGTCAAGGCGTCAGTCCTGGTGTTGCCGCCGCCTGGCAAGCTCGGGTTCGAAGCCAATCCCTCGCTCAGAGTTTGAGACTGTGCTGTCGGCGGGGGCGACTTTGCCGTATACTGAGCTTGCGAGTGCTGCTTGATTTGTTGGTGCTGCTGAGTTTGGTTTTGTTGGGATTGGGGGTGTACGTTTTGCTGATGATGTTTCGTGGAAGGCAATTTGCTCGCATCTTTCACTCCCGCATCACGAGTGCTGTGCGATGAAGCCTGATCCTTGGTGGCATCCGGTTTTACATCATCACGAGGGCCGTCTCTCTGTGAGGATGATCTTTGAGGGAAAGAATCTGAGGCCTTTATCTCTTGAGTTGGTGAAGTTGGCGAGGATGGTTGTTGTGTGATAGAGATGGTTGGGGGCGAGACTGCCCTGCGAGCTGAGGTTGCCTCTTCTGCTTCAGGCTCTATTGTGTCGTTGGATGTGTTGGAGCCTGGTGCCGTGCCTTCAAGCGCTGCAAGTGCAGTTGGCGACTCCTGTGCAAACTTATTCTGGCGGCGAACGGCACGATTTGGTCTTGAGAAGTTTTCCTGAATCGGCTCTGAACTGACCCGTTCTAAGCTGCGTTCTCTCGGCGTATCAGGGAGGGGTGGGCTCGTCGTCGACAAGCTCTCACTCTCTTGCCGGCGGCTGGTACTGGGTCGTGATATGAATCCTCGATTCCCGGTACGAAGGCTCCCCCCCTTGCGATATGTTGTTCGTGTTGATCGACGGAGTCCCATGCCAGGAGCCATGGGCAAAATTGGCATGTCGTCTCGGTTTACTTGCGAGTCGCCATACTGAGCTTGCGTCTCTTGTGAGATCCTTTGGACGGCCCCGGCCGGGTCTTTCACCAGCTCATCCAAACTAAGTTCGTGAGAGCGATTGGACCGACGTGACCTTTGTCGCTCCAATCGCTCGGCGCCATCCATATATCCATCCGCCCCAGAACCGCTAGAGTTGACTATTTGGTGGGAGAGCATAGACTTTCGACGTCGTAGGGAGCTCGATTCGCTGCCATCCCTGTCACCATCCACTGATAAGTGGCTCTCGCCAGAGCGTCGTCTGATGGAGTTGACTCTATTCTCCAGGAATGACTTGAATTCTGAGGGAGCCAGCTCGGGGTGGACTCTGGCCGGTACCCAAAGGAGGCGCGAAGGGTCATCCTCATCGTCATTACCACTTGGCGCTATTGGGGGGATGGAAGACAGAGTCATTGGCATGTCCGGATCAACTGGGTTCCCAACATCCATGGACAAACGGCGTAACGCCTGCAGATTACTGAGTTCCAGGGCGATGTCGTTTGGGTTGTCAATATTTGTGAGGGGAAACTGCGAGCCAGAAGCGTCGGCTTGGACCTCTCGAAGTGACACGGGAGAGGAGGGCGTAGACGGCGCTTGTCCACGTTGGCCCTGTTCGAGGGAACTTGATCGGTGCATCGAGTTGGGCAGATGTGAGGCTGGCGACTTTCTAGACCCTTGGTCGTGATACAAGTTTTGTGCCGTATTGGAGTGATCGGCACCGGATCGTGTGGGAGGTTGTCTGCCGTTGCTAGTGTGCGAGCCGAAGTGAGCGTCGGGCCGCCCTATCTGTTCTTGGTAGCCGTCGTTTATGTAGCTGAGAGGTCGGTCATTCTCATTAACAGAGTCATCTTCGTCGCCGTACATCGTTCCGATCGCTTCTGTGACATGATGACTGGGGTCGGATATCGAGAGCTGTGTCGTATGGCCGCGTTTGACGTTGAAGTTGTCACCTAGTCTGGATTGCGGCCCTTGCGTCTAGAGGTATTGTTAGTTTAGGGACCGTAGCATATGCACATAGTAGGGCGCGGCTTCTCCGAGACTCAACGGTCCACCGGGGAAGCAAATAGCAACAAAGCCAACTGGTGACCATGGAGGCGGTACTGTGAGCCATCAGAACGCACCATCGTTGAGGGTGGCATTTTGACCAAAGACGAGGCCGACCCGCCAGAAGTCCCCGTGAATTTGCGGTCTCAAATATTACAATGGATGGTCGTGGCTATTCACTGTTGTTCTGCATGTAGGGATACTAGGGTGCGGTCGGCGCGTAGTGGCGCTGTCGTCAAATCGGGGGGTCAAGAAACCCGACGACTCCTGAGGACGGCGGCGGTCATGTATCGTTGTCGCAGGGTACCTGGGAGAAAATGCGAAGGAACAAAGCGATCGTAGAGGGCGTCCTTTGGCGGATGCTGGAGAGAAGTTGCAGAGCGCAGTGTATGGTGGGCGATGCCGCTGCTGCGCGAAGTGGTAAGTGACGGCGACGGTGCTGTTCTTGGAGGCTTGCTTGTCTCTGGCTGTCTCATGGCGCAGCAACCTGGAGAAGTCACTGGTACCTGACTGGGCTGGCATACGGGGCCAAGGAAACAGGGCAAAATCGCAGGAAGCTTTGGGGCGCCCCACAAGGTACCTCCATGTACCTATCAGTGCGTCGCGGTTGGCAAGTCTTTGCAAGTCTACCACGAGTTGACTTTGCTTCCAAACGCCGCCCACATCACGTGGATCATACGAGGAGGTACAGTTTGAGTGAAAAACACGAGGTTATAATAAGAAGTCTGGTAGTTTCGGATTGACAGCGTTCTTCTTCTTGATAAATTTGCGGATATAGTTGCTATTAAGTGTCAAGTATTGCGCCAAGGTGGAAATCACCCGCGGGTTCAACATCACATTCCAACCAGCTGCCATGTCCGCGTGCATTGGCTCTGGGGCTCCCTGGCGGGTTCTATGTGTGGCTGCTTGCTGACTGTCTTCAAGCCTCATGCCTCATTCAGTCAAAGCTTGTTGTTGGCTCGCGCCTTGTACTACATCAACAAGTACATACATCGTCTACCGCTGGGCAATGACGCTACCCTGATACACAAACTGTCTACAAGGGCTAACCCTTGATTTCCAGTGGCCTCAGTCGGGGTGCCATTGAAGTTGGTCAACCGCCTGCGTCCATGCGGCTAGTTAGTAGATAACAGATGGGCAAGGTCTTCTACCTACTGATATTACGCCGTAGAACACTTTGATACACCCGTAGTGTAAACGACAACTCGGGTTCCATTTTGCATGACTGACACACTGCCAGCAAAAACTCAAGGGTGAGACATCGGACAGCCGCCGCGGAGAGGTAACGTCACTGCCAGGCACGTAATGCAGCACAACGGGGAGATGCAGTGGCCTGGCAGGTGAGCGAATTGATATTAGGTAGTACTCGGTTGAATGCCCTGTTTCTGTAGTGATCCTTCTGGGCGCTTGAAAGCGCCTAACCATCTACCTGCCAGGAAGCCGGTGAGTGCGCGGCGGATGTGACTTGACCATGAGGACCCAAACGAAAGGAGGCCGCCTTTACTAAGGCATGAACAAATCATGCCTACCTCTGTGTTGGTAGGGAGCTTTTAGATTTAAATATCGGGTACCCAGGTACATTAGCACAGCATGAAATTCTTGTCCAACAACCCTCACAACTTTATTTGTACTTGCACGCACAATATTGTTGTTTATTGGCAGGCAATCAGTCACCAACCGTTATGCCAGTATCACCCCAGGTCATTGCCCCACAGCCCATTTTCCCTGGAGCTTCCAAGTTGCTGGCCAGAAAATTATCCCCGGCGCCCCATTGCAGGAGCTATCCCAAAATTACCTATGGGCATCTCCAGCGACTGTGAACGCCAGCAGCACTCGCTCTGCGCTGCTCTAAAATCGCCTTTGCCGCAGCGCGCGTCGCAACATTATCCTCCTTCGCCTCATCTCCAACCCCCGACTTTCGCCATTTCGCCCTTTTGTACCCGGCGTCGCATCCTCCCTGGGTATTGCCTATCGTCCTTAATTCCAGACTCCTGTTTTAAGATAGCAGTTCTGCGCACATCTGTTTTCTCGCGATAGAATGGCCGCGGTACGTTTTTGCTCCTTGTCCCCTATCTTGGTTGCCTTGCAGCCGCCGTGCATGTCGGGGGCCGTCTCCAACGCGTGCTGCCAGCTGTAAAACGAGCTGCCGGCACAGCAGCAGGTGATACAACAAACGGGCTCATTCGTATTTTTCTCACCTCTCATGCGACTCCGTTCTCCTTGTTCTCCTCACCTTCTCTTCCTCCTTCCACTTTCTTCACATTCGCATCGACGACTTCTTTCGCGACATCGAGAAAAAAAGGGCCATGAGTCAATCATTCTATACTCCCCGGCCGCCGGCACCGACGAACGCACACCAAATTCCCATCCAATGGGGCCAGCAACGTCAGCAAAGCACGATGGCTAATTTGAACCAGCCTAGGACATACAACAACCCAGGCTACCTGCAGAACGGCGGTGTTTCCCAGCCCGGAGCTGCTCCTCTTCTGCCCAACCAAGGCCGTGTCATCCAGACTGGTCCCATGCGAGTCCTCTGTATCGCCGATGTTCGAGGTACTTACCACGTCGTCGTTTGCCTCCCCAGACTGCAAAACTAACTTTGACGAGGTAACCTGCGATCGCTCAACGAGCTTGCCAAGCAGGCTCGCGCCAACTACATCATCCACACCGGCGATTTCGGCTTCTACGATGATACATCCCTAGACAGGATCGTTGAAAAGACACTTAAGCACGTTGCTCAGTACTCACCCCTCATCTCAGAGCCCGTCAAGAAAGCCATTCAACAAGGCGGCCCCGGTCCCATCAAGTCTCGATTCCCCGCTAGCGACCTGCCTCTTTCCGAGCTCCCTCTTCTCCTCAGCGGCGAGCTCAAGCTTGATGTCCCCGTTCATACAGTCTGGGGTGCTTGCGAAGATGTTCGTGTTCTCGAGAAGTTCCGATCCTCCGAGTACAAGGTCCACAACCTCCACATCATTGATGAGGCCCGGTCGATGTTGCTAGAGATTGGCGGTGTCAAGCTGCGTTTGCTCGGTCTTGGTGGCGCTGTTGTTATGCACAAGCTCTTTGACAATGGAGAGGGCCGCACCACCATCGCTGGTGGACAGGGTACGATGTGGACTACGCTTCTTCAAATGGGCGAACTGGTAGACACGGCACACAGAGTTTATGATCCAACCGAGACTCGTCTCTTCATCACGCATGCCTCCCCTGCCCGAGAGGGCATCCTCAATCAACTCTCCGTCGCTCTCAAGGCCGACTTTTCCGTCTCAGCTGGCCTTCATTTCCGCTACGGAAGCTCCTACAACGAATTCAGTGTCAACCCCACGCTTGATCACTACCGTGGCAAACTCGCTGCCTCCAAGGCTTCGTTTAGCGACGTTTGGGAGACTGTCAAGGGTGAGGTTGAGCCTGCCATTGCCCAAAACGAAGCCCAGCAGAACCTTCTCAAAAATGCTCTTCAAATCGTTGAGAAGATGCCTACTACTGCTGCTGGTGGCAACCCCTTTGGCGGCCCTGTTAGTGGCCATGCCGCCTTGGGACAGGTTGACGAGAGTGCATTCAAAAACATGTGGAACTTCAACTTGGCGGATGCGGCTTTTGGCTATCTTGTTCTGGAGATCCAAGACGGACGCATTGGCACAGAGATGCGCGCCCAGGGCTTCAACTTTTCTCATAGAGGAGCTAAGCAACAGCCTGGCGCTACGGCCAGCGCGCCGGTCACTTCGACTTCTGCCAGCGCCCCTACACCACCTCCTGCGGCTGCCGCGCTTACTTCCCGTCCGGCCCCCGAAAAACATGAAAAGTCTGAGAAGCAGGTTAAGGGCTCCACGCCGGCAAAGCCGGCTACTCCTCAACCTAACCAGGGCAACGGTAACAAGGATGCGGAGAAGACTCCCGCTTCCGCCAACGGCGGCACTGACCCCGTTACTTCCCCCGCTCCCAAGATTGTTCCCTCCGATATTATTGGTTTGTTCATTATGAACGTTAGCACCGAGGACCAGTGTCGCGAACTATTCAATGATGAGGACAGGGCCAAGATTGTAAAGATCGAGAAGTGGGGCAACTCGAACAAGGTTGTTCAGTTCAAGACTATGACTGACCGAGACACCGCTATGGACAACCTTCCGGACTCTGTCAAGACGAGAACTTCGGAGGACCGCACCAAACCCTGGGTCAAGATCTTCCAGCCTCGTGAGACTAAGGTTGGCGCCCGCGGTGGCGCTGGAAATTGGGGCGGCAGTGCGCGCGGTGGCGGCAGTGCCAGCGGATATCGCAGTGCTGGAGGAGCCAGTGACTCCGAAAGCAACCTCCGTGGCGGTCGCGGCGGTCGCGGTGGCCGTGGTGGTCGTGGCGGTGACCGTGGCCGAGGTGGCCGTGGCCGTGGAGGCAAAGGTGATGCAAACACGTCTTCACCTGCCGGTGGTGCAGAGTAATCAAGCAGGAAATCACCATCTCGACAAGAGAAGAAAATCCTTTGATACCTGATAGTGGCAGAAGCAATCTCGTGGAGGATGATTGTCTTTTTAATAGTATTTTCTGCGCGGAGGAAAAAAAGAAGAGGGTGGGTGATTCCTGGTATTTGTACTTGATGATGCTACGGACATGTTTTCTGGCCGGTGGCATTGCAGATTTGCCTTGACATTTCCCGAGTTGTATTCCCAAGTTGTACGGAGTTCAGCCAGAGAGAGTTATTTTGTTTACTAAAAAAATCGAAACATTTATCCATTTACCCAGTGCTACTCTGAATGTGACTGTTCGAATGCTTGTTCTTATGCTGCCAGTCTTTTTCTTACTTACATACTATACAAATACGCCAGATCGGGCGCGCAGGTAGGCAGGAGAGGAGTAAGAAACTCGCTGGTCGCTGTAGTACCCTTTTTCTACCCCTTATTGATACAACTTTGGTCTCGTCTCTTGAACCCTTTCACCGACCGCAAGAAGCGTCCTATTTCAGGGGCTTGATGCCCTTGTGAATGGCCGCGACACCACCCGTCAGGTTCTCGTAGCCGCAACCGGCCACCTCGAAGCCGGCGTCCTTGATGAGGTCGCGGAACTCGTCCTGGCTGGGGAAGCGCTCGATGCTCTCCACGAGGTACTGGTAGCTGTCGCGGTCGGCGGCGACGAGCTGGCCGATGAGCGGGATGGCGCCAAAGGACCAGCGCTTGTAGGCGGCGTTGAGCAGCGGGTTGCCGACCTTGCTGAACTCCATGCAGGCGAAGACGCCGCCGGGCTTGAGGACGCGGTGGGCCTCGCGCAGGGCGGCGGGGATGTCGGTAAAGTTGCGGATGCCGAAGGCGACGGTGTAGAGGTCGAGGGAGGCGTCGGGGACGGCGTCCTGGGGGAGGCGCTCGGCGTTGGCCTCGAGGAAGGACAGCGCGGCCTGGTGGGAGGCCGGGAGGCGCATGGAGCGCTGGCGGCCGACGTCGAGCATTGCGGGATTGATGTCGGAGACGGTGATGTGGATGTTGGGGTTGGCGTTTTGGGCGTGGGCGTGCTCGACCATGCGGAAAGCAATGTCGCCGGTGCCGCCAGCGACGTCGAGGACCTTTTGCGGGCGGCCGACGGGTGTCGTCGCGCCGGGATTCAGCGAGGAGACAAAGTAGTCCCTGGTAGAAGGAAGTTTGGTTAGTGAATGGACTATCTCGAGGAGGAGGGGAGAAGGGCCATACTTCCACAGACGGTGTACGCCAAAGGACATGAGGTCATTCATCTTGTCGTAGGACTCGGCGACACTGGTGAAGACACCAGCCACACGGCCGGCCTTTTCCTCCTCATTGACCGTCTCAAAGCCGAAATGGGTGGTGCGGCTTTGCTGCGACTGCTGCTGTTGCTGCTCGGCGCTGTGGCGGCACGTGGCCGTGGTGCTGATTTGGCGGGTGAGTTGCTGTCGCGCGGTTGCGGCGCGCAGGGAGGCGGCGCATGTCCGCAGGCCGTGTCTTGAGGCCATTGCTATAGGTAGATTTGTGCTGTTGTGATGTTGTCTGTGTCGAACTGGGCTGATGGGAAAGGGTAGATGTATGGGTTGATGCTTGTGCTTGGAAATTTTGTCCCTTGCAATTCCCAATTCAGATAGGTAGGTACTCAGATATGCGGGTTCCACTTCCGGACTTTGGTCTGCCGATCTGGTAGGGTTGACGATCTTGCTATCAAGAGGCCTGAAATTAGTTTGGAGATGGTGGTCGAGTTTTCTTGTCTCGGGGAATTCTCTAGTTACAGCTCGGGTTGTATTTATGACAGCCGTTCCGTTACGCCTTGGCTGCTGCTGTTTCAGGCTGAGGAGCCTCGGTGGATGGAGATGGCTCCGCGCCGGTCGTTGCGGCGGCTGAATCGCTCCGCTCTTCAGATTCCCGTTGCTCGGCCTCTTCTTCGTCCCTTGCCTGTTTTGTCTGCACGGTATGAATCAATTTCTTGACCAAATAATGTAGGCCAAACCCGGCGAGGCCAACAACGACCAGGACCACCAAAATCGTTACTAGGAGACCCGTTTTCGAGCTGGTCATTGTTGAGCAGAGAGTTGACGATGCAAAGATGATAGTAAGGGACCTGAAGAGAATGAGATTTACAAAAAAATTTGGAGCTATTTTAATTCTTGTTTCTGGTGCACATTCATTGCTCATTCACTGCTCAGCATGGAGTGCATTGTTTCGTATGAGGCCGCCGAGCAAACGGCGCTGGCAGCTGGCAAGCATGCCTACACTCTTACAGCTGTGTACAGCAATGCAGTGTGAGCAGCAGCAAACGGGCAAGTGGTTGGCAAATTTATGTACATCAAAGTACCAACTCGACAAGCTAGGATTTTTCGCTACTTTTTTTGTTAGCTTTATTAGGGACAAGAGCATTTTGCTGCTGACCAAAGTTGGGGCCTCCCCACGCTTTCGGCGGCCGGCTTAGATGACGGGTTCAGTCGGCTCAAAGTGACGTCGCTCTGCTTCGGCTCCCCAAGCAACCCCAAACAACCACCAACAGCCGAGCATTTCCCCAGGATTTGATCTACTGTGCTGCTGCAACCTCTACAACTATACCCTCCTTCTTTTACTTTTACCCGTCTTCATTTTCCCTTTCAGAAGAGGAGACACAGCCTCGCACGACACATAATGAAGTCTCGCATGCTGCAAAGAGTACAGCTACGGGCGTCGACCGCTACCGTCGCCAGGTCGCGCGTCGCCGCCCTTGGCTCAGTGCGCGCCGCCAGCAGCGTCTCGCAGCGTCCCAACTCGGAGTTTGTCCAGTTTCCCGGCGCACTCAAGAGTGCCTTCACACACAGCCTCAATTTCGAGAACCCGGAATCGTACAAGGCCCTGCCGACGTATCGGGTAGTCGACCAGCACGGTGTCGTTGTGGACAGCTCGTTTGAGCCGGACATTTCGGAGCAACAGGTCGTCAAGCTGTACAAGGATATGCTGTTTATTTCCATTATGGATCTCATCATGTTCGACGCCCAGCGACAGGGCCGTCTCAGCTTCTACATGGTCAGCGCCGGCGAGGAGGCGGTGAGCGTGGGAACATCCAGCGTACTGGATCCCGAGGATGTCGTCTTCTGCCAGTACCGTGAACAAGGCCTGTTTAAGGAGAGAGGTTTCACAACCAAGGAATTCATGTCACAATTATTCTCCAACAGAAATGACCCTGGCAAGGGCAGAAACATGCCTATTCACTACGGCAGCAAGAAACTCAATGTCGTACGTCCGCTCAACAGTTACAGAAATGATACGAAGTTGTACTAACACGTGGACGCAGCACACCATCTCATCACCTCTTGCCACACAGCTGCCGCAAGCCTCCGGCGCTGGATATGCTTTGAAGCTGCAAAAGTTGCAGAACCCCGAATCCAAGGCCCGCGTGTGCGCCGTCTTCTTTGGCGAGGGTGCTGCCAGTGAGGGTGATTTCCACGCCGCCATGAACATTGCTGCCACTAGATCATGCCCCGTCATCTTCATCTGCCGTAACAACGGGTACGCGATATCTACCCCAACATTAGAGCAATACCGCGGTGACGGCATCGCCAGCCGCGGCATCGGCTACGGCATCGACACCATCCGCGTCGATGGCAACGATATTTGGGCCGTGCGCGAGGCGACCAAGAAGGCGCGCGAGCTGGCGCTCCAGGACGGTGGCAAGCCTGTGTTGATCGAGGCCATGACCTACCGGGTGTCGCACCACAGTACGTCGGACGACTCGTTTGCGTACCGGGCGCGCGTCGAGGTGGAGGACTGGAAGCGGCGCGACAACCCTTTGACGCGGCTGCGCAAGTGGATGGAGACCAAGGGCTATTGGGACGAGGCCAAGGAGAAGGAGGCGCGGGACGCACTGCGCAAGGAGGTGTTACGGGAATTCAGTGCGGCAGAGAGGGAGAAGAAGCCGGCGATCAAGACCATGTTCGAGGACGTCTACGACGAGCTGACACCGGGCTTAAAGGCGCAGATGCAGGAGCTGAGGGAGCTGATCGATAACTACCCAGATGAGTACGACGTCGGCGAGTTTGAGGGTGGCAAGGAGACGTTGAAGTCCTGAATGAGTCATGTATGAAAGGAAAAAGAAGAAATACTCTGCAAAGAGAAAAAAAAGGACAAATACATAGACGCAAGTCCAGATATAGAATCTAGCTTGCGCAACGAAAATTGAAAAACCCTGCCAGTGTTACAGGCATCTGTGCAAATCAAGTTGCCTGGTCACTGGCTGCAAGATCTGGGTGGTGTAACAGCTGGCGGATACTAATAAGCAATCGTTGAGGTCTCACCAAACTCGCACACGTAGAGTCGACGGCATATTTTCTACGCACATGCACGACAAGACACGACCTCGCACAGATGGACTAGAGGTGACTTGGCCAATGGTGATACGTTAGTTAGTCGACAGCATAGGCGCGATCGACACGGCCTTCTACGGCGGGCTGGATACGAAAGCATGAAAAGAACCGTATGGTAGGTAGCCCTGCAGTGCTGAGATGTACTCTTGGTACAACAGAGTGGATGAATGGGTGAGGGAATGGCCCGGGGCACATTGCAGAACTTGCATCCAGTACCGGAGGCGCACACCATATTCTCTCTGATTAGGCAACGGCGTCGAGTACGCCAACAGCGGTAGGCCAGAAATGGAAGAATGCCTTGCCACGGACGAACTGGCTTGCTTGGGTCAACATTAGGTACATACTCGGCTGATACCAAGACTCGAAAACTGCACCAATTCTTCTGCATGTTGATGATAATGATGATAGTAGTGGTGATGTCGATAGCGACGGTCTCGTGTCTCAAACGGACGTTCACGGAGGATTTGCCACAGCGAGACAGGCTTAGCGACCTCGGTCTAAAGTCCCAGCTGGCGGATTGCATCAGACATCGAGTCTCACTGGATCGATCGGAGAGGTTTGTAAGATGACCTTGCCATGGCAGTGCCGGTGAGCGACCACATCCCAAGCTTGCATAACCGTAAAGTTAAAAGCAGTGTGCGAAGAGGGTGGAAGACAGAAGCATACCCACAGTGGGGTTCCAAGCATCCCTACGAAGCTCTCTGAATAAGCAAGCACCTTGTACCCGTACATACTGTACCTACATACATACATACATACATACACCTAAGTCGTCCTGGGCCACACTTATTAGCACCAACTCGACGCTTGCAAGTCGTCCTGTCACCTGTCGACAGCTGACCTCAGCCCGCAATTAGTACCTAACAAAACCCCAACTACTCGCCTCTACTAGCCTACATAATAACTACCTACCACCCGCAACGGAACCCGCAACCGCACCGCACCGTACACCGGAGGGCGAAACATCACGACGACCACCACACATTCCCCTCTGCGCCTCCGACTTGCACAATATACCCTCGCACGCCTCCCTCCTCCTTTTCTACCCGCGTGCGCCCACGTACAACCAGCGACGAAGAAAAAAAAACCTCCTGCTTGCCCGCTTCGAGCTCCGCGCCAAATTTACTAATGGCGTAGTCCGGGCATGGCAGAACGAACACCGGCAGGCGATAACCCAGTGCCACTTTCTCCAGACGACGCCGCCACGGCCAGCAGCGCCCGTTTGACGCCAGTCGCGCCTCCGAGGTATGCTGCCATATCTCTTTTCTTTTTATCCTGGAATACGTGAATCCCGTTCTGTCGTCCCGCTTCTCTCCCGCTCCCCCCCTGTGCGTCCTTGCCATCCTGGCTGTGACGTTGGGTGCCTCGAGCCACTGTTGCCTCTCGGTCGGCCGAGTCGATTCATCGATTCACTACCTTAGGACCCTATCGGACCCGAGCAAGCGTTTGAATTCCCCATCACTACCAACTACCCTACCTACAGCAATCTTGCGCTTCGCCATCGCTTTCTTTTTCTTCCTCATCTACCGCCTGCCCGCTTTTCGCCGTTTGAGCCGTTCTCTCGAGTGCTTGCCGCAAACACACGCCCACACACGCCCATAATCAATTCCTCGACCCAACATCTCACATGCCCGGCTCCCAGCACAGTGCCTTTCCTCCTGCATATCGGATGCCATTTCTGCCTCGGTTTTTTTCCCCGCATCTTCTCCCTGTTCTTCTTTCGAGGCGTTGTAGTCTCCAGCATGTCCACTAGAGGCTTCCTGCCATCCCCGTGAACAGCGTCTGCCAGTGCACCAGCCGGGTTCTCCAATCCCCGACGTTGCAGCACAGCTCTCATCCCTGCCTCGCCGGCTGCCTCTGCACACCACTTCTTGTGAAAAATCAGTCGCTCATGAGTTCTAGAATTACCAGGTCGTCTGCCCGTCAAGCTGCCAGCCAGGTGGCACAGACTTCAGCGGCTTCAAACCCCACGAAACCCAGTTCAGACTCCGCCGATCCCTCGACTTCTCCGAAGACCCCTCCGCTACCTCCTCGTAACAAACGCAAGGCTTCGGCGGGCTCCAAGTTGCCTGCCACAACAGCACGCCCGAGCTCCTCGGACCGAAGATCTAAGAGGCAAAAGTTACCCGAAGATACAGCCACAGCTTTTCCCGCTTTGCCTCTCAGTGCAACCACAAAAGCACTTCCCAAGGCCGTCCGGAAAGGAAAGACTTCTTCTATAATGGACCCGTCCAAGTGAGGCTTACTGTAAGATTGTTCTGTTACTTGATGCTAATACTATACTGTCAGTGATCGCACCGGCCTCAGAGAATCCACACATGACCAATTGCCATCCGACGCTTCAAACACGCGGGGAAGCCGCAGCAAGAAGTCAACACATAGCCCTCCTGGTACGCTTCTATTCATAGATGAACCCAAGACTTCTCAATGGGCTTTTTAACACTTTATAAATAGGCATTCAAGATGAGCATTCTCCTCTCTCTCGACGTTACAAGGGTCTCGCCGGCGAGGCGGATGAAGATATCGTAATGGGTGGTACCGAGGCCAGCAGAGAAGAGCTTGACCCGACTCGGAACGCCTCTACAAATCAAGCCAATGATGATGGCGAGAACGAAGAGACAAACAATAACGAGGATGCGGATGAGCCTCATGACGATGACGACGACGACGACGACGACGACGACGAAGAGGATGACGACGATGCAAATGACCGCGGCGACGCCTTCGGCGACAATGAAGACGGTGATCCTTTTGGTGCATTCGGAGCTGCCGGGTTGTCCAGCACACTCCGTGCGCTGACGGGAATGATGTCCGGCCAAACTGCTCGACTGCGTGAACTTCTTAACAGCCTGAGGGAGGACGATCTCTCTGTCCAGGTCATTGCTTTGCAAGAACTGTCCGAGTTTCTACTGGTGTCCAACGAAGACAATCTTTCTGGGCACTTCTCCCCCGATGCCTTCGTGAGAGAACTAGTCCAACTCATGAACAAGGAAGAGAGCCCGGAAGTCATGCTCCTCGCATGCCGCTGTCTGGCCAATTTGATGGAAGCCTTGCCTGCCAGTGTGGCAAATGTCGTTTATGCAAACGCCGTGCCGGTTCTATGCTCAAAGCTCCTGGAGATCTCCTTCATCGATTTGGCTGAGCAATCTCTCAGCACCTTGGAAAAAATATCCGTCGAATATCCGGCCAGCATCGTTCGTGAAGGTGGCCTTACTGCTTGTCTATCATACCTCGACTTCTTTGCCACAAGCACCCAAAGAACTGCCGTGACGATTGCGGCCAACTGCTGCAGAAACATTCCCAACGATTCATTCCCAGTTGTCCGAGATGTCATGCCGATTCTCCTGAACGTCCTGAGTAGCAACGACCAGCGAGTTGTCGAGCAAGCTTCCTTGTGTGTGTCTGGCATCGTCGAGAGCTTCAAGCACCAAGCTTCGAAGCTCGAAGAGCTGGTCAGCGTTGATTTGCTGCGAGCTGTCCTGCGGTTGCTCGTCCCTGGGACGACTAACCTGATTGGCTCCAACATTCATACTCAGTTCTTGCGCGTCTTGGCCTTTACAGCCCGGGCTAGTCCTCGCCTTTCTGCAGAGCTCTTCAAGCTTCAAGTAGTCGAAACTCTCTACCAGATTTTGACCGGTGTTTCCCCGCCGAGTGGTACAGAGGATGTTGCATCCAAGCTTGACAGCGTTATCATCATGCAAGCACTTATTCATCGACCACGTGAGCAGATCATCGAAACCTTGAATGTCATCTGCGAGCTGCTTCCAGGGCTGCCCAAGGACGCTGACCCGTTGTTCGGCGACTTCGTCGAGTTCCATGGCCTGCAGGAACCCAGCGCAGCAACAAGTAGCTCCCGGCACTCCCCTACTGAAAAGCGCCTGTCGCTCCTCAACGGTTGCAAAGACGAAGTCCGACGCTTTGCTCTAATCATCTTCCCCACTCTTACAGATGTCTTCTCAAGCACGGTCAATCTGAGTGTCCGCCAAAAGGTTCTCCAAGCACAGATCAAAATGCTCTCCAACCTTCACGAGAAGATCCTGGAGGAATCGCTTGTCCCTGTTCCGTACGCTTCCTTCCTAGCATCCATTCTCTCTCAGCAAGACCACCCTAGTCTGGTCATGCTTGGCCTGCAAGCTACAGAGCTACTCTTGAGCCGTCTGGATAAGATCTACCGTTACCAGCTGTACAGGGAAGGGGTCGTTCTTGAAATCGAAAAGCTCTCCAGCCAAGTTCCGGAAGAGTCCGTCGAAGACCCCACGAAGAAGGCCGACGGTGACCATGGCAGAGAAAGCTCTCCCACATCAGAAGACGAGGATGACGAAGATGAAGATAACGACGATGACGAAGGCGATGGTGATGATGGAGAAGAAGACGTCCAGGCCGAACAAGAACATGTCGAGCCTGAGACTGCTGAACTCGACGATGACGAAGATGGGGACCACGATGACCAAGAGCAAGACGAAAATGCTGGCGACGCGTCTCCCGTTAGTTCCAGCTCGTCCTCTGCTTCTGAGGCGGTCGCACCCCCCCGCAGATATCTTTCAGACTCTCGAACCACGAAAATTCGCATCTGCCAAGTGGCAAAGAGGTTTTTGGAGTCTCATGAAAATGAAGAACACGGCCGAGACATGAAAGCAAAGGCGAGCCTCATCATGGACGGTCTAACAAAATTGGCTGATGAATTGGAAGCCTTCTTTTTGCGTCGCACGGCCAATGATCTATCACCGTCTGCCGGAAAGGCCTTGTTCACCCAGCTGGCGGGACAATTTGACACCGATGTGCTAGAAAGTGTAACGAGTGCAGAGCTCCTTTCTTCTGGCCTTGTCCGGTCATTAGTGGAAGTATTGAGCAACCCCGACGAGGAATTGGCTCGTTTGGCGCAGTCAACCCTTTTGGAGGTTTTCATGAGCAAGAGTGTCAAGTCCAAGCCAAAGACAGCGACGGCTGAGTCGCCAGTCACGCCATTCAGCATGATGATCCACAAACTGCAAGACTTGCTCAGTAGGTCAGAGCACTATGAAGTTGTTACTGTTCATCATAACACATTTGATGGCAACCGCACCAGCCCAGCTTCAATGCTTGGCAAGCAAATTCGTCTTCGTCTTGTGGCCGACGATGACTCGAATATTCCTCGTCCGTATAGAAACATCATGGTTTCCATACACGCAATTGCCACATTCAGGTCTCTCGATGATTATCTACGCCCACGCATCAGCCTTTCTGAGCGTCCGCGCATCGCTGGTAGACGCGACGGCCTTACTCAAGCTCTCGCTGCGATGGCCGGTCTGCCACTCAGCGGTGTTCCCCCTGGCTCACGCCTGACTGACGGCTCCTCATTTGCTCCTGGATCTGCGCCACCCCCCCCTCCACCTCCCCCTATCGCAGGGATGCCGCCTAGTGCATCACACTTGCGACGCGCGGTCAGCAACAAGCCGCCACGCCATCCTACGACGCCCACGAACGCCGACCAGGCTGGGGGCCCGTCACGCTCCGGGAAGAGTTTGAGAAGATCATCTCGTCGCCAGACTCAAACATCCGGAGTTCAATCTCCTGCTAACCCTCCTCCTGATGATGAGGGTGAGCAAAGCACTTTGGAGTGTGCTGATGAAAAACAGATTAGCGAGGATGACGAGGATCTCGCCGATGCCAGTGCTCTGGATGCAATTGTCGGCGAGCTTGAGGATATGGACGAGGAACCAGATACCACTGGGCCGGATGATACTTCTGCCATTGACTTTGAAGTTGCCACAACGGGCGGTGTAACAGCTCGCAAAGAAGATGGCACCAAGGTCGCAACCCCTGTAAGCGCCGAGAAGCGTCCTGCCGAACAGAGGCAGGCTCCAGCAACTTCTACGCCAGCAGGTCCATCGCGGCCAATGTCTTATGCATCGGCTCTTCAAGCTGTTCCCCAGGATTGGCACATTGAGTTTTCCCTCGATGACAAGGTTATCTCCAACGAGACAACAATTTACCGTGCCATTTTTCTGGCTGCCACCAAAACGGACGATCAGCACATTAGCCGGAGTATCTGGTCTGCCACTCATCCCATCAAGTTCAAACGAGTTCCCGGACCGCAGGGTATGGAACCAACGGCAGTAACTGCAAACACTGAGGCGGAATCGGAATCTCCAGATGGCATCCCAGCGTCACTCGCTAAGAACCCCACCACAGCCTCCATCCTGCGTCTCCTGAACATTCTTCATGAGCTCAACGAAAACATTGAGGACGTTTTAATCACAAATGACCAGACAATCGGCCTCAACGTTGAGCCGCCTTCACAGTTCGTCAGTACGAAACTGACAGCCAAGCTTAACCGCCAGCTAGAAGAGCCGCTCATTGTAGCTAGCAGGTGCTTGCCTAGCTGGTCGGAAGATCTGGCTCGACTATACCCATTCCTGTTTCCTTTCGAGACGCGCCATCTCTTCCTTCAGTCTACATCGTTTGGATATGCCCGATCGATGGCAAGATGGCAGAATGCGCAAGCTGAGGAGAACCGCCGAGATCGCCACAACGAGCGCCCTTTCTTAGGCCGCCTTCAAAGGCAAAAGGTCCGAATTTCTCGGCTCAAGATCCTCGAGTCTGCACTTAAGGTTATGGAGCTGTATGGTGCCTCACAGAGTATCCTTGAGGTCGAATACTTTGAAGAAGTTGGCACTGGTCTTGGGCCGACCCTGGAATTTTACTCGAGCGTTTCGAAAGAATTCGCCAAGAAGAAGTTGCGTCTCTGGCGTGATGTTGATAACACGGGGTCCGACGAATTCGTATCTGGTCCCTCTGGGCTATTCCCTCGACCACTAAGTACAGAAGAACTGGGCACACCTAACGGAGAGCGCATTTTGCACCTGTTCAAGATGCTTGGCAAGTTTATTGCACGTTCCATGATTGACTCGCGCATCATCGATATCCACTTCAACCCTACCTTCTTCCGAATTAGCGATGCTGCTGCAGCCGGGGTCAAGCCATCATTAGGCGCTGTCAAGGTCGTCGATCCGGGCCTCGCAAGGTCGCTGAAGGCCATCAAAAAGTATTCTATTGCCAAGAAGGAGATTGATGAAGATCCGACTCGAACGCCTGCACAAAAGGTTGCTGACACCGAGAATATCTGCATCGACGGCGTGCGATTGGATGATTTGTGCCTTGACTTTACGCTTCCCGGCTACCCTGGCATTGAGCTAGAACCAAATGGGCCGCAAAACCGCGTCACTATTGACAATGTTGATGTTTACCTGGACAGAGTTATCGACATGACGCTCGGCTCGGGTGTGCGCGCCCAAGTTGATGCGTTCAGAACCGGCTTCTCTCAGGTATTCCCATACACTGCACTGAGCGCCTTTACTCCCGCCGAGCTTGTCACGCTTTTTGGCAAAGTCAATGAAGACTGGTCTCTCGAAAGTAAGGCATTCGTATCTAGCCAACTTGAACATTAACTAACCAGTACCTAGCTCTTACCGACTCGATCAAGGCGGACCACGGCTTCAACATGGATAGCCGCAGCGTGAAAAATCTTTTGCAGGTCATGAGCGAGTTTGACCTCAGCGAGCGTCGCGAATTTCTTCAGTTCATTACGGGAAGCCCCAAGCTTCCAATTGGAGGATTCCGTAGCCTCACGCCCATGTTTACTGTCGTCTGCAAGCCCAGCGAGCACCCGTACACTTCAGACGACTACTTGCCGAGTGTCATGACCTGCGTCAACTATCTCAAGCTGCCAGATTATACAGACCACGATACCATGAGAAAGCGGCTTCTCACCGCTATGAAGGAAGGCCAAGGAGCCTTCCACCTTTCCTAAAATCCTTGTTATATCATGAGCATTTTCATAACTCTCTCTACCTTCTCGGTGTACAAGAGGGACACCCCACGACAATGTCGCAAGATTGTGCAGCTCCAGATCGCGTTGTCGCCGGCACAGCCCGTATGGCAGAAGCAAAAGGGGCAAAGAGAGGCAGGTTAGAAGAGCGGGTGGTAATTGTATGAATGGGTTACGGGCTTGCTTTTTTGTTTTTCTACTCTATCTATATAGACTCGGCATCAGCATAAAAAATGAAGTATCGGGATATTTGATGACGAAATGAATGCATTTGCTATGTAATTAAAGGGCTCAAAACGGTCGCCGAGTATCGAAAATCAGTTTCATAATTCGTGTCCTTTTCGTTTTTCATCATACAAGCTACCACCAGGTCACTGGCGTTGCCGATTCCCTCGCTCCCTCTCCCACTACTCCTCCTCTTCCGAGTCGCAGATCTCGTCAGGCACGCGCTTGCCCTCGCCCTCCTCATCCGCCTCGTCGCGAACGAGGCTGTCTGGAAGGGTCTGGCTGCCGGTCAGCAGCTGCGACGCCTCGAGGAGGTCCTCGACGCCGCTGTACGGCATCGGGATCGACGAGCCGCCGTGGTCGTCGAAGACGAGGCTCTCCGACGACCACTCGCCCCCGGGGCGCGGCGTGACCGGCGCGCCACCGGCCCCCGCGGCCGTCGACGCCTGCGAGGCGGTGGTGGCCTGGGACGGGCGCCGACGCGCGTGCTGGAGCGGGGAGCTCGAAGGCTGGTGGGTGCGGCGGCTGCGGGCAGGCGTGGAGGAGAGCCTCGCGGAACGACGCAGCGGCGAGGAAGACGAGAGAGCAACATGGGCGGCGGCAACGCGTGCTGGCGTTGTCGCTACTTCCTCGACGGCAGCATCGTCAACCTCGTCCTCCTCGTCTGCGAACAAGGCGTGGCGGAGATTCCACAGCAGCTGACTCACGACCGCGGGCGGGAAGTAGACGTAGCGGGTGACGCGGCCTCGCAGCCACTCCTCCTCGCGCATGTCCTCCTCGCGGGCCGGGTTGTTGAGCTCGTAGACTTGCGCGGCGCGGTAGGACCAGGTACCGCGGCCGCCGCGGCCGTTGTCGCGTGTCGGCTCGTAAACGGCGGCGCCGGCGCCGGTGCCCCCCAGGCAGGCGAGGTAGCGCAGGACGCCGTCGCACAGCAGCCAGAGGCGCACCACCAGTGCGGGCACCTTGAAGGGCAGGACGATGGCGTCCTGGCGCCCCGCGGCGAGGTTGTCGAGCGTGGCGCGCGACACGGGCAGCAGCACGTCGGTGCGCGCCTGGGCGGGTGGAAGGCCCTGCAGCTTGGCGAGGGGCACGCGCTGCGACTCGAGCGGCAAGCCCTGCGTGTCGATCGGGTTGTCGTGCTGGAGGAGGGGGAGGGGGCGGCGCAGGAGAGGCGCGTCGGGGTCAGCTATGGGGATGTCGTTGGCGACGGTGCCGGGGTTCTTCTTAACGGTCCGCGCCGGCGGCGGCTTCGTCGTGATCGTGGTGGGTTTCAGCGACGACGAGGGCGGTGCGGAGAGTGGCGTGAGGGCAGCGGACCCCGGCGACGGCGCGGGACTCGACGTGCGAGGTGGGCGTGCCGGCGACGCGACGGAAGAAGAAGACGCTACGGCCGCGTAGCCGGCTCGGGGAGGAGGTGCGCTCCATTTGCGCACGCTGGACTGTAGCTGATCCATGAGGAGCTGCGTCTCGGCGCCCGCTGCGAAGCGCGCGTCCTCGTCGTCCACATCGGTGCCGTCATCGTCCTCAGTCTCCGCGCCAAAGCCATCCTCGTACTCGTGATCAGAGTCTGGGATTTCCCGCTCCGCCTTTGTCGCTTCTTCCTCGGCCGGCGGCGGCGGTAATTTTTGCGAGGACCGCGTTCGTCGGGGTGGTGGCGGCGTCGCCGGCATCGAGTCCTGCGGCTGCGGCGGCGGTTGCTGCTGGGTCGCTACGGCGCTGTCCTGCACAATCTGAGAGAAGGCGCCGTAGAATTTCTCCTCAACCTGCCCGTGCTGACTATGCGTATGTGGCGGCGGCGGAGTGGTATTCTCCTCGGCAGACTGACTCGCCTGCGTCGTCAACGCCGCGGGGGCGGTCGTCACGGCAAGTGCGGCCGATCCTTCCGCTGGCGTGCTAAATACCTCGGCCTGCGTCTGCGTCTGCGTCTGGTGCTGCTGAGAGGCTGGCGACGTCCCGTGGTGGCGCGCCTGCGTGCCTTCTCCCACGGAACTCCAGCCCTCCGTCGCGAACGAGTCCGCAATCACCAGCTCCGCTGGCTGCTTCTTCTTCCCCGCCGCCGCCGCTGTGCTGCTACCGACGATCGGGGCGCGCTTCTTGGGCTTGCCCGTGAGCTTTAGCACCGGCGACGGCGACGAGGATGACTTGCCTCGGCGCTGCGTCGACGGCGACACGTATATGTTGGGCGCGCCGTAGATGGCCGCGAAGCGTAAGGGCGAGGGCGAGACGTGCTGGGCCGACGGCGGCACGCCGAAGCGGGCGATGCTCTTGATGGGCGTCTGCGGCACGACCGACTCTTCGCGGAGCTGCTGCTGGCTTGCCGACGTCGCCTGCTGATGCTGCGTCGGCGCTGGGCCTCCTCCTACCTGTCGTCGGCGGGTGCCGCTGGGCCGCGGTGACGGGCTGTGGTCCTCCCACACCTTGTGCGGCGACTGCGACTTCGCGGCGGCGGCCCGCCTTTGGCCCGCCTGCGTTCCCATGGTCGGGCTCTGCGGCTCCTGCTGCTGCTCATCCTCGTCGTCGTGGTCGTCGCCGAGCCACTGCAGAAAACCATCGTTTTCTTTACCGCTGCCGCCGCCTAGCTCCTCTTCCGAGTCGGCATCCGAGTCAGCGACGCAAGAGGTCGTGTTGTTGCGACCGACGAGTTGGGTCAGGGTCTGCGTTTGGTACCGACGTCGGCGGGACGGCCCAGCAATGGGCGAGTCCCCGAGCGTCCTCCTACGCGCCGCCGTCGCCGCCGGGCGACCCTTCTCCTCGTCTCTCATGGTGCTCCTGCGGTGCTCCTCGCCGAGTGTCCGCCGGCGCTTCGTTTTACCCGCCGCCTCAACGAAGTCGCCCACGCGTGCGCGGCGACGGCCGCTCCTCACGACAGGCCCTTCGTCGTCGTCGTCGTCGTCGTCGTCTTCCGTATCCGGCACTCGCTGCTCCTCCTCCCCTTCCTGCTCCGTGACTTCTATCGGCTGTAGCGGCGCGTGCTTCGCCGAGGGTGACCTCCTTCGCTTCGTGCCCTTGGGCACGTTGTTCTCCTTCTCCGCCTCGTCCGCCGTCTCGTCCACCTTGTCTAGATTCTCGACGTCGCTCGCGTCCGAAATCTCAATCACGCTCTGCTCCTCGCGGAAGCTCGAGGCAAAGTCGTACTGCGTGAGCGTCTTTTGCTTGAGGGGCGGCGGCCCGCTGCTGCTGCCGCCCTCTTGTTCGTTTTCCTTGCCGTCGTCGTTGTCGTCGTCGTCATGGTTGGCCCCTCTGCCGCGGCTCCTGCGGGTCTGCTTCCCGTACGTGCGGACTCGTCGTCTTCGAGCGGGAAACTGGACTTGCTTGAGCGACGGTGTGGATTTGTAGACGATGCTGGATGGAGGGGCTGCACCGCCCGACCTTGTACGTGGCGTCATTTCTGCCGCGGCATCAAACGGATGATCTTGTCGATATGTCGGCCAGAACGGGATTCGATGCTTTTGGCGTGTCTTTCAGACACTTTTTAAGCTTTCGTTTCAAGCGGGCCAGTACGCTGTGATGGTCTCGATAATGGCTGGCTTTGTCGTGTAAAGTGGTGGAGTGATGTCAGTTAGCACCTAGATAATTACTTGGACGCGCACAAGACGCCACTCAAAACGCGCCAACGCGTCCTCTCTAATTGGTCCCCCACCGCTGTAAGCACATTATATGTACTGTACATGCCGACAACAAGCAGGCATGAAACAAGTTTGAATCCACGACAGCAACAAATACGATTTCTATCTCTTGGAACCCGCATGCCCAATTCTTCTTTTAAAACGAAATTCGATTTTTTTTCCGGCCAGCAAGGCTGCTGACGCCCAAATAAAAAACCGGCCTAATACATGCAAGTTTCGCAGCATCAACATTTCTAAGTCCAAATGCCCATAATCGTACACGCAGTAAAAATCATCCAGATTGCCTTCCCTCCCTCTCTTCATCTTCCACCATCGTCACAGGTCTCCATCTCGTACGCATGTCTTTGATCATTTGTCTCGGAACGCTGCCTTGACTTCCGCTCTAGGCCATTCAAACGGCACATCGCCTCCGTAAACATTCGTCGTTACACTGCCAATTCTGGTCTCGACTTTGCCGTAAAAGCTCTCGCACTCGGTAAGCACCTTGATAACGAGGCCCCGGCTAAGCGTGGGCTCATCCGCATCGCCAAAGTGCTTTTCAACACGCTTCCGCAGCGCATCGATGCCCTTGCGAAGATCCTTTGCGTCGTACATGCTAAGCACCTTGGCAAAGACTGCCTGGCTATTGGACGGCTGCTTGGCAATGGCAGTAGGCGACTTGCCAGTCTGAATCTGCGCCTCAATGTTCTCAAGGTGATCCAGCAATTTACCTAGCGGTCGGCGCATGACGGCATTGAGGTACAGCTCCATGTGCTCATGGTACTCTGTGTTTGCCTGGTCCTTCCAGTTTTCCAGTACGTCCAAGCCACGCGAGTCGGTCTCCTCCAAGAAATGGTTCATGTTCTCAATCAACAGGATATGGAAATTGAGGGCTTCCTTGCCTTCGGGGTCCGCCGTGCCCGTGGTAGTACCAGCAGTCGGATTCTCGCGAGCAATGACCATGAGAGAGTCAAACATTGACTTGAGGATTCGATCATACTCGCGATTGATCATGCGACGCAGCGGCAGGTTTGGATCCAGGCCATCAATCATGTTCTCGACTGCAGTCAGAAAGGTCGGGAACACACGGATGAAGGAGATGACGCCTTTGCGTTTGTTGATCTTGACCTTGGTGTCCTCAATGGCTCGGATCTGGTCGTTAACAAATTTGACGAAGCGCCCTTCCAGCAAATCGTGCACCTTCTGCAACGTCGTGTTGAGGAAATCCTGGTTTGACTGACTGATTTCTGACATCTTCTTCTCAAGAACTGCAAGAACTCCAGCTCCTTGTAGTGGGAATTGGCCGAGAACCCATTCCATCAAACGCTGAATCTCGGTTTCCAAAAATATAAAGATAATCTCCATAGCACGTGTAACGCGCCGCGCCAGCTCGCGATCAGGTTCCATAAGCCGATGGCGTTTCAAGTCACCGCCGCGGCGATTGTGAGGCGGCGTCGCTGCTACTGTGTCGGGGAAATCAAGTGACTCCAGCGTCGTGGCATGGAAGAAGTCAATGATGAAATTCTGCTCCATCTCAACTAGGGGCAGAAGATCGTCCAGAACAGCGCCAAAGACTTCAAATGGCATGGTACGACCTTCTCCAGCGGCGCTCTTCTCAACAGCACGCGAGCCGCCATCTGCCAGGGGTGATCGCAGAGCTCTCGCTAATGTTTGACTTCTCTTAACTGTCAGTTTTCTCGCTGCTGTAGCAACGCCCTCCTGCTGCTTCTCGGCTTGCGATGTGAACAGCATCTCGGCTTCATCCCCCGTCATCTTCCTGGCATTCCTGCGCCAATGATTGATAACATTCTGGAACTCGCTCTTGTAAAGAGGCTGGCTCTTTTCTTGGTATATTTGAAGGACACGGTTCCAGTTCTCGAGGTCCACATCTCGTGCATATAGCATCATGGGGCTGTACTTCCAGATGAGCTCTCTTCCAGCGTTGTGGTGGCTTGCGTCAGCCTTCTTCGACAGAGCCCCGTCCAGAACACGCTTGGTTTCCGCGTAAGCTGCATCAAACTGTCTCGCCATGAATTCGACAAGGCGACGCATAAACAGGCCGCTCTCTTGCATGTACATTTGCTTCTTCTCCTGCACAATGCGCATCTGACCATAGCTGGTGTTGAGGCTAGATTCTTGGTCAATGCGAGCGTCTTCAGTCTTTTCTGTTACTTTAGGATCGATTTTGAGCATGGCCTTGAACAGGACAACGAGGGATGCCTCTGCTTCCTCCAAGCCACGTAGATTATCCAGTGGTGCGGAGTGCAGGGCTGCGAGATCATTGCTTGTGATTGCGCAGGTCTCGAGCAACGACTCGAGTTCTTTCTTGAGCAGCTTCTGGTTGGCCGTCTGCACCTGCAGACCCTGGCCTTGAGCCTCAATGTAGGCAATGTCGTCTGATAACGTCGAGAGCTCCACAGTGTATAGAGTAAGAAGATTATCCAACTCTTCGCATTCTGCGATGGCCAGATCAACACCTTCTTTGATGGCCCCTACGCGCTCATCTTCCTCGCGGAACCGTGCAAGCCAACCACCAGCCTGTGCCTTGTTCAGCTCTCTGTCAATGTCGACTTTCAGCTCTTCGACATTGTGAGAGCGCATTTTCTCGCCAGGGACCCAGCCAAAGTAATCCAACCATTTGCCAAATTCTTGACTTCGCCCATCCAAGAGTGTTGGGTCAACTCCGAGTGCTTGAAGATATCTTGAGTCGTTGCCAGCCGCGATGGCCCGGGCTGCCTTTTCCTTGGCCGCCTCTTCTGCAATTTTGACAGCAGCTTCGCTAGGGCCCTTGGGCTCTTGCGGTTCTACCACAGAGGGCGGCGTAGGCGTGACCGTTACCTCGGGTACGGTGGGCTCAAGAGGTTGTGGCACGGGTGCAGAGGGCGGAGGGGAGGGAGCAGCCAAGTTGGACTGGAGGACAGGCGCAGAAGCAGCAGCAGCAGCAGTAGGCGCAGCACTAGATGTTGCTGAGGAAGGCTCGGGTGTCTCTGGCCGGTTATCTCTTGACACTGGACGCGGGGGCGCTGGAACAACGCCAGTAATCCCATCGGGGCCATCAGTCGTCTTCTGCTGAGCCATTCGCAGCCTTTCTGCCGCGCCGCCAGGGCGCGGTTTGAACGCTGAAGCAGCGGAAGCAGCATTGGCGGCTTTCCAGAACACGCCGGCAATATCACCTCTCGATCTCTTCGATTTGATCATGGGTCCCAAACCAGGTCGTGACTCATCTGAAGATTCGGTGGCAGTAGGGGGCGGGGACTGCGCGGCTTCATCGGACTGGGAGATGGAGTCGCTTTCGCTCCTTACCCGTGACAGTGCCGGGGAAGCCATGACAGGAGGTTTCGGCAGTTCGGGAGAAGATTCGCCCTCCAAAGCACGGCCGGCTGGGCCTTTCATGGGTGAATTTCGATCGCTGCTCCGGGGCGGTGGGTACACCGGCTCTTTCTTATTTATCGGGCTGTTCAGTGGCGGCGGTACAACGTCTCTGTCCTTGGGGCGCGAGGGATCCATCGGAGGTCGACGACGTTCCGGAGGAGGGACATCAGAGCCCTGAGGCGTAGTGGGTGGCTGTTCTGGAGCATTGGGGTCGCCAAACCTGCCAGGAACAGGTGGTACGTTGGGCCCGTTGCGCGATCGGGGGGGCTGGTTGACGGTGTCATCGCTCCGTGCTGAGGCCGACATGGACGTAGCAAAGGAATCCTGACTTCTATTGGTTTGTGCGGCCCATCGTGGCGGTGGTGGTCGGTCCGATCGCTCCCTGTTTACTGGGGATTCAAAACTGCTCGCTGGGGAGCTTGCGCCATTCAAAGGAGGGCGGAAGGGCGCTTTTTGAAACCTGGAGGAGTCGGGGGTTCCTTGGCGCGGGACAATCGAGGGCGTCGATAGAGCAGACGAAGGAGCCGAGTCCGGTCCGGGGGGCGGCTGAGGAGTCGGCGTCGCATTTGGTCTGGGGGGTGGGCGTCTGCCTGCTCCAATCACTTGGTCGTGCTCTCTCTGGTCGAAGCCATTCAACTCTGGAACCTTGCCACCAGTATACTTGCTGTAAATTTTTATCAAGCTTGCGACGAAGAACTTCTTTTCTTTGTCGGTCTGAGCTTGCCAATAGTATTGTTTTCCCAGTGTCACTGTAAAGCCAGTCTCCCCAGCCCATTCCCGCAGGCTTGGGTTGACTTGGGGCCCAGTGTAGGATTCAATGAGGGTAAGATCATCGAGATTCCAGGTCTTGCCGATTGAGAAGGTTCCGTTGGCATTTTCTTTGGATTTGTGCATGCGCACACGGCCCGATTGACGGACGGCGACGATGATGACTCGAGGCTTCTCGGAATCCGGCGTGCGAGCTTGGGGAGGAGGGGGTGACGTCGGGTGTGTCGAGTATTCTGTAATTCGGATGTGGGTAATGTAGGTCTCAATCACTTGAAGAAGAATGAGATTAGCGAGAATGCACAATGTACGGATTTGGATCTGCGCCGTGTCTGTCGTCCCGGCCGGGCTGCGGTGGTAACAGGTGCCAGCTTACTGGAGCCATCTTGGTTCTTTTTGCTGAAGCAGCTCTCGATTATGCGTCGCTTCTCATCCTCGAATCGCTCGGCCCTGCTGGCCGCGCCAGAGCCGGCTCCATTTGCGCGGTCCATTTACTAAGGGGTAGATTATCATGAATTCATGAAGCAGAGGTCGGGAAATGATGGCGCAGCATAACGGTGCAGCCAGAGGCGGCATAAAGGAGTGATGTCAAGAAAGCCAAGGTATGTATGGAGGTGGCGGGAGTGTCGCGGCTGGAGTTCAGGAGTGCGGGAACGCGGTGGGTGTGTGGGTCTCCCCCAGCAGTGCTGACCCTGGCTACAGTGAGCTGCCTCGGTGCTTCAGTTCTAAAGTTAAAGTACTAAACTGAGGTCAGGCAATTATTAGGCAGGTATGTACCTATGTACATAATAAGGTAGAGAGGTACATACATACATACATACATACATACATACATACATACATACATACATACATACAGTGGCAGTTGTAGGTAGCGTTCCCACTTGACATGCCCTGAGACGAATGGCAATAGCTTCTATCTATGCTTCTACTAATCCTATCCTTCCTTCTATGAGGCTTCTAGACGACTCAGCATAAAACGGGTACCAAGTAGCAAGGGTGGTACCATCCAAAACTTACGGCTCTCACCATCATATGTACATAATCTAATACAACTGTTATACAACATTTAACTTATCACAATGCATAAGCATCACTCTCAGTCCACTATCAGCTCTACCATCCAAAGCTTTCGTTATGGTACCATACTCTGCGGCCCTTCATCACCCACGGCCGCACACAGCGCCTCACCTCGTCCGCCATCTCCTTGGGCCCGCACACGACGACGGCGACGACGCCCTGCGCGCTGAGCCGGAACGCCTCGTCGACAATCTTCTCAAAGTCAGGTCGTCGCCGGTTCTGCTCGGCGGCGCCCAGGCACGTGCGGCCACCACGGCCTCCAAACGCGCGGCGCGACGGTGGCAGCGGCCGCATCTCTATCGCGGAGCCGCTCTCGCCACGGCCGTCCGCCTCGCCGGGGCCGACCGCCGCCTCGCCGGTCAAGAAGAGCTGTATACGTTCGTCGCCGAGCGTGGTCTTGCCGCTGGCAACGCTCGCAGGCACAGCCCAGGTCGCGTCGCCAGCGGCGCGGACGGCCCAGACCATCTGCAGCCGCGCGAGCGGAAGCTCGGCCTGCGCGGCCTGGAAGATAGGCAAGATAAAGGTGGCTCCCACGCCACCGGCGACAAAGAGCACGCGGCTGGCGCCGCTGGTGAGGAGGGAGCGGTACTTGCGCGCCATGGCGCCGTAGGGTCCTTCGATGGTGAGTCGCACTTTAGCATCGTCGGGCGACGCTGCAGCCACCCCGGCCGCGGCATAGTCGGTAAGGACGCGACTCATGGCGCCGCGTCGCGTGCGCACGACAAACGTGATGGCTTCGGCATCCTCAACGAGAGAGGCTACCGAGTACGGGTTGTACGAGTAGTCGAAGAGCGCTGATTGCGAGGAGGGGACCGAGTCTTTGCGGCCCTCTGTGGGAAGGCTCACATAGACGTGCGACCCCGGCGCACCACGAAAGGCATCCAGGTGTCCGAGCGGTAGCGGCGCCGTGATCTTGATGAGGGTCGTGCCGGGGATGGCCTCGATCGTGGCCAGCACCACGGTAGAATAGCGCCGACGCACTGCGAGATCGAATAGGAATATGATGCAGCACTCGATGGCGTACCACCGCGCAGACTTGGCGTGGAAAACGAGCAGTGTCGGGGCGAAGAAAGCCCCAACCAGGTGGGTGATGAAGAAGACGCGGTAGGCGGCTTCGCGAATCCTCCGCATGGAGGTAATGGCAATGAGGTGAAATAGCAGCGATGCCAACACGCCGCAGAGGATAACGGGCGCAAAAATTCGGGCCACCCACTTACTAGTGATGATGTAGTATACGTTGTAGAGAATCAGGTGCACAAGTACAAGGCCGTAACTGATGCGGCCGAGGATGCGGTGGTAGTTGTTGACCTCTTCATGCGACGACGCCAAGGCCCAGGCAAATGGGTTCATGGCCTTAAGGGATAGGAGATATTGGATCGGGAGCTGCGACACGGCAACGATGCCGAAGCGCTTCGTGAGGTGAAAGTAGTCTATCGCGGGGTCAGCTAGTTGGTTTCATAGCGGGGGAGCATCAGCATCCCAACCTTTGCCAGTCTCTATAAAACATAGAAGCAGAAGCCATGCTGTCCAGGACAGCCCCAGAACCCATTCCTCTCTCCGGCCCCAGCTCGCGCCGCCGACGCGAACCTCATCGCCCAACCACCACCTAAGCCTAGTCCAGGTCGTGTACAGCTTCCTGACGGCAGCAATTTCCTGTGCCTTGATGGCCGGGGAGTTGGGGATCTCGGCGTAGGTTCCTTGGCCGTCGACGCCGCGCAGCGTGCCGGTGACGTGGCGATACGCAAGGCGGGCAAGGTGCAGGAGGCCGAAGGCGAGGACCGGGGCGAGCGCGGAGCAGTGGGCGACAAAGCCGTACCAATCGAGCACCTCGCGCCGAGCATGCTTCTGCTCTGGCGTCAGGCTGACAAACTCGTATGGCCACCCCATGGTCCCGCGGAGTGAGCACGTCGGCCGGGTCGCATTCGATAGAAGGGAAAGGGGACAAGTCGTTGAGGATGCTGCGCGGTTGCGCAGCGCTGCTGCTTAATCCACGGCCGCTAAATGGCTCGCTGCCCCAGAGCCTCAGTGGGGGCTACAGGGTCGTGTTTGCACAAAGCATTGTCCACAGGCCGTAGCTTTTTGATATTTTGAATGTAGTCGGGAGTAATAAAAACAATTCTTCTCTTACTCTGGTGGGATACTTGAATATGTCATGCATCTCACAGCTACCAATCCACCGGCAAGGGAGGCGCAGTGAAGCTCGAGGCATGCCGCGGTGCCAGGTAGGTGATGACTTGAAGACGTGCGCGCATCCAATGATAATGCTTCTGACACAGGAATGTTATATGTTTGACCTTGGGATATCTGAAAAGGAAACCTGGACTGTTCACATTCGGTGAGCTGATATTCCACTCAATCTTCTCATTGTTCATTTATGTGTTCTGACTCTTGGATGCCCATGGCTGTTGGCGCGTGTTGATACCTACTCGCGCATCGCGGGGCATCATGACGAATCTGTCTCGGAGATACCACTTCCCAATCCGCGATCCAATATTACCACGGACGTCAAAACGGAAATTATACCCATTAATAATGTAGCTTACATTTTCTTTTTGACAAGAACAAGGCATGTCGAGGAGTTGCCGGTCAGGTGACCGGTATCGGTGGCCGCTGGGCAGCGGAAGAAGCAGCGGCGGGCCGGGCATGATGAGGGGCGTTCTCACAAGGTACCTACCTGGCTGGTGGGCACCTTGAGGAAACTGGCTCAGTATCAGTACCGGCGCCAGATATCGGGGCTTCTGACTTGTCGAACCCTGTCCATGATTGATGGACAGCACAGGGATGGGAGAGTCTGATTGTGCTCGTGAGGGTTGGTATTGCCATCTCTCAATTTCTGGAATACATTTTAAAAAGCCACTTGCTCATTCACTGTAAACATTTTACAAACAAAGCCACTATTTAACTAATGCTAACTACATCCGAACGCGGTGGCTGTTGTACTCACTCACGTTCGGTCGGTCGGTCGTCCACAGCTGCCCCGCCTGGCTGGTCCCCGAATGAATTTTTTCCTGGTCAAAGACGAAAGCAAACCGTAGCTAATAAAGCCCTCACCGCGTGCCCCCAGATTTTTTTTTGGCCTCCTGGGTTTCTCTCTTCTTCTTCCATCTACGACAACTCTTCCCCATCGCCCTTTCAAGCCATCACTGTTTCCTTCTCATCTCCCGCACACCACATACACCACTCGCTACAATGGCTACTCTCACCCCCGAATACGCTCTCTCCGCCTCCCACAAGGAGGTGAGTATCAGGTGGCCGCCGCCCCAACCAATGCCTGTTGGCTGACACTTTTTTTCTGCAGATGCTTGAGAAGTCTCTTCTCGAGTCTGATCCCGAGGTCGCCGCCATCATGGTACGCTTTGCCGTCAATTGCATTGTCTCTTGCCCTTTCCAGCACCCCCGCTAATACCCCTCCCTCGCTGCAGAAAGATGAGGTCCAGCGCCAGCGCGAGTCCATTGTCCTGATTGCCTCCGAGAACATCACTTCTCGCGCCGTCTTCGATGCCCTCGGCTCTCCCATGAGCAACAAGTACTCCGAGGGTCTCCCCGGCGCCCGCTACTATGGTGGCAACCAGCACATCGACAGAATCGAGCTTCTCTGCCAGAAGCGTGCCCTCGAGGCCTTCCACCTCGACAGCGACAAGTGGGGTGTCAATGTCCAGTGCCTCAGTGGTTCTCCCGCCAACCTCCAGGTCTATCAGGCCATCATGGCTCCCGGTGGCCGTCTCATGGGCCTTGACCTCCCCCACGGTGGTCACTTGTCCCATGGTTACCAGACCCCTCAGCGCAAGTAAGTTCGGACCTCCGACTGCCTTTTCCCCAACACACCTAACACCCCACCCTTCAGGATCTCTGCCGTCTCTACATACTTCGAGACTATGCCTTACCGCGTCGACGAGGAGACTGGCATCATTGACTACGACACCCTCCAGAAGAATGCCATCCTTTACCGCCCCAAGGTTCTCGTTGCCGGTACCTCTGCGTACTGCCGTCTTATCGACTACGAACGCATGCGCCAGATTGCCGACTCCGTCGGTGCCTACCTCATGGTCGACATGGCTCACATCTCTGGTCTTATTGCCGCCGAGGTCATCCCCACTCCTTTCAAGTACGCCGACATTGTCACCACCACCACTCACAAGTCCCTCCGCGGTCCCCGCGGTGCCATGATCTTCTTCCGCAAGGGTGTTCGCTCCGTCAACCCCAAGACCGGTAAGGAGACCCTCTACGAGCTCGAGGATGCCATCAACTTCTCCGTCTTCCCCGGCCACCAGGGTGGTCCCCACAACCACACCATCACCGCTCTGTCTGTCGCCCTGAAGCAGGCCCAGACCCCCGAATTCAAGGCCTACCAGGAGAAGGTCGTCACCAACGCCAAGACCCTCGAGAACACCTTCAAGGCGCTTGGCCACAAGCTCGTTGCCGACGGCACCGACAGCCACATGATTCTCGTTGATCTCCGCGAGCACAAGCTGGATGGCGCCCGTCTCGAGACGGTCCTCGAGCTGATCAACATTGCTTGCAACAAGAACGCCATCCCCGGTGACAAGAGCGCCCTCACCCCCTACGGTATCCGTATCGGTACCCCCGCTATGACCTCGCGTGGCTTTGGCGAGAAGGAGTTCGAGCGCGTTGCCAAGTACATTGATGAGGCCATCAAGATCTGCAAGGAGACCCAGGCCGCCCTTCCCAAGGAGGCCAACAAGCTCAAGGACTTCAAGGCCAAGGTCAACAGTGGCGAGGTTTCTCGCATCAACGAGCTCCGCAAGGAGATTGCTGAGTGGTCCTGCACCTTCCCCCTCCCCGTAGAGGGCTGGCGCCTCGAGGCTGGTATTTAAGTCAAAATGCCAAAACTAAACAAAATTTCTGGCGACAGCCGGGTGATAGCAGCTATATGAGGCTTGCCACCAAGTGTATCATAATACTGTGGCTATACTTTGTGCATTGCTTTGGCCAAAACAAAACAAAAAAAGGTGCTCTGTTGGAGCAAATGATGACACGGAGACACGGCATTTAACATGGAAAGGGAAACCTCGAAAAAGGCGCATGTTCAACAATATGCATTTCGATATGGATTTGGCGTACTTGATATTTTTGTTATTATAATTATTTACTTTGTCTATTAGCCTGTTAGGTGGAGGCTGTGGCTCGAAAGCCACGAAGATACACCTCGTGCTGGTGCTCAACGTCACCGGCAACATATGAATAAACTATACCCAACTTCAACGTACACATAAATTCCTTCTTAAACTGGTTAACAGTTGAGGTGATCATTTCGTAGGCTCTTGTTCTGTAGACTACTAGCACCAAAAGAACAAAGTAAAACAATATGCAATCGTCCAATTACTTTCGAATTGTGTCGCGTAATAAGTAGAACAAGGGGAAACAAGTCTGCGGATGTCAAAAGAATCGAAACCAAGTAACCCATTCCTCTTGTCTTTGCGTCCACGTCTTTGCGTCGTCTCCTTTCCGCTTTCCGGATCCAGACAGTACGCCGACCCAAAAGGCCGACACAAAGCAGACAGTCTCAATTTTGGCATTTCCTTCTTTTTTTTTTGCGTGCTCCCATCAAACGCCACACACCGCTTCGTGAACCAAAGAAAAAAAAAAGGGTAGCAGTACGAGAACAAGAAGCGCCGCCTCCGTATCATCCCGGGCAGCGATGCAAAAGCCAAACAAAACAAAGACCCGCACCTGGCCGCTGTTACCGTAAAGAGCAAAACCAAGAGCAATATCGCGGAGAAGGAAGGAAGAAAGCATGTAGAATATCTAAGTTGTAACAATGGGTATGTGTGATGTGGATGAACCTAGCCGACAACCAAAACATCAAGACGACCAAAACCTGGAAACCATAAAAGAAGGCCCGTCCGATACAAAAACCGAGAAAAAAATAAACCAGAACGATACAGGCAAGTAAAACAAAAAAAAGCAGTCCTCCCGACAAAAAAAATGTACATAATGTCTTGATATATGCAGACCCCTCTCCTCCGCCGCGTCGCAGCCTACTGCGCGATGCTCTCTGGGCTCATCATCCCTGTCGTGTCATCCTTATCCGTCGCACTCTGCATGCTGTCGGCGCGTTCCATGGCAGGCGCCAGCGCCATGACAGCCGGGTTGGGCGGTACGACAGCACTGCCCCCGCCTCCGATGCCGTTGGTGAGGGTCGGCTTCTTCTTCATCAGCGACGTGGCGGCGGCGGCGGCGGCTCCCGCCTTCTCGGCGTTGAGCCTGGCCTCGGCCGCCTGCGCCTCGAGCTTCTTCTTCTTCTTGGCCAGCGCGATTTGCTCGCGTGGTGGCCGCTTCTGCGCCGACATGATCTTGCCGCTCGCGCCGAGGCGCGGGCGCGGCTTGCGCTGCTTCGTGGGGAGGTCCTCGTCCTCGACGAGCGCCTGGTCGCCGTTGGCATGCAGCTTGGCCAGGAAGAAGTTCCGGACGAGGCCAATATGGCGCTGGATGGCATCCGTCGTGACGGGCTCGGACGGCGGCAGCGACTCGAACATGTCCAGGCTGGTGGAGCCGGCGTTTTGCGTCTGCATCTGATACTGGTTGCGGACGCGGGTCTGCAGCAGATGAAAAGGCACGGAGAACGAGTCCAGGCCCATCTCCTTGTCCAGTCCAAGTGCTTTGAAGCCGAAGAAGTCCTCGCCGAGCTCCTCTGCAAAGTCACCGCTGGTGAATTGGTCACTACCATCTTTGAATGCACCCACACCGTCAGTGCCCGCGTCGGCGGTCAACGCGGGGCGAAGCAAGTCTGTCAAATGCATCTTCATCCTTTCATGCAGGGTGCCAAGTCGTGAGGAGAGCCTATCAACATCGTCCTTGGCGTAGAGTTCTAGCGCGGCAATGTCGTGGCCGTTCTCGTCGAGTGTGTGCAAGATGATCTCTTCCACTGTGAAACGTGGCTGTACTACCGTTCCCTCGTGCGTCTCGATGGTCTTCTTTTCCGCCTCACGATAGACGCTCAATGTTCGAATGAGCTTTTGGAAGTAATCCGCAGCGATGCTTGTGAGGGCATCCACTGCCGAGGGCTGAAATTCTTCGAATCCGCAGTTGTATAGAATCTTTCCGACAGACCGCCTGAGCGCGTTTTGGCAAGCATCGGCGGCCATGACTGGCCCGTCGTCGGAAATGAAGTGCGGTTCTATATCCTGCTCCACAAATGGCTCGTGGTTCGACTTGGGGAACTGATTCGTATAGACTTGCGACTGAACCTGCATCTGCTTGATGACAGAAATCTTGGTCGCAAGCTTCCGAGTCTCTTGTATTTGCCGAATATTGTCGTCCATTTTCTTTGTGAACCGACTTTGAGGCGCAGTAAATAAGCCGGGCGGCACCAGTCGTAAAAAGTCCTCGTGCTGATTGATGACTTGGCCTTCACCGTCTTCAATCCATTGAAGCTTGACGGGAATATCGGGGATATTTGAGAGCGAGTCGTAGTAGTCAGGCATGATTTTGTCCGCCTCCTCGTCAATGCCTTCGGCAAGTGTTTCTGGAGCCTTGGAGCTGGCCTCCTTTGCCGCTACAGCTGAAGCGTCTGAATAATCTTGCCCGAAACCGAGTGCTTCGGCCTCTTTCTGGTGCCTCAGAAATCGACGCATGCCAGCCTTATTTCGAAGTAGAGCCGGAGCATCGGCGTTGATTTTATTTTCTTTGAATATTTGGAAGCGCTCCTTGGCAGCCAAGGCTCGATCCTTCTTTGTCGTTTGCTTCCAGATCTTGTATTCTTCGTCCTCGTAAACTTGTTCGTTGGCTTCGGCAAATGTTTGGTTGAGCGTCATCCCGTTCAAGCTTGGCCCATCAATCTCCATGGCATCGGCATTGCTACCCATACCGGAGTGGCCATTGGCTCCATTTGGTGTCAGATTCCCAACTGGTGGTGTTGAGAAACCATTACTGCCGTCAAATTCGGAACCTTCACGCCCAAGTTTCCCGAGAAGCCCGTTCAGTTGTATTACGGGCTTTTGGTCAACAATTGGCGTATCTTCTTTTTGATCATCGGTCGGTGCAGTCCGCGATTTGTTGCCGGTGCCTTTGGTGCCGGCCTTGCGCCCCCTCGATGACATGATGGGTTCGTCGTCCGAGTCGTCGCCGCCGTCATCCTCGCCACCATTTTGCTTTCTTCTCTCTTCAGCTTCAACCTCGGCTCGTGAGCGAATGGCGAGATTCGGTATCAAGGGTATTAATTTCTCCGCCTCTTTGCGCATGCCATTAGCATTGCGTCGAAGCGGGTGATTCATGTCGGTGTTGTATTTTAAACAGTTGTCCCATATCAAATTGAGATCGGCGACGAAATCGTTTTTTGACTTGTAGGTTAATGACTTTAGCTTTTTTGTCATCGTGCCGAGATCCATCGGGTTCTTTATCACTGTTTGATATTAGATACTGGTGCAGTGGGCTATAAAGCGTTGTCGCTTACTTGTGTAATAATCAGGCGCATCTCGCTTGTTAACACGGGTCAGAAACGGAGTAGAGTATTCCGTGTGTGCTTTCAGCTCTGTCAGGACCTTCTCCAGTGCTTCGTACAGGTCTTCCTGGTTGACATTCTCTTCGCTCGCCCACTTGCTGCGATTCTTGCGCACTTCGTTCATGAGAACGCGCAATTCCGCATCAGTAGCTTGAACTTGATCTCGCTTCATGTCGATCCGCGCAATAAGATGTTTTAATGTCAGGCTGGACGCGCCCAGGTTTGCACTACTCAGTGTTCCCTGGTTGGCGTTTTGCTGTCCACTAGTTCCTCCTTGGCCGTTGTGGTCCATTTCGGCTTGAAGCTGCTTCTCTGAATCTTCCAGTTGCTGCTGTTCGAGCATGGCGGTGCGATCGTTTTCTAAAGTGTACATGATTGTATGGAAACTTTGGCGGGCGGCTGCCTCGGTCGCTTTGCGCGCGTCGTCGAGATTTTTTATTTCGCTTTCTTCAGTGCTGTCTTTCCCTTGTGAAGCGTCCTGAGGTTTTGATTTATCGAGAGGTTTGGCTGGTGAGTTCATCGAGTGAACTGGCGAGCTTCCAGACTTTGATGGCGATAGGAGGGGGTTGGCGACCAGGGTGGCCTTCGTTTTGGGGGTAGCATTAGGTGCGCTATCGTCGTCATCGTCGTCATCGTCGTCATCGTCGTCATCGTCGTCATCGTCGTCATAGTTATCCTCGTCAATTGCTCGCCTAGCCTTCTTCGCGGGTGGCTCTTTTATCGGTTCGTGATCGGTGGTGGGGGGCAGGGTAACGGCAGACGCGACTGGGCGGCGACGCAACGACTCGATCCCAGCATAATTGTATGACCCATTTTCAGAGAAGAGAAGTGCGACCCGTGCTTCAGTTTTTCGATACAAATCGGCGAAATGAGCGCGACGGGCCTCGTCCTCGGCATCTAGGGTGAGCTCAGGTACCGGCGCGATGGAGTTATCAACAGGGGTCGATGTACGCGCCGATCCATCATCAAGATGCTGGAGCGACCTGCCGCTGTTGGAGTGATGTAAGGCGGGTGATGGCCAAGCAGGCTGACCATTGGGGAATGACATTTTCGGCCCCGGGCGATGGAAGCGACGGCGAGGCCCCTGGCGCCATGCGCGACGAAATGCGCTCGCGTAGCGGTCGATCCAAGGCGATGCGAGGGCTCAAGATTGCATCGGTCAAGAGCGACACCCTCAAAGAGATGGGAGACGAAATTTCGAAGCAAAATTCGATGCGCGGAGTGGGTGTTGATGGGTTGCGACTGGAGTCTGCATCGGCGATTCTACGCTCGAGGTTGAGGATTTTGGGACTGCGTGCTGTAGCGCCCCGGAGCGGGACTTTGGTTGCGGGCAGCGCCTGGCTTTGGCCGCGGAGGCGCATCGGCGGGCGTGCCAAGGTACCAGGTACCTATCGGCTCCGAAGTAGTGGCGCCGTGAGCAAGGTTCGAAACTGAAATAAAACTGTATCATGGACATGCACCAGTATTTACTCCATTTGAAGCCATTTAAGGGATTATTCGACGCTATTCAAAGATTGTAGTAGACGGGAACTATGCTGCCACCTCGATCTGTTGCGTTTACGCTACCTTGGTCGGTGACAGGCAAGTGACTTTGAGCAACGCAGGCCATCAATTGAGTCACGTGATGCAGAGGTCACTGCGGGATGAGCGAAACCTTATAACTGCAGGTAGCCTGTAGGTTATCATCGTACTTCGTACCATTAGCAGCAAAGCGTCGCACAAGGCCATTGCTAACAAGAACGTAGTCGGGACGAAGATACAAACTGCAGACAATGTTTTCATTCATCGGCGTACTGAGGCGAAGCGCATATTCTACATTGGTTACCAGAATTTTGGAAAATAAAATAAAAACACATGGGTTTATTCAGAAACGGTGGAAATGATGCTTGATATTTACAGACACCGTTGACAGTTCTCTTTGGCATGTCAACATACAGCGTTGCCAGTTCTCTTTGTTATGCCAGCCAAAACATTCTTTAGTTTTCGGATAACGTGATCATTAAAAATCGCGTTTCTTAAAGTTAGTACATTGATGCAAATAAGCAATACTGTGGTCTATTTACGGCCCATGGCCTGCTCGACCAACTCCAGGGCAGCAAGGACCTTTTCTTCTTGAAGTCTTCGTCCGACAATCTGAAGACCTACAGGGGCTCCAGCAAACAATTCGGGGTCGTACAAGTCGTAAATGAACTGATCCTGTTCATTGACGGGCTTGTAAGCAAGATCCTTGGCGTCCTTGGAGGTGTCCGCGTTAGTGACGGGGAACACGACACCGGGGTAGTCGAGCATGTTCCAGTGGGAAGTGTAGCCCCAGTACTTCGATTGCTGATGCGGAGTGGCCGCGCCAAAACTGGCGGGACAGAGAATCACATCAACCTCGTCGCCGTCGTCGTCTGCGGTCGCATTCCAGACCTTCGCGTATGACGCGCGATACGCATCGCGGGTGTAGCACAACTGAATACCCGTTAGCTCGTGAACTGCTCATGGCCGCACCAGAACTTGACCGCTGGAAGCGGATGGATCAACAGAGCATTCAACTTACCTGCCAAAGTTCGGCCTGCGTCATGTTCTTCACACTGGGTTGCTCCTGTATGACCCATTTCGTGAGTGGAAGCACAGCGTCCCCGGCGCTCTCCAGACAGTCCAGCGTCTCGAGTCCGCCATCCGGCCAGTACAGTGCGGAGATGATCTCCCAGCTCTTCTTGTGCTCCAGCTTCTCGCAGTCCCAGTCCACAACACGCATGCCGGCCCTCTGACAAGCGGCGACCACTTCCTTGAGCGCGCGGGTTACGGGTGGATGGGGCTTGACGACGCCGTCCCACCACTGAACGGCAATCTTGAGCGGCTTGCTGAAAGTGTGAGGTGTCCATGGCATCGGTACAATGGAAGGATCCTTGCGCCATGGCTGCTTGGAGAGAATGACCCTCATGAGAAGCTCCATCGCCTTGCGGTCCACTGTCATTGGACCAGGTGTGCTGAAGATGGTCTCTCGGCCTGCCATGTGCCCGATCTGACCGGCGACAGTGATGCGCTTTGTTGAAGGCCTGAAACAGCAAGTTAGGCTCCGTTTGGAATTGCACACGATAGAGAGGTTCCCTACTTGAAGCCATAGATGCCAACAAAGGCAGAAGGGCAGCGAATGCTGCCACCGATGTCACCTCCAATACCCTGGCGTATATTAGCCAGCTGCCTCACCATGCAATCAAGGCATTTCAACAAAATGCGGCACTCACCAAAAGACTGCCACGCATAGCTATCAGAGCAGACTCTCCGCCGCTGCTCCCGCCAGCGGTCAGGTCGCGGTTGTAAGGGTTGTCGGTTCTCCCCCAGAGGTTGCTGACGGTCTCCAAATGCATGATCGTCTGCGGCTGTGTCGTCCGAGCGTAGAATACGCACCCCTCCTCCCAGAGATCATCGTACAACAGGTTGGAGCCGTGCTTGCGGTCGACCCAGGCGATCACCGAGGCCGTCGTGATCACATTCTCACCCACCATGCCGTGATGCTCCTTGGTCGAGATGGGGAGGCCGAAGAAGGCACCTTGCGGCTCAGGCAGTGCATCGAGGTGCTTGGCCCTGGCAATCGCTTGATCCCACATCAACTCCACCAGACAATTCGTCTGTTTTGTGGTTAGCGAGCTAGTTTACAATTTGGGCAGAGCAATCAAGCATGACTTGCCGCTGCGTGTGCAACCGCTGCCCGGCGCAGAAAGGCTCTTGTCACTTCCTCGACGGACACCTCTCTGGATTTAAGGATTGCCAGGAGCTCAAGAACATCGTACTTTTCGGTGAGCTCGATTTCTCGTGGTGTCAAAGTAGTACCTGGCAGCCCCAGACTGTTGCGGGGTAGCTCGGCAGGCAATCCTGTGAGTTTGGGCTCGAGCTTCGCCAGGCTAGCCTCGCGCCTTGCTCTGGCTCTCTCAATCTTTTGCTGAGGTGTCTCCATGTCGACTGTATCCGAGTAGTGGTGGTGGTTTACCAGGATAAAGACAGGTGCGTGGGGGTGGAGGGAGACGGAAGTAATAAAGTGTCACGGCCAAGCCACGTATTAATAGGCATTTACACTGGCTCAAGCTAAAAATCCGATGTCGGCTAATTGAATACTAAAATCAAACCCCCGCAAACATCGGGACTGTGAGGCGTCAATGGCAGCGAATTAGCCCGGTGTAACAATGAATACCTGTAGGTATCGGCGTTTACTCCGGGGTAGCGGAGTAGTGTTGCTGAGAGGGTCTCTGACTACTCCATCTACTCCATCCATCCAGGTACTAATTCGTAATCTTTTTACAGAGATATCGTTCCCGAACGTGTAATAGCAAGTTGATTAACCGTCCTGGCCAATACAAGCGGCGTACGCCAAATCAAGAATGGCCTGTTGCCGAAGATCCTGCCACTATGAATTCCGAAGCCGTCCCTACCTACCGGGTAGTACGCCCTCTGGCATTACAACTCTTTAAAACGGGCCGGGGCAGCGGTCTTAATAAATAAAGACCTCAACTAGCGGAGACCTCCCCGGGTGTTCCCCCGCAACATCCATGCTATGTACCTTGCTTCATCATGCCCCATAACTAATCATCCGTCGCCCATTTCCCAGGACAAGATGCAGCGAGCGAGAACAAGACTTGATCCACAACGAGCCCTAAGCTTTATCACACCAACTCCTACCAGCACAGCTTGTTTCAACTGTCGCGCTATCAGGCAGCGGTGCGCGGAAGTTTGTCCACAGTCAATGATTTGCTTGACAGAGCGGATGAAAAGGCCGTTTGCGACCAAGTCGTCAAGTTGCTTCTCTGCTCTAACCTTCTCCTGCTGGGGTAACATCCAGTGACTGCACCTTCATCTACCCCGCGACCTGATGAGCCCACGGTTCCACGTTGACACAGAAAGGGCATGGCATATAGGGTCGTGGTCCACCATAGTCCGGCCTGCGGCGGAAAGGATGCAGTGTCAGAAATAGCATCCGGAGCTGTCCTGGGATTTTACTGTCGTATTGTATTTTAATCGTCGTATCTTACCAAGCTGACTAGCTGCAAAATACGCTCCATCCCATCAACTCAAATACTCATTCCGTGTGACTCGTTCCGTCAGCCAATAAGGGCAGTAGGCTGGTCAGCCTATCTGCTGTCAGACTCGCAGCCGGCCTCTCTCCCTGTACATTTAAATCGACAAACACAATTTTGTTTTCAGCGTCCCTGTATATGGCTGCTTCTTTATTAAGTCAAATTGTCACTCAGCTTCCGCTATAATCTCGGCACCCAGGCCTTCCTCAACCTCATTCGCAAACTGGTCAACATAGAAAAATCTTGACATATAAAAACACCACCACCATCATGTCTTACTCCATCTACGACGCATCCATCGTCGCTGCGAAACACCTTCTCACAGCCCTCCAAGGCATCCTCGCCAAGGCCGAGGCGCACCCTGACGCAGCTTCGTTCCCCGATCGCCGCCTCGCCCCGGACATGCTACCCTTCTCCTTCCAAGTATGGTCCGTGTGCGCGCTCGCCGAGGCGCAGGCCTTGACGCTGCAGCAAAAGGAAGCCGTGAGGAAGGAGTACGAGGACGCGCCGCTGCCGACCTACGCCGCCATGCGCACGCGGATCGAGCAGGTTCTGGCGCTGCTGGAGGCTGTGGATCGCGACGCGGCGGTCGAGGCCGGGGGGAAGACGACGACGATTGATTTCAAGAGGTCTGTGGGGAAGAAGGAACTGACCGGCGCGGCATTTTGCGCTGGCGCGGCCATCCCGAACATGTACTTTCACACGACAATCGCATACGCGATTCTCAGAAACGCAGGCGTTGAGCTGGGCAAGTTCGACTACGTTGGACCGTTCTTCATGGGTAATATCGGCATGTAAATAGACAGACGCACCATTCGCCCAGTTATACTTAGATTGCTAAATTCTACCAGTTAAATCGTTTTATCGAGATGACGCTCTAATTTGTCCCACAACAAGCTATCATAATGCAACCGTCTAAAATGCGTTTTCCTGGCAATACTTCATGATGCGCCCGTATAGATCTCCGTTGCGAAGAGCCTGGTAAATATCCCCGGCCATGGTGCCGAGCGTCACGGGTGTCCTGCGGTCCTGAGAGACGTTATTGGCCTCGTGGTCCCCGTTGACCTCGTTGTCCCCGTTGACCCCATTGACTCTGCTCGGCCCAGCGGCCCCATTTGTGTTATTTACCAACCCATTGTGAGTCTCGTTGATACCCTCGCCCTCTACGGCTGGGCGCACCGCATCGTGTCCATGAACGCCGTTTCTCTTGCCACCGCTCGGGTTCCCGAGCGCCCGATCGCGCGCGACGGTCGGGTGGTCCTCGACGCCGCGCACAAACGGGACCGCCAGATCTCGCCGCACGTACTCGTACACCACCTTGGAGGCCGGGCTGATGAAGCGCGCTGTGCCGGGCCGCTCAAAGTACAGCGAGCGCGTGCGCTCGTGCGTGGAGAGGAGCGTGGTCGCAGCGGCGGCCTGAAAAGTCTGGAGTCGCGAGATGTCAGGCGCTGGATTGCTGGGTAGCAGTAGCCCGAGAAGGTCGCCGAGGGATTCCCGCGCGGCGACGGTGGCTCGCTCAGCAGCGGCAAGACAACACAGTTGCGTCCATCTCTGGAGCAGCACCGTTGCGATTTTGCTCGAAAGATCTGCGGCTTGTTCCTGAGGCAGCGTCAATGTCTCTTTGGCGACCAGCACTATCTCTTTGGTAAAGGTCGTCTCAAATTCGAGCATCATGCAGCGCAGGTCAAGTGCCTGGCAGAGGACGAAGATATAGGCCGCTGCCATCAGGGACGCCACTTCAATCGCCTCGAGCGCATATCGTGCCGCGACCAGGGCCATTGAGTTGACCGCCTGATTCGCCATTTCCGCGGTCTGCACATGGGTGCTGACTGGGTGTGCGAGATAACCAAGCTCAGACATATACGCCGCCATGCTAATGTCGAAGCCTTTGCAGAGAAACGAGGCGCCTGGGTCGTCGGGGCTGAGGTTGGGAGGCAGTCCCCTGCTTGTCGCGTGATTGATCATCTCAGAGCTCTGCGCAAACATGAGACGGCCCAGGTTCTGCAGCACAGTCATGACCTTTTCCATGGCCGATGTGATGGCCATGGCCTGGAAGTTTCCACCTTGGAAGATCTTACCGCCGTCTACATCAATCAGGGGATTGTCGGTCGTTGAGTTGATCTCAACAGTCACTTGCTTGGTCGCTAACAAGAGATCCTCAAGCTGCGGTCCGATCCACTGCGGCGCTGTTCGCAGACTATATCGATCCTGCGCCAGACCAACCTTGGATGACGTCTCGTCGGACGAAATCTTGGACCCGACAAGAAACTTGTGGATATTCCGAGCTGCCTCAATCTGACCTCTGTGAGGACGAACAGACGAAATGAATTCGTCATAGTTGGCGGCGGTCCCCGCCAGCGCCTCCGTCCCCATGGCAGTAAGAAGTTGCACCAAGACGGCTAGCTGGTTGGCTTGATGGACGACAAGACAAGCCGTTGCGCAACTTGCTGCAGTACCATTGGTGATACCAAGTCCCTCCTTGGCCTGCAAGCTTATAGGGTTCATCTTGGCCATGGCCAAGGCCTCGTTGCTTGGTAGAATACGCGGTCCTCCGGGCAGACCATCGGTACGGATAAAAATGTCGGGATTGCCCTCGACTGCGCCGGAAATGTATGACAGCGTAGATAAATCGCCCGACGCTGAGATGCTTCCTCGGATTGGCACTACCGGTGTCATATTGAGATGTAAGAGTCTTGTTATATGCCGGATGACGTTGAGACGAACACCCGAATGGCCGCGCATGAGCGAATTACATCGTATCAACATCATTGCCCTCACAATGGGAACTGGCAATGCATGACTGCGAAGGAGCTGGCTCTGTTTATGGTCGCCATCTGTAGTGCCAGTCTTGTCGCTCGGCAGCAAGATGCCAACATTCTGTAGCTGGACTAAGGCGCTCTGCAGGAGCGCGAAATCGAGTGTGCGGGTGTCTGCACTCCCTCCAAAGCCCGTGTTGACCCCGTAGACCGTAGCACCGCTGCTGAGTTGCTTTTCCAGAAACTGAACACTGTCGCCGACTCTTTTTAGCGTATCCTCATCTTCTGTTAACACTGGCGTGATGCCATGCCTAGCCAATTCGTCAGTGAAGTTTGCAATAATATGGTAAGAGATGTACACACAAGGCCACAGCTATGACTTCGGCTATTGAAAGGTGTCGACCATCTATGGAAACGCCAGGCGACTTTTTTGACGATAACACACGATTGATATCTGCCCAGTCGAAACATGCGGCCAGTAGGTGAGGCTGTATTGTGCTCGGCATCTCATTGGGTGCGCAGGCAATCGCAAGGCTGTGTGTCTCATGAGCATGCACTCATACCATTTCGTGAGCGGCCTATGTATTCTTGCCGGAAGAAATAATTGCCGAGCCAGCTGTTATTGTTATTGCACGTCTGACTGCGGGGACACGGCTCCTTTTATGATGAGACAGGCAAGAGAGGTGGCGCTGTGGTCGGACTCGGACCATCGACTTATTGCGTGCGCATCCGTAGAACCGATGATTCAACGATATGCCGGGTTAGCTCGGACTGTCTCTTTAAGAATGAAACAGCCGCATCTCCCTGGGTATGCTGATAACCCCCCGATAGGCAATCGAACGACTTCTCCACGCGGCGTTTCTTGATCCGATTTGGATTCCTTCATTTGTCTTCGTTTGTCGACACACAAATTAACAGGAGGTTACGAAAATCGATATCGATATCGAAATGCAAAATCCCTACGCCTTGGAATAGTCCCCCTAGTCTGCCGCCGGGTCATCTTGCATAGGGATCAGCTTGATATTGGTCGCACTTGTGAATCGGTTCGCAGAATGGTGCCGCACAGGGGAAGGAAGCTCTGCCGCGGTGGGACGCAACCACAATCTATGACGCGAGCGATTGCTCATAGCAGCAAGTTGATGGATTGGATGATCTCCTGTGGTATTTGTCCAAGTTCGCATCTACTCAAGCGGCCTTTGCTGCACTATCCGAATACTAGGAGGCCAACGGATTTCAAGATGCTAGCAAGAGGCTTGATGGCGACGAGTCGTCATTCACCGAGCTGGGGAAGGGGGTCTGTTTTCGATGACATGTTCAAGTGTGGTTAATTCGGATTTTGATGGACTGTAGACCATATCAGAATAATTTGTTGGATTGACAAATGATAAATGCCAGCGTTTGTATGTGTAGTAAAAGCAGGCCCAGCCAGTAAACCTGTGCCCCTGGAGAGAACCAGAACCACCCATGGTCCGTGCACGACGGCGAGAAAAGGCGGCAACCAATTTTTTGGAGCTCCGAAGAAGAGCTTCGACAGCCCCGCGGTGACGACCCTCGGACAACCGCCTCAACCGGATTCTCGAGAAATTCGCATCAGCACGTCCATTTCTGACAGTCAGGACACGGCGTATTTCGCAAAGCACCGCCATCATGTCGTTCGGAGGCCAAACTCCCACCATCATCGTCCTCAAGGAGGGTAAGTCGCTACCCCCACCGCCCGCTTCCACACAGAAAACCACACACAATCTAGGCAGCGCCGCTGTCCTCGACGATGCCATCGCCGTGCGCCTTCACACCGCCGCTCCCTGGCTAACTTGCGATTCTCCTTCTCAGGCACGGATACCTCTCAGGGTAAGGGACAAGTCATCTCCAACATCAATGCTTGTCTCGCCGTGCAGTCCACGATAAAGTCGACCCTTGGTCCGTACGGTGGCGATCTGCTCATGGTGGCCGAAAATGGGCAACAGACCATTACCAATGACGGCGCCACTGTCATGAAGGTTGGTAACAAGTTCCGCTGGTTGAGATGTGGTATGACCCACGCCACCGTGCATTTCTAATCCGTGGCAGCTCCTCGACATCGTTCACCCCGCCGCCCGCATCCTCGTCGACATTGCACGATCGCAAGACGCGGAAGTTGGCGACGGCACCACCTCAGTTGTCGTCTTTGCCGGCGAAATCCTCAAGGAAGTCAAGGAGCATGTGGAACAGGGGGTCAGCTCACAAATCATCATCAAGGGTCTGCGGAGAGCCTCCAAGCTTGCCGTCAACAAAATTAAAGAGATTGCCCTCACCACCGACGACGCCAACCAACGTGATACCCTCGAAAAGCTGGCTGCTACCGCCATGACCAGCAAGCTTATTAAGCGCAATACTGAATTCTTCACAAAGAGTAGGCTCCCTCGTATCCCTCCCTGGTTGTCACTTGCTAATAATTCCAAGTGGTTGTCGATGCCGTCCTCTCCCTCGACCAAGACGATCTCGACCACAAGTTGATTGGCATCAAGAAGATTCCCGGCGGTTCCCTCACTGAATCCCGCTTCGTTAATGGTGTCGCTTTCAAGAAGACCTTCTCGTACGCCGGTTTCGAGCAGCAGCCCAAGGCCTTCAAGAAGCCCAAGATTGTCTGTCTCCACGTTGAGCTTGAGCTCAAGGCCGAAAAGGACAATGCTGAAGTCCGTGTCGAGCAGGTCTCTGACTACCAGGCCATTGTCGATGCCGAGTGGCAAATCATCTATAAGAAGCTTGAGGCTATTGCAGCCACTGGCGCCAAGGTCGTCCTCTCCAAGTCCCCCATTGGCGATCTTGCGACCCAGTACTTCGCCGACCGCGATATCTTTTGCGCCGGCCGTGTGACCGCTCAGGATATGGAGCGCGTCGTTCAGGCCACAGGCGCCGTCGTACAGTCGACCTGCTCTGATATTCTACCTGAGCACCTCGGTACCTGCGGCGTCTTCGAGGAGCGACAGATTGGCGGCGAGCGATTCAACTTTTTTGAAGACTGCCCCGAATCAAAGACCTGCACATTGGTGCTGCGTGGTGGTGCTGAGCAATTCATCGCCGAGGTCGAGCGCTCGCTGCACGACGCCATTATGATTGTCAAGCGCGCCATCAAGAACCGCATGGTTGTCGGTGGCGGTGGCGCCGTCGAGATGGAGGTCTCTGCCCACCTACACCAGTATGCGGACAAGAACATCCAGCACAAGGAGCAGGCCATCATCAAGGCCTTTGCCAAGGCTCTGGAAGTGATCCCCCGCCAGCTGTGCGACAACGCCGGCTTCGACGCCACCGACATCCTCAACAAGCTGCGTGTGGAGCACCGCAAGGGCGCGACTTGGGCCGGCGTCGACTTCCAGAACGAGGGCGTGACCGACATGGTGAAGCGCTTCGTCTGGGAGCCCGCCCTGGTCAAGATCAACGCCATCCAGGCCGCCACCGAGGCCAGCTGCCTGATCCTCAGCGTTGACGAGACCATCAGGAACCAGGAGAGCGAGAAGCCACAGGCCCCCGGCGCGCTGCCCCCGGGCGCGGCACAGCGTGCGGTCAGAGGACGCGGACGCGGCATGCCTCGCAGGTAAAGCAAAACTTCAAAAGGAAATGGAAATTGGGAAGGTCTTGCGGTGCTAAGACACAAAAATATGGTTCGTAAAAAAGCATTGTGAGGAGGTCTGGCTCTGTGAGATACCTAGAATACATAAGCTCTTTAGATTTTATGGAGAACTGGCTTCCGAAAGGAGCATGTTGAAAGTAATTAATGCTGTCTGTGTTGCTGAGATTTATGTGCTGCTTGTTTATGTATCTACCGACTGTCATGTCCGTTTCAACGGCGGGGTATCATGTAAGAACTGCAAAGAAAGCCATCCAATTCCCGTGCCACGGCGCCTCACCCCCATCCCCTCGTGTCCCGCAATAGCGAATCATCCAAGTCATTCATGTCCTCATCCGCGTGTCCAACACCCGGCGCCGCCGCGCCCTCCTCACCAGCATCCCCGTCGGTCCCTCCACCGTCCTTCTCCAGCTTCTCCAGCACCACGCCCACGCCCACACCCACCACGTCCTCGTCCTCATCCTCCGCGCCGTGAGCAATCAGCATCTCCAAGTCACGGTCCACGGCCGCCGCGCGGCGCTCGCTCTCCGCGGCAGCCGCGGCGGCGGCAGCCCCGCCGTCGTCCTCGGTCGCGTGAAGCAGCGCCTGGAAGTCGGCGTGCGGGTGGTACCCGTCAAACGCGTGGTGGATGCCATCCTCGTGCGCGTGGTCCTGGTCGTCGTGTTGATGGTGGTGGTTCATGATTCGCGGGTCGATGGGTTGGTAGTTGGCATCGACGTCGTCCTCGTGCTGGTGATGGCTGTGCAGGAAGCCGGCAGCGGCGGTGGCGCCATCGCCGCCGCCGTGAAGCAGCGTCGTCTGCGAGGGCCGCACGACGGAGATGTCGCTCGGGTTGGCGTACGGCCCGAGATGAGGGTGATGATCATGGTGGAGGAGCGGGTTGACGGCCTCGGGGAGCAGCAGCGTGCTGTTGGCGTGATGTGCGCGCAGGCCCAGCACGCGCTCGTGGTGGTCGACGGTGAGGGAGGACGACGCTGACGGGTGCCGGGGAGGTCCCGACTGCGAGCGTGCGAGGGCTACCGCCGCCGCTGCTGCTGCGGTTGATGTCGAACCGGTGTCGGTCGCGTCCGGAGACGGTGAGCGGGACCTCTTGACACCCGCTACCGGTGTCGTCGGCTTCGACGTCGCCGCCACCCGCCCGCCGTTGGTCGCCGCGTTGTTGTTGCTGTTGTTGTTGTTGCTGCTGCCCGGCGCTTTGGCAAGCTCCTTGCATTCCTTGCAGAGGCGGATCACGTCGCTGACCGTCTCCTTGATCCTGCTCCAGTGGTACTTCTCCGCGATGACGGCCGTTGTCTTGTTGATGCCGCCGTGGTGCACGCTATGCGTCGCGCGCGCAATGTCGTACTGCCTCGCCGGGTCTGACACCACCAGCTTGTCCTTGAGCATCAGCGTGTCGCCGTCGTCGAGCAGCTTGTAGTGCGTCGCCGCCGACCGCAGGCGGCTCTTCTCCGCCCGATCCGCGCCTTCCGGGTACCGTCCGAACTTGAGGTAGTAGCGGATCTTGTCGAAGCGCTCCTCACTCACCACGAGCGCGCCATCCTCGCCGCCGCCACCTTCGTCGCCGTCGTCGCGCGGCGGCGGCAGGTCCCGCCCGTAGATGATGGCGTCGACGAGCCGGTCCGGGTGGCTGCGCAGGTTGCCGCAGCCCTTGACGCGGCCGATGCGCTTGAATCCGAGCGCGTCCCAGATGCGGCACGAGGCCACGTTGGTCTCGTAGACGAGGTTGAAGACGCTGTACGTATACCCCAGCCGCGGCGCCCAGTCAATGTACGACTCGCCCATCAGCCGCCCGACGCCGCGGTTGCGCGAGGCGTCCGTCACCAGCAACCCGCCGTTGCACACGTGGCTGCTGCGGCCCGGGTAGTTGGGCTTGATGTAGAAGCTGCCGAGGCAGTCCCGTGCCCAGTCGTGCGAGTCTGGGATCGCGGTGCCACCGCCGCCGCCGCTCTCGTCGCCGCCAAAGTCGCCCAGCAGCATCACGGCGCCAAAGTTTTGGAACCAGTGCGCCGCGAAGCCCGCCGGCGTGAACGGCTCCATCATCGGGTACGTGTCGCCGCCCTCAATCTCCCGGTTGATCTGCCCGCAAAGGTAATTGATGAGCGACTCCGGCACCTGCCGCTCCACCGAGACGATGGGCAATATGGTTGCAACTGTCTGCCGGTCCCGCAGCGTCACGCGCCGCGGCACGATGCTATCCGGCAGTGCTGCACCGGGGTCCGGGAACGGAGGCTGCCCGGAGACGCGGTAGATGGTGGGGCTGGCCGGGTCGTCGACGACGGCCGGCATGACTGCGGGTGAAGCTGGAGCAGCACAGCCGTTTTTCTCTGACGCTGCCTGTGCTTTGTTTTATTGAGATAGCCTTCCGCTTTCCTGATTAGGCTATAGTCTCTTATTATTAATTTTCTGGTCTGAAGACATCTCGTGGGGACAGTGACTTACACGGGGCTGAAGCGGCACTCGGATGTGCGGTTCGTTGCCGAGTACGGCGAAGTGGCGTCTGCTGTAGAACAAATGCCACAGGCCCGGTCGCTGGCAGGCCACTACAGTAAACTGCTGCACGACCGAGCAACTAACTGCAGTGCACCGTGCCTTCGGACGACACTAATGAGGACCCTGACACCTGGTTTGAGAGCTGCGGTGGTGTTCTGAAATGTGCTTGCTTTCTTGGCCTTGGATGTGGTGGTAAGGGAAATGCGCAGGACCAGATTTTACGCTGGTGTTTCAGGCATTCCGTGATCGGAACAGGATTATATATTCTCCGCCACTTTCCTGCCTCACCTAACCAGTCGGGAGAGCCAACTTACATGAGAAGAGAAAATAAAAAAATGAATAATAGGAAATGTATAAAGACTTGAAATAGGGAAGTCGCGAATAGTGCTTGTGGGCGATGAGTCCAGACAATCACTCTTAGCCGCTGTCAGGGCAGACCCAGCACAAGCAGGCATGAACAATAAGAGGTACAACGAACTGCGACAGAGTTATACAGCCATTCAATTGTATAGGCTGTCCGTGCTGGATATTCTATTATACATTCGCGGTTTACCACTTTCTTCCCTTATTTCTTGGTATTTTGTACACCGCAGAGTCTACTTGCGAATCTCTGCAATCTCCGCCTCAAGCGCCGCGGCGTGGCCCTTGACTGCGTCCAAACCGGCCGCGATCTCGCCGGCCTTGGCCGCCAGGTCCGCAGCAGACGCCTCAATCTCCACGGCAGACTCTTGCAAGGACGCCTCTGCCATCATGTTGACCATGTCCGCCTCGCTGACCGACCTGGCGGCGCCGTCGTGCTCGGTCTTCAGTATCTCCAGCTCCTCCTCGGTGAAGCCCACCAGGTTGGCCTGCATGCGGCCCATGACCTCCTTGCGCTGCTGCACGGCCGCCTTGATGTCCTTGCGGATCTGGCTCGCCAGTGACGGCGGCGTCTGCCACGTCACGTTGCCGTTCTTGGCCTCGGCGAGACGACGCTGCTGGCCACGCTGGCCGGCGCGGCCCAGGACGCCACCGATGACGGCAGTAGAGCGTAGACTATGCGTGAATTAGTTGCGTCCTTTTTTTATCAAGGCCATCAGCGTAGCAAGTGACGTACCTGTCGTCGTTGGCGGGGATCGTATATGATACCCATGTCGGGTTCGCATTGGTATCAATGACGCCAATGGTAGGCACGTTGGCCAGGCCGCATTCGTACAGCAGCGTATAATTTTCCATGGGGTTCAAGCAGACGACCAGGTCTGGCACCAGAGGGCGCGCGCTGTTCTTGTAGATGTCGAACCCCTCCAGCTCCCCGTCCTTGCCGTCGACGACCTTGACTCCCTTGTTCTTGAGGATCACGTCGCGGTTCGTGATGCTGCCCGGAATCCACTTCGTGTACAGGTGGCACGCGCCGGCCAGCTCGGCCGCGCGCGTCACAATCTCCATCTGGCCCGGCCGGTTGCCGACGAAGAGGACCAGACCGCCGCGGTACGCCACGTCCTCGACGACGCGAGCCGCGCGGCGCAAGTGCGCGGCCGTGGCCTCGAGCGAGATGATGTGGATGCCCTGGCGCGCGCCATAGATGTAGCGGGCGTTAGCCGGGTTCCAGAGCGACGTGTTGTGACCCATGTGCGTCTGCGAGGCCATGAGCAGCTCGAGCGAGACGTCCTCGGGCGCCGGCGGGTTCGCGATCAGCTCCGCGGGCACGTAGCGGCGCTCGAGCCGCGTGCCCGTCGACCGCGTCGACCGCTGCACCCGCTCAAACTCGGCGTACTGCTCCTTGGGGGTGAGCTCGCGGCCGCCGCCGACCGCGTGCGCCCGCGTCCACGCCGCAACGCGGTGCTCGTGGCCCGTGTTAGTAGTCAGGCTGATGGAGGCGTTGTCGCGCCGCTGCTTCTTCTTGGACGCCGAGAAGAGCTTCGGGGGCGAGGACTGCTCCGGCTGGGCAGAGGGCCATGCGTGTGTCGTCGTTGTCGTCTCGGTCGGAGTTGTCGTGAGATGGCGCATGAGGACGGAGCGGGTAACAGGGGCGGCCAATTGGCGGCGGCCTGGCGGAACAAGTCAGTACGGCGATGCCGAGTTGGTTCAATCGTGAAGCTCAAGCACTCACCATGCCGCACTGCAGCGCTGCGTATTACCATTTTTGCGTTGCTGTGCTCTTAAGTTGCCTCGTAATTGCCGTGGCCGTTTGACGACAGCCAAATTTTAGGACTGTTCGGGCCACAGACGACCATCCGGACCCAGAATTTTCCGGCCCGCTTATAGCTCAGCATCATCAGTGTCAAGTTAATTATTAAATTTGCATCAATGGGTGAGCAGCCACGAGATGGAATTATAGATACCGATTTAATATTTTGGTATTTACTTATGCGAGTTATTGGAATTTTACCTGTTATCGCACGACTCGATACAAACTATTCCAGTTGACGGGAACCCGACCAACATTCAAGCAAGTAAAGCAAAGCAGTTGACATTTCGCTTATACTGCTGCTGATCATGAACGACTATAGCTCTCGCATAATCAGCCGACAACTGCGTAGTTAGCTCGTGGGAAAATGATGGCGATGCATTGGTACAGGTACCCAGCTTGTGACTTGTGATGATAGTGCCAGGTAAAATACAAATTGACGACCATAATTAATTGCACACAGCCTATAGTCAAACACTTACTCAAAAAAGCATAGATAGGATCATCTCACAAATACTCACAGCCATATTAGCTCATCTTGCAATACCTCCTGGGCCATCATGAGATACCGCCCGTTAAAAGACGACTAGCTCTGCGTACCTCGTAGTAGCCTGATACTTGTCGTACCCTACACCTTTGAACTTTTTGCAATCATCTTACCCAAGGCTGTCTCTTAAAAAAAAGGTTTGCGAACAGGCAGTTAACTTGTTGCGTCCAAAGTTTCAAGTGACGTTTTTCCAATATATGACATATTGCATCATATGTCGCTAGGGACGTTGCACATGTAAACATTGCGAGCGACGGAGTAAGACCACATGCAGCCAGGGCCAGCGGCCGATCAAAGTCAAGCAAGACCGGGCCGCATGGTGTCTAGCGAGGTACGAGACTAATTCTTTTGACGTGGATATTTTGTCTTGATGTCCCCCTTCCTCAAGCTTCACACTGTCCTGTGATGTTTTGTGATGTGTTGAGATGCGCACGAGCAGTGATGCTTGCACTTTCCGATTAACCAACTTCTAGAGGAGCTGAAATTGAGAGCACTCTCTGCTTGTAGCTTTACATAATACAGATACATGACGTCGTCGACCGATATTGTAGAGTTCAACTATAGCTTTTTGGCTCGCTCCTTGCATCTCATAAACCCGAAAAGGGACAGAATAAACAGTCTAGGAAGCGCCTGCCCACTTACCCCTCCGAATCCATCGTCCAATCGCCCAATCGTGCGAATTTATGCGGCTGCATCTCGCCGTTCCTGTGTGGAGCCTCATTATTTCATGTGTCTTTGATTATTGGACCAGGGATGCAGTTGTTGCAAGATCCACCTCGAATATCGGGCGCTTCGAGCATCACGATGATGCACAATAAGTCTGTTGCTCAGCTCGAGCATGCATGGAACGAGGAGTGCCATCACAGGACAATGCCTGCAGCGCAAAATTCTTAAATTAGAAGAGCTCAATTAATTTAATGACCGAGGTCATTTCGTCTTGTACCACAAGAACAAAGGCAAGCGACTTTCTGACAGCTTCCATCACCCGTGATAGTTGCACGACCTTGATGACAACTTGGTCGCCACCAATCCCACGAGCCAAACTGCATCAGGACCGAGACTCCAAGCCGTCTAAAACATACTTTTTTTTTTGTTCTGCCCTGTTTCATGGTGCCTCCCTCGGCGCTCGGGTGACGCGTTGGTGGTGCGACGGCACAGTAGCACACCATGTCAAGGGCCGTTGCTGTGGCGACCAAGTCAACAAGGGACAGGCCAGCATCACCCCCCCCCCCCAGTATATCCATCATTACCTCTCTCATATCACCTTGCCTCTTTTTTATCTACTAAGAAAGAAAAGACCTTACTTCTGTTGTACATCCTACCACAGAGTTAACGAGGCTTCCACCAAGAAGCTTGACAAGCTTGCCAACACTCCGCCTGAAATAAGGCTCACTTCACTTATACCAGTGTTCTTGCACGTCGACCTCGACTGAGCAGGAATACAACAATCTTCTAGCCCGGCGCTCTGTGTTTGCGCTGCGTGAGGTAAGATGGTCCCAGTGACATGCACACGGCGAGCAGAGGCTGACCCGCGACTCGCAGTTTCGGACCTACAGGTTCCCCTTATCGACAAACCATCGACCGACGACAAATTATTTCCGGACTCCCCTTGCGACCAACATGCTGTCCAATCCAACGACAACCCGTCCCCCGAGGCAGAGGCAACACCGCCGCCAGAACTCGACACCCTCTGCCTTTGAGGGGGGGACGGCCCAGAACATGCCCTCCGGCATCAACAGACGACAAGCCGTGGCCCATCGCCGCGGTCTCAGCCTGGATATCAGACGCTTCCAGATGACACCACCGACGTCAGAACGGCAGGATAACATGGTAAGTATGAGTACTAACAACACAGGATTAGCCAACACACCGCAGCATCGAGTACTGCGAGAAGCGCAGCAGCAACGCACACAAGCACGCCCGGGCCCGCATCCCAACCACAACCACAACCCCTACCTCGCCATGAGGCATGGTAATACTGAAAACTTCACCATGTCCCCTGACCATACCCCTCACAGTCAACGGTTCTCTGCCTCGTCACCTTTCAACCCGAGCAGCGCGCCTTTTGACCCCTATGGCGAGCAGCTCAACCTCATGATGCAGAGGAACCAAGGGAGCTATGGTGACAACTTGTCAAGCGCCAGGAACTTTGAACTCTTCACCGTCGAAAACGCGCAGTCCATGTCCTCGTACACCGGCATTCCCGAGAGCCCCAGCCAGGGGTGGATGGCGGACGGAGGCAATGCCACTCTCCGCCGCTCAACTCGCAGAATCAGCGACGGCATCATGGACCGCGTTGCCATTTTTGAAAACATGAACGGCGAAGAGGCCCAGGCTCCTTCAACGCCCCCCAACTACAACGAAAATGGTGAGTTCAACCTGCATCGGCGGACCTATTGTCTATGGCTCTAACCGGCATAGCTTACTTACCACCAACCCCCATAGACACTCCTCATGACCGGGCCGGCAAGCAGGAAGCTCGCGCGGCCAGGTTTGCGGAGGACTATGACGATAGCATGGAGGAGACTCTCAAGCCCACACGGACCCGCGGTCAGCCCCGCGCCCAGGACGTGTTCCAAGAGATGCGCCAGCAGGCCCAGATGGCCAGTGCCGTGCCGAGTCCCCCCCAATCCACGCCCCTCCCCAATTCCAAGACTTTCAATGCAGTGCCAATGCAGACCACCGACTTCCTGAGCATGAATTCGTTCAAGGACGAGTTCATGGAGGGCTTTGATACCACCCTCTCACGGGACAATTTCCTCCCTGAAGAGCCCTCGCAGCACACCACCCCCGAGACTCACCACATGGGCGGTTTTGCCAGCGGATGTGACAGCCGGTCTGAGTATCCGAATTATCAGGAAGCTGAGGCCGCCCACCTCCAACAACGTTCCATGCACCGCCGCACAGAATCCGTTGCTAGCATTGCCAGTGCCGCCAGCATTGCCAGCATTAACATTGAAGAGACAAAGACCGAGACTGGCGTCACGACTGAGGAGATTGCTCAATTTATCCAGAGCCCCGATGCTAGCGATGGCAAGTGGGTGTGCCTGTTCGAGGAGTGCGGCAAGGAATTCGGCCGCAAGGAGAACATCAAGTCGCACGTCCAGACCCATCTCAACGACCGCCAATACCAGTGCCCTACCTGCAAGAAGTGCTTCGTTCGCCAGCACGACCTCAAGCGCCACGCTAAGATTCATACCGGTATCAAGCCGTATCCCTGCGACTGCGGCAACAGCTTTGCTCGCCACGATGCGCTGACGAGACACCGCCAACGTGGCATGTGCATTGGTGCTTTTGACGGTATCGTTCGCAAGACTGTCAAGCGTGGTCGTCCCAAGAAGCACCGACCCGATATGGAGACGCGCATGGAGAAGTCAGCTAGAACCAGGAGAAAGAACAACATGTCTGTTAGCTCTATGTCGTCCTTTTCTGGCTACTCGGACAGCTCAGTCGCCAACTCCCCCGAACCCGACTTCTGCATGACCGACGAGCTCATGGACATGGGCCCCGTCGACTCTTCCATGCACGGTATGGCCGCCCTGTCCTCTGCGCCGATGCCCATGATGGTGAGTCGCCGCAACGTGGCGGCGGTAGTGGCCTCGCCCTCAGTAGCTAGCGTCCACTCGTACGTCTCACCCGAGGCCATCATGGATAAGGAGCCCGAGCTGCCGGTCAACAGCGCCGCCGGTCAATGGAGCAGCGCCCCTCCTTCGCTGACGCGCTCGTCCTCGCCGCCGGCGGTCGAGGTCATCCCCATGAGCCGCAACGCCTCTTCTAACATGGACAGCGACGAGCTGGTCGACAATATCGAGCACGGTGAGATGGCTGCCTCGGCGGCGGCAAACAACACACTGCCCATGAACCTCAGCCAGCAGGAGGAAGACCTTATGCTGCAATTTACCCATGACGACGATCTCGTTCCGCTCGAGCGTGACCTGATGGGCAAGTTCGAAGAAGAGTTCAACATGTTCACTAACCATGATGACCCTTTCTTTGGCAACTCATGATTTGACGTGACTGAACGAGCGTCGTTACCATGTGTTTATTGTACCATTACTCCGTCACATATGTCTTCCTGTGTTAATATTTTTTTCCTTTCCCGTGTTTATGGTGTACGCTCTGGTTTTTTTTTTTCACGACGTCGCGTCAATGATTCGGCAGGAGAGCCTGTTTGTCACGTCCACGATATGATGATGCTCTTCACGGCGGGACTTTGTTTATTTTTACCGACTGACTGCTTGTCATGGTTGCGTTCGCGCGCACGGGAAGATGCATTTTGAAAAGGGAAAAAATTAAAAAGACTCTTGCTGGGATCTCGGAAGCGAGGGGTGGTGTTTCGGGCTGGGTTTCGATTTTGGAATTTTTCCTTTCTGTACAACTAGAGGGATGGAATGAACGTAATGAGTCTATTTTTGTTATTGGTAACGCTTTTGATGAAGGACGAACGGGTTTATGTTTTGAGAGGGGAGGAAGTCGTCGCTGTCCAGTGTGGGATGTAGTTGCTTTAGCTTCTTCGTCCTCTTTTTCCCCTCGGAGCTTTTAGAAATATGAATCGACCTTTATTGACGGAAAGTATGGTGCAGTGATGATCGTGAACGTATAGTGCGTGTTGACTGACTTGATGTGACAGATATTAATATACCATGGTGAGTGAGTGAGGCTTTACGAAGCAGTCCCCGTTTGCATGCCCATGAGGAAGGAACGAGTGACGAGTTGAGCATGTCTGCCTGCCTTGCCCCCTTTGGCACCCAAAATTGCTGGCCCCACACCGCCCTCTCAGCGCTCCAGGCAGAAAAAAAGTCAAGGTACCTCCACCTTTTGGTTGCCAGTGGCTTCCATCGCCTTGTCCTGTGTGTGCCCGCGATTCCCTCGACGAAACCTCAACCCATCTTGCTGCGGCCCCTTCCAGACAATCTACCCCGCGAGCCCAGCACCCGAATTCGATCATAATGTCTGCTGCCCAACTCCTCAACCCCAAGGCCGAGTCCCGCGTGCGTATTTTCATCTTCACACCAACCCCGACCGACACATCCCACATTTCGGGTCGCTAACTGGCAGCAGAGGAGGGGCGAAGCTCTTAAGGTCAACATCAGTGCGGGCGAGGGCCTTCAGGATGTCCTCAAATCCAACCTGGGCCCTCTGGGCACCATCAAGATGTACGTGAAGCTCTCCATGTATGAGTTGTCAATGTACTGACTGACTTTGCTTTAGGCTTGTCGATGGCGCCGGCCAGGTATGAACAAACCCCCCTCCCACGATGCCACTCCTTTCGGCGCGTCCAACGCTCCAGGACGCCGCTTTTCTAACGGACGCCGGAAACTACAGATCAAGCTCACAAAGGATGGCAACATTCTCCTCCGCGAAATGCAAATACAGAACCCAACGGCCGTCATGATTGCTCGCGCTGCCACCGCGCAGGACGACATTTGCGGTGACGGCACTACCTCAGTCGTGCTGCTCGTCGGTGAGCTGCTCAAGCAGGCCAACCGCTTCATCTCCGAGGGTCTGCACCCCCGCGTCATCACCGACGGCTTCGAGATTGCCAAGGTCGAGGCTCTTAAGGTAACTCGAGCTATAAAACGCGCCTGCCTTTGGCGGAGCTGGCCTTGCTAACCTGCACCTGATAGTTCCTCGACGAGTTCAAGCTCCCTAAAGACATCGACAGAGAACTTCTGCTCAATGTCGCTCGCACATCGCTCTCCACGAAGCTCAACGCGACCTTGGCCGCGAAGCTTACCCCCGACATCGTCGACGCCGTCCTCACCATTTATGAGGAAGGCGCCAAACCCGACCTGCACATGGTTGAGATCATGAAGATGCAGCACCGCATGGCTGCCGATACCCAGCTGATCAAGGGCCTCGCCCTGGACCACGGTGCCCGACACCCCGACATGCCCAAGCGTCTGGAGAACTGCTTCATCCTGACCCTCAACGTCAGCCTCGAGTACGAAAAGACCGAAATCAACTCGAGCTTCTTCTACTCCAGCGCCGAGCAGCGTGACAAGCTTGTCGAGAGCGAGAGACGCTTCGTTGATGCCAAGCTCAAGAGAATCGTGGAGCTGAAGAAGGAGGTTTGCGGCAACGATGGAAAGAAGAACTTTGTCGTCATTAACCAAAAGGGAATCGACCCGTTGTCGCTTGATGTCCTGGCTAAGAACGGCATCCTGGCTCTGCGCCGTGCTAAGCGCCGTAACATGGAGCGTCTGCAGCTCATCTGTGGTGGTGTTGCACAGAACAGTGTCGAGGATATGACTGAGGAGTGCCTTGGATGGGCTGGCCTGGTTTACGAGCAGACCCTGGGAGAGGAAAAGTACACCTTTGTCGAAGAGGTCAAGGACCCCAAGTCTGTCACCCTGCTCATCAAGGGCCCCAACCAGCACACAATCGCTCAGGTCAACGACGCTGTGCGTGACGGCCTGCGCAGTGTCTACAACACCATTGTCGATAAGAGCGTTGTTCCAGGTGCTGGTGCCTTCCAGGTTGCCTGCGCCGCTCACCTGCGCAGCGATGCTTTCGAGAAGACGGTCAAGGGCAAGGCTAAGTTCGGTGTTGAGGCTTTTGCTAATGCTCTTCTCATCATTCCCAAGACCCTTGCTGCCAACGCCGGCCATGACGTACAAGATGCCAGTAAGTACTACAGATATGGAGATTTGTCATCCAGGCTCTAACAAATTTACAGTTGCAACCCTGCAAGACGGCGTCAACGATGGTGACGTTGTCGGTCTGAACCTGGAGACCGGAGAGCCCATGGACCCAGAGCTCGAGGGAGTCTTTGACTCGTTTCGTGTTCTCCGCAACTGCATGGCCTCCAGTGCCAGCATTGCCTCAAATTTGTTGCTGTGCGATGAGCTGCTCAAGGCCCGAGAGATGAGCAGACCAGCCGGTCCTGGCCCTGGTGCAGGCGATGAGTAATTACATGTAAAAAAGACGATGAAGAAAGAAAAGGGATTAGATCTGCTTTAGAATAAAAGCTCTCTTTATATAGTGGATATACCAAAATTACTTCTTACTGGCAATAGTCTTCGATATATAATGACGTGGGCTGGTTGCTGAGGTGGTTGAGCTGCCCCGCGGTGGCGCTGCCCAAATTGATCAACCTCCAGGCAAAAAAAAAAAAAACTTGACCCCACCATCTACAAAAGCACCTACAACGAAGTATACAACACAACATGGCCGATTACGACTCTGACTCGTCAGATGGCGAGTTTGCTGAGACAAATGTTCTTCTAGGCTATGCCTCGAAAGATGCCGATGAAGATACCATAAGCCGCATCGGTGGCCGTCCGGTAAGCTCTCTTTCCCTCTGCTGCTCCTGCCCCTCCATCCCACCACTGCCCTCCAAAGTGCTGACCACGCCGCTTGTCTTGTTCCAGGAATGGCTCGACGCGGACAAGGCCCCATCGGCGGCGCTGGCCCGGTGCAAGGTCTGCAAGGACCTCATGGTCCTGCTGCTGCAGCTCAACGGAGAGCTGCCCGAGCGCTTCCCCAACCACGACCGCCGCATATACGTATTTGCCTGCCAGCGCGCAAGCTGCCGCCGCCGCGAGGGCAGCGTGCGCGCTCTGCGTGGCGTCCGCGTCTGGAAGGACGACGGCTCTGCGGCGACGGAGAAGAAGAAGAGGGAAAGGGAAGAGGAGGAGAAGGAGGCAAGGAAGCAGGCGGAGGAAAAGCGAATGGAGTCAGAGCAGCCCAAGCCGCGCCTTGGCGATGCCCTTTTTGGGGGTGGACCGCCGACGACGGGGAGCGTGAACCCGTTCTCGTCGAATGCGAATCCGTTCAGCTCTTCTTCTAACGGCGCTGTCAGCACCAACCCGTTCAGTGCAGCAAACCCGTTCTCTTCCCAACCGGCCACCGCCGCGCCTGCCCCGACGACCAATACGAAGATGACCGCCACACCGGCTAAAGACGGCAAGGACCTGCCCAAGACCTTTGCCGAGACGCTTTCCATAGATTCCCCCAAGACGGACGCCATCCGGCCCCCAGCCTCGGAGCCGTGGCCCACCGCGGCGCAGCAGCCCATGCCGTACCCCACGCTATACCTCGCCGACGCCGACTACGAAACACTAGAGCCGGAGCCGGCCGACATGCCGCTCCCCGCTAACGCGCGCATCGAAGACGCCGACGCGCCTGAGACGACGTCTGCTGCGGACAGGGAGGCCTTTGAGAGCGCTATGGACACGACATTTCAAAAGTTCGCCGACCGCCTCGCACAGAACCCGGAGCAGGTCATCCGGTACGAGTTTGGCGGCACGCCGCTGCTGTGCTCCAAGACGGACGCCGTCGGCCGCACGCTGCTGCCGGCCGGCGGCGGGCGGGGAATGCCGCGGTGCGGCGGGTGCGGCGGGCGCAGGACGTTCGAGGTGCAGCTGACGCCGCACGCCATCGCGGAGCTCGAGGCCGAGGAGGAGGGCGCGGGCTTCGAGGGCATGGAGTGGTGCACGGTGGTGGTGGGCGTTTGTGAGAGGGACTGCGTGCCGGGGTACCTCGCGGAAGGCGAGGCCGGGTATCTCGAGGAGTGGGCGGGCGTGCAGTGGGAAGAGGAAGGGGAGAAGAAGTGCTAAGGGCGAGTGACTTGATATGTATGCACATGAATCATGAAGAAGACAGGAACAAACGCTGGCCAATAAAAAGGAGTTGGCCGTGGATTGAGGATAGCACTCGACATACATAAGAATCATGATAGAAGTAAATGGAAACCGATTAATACCCACGCGCATACACGAGGGACGAGAACGAGGATGAGTGGCTGACAGCTTTTTGATTTTTTTGTTCGGATCAAATTCGCTGCTCCCAGCAACTATAAGATCTAGATGTATTCGCTTTCACTTTTAAACCATGAAATGACCTGTTGAAAAACGCCAGAGCTTAGGCCCTTCCCACTCCATGAAAATACGTTAACTTTCCGTAATGTCATGAGATATGTCAATGTCCTTCGTCTCTTTTTCATAAAGATTCCCCATGTAAGCCCCCAACCCCAAAGCAAGCCGCCGACACTTTATACAGTCTCCTCCCAGGTGCGTCGAATGACCCTAGAAAACTGCTCAATGTTGACGTCCTCTCTAATTTCCGCCTTCTTGGCCTCATTGTCCGGGTTAGCCGGAACCTGGATGACGCCATCCTCGCCCACCGTCCAGCCAACAACCTCGGTGACGAACCTGCGCGTCTTGTCCTGGTTCAGGCCGAGCCAGCCCTCGAGGTGCGCGACGTCGACGGCGCGGAAGGCCTGGGCCACGAGTGTAGCAATGCGCTGGCGGACTGCATCCTCAAAGCCTGCAATGTCGGCAATGAGGTCGGCGCACAGGTCGTCGCCGTCGAGGTCCGCCCAGAAGTCGGCGTACTGCGCGCCTTCGAGCTGCGCGTTGAGCGAGCGCAGCTTGGTCAGCGCCTCGGCGAGCTCGCCGGTCGCGGCGGCGGACGGGTTGATGAGGTGCAGCGCGAGCGAGAACTGCGGCGACGGGAACTGCGTCATGGCCTTGACGAGGATGTTGGTGACGACCTCATCCTTCATGCGATCGGGGTTGAGCTGGTACCTGCAGTGCGATGGATGCGTGCGTTAGCGAAGGATTGCCTCTCTGGTATTAGGAATGCAGAGTCGCGGAAGGAAAGCAGCTGGTATAATTTCAGACAACACACAGTTCACGTCATTCATGACTGGGCTGATGACCCGTCACCGTCAGGATAATAGGAAACGTTAAATATAGTCATCATTTAACACAGAGGAAGGTAAAACACTTGGGCAACGTGCCACCCGCGAAAATGCACTCACAATTTTAGCAGCGTCCGGTTGGCATTGCAGTCGGTATATTTCTGGTCGCACTGCTCCTGGAGGTAGTTCTCCAGGGTGCTGACGGCCTCGGGGTTGTAGCGCTCAAGACCGCTGATAATGTTGGAGACGTAGTCCGGTCTCTCGGGCGGATCTTCACTGTTCATGCTGGGCTGGCTTCGTGGATGGGAAACGAGGGGATGTCGACAGAAGAACCACGATGGTGGGGCTTTTTTGGGCGAGAAGAATTCAACTCAGATTGTGGTGCAAGTTTCTTGTGGGCGACTTGAATAGGCTTAGCGTGGAGCTCTGTAGGAGGGTCACGTGTTTTGCTGTCAATCGATGTCATCACCAGCGCCCATGTAGTTGAGCTTGTCGCGTGAACCCCGACCAAGCCGTGATTATGAAAACCGTAACCAATTTCGGAGAAAACATGGCTGAATAATGTTGGAAAGCATGTGAAATACAGGAAAATTGGACACAATCACGCAGAAGCGTCTGGACCAACTCGCACTGGCCGGTCTGGTTAGTCGTGAACATGTCGAGCCCAGCAAAGAAGAGGAAGCTGAACAATGCTGCGAAAAATGAAAAGCCACCGCCCAAAGGGCTAGAGTACTTCTTTTCGAAGCAAAAGCAAAACGGTGATGGGTATTCTGCTGCCCCACGGAGCCCCCAGCGTGAGCCAGATGACGCTCCTTTAACCGATGAGGAGCTCGCTCGCAAACTGCAGGCCGAATGGGACAAGGAGGCGATGCAACTCAACATTCAAGAGTCGGACGGCGTTGAAATTTCAGCCAAAAGCGACGTCGGAGGAGCTGGTGATCCGGGAAACTCGGCAGACCAGCAAACGGACGCACCCGAGCTGCCCGCCCCGGTGACCATCTTTGGCGGGAAGAAGACTCTCGCTCTTCAATCTGCGGGGATGGAAGAAGATGGCGTGACGATATCCCTACCGCTGGATGAATCGCCGCTCATATTTGAGCCGTCGAAATATGTTGAGCAGCTCAAGCAGCACTGGTCTAGAGATGACGGCAGCGCATCTTACGCATTGCTGACTCGATGCTTCGTTCTCGTGAGCGGGACGGCGAGCCGTATCAAGATTGTGGACACGCTCGTCAATTGTTTGCGCATACTGATCGAAGGGGACCCCGAGAGTCTCCTGCCGGCCGTATGTACCGCATGCACAAACTTTTGCAGAGTTGACTAATATTGCGTAGGTGTGGCTGGCAACAAATTCCATTTCACCGGCATATATCTCGATGGAGCTGGGCCTAGGCGGCTCGGCTATTTCCAAGGCTCTGAAGCAAGTGTGTGGCCTGGACAGCCGATCGCTCAAGATGCTGTACGACAAGTATGGCGATGCGGGCGATGTGGCATTTGAGGCAAAGAAAAAACAGAGCTTTACGCTAAGGAAACCCAAGCCGCTGTCTATAAAAGGGGTGTATCGGTCCCTTTCTAAAATTGCCACGACGCAGGGACAAGGCAGCAACGAAGTGAAGCAGCGAATCGTCGATCGCTTGCTTCAGGATGCCCGCGGCGGTGAGGAGAGTCGTTTTATCGTGCGAACACTTTGCCAGCACCTGCGAATTGGCGCGGTCAAGACAACAATGCTCATTGCCCTTTCCAGAGCGTTTCTACTCTCCAAGCCAGCGATCGCAGAGTATGATGTACGAAACAAATCCCTGCTAGCGAAGTCGAAGAAGGAAGAACTCGCAGAGGTGTGGGCCAAGGCGGAGGAAATTGTCAAAGCCTGTTTTGCGAAGCGTCCGAATTATAATGACCTGATCCCGAATCTCCTGGAGATTGGTGTGTGCGAAGAACTTCTGATCCGATGTGGACTGGCTCTCCATATCCCGCTTCGACCAATGCTGGGAAGCATCACAAGAGACTTGTTTGAAATGCTCACCAAGTTGCAAGGGCGCGACTTCACCTGCGAATATAAGTATGACGGACAGCGAGCACAGGTACATTGCGATGAAGGAGGCAAAGTCTCCATCTTCTCCCGCCATCTCGAATTGATGACGGACAAGTATCCGGACCTGGTGGAACTGGTACCAAAGATACGCGGGGACGGCGTTTCAAGTTTCATCATGGAGGGAGAGGTTGTTGCTGTGGATAGTGCCAGTGGCGAACTGAAGAACTTCCAGGCGCTCACGAATAGAGCTCGAAAGGATGTTGAGATTGGCAGCATTACTGTCCAAGTATGTCTTTTCTCATTTGATCTAATGTACTTAAACGGACAGTCGCTGCTGAATCGATCGTTTCGAGAGAGGCGCGAGCTACTGCGATCGCTGTTCACTGAGGTGCCCAATCGCTTCACTTGGGTTAAGAGCCTGGACGCTACGTCGACCGAATCAGAGACAGTACTGGACTTTTTCAAGTCGGCGACAGAGAGCAAATGCGAAGGCATCATGGTGAAAATTTTAGATAATCTACCCGATATAGCGTATCTCGGAGGAGAAGAGGGTGAGATGAAAGAGGAGGAACCAAAGCTGCAGATGCCGAAGGGGAGATCCAAGTCCAAAGGGAGCAAGAAATCAGACGAAGCAGAGTCGAATGAGCCACCCAAGAAAAGGTCGAGACGAAAGGCGTTGCTGGCAACGTATGAACCAGACAAGCGACTGGACTCTTGGCTCAAGGTCAAGAAGGACTATAGCTCCAGCTTTGACACTCTAGATCTGATTCCCATTGCTGGATGGCATGGCCAGGGTCGTAAAGCCAAGTGGTGGTCACCCATTCTACTGGCTGTGCGGAACGAAGAGTCGGGGACGCTGGAGGCTGTCTGTAAATGCATCTCTGGATTTACCGACGCATTTTATAAAGCGAACAAGTCATTTTATAATGACGGATCGGAAACCGGAGAGCCCAAGAATACACGTTTGCAGATGCCCAGCTTCGTCGAGTATTCTGGTCCCATGCCAGACGTCTGGTTCGAGCCGCAGGAGGTATGGGAGATGGCGTTCGCGGACATTACGCTTAGTCCCACATATACTGCGGCCATTGGGCTGGTGAGCGATGAGAGAGGATTGAGCCTGCGATTCCCGAGATTTTTGAAGAAGCGGGACGATAAAAGTTTAGAGGAGGCGAGTACGAACGAGTTTCTCGCAGGGCTGTGGCGGAAACAAGAGGCGTCGGCGAGCACTTCGAGCAGGGCCAATCCTGTGGAAGCCGACGAAGATGCCGAATAATTTTGACGATTCAAGACCCCGAAAGCTAGAGATATAGATATAGTAGGACACATGTTGTGCATTAGGCCGGGTGGCTGATTGCGCGTTGCGTCGTCATTTGCCGGCATTGAGCTTTTGGGCAATGAGGCTGAAAATGGCCACTGATCCCATGAACAATACAGCATTATAGAACTGTGGGAATATTAGTTTAAAATAACAGATGCATGACACTGTTACTGACGGCTTTTCGTGAAATGTCACGCTCCTCGTCGTCGGTGCGGGACTCGATAAAGAGCCGTCGCAGGTTGGGAAAGTTGGCCTACCACACATTAGAACGATAATTAGAACGATAGAAGCAACCCACCATGACTTCTCACCAGGCTATCATGCCCTTGCTGAGACTCAACAAAACTTGCGAGTATGTGTTGAAAGGAAATAGCTATCCCCAAGTCTGACTTAGTAAGCTGTGATGGTGGATAATAAACGTCCAGTGGCCCGCCGCTTGGCCACTCCACCAACTGTAGGGGCTACCGGATAAGCGCCACTCGCACTGGAGCTGCTACCTGAACTTCGAGATCTCCAAGGTACACGTGTGCCGGAGCCTTTGCTACCACGATTTGCGCGCCGTCCGACAGCAACCCGTCTCCTCCAATTCGATAGCTGTGGCATTTTTGTTTTCGCTCGCTAGGGAATCCTTCGAGACCGCAAGGCCCCACCCGCCCAACGCTGCACACTCGCTGTCATCGCTGCCCCTCCTTGCCCGGCGCCTGAACATCGCAACCATGGCGGTAAACCGCATCCGGGGCGCCTTTGCGCCGCCTCGAAAGGGAGAGACGTTTGAGCTGCGAGCCGGTCTCGTGTCACAGTATGCCTACGAACGTAAGGAGTCGATCCAAAAGACCATTATGGCAATGACGCTGGGAAAGGATGTCTCCGCCTTGTTTCCCGACGTGCTCAAGAATATCGCGACCGCCGATTTGGACCAGAAGAAGTTGGTCTACCTGTATTTGATGTGAGTATATAAAGTTGGCGACTAGATTATGTCCCACGGCCGTGGAAATCGGCGCTTGCGGGATGTGTCCTGACCAACAACACTAGGAACTATGCGAAATCGCACCCCGACCTCTGTATTCTCGCCGTCAACACATTCGTACAAGACTCCGAAGACCCGAACCCACTAGTCAGGGCGCTGGCTATCCGCACCATGGGCTGTATCCGGGTCGATAAAATGGTCGACTACATGGAAGAGCCGCTGCGCAAAACGTTACGAGACGAGTCACCATACGTTCGCAAGACGGCCGCCATCTGCGTTGCCAAGCTGTTCGATCTCAACCCAACCATGTGCATCGAAAACGGTTTCCTTGAAACGCTGCAGGAGATGATTGGCGACCCCAATCCCATGGTCGTCGCCAACTCGGTCCAGGCGCTCTCTGAGATTGCGGAGACAGCGCCCGAGACAAGCGCGCTCATCATTACGCCAGCGACGCTGAAGAAGCTGATGCTCGCCCTCAATGAGTGCACAGAATGGGGCCGCGTGACGATCCTGAGCACCCTGGCGGCCTATGCCGCCACCGACGTCAAAGAGTCGGAGCACATCTGCGAAAGAGTAGCGCCTCAGTTCCAGCACGTCAACCCCAGTGTCGTTCTCGCTGCTATCAAGGTTGTTTTTACGCATATGAGATCGATAAACCCCGAGCTGGTGGGCTCATACCTCAAGAAAATGGCCCCTCCTCTAGTTACGCTGGTTGCCTCTGCACCTGAAGTTCAATATGTTGCTCTGAGAAACATTGATCTCTTGCTCCAGGCCAAGCCCGATATTCTCAGCAAGGAACTCCGCGTCTTTTTCTGCAAATACAACGACCCTCCCTACCTCAAACTCCAGAAGCTCGAGATTATGGTCAGAATAGCAAACGAAAAGAATTACGAGCACCTTCTCTCTGAACTCAAGGAATATGCCCTGGAAGTCGACATGGACTTTGTGCGCAGAGCCGTCAAGGCGATCGGCCAGGTTGCCATCAAGATTGAAAATGCCAGCGCCAAATGCGTCGAGGCGCTGGAGGACTTGATCTCCACAAAGGTCAACTATGTTGTGCAAGAAGTGGTAGTGGTGATAAAGGACATTCTGCGCAAGTACCCGGGATACGAGGGCGTCATCCCAACTCTATGCAAATACATTGACGAGCTGGATGAGCCGGAAGCTCGCGGATCACTCATCTGGATCGTTGGAGAGTACGCCGAAAAGATCAACAATGCCGACCAGATCCTGGAAAGCTTTGTAGATGGTTTCATGGAGGAGTTCACCCAGGTATGGCCTCTACGACCGTAGGACGAGTGATATCTAACGCGAAAGCAGACTCAACTGCAAATATTGACGGCTGTCGTCAAGCTATTTTTGAAGAAGCCGAGCAACAGTCAGAACCTTGTTCAGAAGGTACTACAAGCGGCTACTGTAGAAAACGACAATCCCGATATTCGCGACAGAGCTTATGTCTACTGGAGACTGCTCTCTGGAGACCTGGAGGTTGCCAAGGTATGTAAAGAGAAGTGTGATAGTGCCCTACAGTCAGGCTAACAAAATCTAGAACATTATTCTCTCCCAAAAGCCCACTATCACGACAACGATGACGAGTCTGCCACCAGCCCTTCTAGAACAACTGCTAATGGAGCTGTCTACGCTAGCGTCCGTGTACCACAGGCCTCCCGAGTCGTTTGTCGGCAAGGGCCGCTTCGGTGCCGACGAAATTCAACGGGCAGCCATCCAAGAGCAGCGCCAGAACGCCGCTGAGAACCCCATCGCGGCCTCTGTCGCGACCGCCAACGGCGCCAGCGGAGCGCAGAGCAACATTGAGAACCTGCTGGACATTGACTTTGACGGTGCGGCGCCGGCCTCGCGTGAGCATGGCAGCGCCTCGCAGACGCCGGACCGCGTGGCCAGCCCGGCTGCCGGAGCGGGCTCTGGTGCCATGGCGGACATGATGAGCATGTTCGATGCGCCACCGGCACAGAGCAGCGCCGCAGGCCAGGCTTCCGCTAGCGGCAGCAGCGGCATGAACGACCTGATGAGTGGCTTTGAGGGGATGAATTTTGGTGCGTCGGCCGGCGACCCCCTGCCACCCGCAATGCAGCTGCAGAACGTGCAGGGCGACTCGTCACAACAACCGCAGCAGCAACAGCAGCAGGGGGCAAGCGATGATCTTTTGGGCTTGCTGTAGATTGATGATGGGTTCAATAAGAAAACAACGTGAGGTAGGAGAATTGTCAAGTGCGCTTGGTTTGGCGGGACTAGATAGTTTAAATGCTGAGATACTTTTCGCTTTTAAAAACGAATATTAAAATTTTAATAGTCAAGGACTGACGAAGCCCAACTGCCCTGGTTCTCTGTGAGATGGCTCTATAATTCGAAACATCCATTTTCATCCAAAAAAAAAAAAAGTCACTCAAATCCTAGGTATCATGCCAAAATTCATCGTTTCACCGGTCGTCATCAACAACTAACTGGGCTGGGTTGCCCAAGTTCGTTCCCGCCCTTCACTGCGCCGTGCCCTCGACCTGTCCGCCGACGGTGCCGAGCGTGGGCGGCGCGGCGGTCGCGCGCGCGCGCTCCCACTCCTCGGGCGTCTGGCACTTGGCGGTCCATGCGTGGATGGCCGCGATCTCGTCGCGCAGCGCTGCGTTGACGAGGCGGTGGCGCTTGAGCGAGGTGAGGCCGTGGAACTGCGGGGAGACGATAAGCGAGGTGAACGCCTGACCGCAGCCGCCTGTCGAAATTCGAGTTAGTGAAAGGGACAGGAAACGATTCGTCGTGTGAGAAAAACGGTGGTGGGGGAACGGCTTTGGGAACGGCTTCGTTCTCATCATCGAGTCATGGCAAGAGGCAGAGAGGGACAAAACGTTACCGGACATGTCGGCGACCTCGACGTGCACGGCACCGAGTCGCTGGGTGATGATCTCGCGCATGCTAGCGTCTGTTATTTGCGCCATCTTGGATGCTTGTGTAGCGTGCGTCGTGGTTTGTCAGACCCAAACCGCTGGTCGAAACGATGCGATTGATTAGATGCGCATTCGCTTCAGCTGTTGTGCTCTGCCTGGGTACCTGCACAGTGTGGCCGCACTGCGGGTTGGGCACAGTGTGCGTTTTTCATCTTGTGGTGGAGCTTGGCACTGTTTGCGTTGAACCTCACTCAAGCTTGCTAGCGGCACCTTCATCCTGCTTCATCTTGAACAATTGAATACTGTCCTTCTTCTTCTTCTTCTTCTTCTTCTTCTTCTTCTCCTTGGGGTATTAAGCGGCATTCTTGTTGTATTCAGCGTGCTAGGCATGCGAGCGTTTCGTAACCCACGCCTGTCGTCAATCCGTAACCCACGCCTGTCGTCAATCTCTCGCAGCAACCTCACCATCTGCCACAGCCCAGCCCGACGTCACTTGGCGCCCGTCATCACAGAGGGGTCATTGGCTTACAACTGCCCATTTATCCAACTGAGGGATTTTAGTGGCACCGTTGCACGAGCTTTGTCTGACGACATGGCAGCTGCCGGGAACCGAGGCGGCGCATGGGGCGCGTGGCAGGTCGAGCCGGCCAAGTTTACTACACTCGTCGCCGACTCGATGAGGGCGTTGTGAGCCTCTCCCCCCATCAATCAGATTATTCTCGCCCCTGTTAACGTCTGGCTATCACAAAAGATACCCGGAGGAAATCGCGGACCGCGCGTGGGACAACGTCGGTCTACTCGTCGGCAACCACGAGCAAGAGTCCAGCCAGAAGAAGCCCATCGTGCTCGTCACGAATGACCTAACGTACCAAGTCGCCATCGACGCCATCGACAAGGGCGCCAGCGTCATTGTCAGTTACCGTACGCCTTTTCCCTCGTCATCCGCTTATGTGCTACGCTAACACGCCACCGCAGACCCGTTCATCTTCTCCGGCCTCAAGTCCATCACCGACAAGGACCCGCAGCAGTCGACACTCATCCGTCTGATGCGCGCTGGCATCGCCGTGTACTGCCCGCACACTGCCGTCGACGCCGCGCCCGACGGCCTCAACACGTGGCTCGCCGACGTCGTCGCTGGCACGCACGCCACCACGCGCTCCGTCGCGGTGCCGTGCAAGACCGCGCCCGAGACCCATGCCGGCGCTGGCTACGGTGCTCTCGGCCACTTCACCGGCGACAACGCTAGCGTCTCCCTGGCGGAGATCCTCATGCGTCTGGCCGACCGGCTCGGTGGCCTGCGGCACGTCATGGTCGCGTCGCCCGTGGGCGCCGCGGCACCGGCGGACGTGCGGGTCCGCAGCTACGGCGTCTGCGCGGGCAGCGGGTACGATGTGCTGAAGGGCGCCGATGTCGACCTGCTGGTGGTCGGCGAGACGAGCCACCACTCGGCGCTGCGCGCCGTCCAGCAGGGCCGCACGCTCGTGCAGGTATTCCACAGCAACTCGGAGCGCAGCTACCTGCGGCAGGTGCTTGCGCCAGCGCTCGAGGCGCGGCTGCGCGTGCAGGTGCCGCAGGCGAAGGTGATATTGAGCGAGTATGACAAGGACCCGTTTACGGTGATTGATGTTACGGAGTTGTAGGAGGCATGCTGGGTCAAGGCGTAACGGGGCGAAGGTCGCATATAAAAAGGATACTAAATGAAGAGATACCTCAATTTCCGTTGAACCTGTGAAAGCAAGCTCCTCAACTATGGCCTCTGATTGGCCAGAATCGCGTCAGGTCCCACTTCTCGTGGGAACCATCCACGCAAACGGCGACGGATGCAGAGAGACGTGTTTTAGATAGGTAAACAAGAACAGCAGAATACACCACTGATCATCATAATTATCTTCATTCAAACAACCAGCCTATCCAAGAATCTCATTAAATTAGATTGAATGTCGGACAAGTCCTCCGAGGGTGACCAGGGAAGTGTTGGGGAGAAGCCAAATGAAACGGCCAAATTCGAGTCGAAATCGCCAGATCCTGTCATTAACGAGGAGGACGAATACTCGGATGTAATTGACGAGCCGCCGGCCAGGAAGCGCAGAAAGACGACGAAGAAGGAGCCTGGTAAAAAGGCCCCCAAGGCCTCTAAGCCGTCCAAATCCGCGGCAGAAGCCTCCGACCCCCTAGAAGCCGAAGTCAAGAAGCTGCAGGGCCAGCTCAAAAAGTGCGGCGTGCGCAAACTCTGGCACCATGAACTCAAGGATTGCGACGACGCGCGGGACAAGATCCGGCACCTCAAGAAGATGCTCGCCGACGTCGGCATGGAGGGCCGCTTCTCCGAAGCCAAAGCGCGGGAGATCAAGGAGACGCGCGAGCTCCTAGCCGACGCGGAGGCGGCGCAGGAGATGAACCGCCTCTGGGGCTCGGACAAGGGCGGGCGGGCAAGCCGCAACAAGAGTCGCGGCGTGAAGGTGGCCGAGAGCGACAGCAGCGATGCGAAGGCGGGTAGCAGCCACCACAATAGCGACGATGACGATGACGACGGGCAGGAGGAGACGCACAAAGGTGCCGGTGAGGGGGACGAGGACGAGGACGTGAGCTTTGCCGCTAGGCGGCGCAGAGCGCATGCGGATCTGGCTTTCCTGGGCGACGACAGCGATTCTGATTCTGGTTAATCATCTGTGCCACACCTTTTTCGTTGGCATGTTGGACGGCGCAAAAAGGAGGTTTGTGCAAGGCGTTTTGAGGCAACATGTTTCTTTTCAGACACAAATGTCGGACTATCGGCCGGATCTTGACATCAACCATTACTATCATGTACTTCAGCTGCTACTTTTATTGCTTTTCTTTTGGAAAAAGAAAACTACTACTAGTTGCTTTATTCTACCCAGGCCTTGTACACGATTCGCGCGCCATACGTCTCACCCTTTCTCAGCAGCGTCATGTTCTTCCACTCGGGCACGTTGGGCGCGTTGACCCAGCGGCCCGGCTCGCAGCAAAACGCGGAGCGCGCGCCGCGAGCCGGGGCGCCGGGGCCGACGGCCGGCGCGTCGGTGAAGTCGCCCGTGTAGAACTGGAACGACGGCTCGGTGCTGAGGACCTGCAGGTGGATGCCGGTCGCGGGGTGCGTGGCCGCGAGGTGCAGCCGCAGCGGCCCCGCGCGCGTGTCGACGGGCACGGCGGCGGGCTCCGCCGTCGTCGTGAAGCAGTTGTCGAACGCGGGTGCCTCGGCGCCGAGCTCGATCGGCCTGCCGACGTCGACGCCGGGAAAGGCCACCGGGCCGCGGGTGGGCACGCCGGTGGGGTCTACGGGGAGGTACTGGGTGTCGTGGAGGGTGACCTGCGTGCCGGCGATGGTGGTCGCGTCGGCGCCGCCGAGGTTAAAGTACGAGTGGTTCGTCATGTTGATGACGGTCTCGTCGGCGCCGTCGCCGACCAGCCGCGCCTCGTACTCGATTCCTAGGACGGTCGCCTCCCGGCCGTCGGCGAGCGGCTGCGTGCCTGCCGTGTACACCACGCTGACGGCGAGCGCGCCGGGGAAGCCCTCGTCACCGTCCGCGCTCACGAGCGTGAACTGGACGCTCTCGCCGCCCTGCAGGCCGTCGACGCCGGGGATCTGGCGCACGCCGACCGGCGTCGGGCCCTGCCAGATGCGCTTGCCCCAGCCGACGTTGCCGCCGTGCAGCGTGTTGCCGCTGTTGTTGGCGGCCAGCGGCCACGCTCTCCCGTTGACGCTGTCGAGCCGGGCGCCCTTGATCCTATTGGCCACGCGGCCGATGGTCTCTCCGAAGTAGGGGCTATTGTGCTTCACGTAGAGCTCCTGCGTAGGGAAGCCCTGGACGATGTTGATGCCGTTGACGTTGAAGGTCTGGATGATGGCGCCGAGCGGCAGAAAGCTGAAGGTAGCGTCTGTGGCCATGGTCGGGTGAAACCGTTTCAGCTGGTGTGCGGATGAAACGAACACGGTCGGTAGAGGGGTTTGAAACGCCAAGATGTGATTGTCAGATGAAAGATGATGGCTACCGTGAGATGATGGAGCGAGCTTGGCAAGCGAAGTGGTGAGTGAGCTCTTTATTTAGTTTGACGTGATGGTGCGGAGTAACTTCCACACCAAGGGTTGGCACTGGTCCACGTTTTAGTTGCACAATGGCTTCGTCATCTGACGTGTAGGTATGTTTGTATGTATGGTCCTGCGGAAATATTGTTTGGATGGACAGAGTTGCGGGCAACTGCTAAGAATTGGTGTCAACACCAAGTGTATCACGTACTAACTTACCTACCCACACACTGCAACTTTAAACTGCACGCATCGCACTCTCCAGGGCGAGGAGGGCCGGCATGTATTTAATAATGTCAATTCACGATTTCGTGTCATAAATCTAATCTCCACTAGGTAGCAATACATAGATCAGCGAGGTTCCGTTTGCTACCTAGCTGCATACCTACATAGGTAGGTATATGAGAGCCCAAGCCTCGCTGTATCGGCGAACCCGTCTTGGCTGTAACCTGATTTCAATGCCGATATGCGACCCGTCAACAAGCAAGGTACCTGGTGGCTTGCATGACTTTCTTTACTTCTCACCGTCGTGCAATGAAATTTGCCTCAGCTGGCCAGGCTCTCAACCTCAACTAGCACCATCACAGTCCGCCGACACCACTAATAAAGCACTCGGACACTTTCCTCTGCTGACTCTATTCCAAGAGGCGCCACCATTTCCTCTCATCAGCCAGCGCATCGCCTGTCATCCCCAAAGTCCGTGCCCCACCAGCCAGGTATGTACCTGCGCTTGTTGTCTGCAACTTGCAGTGACATTTCTTGCCCTCTCAGCATCACTTGCTGTAGTTGAAGTCCTTTTCGTCATTTGGGTAATCAAGACCTCCGAGGACACATTTCCAAAGCATCTCCCGTTCCTTTTTTTTTCTCCCTACATCTTGGAAGATGGTGATGTGATCACTTGCGGGCCACAGCCTTGACGAAATCCTGCAGTTAGCCAGCAACCCATCATGGCCTCGTCATCTCCTCCGTTTCAGACTCCCAGGAAGCGCAAACGCGGACAAGAGACGCCGCTCACGCCCATACCATTCACATTCAGCATCAGCAAGGAAGACACAGCCGAAGATGGCAGCAGCAGCCCAAGAACCACGGTAGCTCATCGCTTCAAGGGCCTGGATCTGCAGAGCGGTAGCGGGGGTGGGGTTGGCGACCTGGCGGGCTCCAGAGGCGCCGCCGATGATGCCGCCGACGAACTTCCCGCCAAGCGCCAGAAGCCCGACGAGCCCATGAGCGACGTTTCCGATGCCACCATTCTGGCGCCAGTAGAACCCCCCGGTCCCAAAACAGTCGCAGTTGTCCAACTCCCTGGCAGCGTGGGCGGACAAGACTCCTCCCCCACGCGGGAGTCTGCGCCGGCGTCGAGGCGGCGGGCAGGAACACCGCCCCTCAGGTTGAACAAGAGCGCGCGGCTGGAAGCGGACGCGAACGGCGGCGGCAGTGACGACGACGACGACGATGGGGAGCCGCACATCGTGGACCCGGTCCGCGCCGCGTTGACGTGGCACGACGACGAAATCACCGTCTACGACCCCGACGACAAGGACGACGACGGCACCGGCGTCAATGGCATCGGGTTCCGGCCGTCGCCCGCCATCGCGCACGCGCGCTCCCTCCGCCGCAGGCAGCAGATCAACGAGTACCGCAGGCGTGAGGAGAGCGAGGCGCGCACGAGGCGAAGCCAGCGGCGCCGCGAGGGAGCGTCCCCGTCCGGCATCAGCAAGACGTCGCCCAGAAAGGTCCGATTCAGCGACTCGGAAATTCAAAACATAGCCGTTACTATCTAGCGGATCCTTTACGACTGTCTTTTTCCTTTGTCAATTTGGCGGCAAGTTACAGCAGAGTGACTATCTGGGTTCCCGGCGATGGACCAGCTGCCCCTTTGGAGTACATCTATTAGGGAGTTCTTTTATTCTTGGTGCTATTTTTCAAGTGTCCTTAGTGCAAGCACGAAGTTTTCTATTTGATCATTCTTTGGGTTGTTTCGAGTTTATTCAGCACCGATTCACTGTGTTTGAGCGGACGATACTGGCCTTCTTTCGTTCTACGGCCACAGCCGACAGGGCAGCAAGACTGGTGGTATTTCAATATACACATAATGATACATGGTTTCCAACCCTAAAAAAACAAAACTCCTGTTTCGTATTGATACAACTCCCCGTTACCAAAATTTATACCATCTCCTTTCGGCGGCTTTGCGTTCCTCCTCGAGCTTCTTTGCCCGCTCCCGTTGCTCTGCCATCTTCTTCGCCTGCATGCGCTGGTTCTCCGCATGCACCTCAACCGCGCGCTTCATGTTTCGCTTCTCGACTCGTCTGCTGTACTGGCAGTATTCGTACGACGCAGTGGCCCCGACCACGAACATGCCGACCGCCCAGTTGGCGGCCCCGACCCAATTTGCTGCAAAGTCGTCAGCATTCAAGAATTACCCTCCTTCTCACATGTTCCAAGTTCCCCTTACCTCGGACTACCAGCTTCAGACCGCCGGCCGCCGCGCCCGTGACGATGCCCGTCATGAAACCGTTCCGGGAGCACGGGGTGTTGGCGACCTTGGCAAAGTCTTCTGATTTGATGCTCGCGACCGCGTCCGCTATCGTCGGCCGCTTGCTCGTGCTCGCGCTCGCATTGCCCGAGGAGGGGTCGTCGGCGGGCCGCAGGGGCGCCGACCAGGCGGCCTGGACAGGCTTGCCGCTGACGGAGGTGGGGAGCGTCAGGCCTTGCGGCGCGTTCGGCTGGTCGTCGCCGGCCATGGTTTGCCGTCGCGAGGCTTCGATCGGTCGTCCAGAGAGGTGGCTATTAGTGTGCGGGAGTTGCCCGGTCAGTCTGTGGTTGCAAGGGGCCGGTGCGTGCAAGATCCGGTGAGGATTCGCGGTAGAAGTAGATTTTGGAGTCGGTTTGGAGATGGCTTGATGTTGAAGATCCACTCTCAAAAAGGTGGGCGCCAGGAAATGTTCGAGGCGTTGAGGCTTCTAATTGTCACGAGCTCCCATGATCTAAAGTACATCCAATTGCAAGAATACAAAGGTTGACTGTTTGACTTTTAATTTATTTCAATTGACTTTTTAAGACTTCAGTATGTCCCTATTGGAGTTGCCGAAACCATCAACGCAGGCAACGGTAAAGATGATGACGAGGGGCGCCACCACGTAACGATTTCAAGGTCATATCATGTAGGTCTTGGCCTATCAAAGAAAAACTTCATAAGCAAGCATTTGATTGCAAAGAATGCCACTGGTGGACGGCCCCGGCCATATCAGTGCCAGCCCGCCAACAAGCTGTAATACCTTGTGCTAATCGCGACTTTAGTGGGTACATGTCTCCTTCACATTTCAGTAGACGTATCGTGCATCTGCGTACCTGGGGGTGGCAGACATTTCAAAGCGAACTTGGTGACCAAATTTGAGCGTTCAGCTGGTATTAGCAATTGAATGGTTGAACAACTTTTCCGTGTAAACAGCGGAACGGCATACATCATTCTTTAATGAACCGAACGAGAGGACAAATTGATGGGTGGGGCACCTATTAAGCAGCGTGTCAGGCTTTACGCGTCAAAACGCGTCTCTCCCTGGCACCAGAAACCCAGCTCTAGGTAGAGGTAGACAAGACGTTGCCTAGTGCCACACCTACGTTGTCCTACGTCCTTGAACGACACCTCATACTGTCCACATTCTCTCAAATCAACAACCAAGAGGGCTACTACACCAATTGCCAGGATTCCGCATACCTCTCCACCGGCTTCTATAACCTCACCACCCATGTCGGCATAGAGCTATTCATCTCCTCGGCACCCTCAGATACCAAAGGCAGCCCGCGCGGCGAGCCACCTCACAATGCCCAACACAAGCCTTCGACAGCCGCAAAAGGGTTTCCGCCGAGGCGGCAAATCTGCCTATCATGGCAACCGAACGCGGACATTCGCCGCCTCCTCTCGAGCCGAGGGCACATCTGCAGACGAGAGATGGGAGCGCACCAGGCTGGCGCAAACCATTGACGAGAACATGGGCTTCGCCCGCTGCGAAACCGCCAAGCGCAAAGAAGGCTGGCTTGTCAACGTACAGCCCACGGCGATTGAGGACGATAGATTGCCCGCCGGACGAGCTGCCCTCGACTGCTACTTTATCGAGCACGACGGCTCGACTTTCAAGGCAACCGTCGAGTACGACCCATACTTCCTCATCGCTGTAAAGCGCGGCCGCGAATCCGAAGTCGAAGAATGGGCGAAGAGGGTCCCTGGCGGCGGTGTTGTCAAGTCGATGCAGAGAGTGGAAAAGGATGATTTGAGCATGCCCAATCACTTACTAGGGTATCGCCGCACATACATCCAGCTCAACTTCGCCAATGTCAACGACTTGATGGCTGCCAGAAAAGAAATTATGCCCATCGCCGAAAAGAACAAGAAGAATATGAGTGCCATGGACGCATACGCCGAGGTCGCTACGTGAGTACGCTGCAGGTAACATGTGTAGACTTGGCTAACAATTTACGCTTTCAGTGCCAATGGAAACGGCAACTTCGACCTGTTTGACGATGTACAAGCGGACGAACGGCACATGGCAGACTCATACTCAGACGCTAGCGACTACATCGTCGACTTGCGCGAGTATGACGTCCCCTACCATGTACGAGTAATGATAGACTTAGGTATGAATGAGGCGGCGCAACTCGGGTACTCACCGAAGCTTACACTTTGCTAGATATACGAGTTGGAAAGTGGTATTTTGTGAACGTCAAGCACGGCGTAACAAAGATCCTGCCAAATGCCCAGAGATCACTGCCCGCCGAACCCGTCGTGCTCGCATTTGATATCGAAACGACGAAACTTCCTCTCAAATTCCCCGACGCGACAATAGATCAAGTCATGATGATATCATACATGATTGATGGCCAAGGATTCCTCATCACAAACCGCGAAATCATCTCGGAAGACATCGGTGACTTTGACTATACACCGAAACCAGAATATCCTGGCTCGTTCATGATTTTCAACGAACCCGACGAAAAGGCAACGCTGGAGCGCTTCTTTGCTCACGTCAAAGAGGCTCGTCCCACCGTTATTGCAACTTACAACGGTGATTTTTTCGATTGGCCCTTCGTCGAAGCCAGAGCGAGTGTCAACGGCATTGACATGTACCACGAAATCGGCTGGAAGAGAGACAGCGACGAGCAATACAAGTGCAACTACAGTGTCCACATGGACTGCTTCCACTGGGTGAACAGAGACTCGTATCTTCCTCAAGGATCTCGCGGTTTGAAAGCAGTCACCGTTGCGAAGCTCGGCTACGACCCCGACGAACTCGATCCTGAACTCATGACACCATATGCTAGCGAACGGCCGCAGACGCTTGCCGAATACTCAGTTTCAGATGCCGTGGCTACATACTACCTGTACATGAAGTATATTCACCCATTCATCTTCTCTCTTTGCACCATTTTGCCTCTTGGGGGCGACGACACCCTACGGAAAGGAACAGGAACCCTTTGCGAGATGCTTCTCATGGTCCAAGCATATCAGAGAGAAATTGTGCTACCAAACAAACATGTTGCACCAAAAGAAGCCTTTTGGGATGGCCATCTTCTTGACTCGGAAACATATGTCGGAGGTCACGTTGAGAGTATCGAGGCTGGTGTCTTCCGTGCTGATATTCCGGTCGACTTTTCTGTGGACACTGGTGCGGTCGATGAGCTGATCAAGGACATCGACGCCGCGTTAGAATTCGTTATTACTGTTGAGGAAAAGAAGTCTCTCGATGATGTCGAGAACTATGACGAGGTGAAGGCACAAATCCTTGAAAGGCTCAATCTCTTGAAGGAGACGCCCAATCGACACGAGCGGCCGCTCATCTACCATCTTGATGTTGCCTCCATGTATCCCAACATTATGACAACAAATCGTTTACAGCCTGACTCTATGATTACAGAGTCTGACTGTGCGGCATGTGATTTCAACCGACCTGGCAAAACCTGCGACAGACGACTACCTTGGGCATGGCGAGGTGAATACCTACCGGCAAAGCGTAACGAGTACAACATGATCAGAAATGCTCTAGAGAATGAGAAATTCCCCGGCAAATATCCAAATTCACCAATGCGCACATTCGAGGAGCTTCCAGCAGATGAGCGGGCCAATCTAGTCAGAAAACGACTGCAACTCTACTCGCAGAAGGTTTACCACAAGATTCACGATTCTACAACCATCGTTCGAGAGGCCATCATTTGTCAGAGAGAAAACCCGTTTTACATCAACACCGTCCGTGATTTCCGTGATCGACGATACGACTACAAAGGCAAGGCAAAGGTGTGGAAAGGGAAGACCGATTCGTTAAAGTCCTCTGGGGCGTTAGCGAGCGAAGTCGATGCAGCAAAGAAGATGATCATTCTTTACGACTCGCTGCAGCTTGCGCACAAGGTTATTCTGAACTCATTTTATGGCTATGTCATGAGAAAAGGTTCTCGCTGGTACTCGATGGAAATGGCTGGTGTTACCTGTTTGACTGGAGCCACCATCATTCAACTCGCTAGACAACTGGTTGAGAGACTTGGACGACCGCTGGAGCTGGATACCGATGGTATTTGGTGCATGCTTCCCGCTACGTTCCCCGAAAACTTTGCTTTCAAGCTCAAGAATGGCAAGAAACTCAACATTTCCTACCCTTGTGTCATGTTGAATCATCTGGTCCACGACAAATTCACAAATCACCAATACCAGACACTTACGGATCAAAAGACATTCAAGTACGAGACTCACAGCGACAACTCCATCTTTTTCGAAGTCGATGGTCCTTACAGGGCTATGATTCTGCCTACCTCAAAGGAGGAGGATAAAAACTTGAAGAAGCGATATGCCGTCTTCAACGATGACGGTAGTCTAGCTGAACTGAAGGGATTCGAGGTCAAGAGACGTGGTGAGCTAAAGCTTATCAAGATCTTTCAGCAACAAATCTTCAAGTTTTTTCTTGAAGGTGAGGATCTGGCCCAGTGCTACGCAGCAGTGGCAAAGGTGGCCAACAGGTGGTTGGACGTTTTACATAGCAAAGGAGCGACTTTGGCCGACGAAGAGTTGATGGAGCTGATTTCTGAAAATCGAAGCATGTCAAAAACATTGGAGGAGTATGGAAGTCAAAAGTCGACGAGTATTACCACCGCGAAGCGTTTAGCCGATTTCTTGGGAGAGCAGATGGTCAAAGACAAGGGACTGAACTGCAAGTTCATCATCTGCGCTCGCCCCAGAAACGCTCCTGTCACTGAAAGAGCTGTTCCTGTTGCCATCTTCTCTGCCGAAGAATCCATCAAACGCACGTATTTAAAGAAGTGGCTGAAGGAAGAACCCGCTGATACCGATCCCCGTGCACTCTTGGACTGGGATTATTATCTTGAGCGACTCGGCTCCGTCATCCAGAAGCTTATAACAATTCCGGCAGCGCTACAGAAAGTCCGCAATCCTGTTCCGCGTGTGGCTCATCCCGACTGGCTCCAGCGACGAATCAACATCAAGGAGGACAAGATGAAGCAAAAGAAGCTCACTGATCTGTTTCATAAGGAGCCTCTGGGTGACATTACTAACCTGAGTAGCGCCCGCATGGACGACATGGAAGACTACGGTGCTAAGCTGTTGAAGCCAAAGCCAATCAATGCAGCGATTGCCTCGTCACAGCCAGCCCCTATTTCACAGAAGCGCAAATCGCCAGAGCCTGTTGAGACTGCTGATCCAATGGCAGCCCTCCCCAAGGCTATGCCCAGCCCGTCCGAGGACTACGTGAGCTTTCTCGAGTACCAGAAAAAGAAGTGGAAGCTTCAAAAGCAGGCTCGCGTTCGTCGCCGCCAACTCTTTGGTGAAAGGAGAGGCCATGCCGGAAGCAACATTCAGCAAACTTTCATGAAGCAAGCACACTTGACCTTCATGAACACATGGCAGTTGCTTCAGCTGCGCTTAACAGACACTCCCGGAATTGTGACGGCATTTGTTCTCATCGATGCCAGAATTCACACTCTCAAGATCCGCGTTCCACGACAAATATTCATTAACCTGCGCGGTAAGAAGCTACCCGACATTGAGATTGAGGGCTGCGAGGTTGAGCAAGCCAACTACACCTTGCCCAATGGCCATCCATCCAGCTATCTGTTCAGACTCTTGGTCTCTGAGGAAACATATTACAACGAGGCAACAAAGTTCTCTTCCCTCTTCCACCACCCAAGCGTTGAGGGTGTCTATGAGAAGCAGGTCCCCCTCAATGTCCGCGCTGTGCTTCGCCTTGGAAACCTGTGCACGATTGATGAGCAGCAAAACGCCGTGCTGGGTAAAGGTCTTGAGCATGGCTTTGATCTCGGTAGCCTTAAGCGACCTACCAAAACAAGAACATACCTCGACTCGTCGCCGTTGGCCTATATTTACATTTCTCATATTACTGCCGGCGATCGCCAGATCTTTGGCATCTTTTCGACCACTTCGGACAAGGCCAACATTATCATTTTGCACAAAAATCGCGACTCTGGCCAAGACTTGCCCAACATCACACGCATGTATTCTGAAATGTTGTCGAAGCGAGCGGAAGAGGCTGCTGGCACAAATTGGCAAGATTGCTTCACATACAAAGAGAAAGTGACTTTCAAGATTACACAGATGACTACGAGACGCAAGGCTCATCTCGAGATTGGAGATGTCGTTAAGCAGATGCGCAAGGAGGAACATCGCCCGCAGATGCTGGTCATTCAGTCCTTGCAACGCAACTTATTGATCAACGACGTTCCTGTCCTGGGAGAGTTTCCCATCCTGCCGCTCAAGTACGATGTGTCAGACAGTTCTCTGCCTCCACTAGGCTGGCAAACTGTCGTCGCCAGACGTCTACTGGGACACTACCTTGGTCTTGGCTCGTGGATTTTGCATCTCACGGCACTCGCTCGCTATGGCGACGTACCGCTGTGCAACTTGGAGCGGGATGATCCTCGTTACTTGATTGACATTGCCTACGCCAGGCGTCTGCAGGCGAACAAGATCGTGCTGTGGTGGTCGCCCGGGTCTCGTCCCGACCATGCTGGCCACGAGAAGGATGACCTTCTCAGCCCTCTTGATGTTGTCAAGATGGCGAATGTTAACAATCCCGGCACCTACTCGTCTGTCTGTATCGATTTGGATGTTCGTAACCTCGCGATTAACACCATATTGACGTCGTCCTTGGTAAATGAGCTTGAGGGTGCTGAATCAGTAGCATTCAACCCTTCCGCAGATGATCCAAACAGCTTCGTGCCGGACAACGCATTTTCCCACTCAGCTGTCTTGGTTCTGCGCGAGATGGTGAAGGCCTGGTGGGCCGAAGCCTGCCGGGGAAGTACCATGGCAGATGTTATGGTACAACACCTGGTTCGCTGGGTCGAGAATCCCGATTCGTTCATGTACGACCGTAGTCTCCATTACTACGTACAGATGATGTCGAGAAAGGCATTCCAGCAGCTCATGGGCGACTTCCGCCGCGTTGGCTCCCAGGTTGTGTTTGCCAATGCAAATCGACTCATTCTGCAGACAACCAAAGCCGAAGTTGGAAATGCTTTCGCCTACAGTCAATACATTATCAAGTCGATCAAGAGCAAACCACTTTTCCACTTTATCGATCTGGAGATCAAAGAGTACTGGGACTACTTGGTCTGGTACGACGAGTTCAACTATGGAGGCAAGGCATGTCAAGAGGTTGTGGAGGCCGATGAGCAGCCTTTGGAGACGATCATGCACTGGCAAATGGCATCATTCTTGCCAAAGCGCCTGGAACCCACCTTTCAAACCTGGGTCGTTGAGTTTATTCAACTCATGCACGGGCTGAAGCGCCAAGCAACAAATGGCCCAGACTCGACGCCTCGACTCACACAGCTGCCTGTCCGCAACATTGAAAACGAAGACAGCCAGATCATTCTCGGAAGCAACTACGAAAAACCGCTAAAGAAGGTCATCACGAAGTTGATAGCTCAGCAGAAGCGTGAGCTGCTGCATCCAGAGCTTGCCGGAGACTACTCGTTCCCTGACCTACCGGGCTCTCACTTGCGTCCGCGCAACGCAATCCTTGAACTCGTCAAATCACTCATGCAGATCCTCTCTCTCGACAAGAATATCACCCTGGAAGCACGACTGTTGCGCAAAGAGCTCCTCGCGCTCTTCGAGGTGCGAGAGTTCTCTAAGGAAGGCACCTTTGCGAATCCGTCCGAGAGCTTGAAGCTGTCGCAGTTCTCGTGCGACAGCTGCACCATGGCGCGCGAGCTGGACTTTTGCCGCGATGAGGAGCTTCTCAGCGCGGGCGGTGCCGCCAACGGAGCAGGCTGGCACTGCCCCTTCTGCGGTGCCGAGTACGACCGGGTGACGATTGAGGAGCGGCTGCTGGCCATGGTGGAGGGCTGGACGGTCGAGTGGGCGACACAAGATCTCAAGTGCGTGCGCTGCGGTGCGCTGAGGCAGAATGATTTCATGGAGCGCTGCACTTGCAGCGGTGAATGGAAGGAGACGGTGTCGAGGCAGGAGATTGCGCGCAAACTTGCCGTTATTCGGCGTGTGGCCAAGTATTACGACCTTAGGATGCTCTCGGATGTTGCCAGTCGCTTCAGCGAGGGTATGTAAAAGATCAAAGATGATGACGTGACGAGGTTCATGCTGGCGTTTTTTTTTTTGAAATAATGGGCAACTGGGAACGGACGGGGATTGACGGTGGCAACCAAAGTATTATCGAGGGCTTCTCAGGCGTTGTGATGTTTTGGTTAGAGAGAACAAGTCACATTGCATTGGTCATGTATTATTCTTGTCCAGCATTTTATACATGTAGCTGAATAAAAACGTGCATACAAACAAAAACTCCGAGGGTAGCAAAATGCAACAAACACCGAATAGAAAACCTACAGCTTCGTAAAATGCGATGAAATATATTTTTCCCTCACTGCCCTCCACCGTTTCACTCCTCCTCCTCCTCCTCCTCGGCAAGGCTGCTCCTCGTGTGCTCCAATACCGTCCTGATGGCCTCGTCGAGCCCCTCGACAGCCAGGCACTCATCGATCCAGGCCTCGGTCCTGCGCACCAGCGCGGCGCGGTCCGTCGTCGCCGCGAGCTGCGACGCCAGCCGCGACAGCGACTCGCGCAGGCCGCGCGGGAACTCGGCCGTGCGGGCGTGCGACGCGGGCGCGCGCGACCGGAAGGGCCCGAGCATGAGGAAGAAGCGCTCGGCGACAGCGGGCGCGAAGAACGCCTGCTTGCGCGCGACGTCGAATATGGCGACGGGGATGGCGCCGTCGAGCGCCGGGTTGCCCTTGGCGGCGAGGCGCTGCGCGGCGTCGTCGTCGATGACCTTGGCCTGCGCCCTGGTCGGCTCCGGCAGGATGACGCCGTCCTCGTCCTCATCCTCCGCATCGCTGTCATCTATCCGCAGCTCCTCGTCGTCGTCCGTCCGGCGCTCCGTCGCGCCCTTGCCCTTGCCCTTCTTGTCCTCCATCCTCGCCAGCCACTCCATCTCGCAGCGCGCGTACTCGATCCAGAGCCGATCATCGGCGGTGCAGAAGCGGCATCCGCGCATGAAGTAGGCGCGCGCGGCCGGCATGTCGCCGACGTGCGCGGCGCGGCGGCCGGCGGCGGCCCAGAGCTC